TGAAACATAACACAAAATAAACTACTGAAAAGAAGTTAAGGACCACCAATTTTCATACATCACCATATTTAATGAAGTCATTACAGATGGTAATACGAAAACAATTGGGTGGTTTAACTTATTTAGAGCAGTAAATACCGTTGCAGAAGCAAAAACGGGATCACATGCAAATAAACACTATAAATGTATCACAAATCACAGTCAAGCGTTGGAAGAACAGGGTACAACACTGGAACTATCAGCAGGTGCCAGCTGTGGCACTGGGATGCAGGCTACACAACTACACTGAGTACAAACTGGGACATAAGGACTGCCAGTCACAAATATAGTACAAAAGTTGTCTTTGTGACAGGTCTTGAGAAAGACTTACAAAAGAATGGACTCCCAGTCTTGGTCAGTGTGCAACAAATCTGACAAAGGTTTTACATGTCTTGTCTATATCACAGCAGGAGACACTAAGCATGGGCTTCAATAATACTTCTAAAACATGGACCAACATATCCTTTCATATCATACTACAAACTTAAGTTAACTATGTTAGTATGAAAGAAACCAGTGGTCCTAAACACTACATTGTTTTGTGGTAGTATATTTTTACATGTAAATAATCCAGAGTCTTCATCCAGAAAAGCAAACTAACTCCAATGTTAGATCTCTCAGAAAGTCCTGGTGACTGTCGGGACATCCTTAACTACTGAAGGTTTGTTGTCATGTGGATGATTTACAGCAGAATTAGGCTCACATTTATGTAGCACGGCACTTCCTCTTTGTGTCAGCTTGACATAGGGAGGCAGCGTAATGGGAGTCTGGTTGAAGATGTATTTCTCACACTGATCAGTTGCAGATTGACCAAGGACATTTACCCATGTCAATCTGGGAATCAAACCTGCATCCACTGGATCCTGACACCTAAGGGGCATAACCCTGTACAGCAAGTTATAGCAGCTTGCATCATCTGGCCACCCATACACACCTTATGTGAAGAACAGCAACAAGTACGATCAGTAATAACACTGTTGTAAACACCAGGGTCTAGATTTTCTAAGCTCTCTTAGCGCTAAGATAGTCGTAAGTGCCATACATTAACATTAACTTACGACTGCCTTAGCGCTAAGAGAGCTTTTGAAAATCTTGGCCCTGGGTGTAAGAAGCATGAGCAAGCAAACTGAGACAAGTCTTTAACCATGACTTCCTTCCAGTCATGGCAACATTATCCATTGTATAATGATAAATGATAAATACACACAAACAATACATCTCCACATCAGTGAAAATACAGGAGGATTGTTGGTGCTACAGAGGAACAGCAACACAAGTACTCCATCACATGAACAGTAGGTGACATTGGTGGTAAACCACATCAAGGAGAAATGAGGTATTAAGACGTCCATGTTGATGGTATGTCTGACGTCCACCAACAACATCAGATAGACTCAAGCAGGAACACATACACCGATTTTCTCCATTTATTTTCTCTCCATTCGATTATCATAAACACTCTAGGTGCATATACTACCATGCTTCCCTTGGGAAAAGCCTTGGAAGGCTCCACAACACATGCAGGAAGTTATCATGCATCAAACACAAAACTTGCAACATGAAAATCTGAGATCCAGAGTTATAAAGAATTTCCATGCATGCCCATTGTCGTAATGGGTTAATGCTTTAAAACACATTCAGCTGTTCACAACACAACAGAAATATAAATATGAATAATCAAAACCATTCAACACTTTTTCCAAACCCTGGTTGACAGGTGCTTGAACAGGCTTAATTGTCTCAAACCGAACAAAAATAATGTCTTTACTTCTCAGTATCTGTTTCAGCCACAAATCATTATTTTACCATTTTGAAAATCTGACAAAAAGCAAAAATACTTTCATTTCTCAATAAATACAAACTAATGCTTATAACTGAAGTTTATTATATTACTACACCAGAAGCAAGCCCGCGACACCAGATAGTCATTAAAACCATCCCTCAGTCTCTGATTATGTTCATGACAAATGCAGGTGCTTGATCATGTGGGACATGAGTGATATCACATGTACACCTTTACTGTGGCCATGTGTTCTACATACAGCCTTCCCTCTCATCCACAAATCCACAGTCACAATAAGCAATAAAGTTAAATGACACATTTACACACACTCATAAATACATAATACAAAGTGAATCATAACATCACAAGCTTCTCCATCAAACATTTAGATACATGATGTTGAGAGACAGGCAGCATGTCTGCTACAGCAAGGTAACATCAGTCATCAACATGTATGATAGTTTATAAATAATACATATTACATATTTTGATTAATAAATCAAGGAAATGATATATTCTCCAAGAATTCCATGGAAACTGTTGCCAAAGCCATCAATCAAGTCACCAGTACAAAAAAATTGAAGAAAATATTTATCAAAATATTTACACTAAAATAGTGTTGCCATGGTTTCATGTGCTGTGAAATTTTGCCACCTTTGTTACAATGTGCAATGCCATTATTACAGCTTGTATTGTCACAGAAGCAACATATGCAGTAAATATGTTAAGCATTTCTTATATCCGTATCTTTCAAATGAACAAACAGTTCATGAATTTATCGCCAACAATAAAAATTGGAAACCATCTTTTATGTTCAAGAGGGACACCGTTCTGACAGAGATGATGAGATCTGACAGACATGTATTGTTAACATACCAGGGTTATTATAATATATTTAGCAATGTAACATTTGATAATAAAAATTGAAATATAAATGTCCTATATGAAATCATATGACATATTGATTACTTCATAGTTTCACATTATAATAATTTAACAGTGTGCCCTAAGGTAACAGGTATTCCTATATTGCCAATAAGTTCTTATTGATCCATGCTGGCACCATACATGACACATACATTACTGAACAAAGTCGGTAGAGTATGCACTTAGACTTCAAAATAGAGTAATGATGGACCTGTCATTCACACATTCACACAGATGTTTTTATTAAGATCAATACTTGCAAGTACTGACGGCAACCATTTACAATTTTACACCGGATGCGTGTTGATGGAATATTCTACCACATGTTTTGCTGGTGGTTGGCAGGTATATTGTTAAACCTTGCGACCATAGCCATAAGCCTTGCATGAATATGCACAATCTGTGTCTGATGAACTGAGGCAAGAATCAACATAGTCAATATCAGTAATAAGTAATATCAGGCAGAAACAAGGACAATACAGAGTATCAAAGAAAGAAGAATACAAAATATAAAATGTCATGAATTCAAAGAAGTAAACAGGGTCACAATGAGGTAAGTACAATGGCCTAGCATAGAGAAAATAGGAGTGTTGGAGCAGAGCATCAGAGACAGGCTTCACAGTGAGCAGAATGAGATGTATCCAGACATCAGTGAACTGTCCAAGTGAGGATGTTTTTAACGCTGCATTGAACAGTATTCCAGTTTTATCAGGGCATGGCAGTTTCTCAGTGTTCGGAAACCAGGGAGTAATGCACCACTTCGGTGACACCCACAAGCATATCTCTAGTAGTAACGTCAATTGGCACCACCCCTGGGACTGAATGGCCACCACATCCTAGTGTCAACATGCCTGCTGTATCCTGGTCTTCATTCGTCATACACAGCCCCACCCCTTAGGACTGAATGGCCACCCGGGAATCCTAGTGTCAACATGCCTGCTGTATCCTGGTCTTCATTCGTCATACACAGCCCCACCCCCCAGGACTGAATGGCCACCATAGGAGTCCTAGTGTCAACATGCCTGTTGTATCCTGGTCATCATTCGTCATACACAGTCCTACCCCCCAGGACAGAATGGCCACCATAGGAGTCCTAGTGTCAACATGCCTGTTGTATCCCAGTCATCATTCGTCATACACAGCCCCACCCCCAGGACAGAATGGCCACCCCAGGAGTCCTAGTGTCAACATGCCTGTTGTATCCTGGTCTTCATTCGTCATACACAGCCCCACCCCCCAGGACAGAATGGCCACCACAGGAGTCCTAGTGTCAACATGCCTGTTGTATCCTGGTCATCATTCGTCATACACAGCCCCACCCCCAGGACAGAATGGCCACCACAGGAGTCCTAGTGTCAACATGCCTGTTGTATCCCGGTCATCATTCGTCATACACAGCCCCACTCCCAGGACAGAATGGCCACCCCGAGTCCTAGTGTCAACACGCCTGCTGTATCCTGGTCATCATTCAGTCATACACAGCCCCACCCCCAGGACAGACCACCATGAGTCCACCCAGTCATCATTAGATCATAGGAGAGTGGCCACCCTAGTGTCAACATGCCTGTTGTATCCCGGTCTTCATTAGGTCATACATGGCCCCACCCCCAAGGACTGAATGGCCACCACTCATTAGTCATACACAGCCCCACCCCCAGGACAGAATGGCCACCCGGGAGTCCTAGTGTCAACATGCCTGTTGTATCCCGTCATCATTAAGTCATACATGGCCCCACCCCCAGGACTGAATGGCCACCATCAGGAGTCCTAGTGTCAACATGCCTGTTGTATCCCTGGTCATCATTAAGTCATACACATGGACTAATGGCCACCATTCCCTAGTGTCAACACGCCTGTTGTATCCCGGTCATCATTCATCATACATGGACTACTACATTCTACAAGTTGCAGCTCAGCTGACTGAAGCACTGAACTTTGGGCATTGATACATGATGCATCAAATTTGGCACAAACAGATATTTCAAAGTTCCTATCAAGGACATACATCTCTACACATCAGATCTACATTAGGACTGGTTGATTTAACTTGATGGGGCAATGAGATAGTATTTAACTAACCCTCCCCTCCTTCCTCCATCCCCTTCCCTCGATCTACAGAATGATGGCAACACAACTTATGTACTACACACATAAAACTTAACCATGTCCATGTGCAAAATATGAGCATGTAAGCACTGTCATCTAACATGCCTTTGAATTAAATTAATTTTTATGTGTTGGTAGAAAAAAATTAATAAATTACATTTATTTGTCTTTGCATACAAACATAACAGATTAATGCATATCATCAGACAAACACTGCCTTTACTTGTAACTAGTGACAACCATGTATGTGATTTAATCCATACACGTGACATCAACGTAGATCACGGTACATGAGGAAGTCATTTTAATTGAGAATTTGTTGATGATAAATTCTTTGTGTGTGCCCCTGACAGGGTGTACAGGAATATACAAGGTTAACTGTCTTGTATGCCACAGTGAGTGGACCTAGTGGGACCTATCAGTCATGGATGGGGACAATCACCGCCATCTTTAACCCCTCTGGAACATCCATGATGAACCCCATATCGTACCTCCATTCTGATATGATACATACCCTGGACCTATTCTCCACTACCGCTTTGTTCAGTGTTCAGTTTGAATGACACAGCTCCAATTACAGATGTAGAATCAAACTGCAATGTTCTCCCATGGTTATAAGAAGCGATATCACAAGTCTGCATCTCAACTCTATGTCCTCACAAACACAACCCAGTTCTCAGTAAAACATCTTTCCCTATCAAACAATCATTCATAACAGCATTGTGATTCATCTAGATAGATCAAAGGCTCGCTTGGATAGGATTGTGAATTTTGAAATAGATCTGTGCAAACTTGGGTGATGTCTTTTGATTGGTTGTTGATTTGAAGCTCATGAGCAGGAGGAATACTCTAGATAGGTGATAATGAGCTGGAACCGGGAAGTCACTTCCTACATGATGTATCGGAGGCAACAAGTCCAGGGTATGATTCATTACAAAATGAAAATGTACATCGAGGAACACATTACAGCTTCATGTTGACAGCATCAGCTTCTAGAAACTGCAAGAAAGTTCTCCATATCATGCATGCAAAAAGATGGTTATACGAAAAGTTACACATGACCCGAAACTAAGGGGTTAGCACAACCAATATGTCTGCTGTGCCTGCATCGCTGGTTCTGGAATATGGCACACAGTTACTGAAATACTCAGCTCAGATCCAATACTTCCAGATATCTCATCCATGTGGAGACTGACAGCATCACACAACAACTGTGTACATTAACACATGGACATGCTACACAGACTGGTTACCATGGTTGTGCTGGTGTATGAACTGCATATCAATGACATCACCATGGATACACAAAAGCAAAGATTATCACTATGGATACACAAGAGCAGAGATTATCACGATGGATACACCAAATTATTCATATGTAAGCTATCACCATCATTATGAGAAGTATATCACCATGAACACAAGTAGAGAGTATCACCATGGATACACAAAGGTAGATCTATGTTATCACCATGGATACACAAAGGTAGATCTATGTTATCACCATGGATACACAAAGGTAGATCTATGTTATCACCATGGATACACAAAAGTATATCTATATCATCTCCATGGATACACAAAAGTAGATCTATGTTATAACCATGGATACACAAAGGTAGATCTATGTTATCACCATGGATACACAAAAAGTAGATCTATATTATCACCATGGATACACAAAGTAAACATTAGCAGCACGGTTACATCAAAAGTGTTTTCACAGGTTTCAAAAGAACATTGAGTCTCAACAATCAGTCCTTCAACCAATGTCATCACAACACACATAAATCAACACTTATACATATGATAAAAAGGTACACAATTCAGTTTGGGGCACTGCCACATACTGTCGTGGGTGATGACTGACACAGTATGGTAGCAGGCCCTGAACATAACGATGACACAACACATACTGTATGCAGTATGGACACTGGTGAACAAAACAACACTTCACCATGGTGGCACCGTGATACAATGACATCATCAGATACAAGGGAGATAACCGTGCAGTCAACACCTGGTGAAGACAAGCTCTTCAGTGACTTCAGATAGAGGTGGAGATGTCAGACATATCAGATTGAATATCAGGATATTAACTAGTTAAGATAAAAAAATTTAAAGTGTCATCACTTTGTGATTTGTATTCGGATACAATCTATCAGTAATTACTTTACATCATCCAGATCATTTGATGTAGAAGAATATTTTTGCTAACATATTTCCACAATGAAAGAGAGGTTTTTGAGACAATTGTTGAGAAATCTGTGAATATCTCACCTGACATTAACTGAAACATATGAATATCTAGAAACAGATTTACACAAAATATGTCATACTCTTGACCCTGAAACACAGCTGATGACAAATGATCAGGATCTGTATGACCCCTTGTGAAACACTGTCCTTGACTTTTCATGTGACCTTTCAGTTTAACTGGCAGGAAGTGCCCAGCTGACGACTGTACGATCAGCACTAGTTGTGAGGAAAGCCAGCTGCGAGGGATGCCAGCGACACTGGATGACCTTGTCTCTGTGCTCCGCAACCACCACACTCGGGAGGGGTCGGAAAAGGTCACCTGAAACAAGGCACTGGTTGGTGAACACACAGATCATATTTTTCAGAATGCAGAAGAACACATCTACCAATAACAATGAAAATGACAGTTCAGAAAAAAGGCTATTGTCCACAATAATGTTCCTTTGTTCTCATACTGTGAGTGAGTGAGTGAGTGAATTGAGTTCTATGCCGCACTCAGCAATATTCCTGTATTATGGCGGCGGTCTGTAAATAATCGAGTCTGGACCAGACAATCCAGTGATCAACAACATGAGCATCGTTCTGCACAATTGGGAACCGATGACATGTGTCAACCGAGTCAACAAGCCTGACCACCCGATCCCATCAGTCTCCTCTTATGACAAGCATGGGTTACTGAATGTCAACATTCTAAACTGGACCATCTCGGGTTTGTTCTCATACAGACAACGCTCAAATCATCTAAAAAGTTTCTGACTGAAGAGGAAGAATATTTAGGATATTCAAAAACATTCAAGCTTGATGAAATGGAACAGTAAAATAATCATGACATTATCAATAACGAGAGTCTGTGTTGTTTTACGGCAATATTCCAAACTGACAACAAGGACACCAGAAACTCACACTTGCACCCACGTAGGGAATAGTGAATACTTATACCAGCAAGCTACCAATTACCCCTATTGTCATTAATACTCTGTGTGTTCAGATGTAACCTGTTTCACAAAGACTTAACATTAGACTTCTCACCTCTCAGACTAACTTCTGGAGTATATTATGTGCCAAGAGTCATCAACCAGCCATAAACCTCCACAACCATCTATGTCATTTCAGTGACATGAACAAATTTTAATGCTCCACATGTATGAAGGCTCAAACACATACCTGTAGCTATGGCTCATTCATGCAATCATTAATGAAGGATATTGGATCATCCAGATACGTGAGTGAGTGAGTTTAGTTTTACGCCCCACTCAGCAATATTCCAGCCATTTGGCGGCGATTTGTAAAGAATCGAGTCTGGACCAGACAATCCAGTGAACAACGGCATGAGCATCGATCTGCGCAATTGGGAGCCGATGACATGTGTCAACCAAGTCAGCAAGCCTGTGTCCAGATACGATATATGATCATTAAAACAGAAAATGCTTCATGTTAATGCAGTAGGTGTGGAACGTTTCAGTTTCTGAAACTACTTCCACAAACACAATGAATTCGTTTACTTGATCGTTTTTTGTCTTTTGTACTATATCTCCATTGATAATGATATCACAAGGGAATCAGCATCAGGGAAGCAACAACCAAGTCATTGTGTCGGACCGCTCCATCCAATCAAGGATCGTTATTACTGAGTTGGGGAAAATGGACTCCAAAAGCTAGTGTTCTTATCAAGTATCAGAACAACACATTCCAACTTATTATCCATGTAACTGAATGACACAGGAAGCAGTGGAGTTTCTTGGCTGTCTGACTGAACATATGGCACACTAGTGTGGCACAGTACACATGGTGCCCACAGTTCACGTACACACTGGTACCTGACGTACCAAGTCCTGTGACCACAGTCGCAGTTAGCACATACACCTTTGTTTACAGCTTTCCGTTGGTAAGTCTCCCCACGGCCAACAAATATGGAACTGGGTTAGTGTAAGCAGATTATCTCCCTTGCATGGCTACTTGAGCAGCTAATCAAAGCATGCATATCATTGTACCAGGATTAGTCACTGAACCTTGATCCCATAACTCGCATAGCACCAGCCTCCACACAGCTCAAAGCAGATGACATGTGTTATTTAACATCAGAAGTGAATCTATTATTCTTTAACACTTCTCAATGCAAAATAATGTTTTAAATTGATAGCTTTAGCAATGATTTTACCTACAAAGTACTGACTGAACAAATTTGTCAACAATATACCAAATTTGTCGTTATATTATGAAAGTTGACAAGGACCAACTATATCACTAAAGTTAAAAATATTAACTAAACAAACTTTGTACTCAAACAGGAATATTATTTAATCATGATGGAACAAGAGGCGTGTAACCAGCTTGGTCATCCATTTAACAAATACTTTATGGGGTGGGGCCTTGCACCATTGCCAATGGGAAGTGACTTCCAACACATGCCCAGGGGAGATAACTCCAAACACATACTCAGGGGGAGGTAACTCTCAACACATGCTCAGGGAGAAGTTATTCCAAACATATTCCAGGTGATGTAATTCCCAAAACAGAAACTCCTCCCCAACCCCATCATTACTGTCACCAGTGTGGAAACAACCATTACAAGAATGTGAAATCTTTGGAATTGGTGAATTTTATATCAGATTGGTTCAAGACTGCATAAAAGCAACCAACCTCCCTTCAACATTATGAACTTCCCTTGAACCGCAAAATACATATTACAACAGGCATCACTAGTTTGTAAAGTGTTGATGTCAGGTCAGGTGGCCTGTCCCAGTTTCCCAATGGAAAGATGCATCTATTACCCATGGAAGACTACACCAAACATATGCCTGGGGCTGTAACTTCGTCTCAATCATACAGGGTCCCTTCACAAACAGCTGGCTACTGACCCCACTGCCCCTCCCCACAAACAACTGGCTATGACTGTCATATGAGACAACCAGGATCCAGTTGTGAACTCCTTCCAGACCACAACTGTTGATTCCCATGTTGTCATTTCTGTGACAATTATATATGTTTCTGATATTATTCGGTCAACAATTACTGAAGCTGACAACCTCTGTATCATTCCATTGTCATCATGACATGTCAGACAAACAGAAAGTGTCCTCTACAAGCTGAGTTTAACTTCTAATTATACTAAAGCCAGTTTTGACAGTTAAGCACCTGTGTTGTGTGTTATCAACTACACACTACATCTTCCGAACAGTCACTACACTTGGACATCTTCATCGAATCTTACATAAGGCCTAAAAAAAATAATGTTGTGGTTCCGATTACCCGACCGACCCTTGAATTCTGGTGCCGACCCTACTTTTTTTAAGCTGTATAAATGAAATAAGCTTTTAGATACCACTGTTTTTTTCCAGCACCGACGGACATCGATCATTCTGATAGAGAAAGTCGACATGATGGCCGAAACCTTGATAATACATTGATAAATGTATTATTAGTTTGTACTTTACTTCTAAAAAAAATGTTTAAAAAAAAATCCTACCTAACTACCCTAAACTTCAAAGAGGTGTAATCGGAACCACAACATTTTTTTCATTTGGCCTTACTTCCAGCAAAATCCCCATGACAATGGTTGTTGTTATACCCAAACCTTGTGAGTTAAGAACTCCATCCGTATTTTGGCACTACCTGGTGGGACATGTTTGCCACATCATGTAGGAATTCACCAAGTGGGGACATGCAGATCTGATTTGGTAATTTCATAGGGTGGGCATGGGAATTTAAACCAATCAGAACAGCTGTAGCATTTGTTGCAAAAAATAAACTACCGAAATCTGATACTATCAAATACAAGAATACATGTTGCAGCATAAAGCAAAACAGGAGCCACACATCACAGGTACACAGAGCCCCGGACTGCAGATGGTTAATACTGCTGCAGTAAACCAATATATACACAAATACACTGATGTTCCCTCCCATGGCTCTGTTAATATGACAACTACTGATCCATTCAGAAGATCAAGATGGGTTACATCATAAAATTACAAACTAAAACAGTGGCATTGCTATGGTATTAGATCATAAATTTTACTAAAGCTGATTTGTCAAGTATTTAACAGAATGTCAATAACATGTTAGCACCAAAACATAAGGATGAGGTATTCTGATTGTTTCCAAGCCTTCAGAGAATGGTTAGGGTTAGGATTAGTTGTATGGAAATTAGCAGTATACATACTCTCTCCTCCTTCTGTGGAACAGGATAAAGATGCATAAAATACTCAGATCACACACATAACTGGGAATATTAGACATTAAACACCAATGACATGGGAGAATAATCATACAATGTTACACAGGGTCATGCTATGGTAGTTTAGGGATGATGGCTAACATTCATGCAGATACATTCAAATAAATACATTGATATTGCCACAAGAATATGAAATCAAAACTACTGCTAGAAGCATGCAAATAAATGAATTAAAGGGTAACAGTTCAAGATCCTAATCTAGAGGGCACACAAACATACATATAATCCAAAAAAATCTAAGGATCATGAATTCTTTCATAAAACATTCTTGATATTATGTATTCAGTCTTCTCAACAAAAAAGATGTCCCCCAAATATTCATGATCCTTACCTTCTATTGGTCAGTATATATCAGTGTAAAGGCTGTGCCTTGAAAACAGAGCCCTAGGTCAATTTCTGTAGGGTTTGTGGGCAAATAATAGTTTGTACGCCTGGTATTCAATGACACCTGAAGGAATTGTGAAATTCAAGGGAAAAGAAGAAAATCGTCATGGCACAGCCTTAGCAATCAAGGACACATGCCCTATGCTTCAAGGTTGCAATTTGGGACATACCATGAAGGTCGGTGAGTACAACCCGGCCGTCGTAGGAACCAGAGAGAAGGTAGTAGGCATTCATCGAGAAGCGAGCTGATCGGCACTCGCTGGTGTGTGGCTTGAATGTCTGGACCACCTTGGCCCCCCGGATATCGTACAGCATGGCCACTCCGTCCTCATGTCCAGACGCCAGAAGGCGGCCTGACGGGTCCACGCACACTGAGGCGAACGGACTGCCTGTAACAGAACACACATATCTCTAGTTCTGCTGATTAACATGCTGTCAGCACAGTTTGATATATATCATGGTGGCTTGTATGTAATTGAGAAGACCAGGCAAACCAGTGACAGAAAATACTTTCAACGATCATATAATAAGTTACAATACATAACAACCAAGTCACAGAGACTTCATATCTAATTAACTATTCTCTGAAGACCATGAACCCCTTTCCAAATGTGAACCCCCGATAGGAACCCACCTCCCTTGCTGTCTGTAGATGCATGCCTCTTCCCTTCCAACCCACTCTACATGCATGAATCATCCCTACCTGTCTGGCTGGCTACTACAGTAATGGCAGTGGACGCTCGCAGGTCCCAGAAGCGAGCCGTCTTGTCTTGCGATCCACTCACGAACATACATCCTCCCCAGGTGTGCAGAGCGTACACATGACCTGAACAATACAACAGGTGTATTAGTAACTGTGACTCTCCAGGTGTGCAGAGCGTACTCATGACCTCAACAATACAACAGGTGTAATAGTGGCTGTGACTCCCCAGGTGTGCAGAGCGTACACATGACCTGAACAATACAACAGGTGTATTAGTAACTGTGACTCTCCAGGTGTGCAGAGCGTACACATGACCTCAACAATACAACAGGTGTATTAGTGACTGTGACTCTCCAGGTGTGCAGAGCGTACACATGACCTCAACAATACAACAGGTGTATTAGTAACTGTGACTCTCCAGGTGTGCAGAGTGTACACATGACCTCAACAATACAACAGGTGTATTAGTAACTGTGACTCTCCAGGTGTGCAGAGCGTGACATCCTCAACAATACAACAGGTGTATTAGTAACTGTGACTCTCCAGGTGTGCAGAGCGCATTACACATGACCTGAACAATACAACAGGTGTATTAGTAACTGTGACTCTCCAGGTGTGCAGAGCGCATTACATGACCTCAACAATACAACAGGTGTATTAGTGACTGTGACTCTCCAGGTGTGCAGAGCGCATACATGACCTCAACACATAGTGACTGACCTGTGCAGAGCCGCACAACAATACAACAGGTGTATTAGTAACTGTGACTCTCCAGGTGTGCAGAGCGCATTAACATGACCTCAACAATACAACAGGTGTATTAGTAACTGTGACTCCCCAGGTGGCAGAGCAGAGCCTCAACAATACAACAGGTGTATTAGTAACTGTGACTCTCCAGGTGAGAGTGTACAATGACCTGAACAATACAACAGGTGTATTAGTAACTGTGACTCTCCAGGTGTGCAGAGCGTACATTATGACCTGAACAATACAACAGGTGTATTAGTAACTGTGACTCCCAGGTGTGCAGAGTGTACACATGACCTCAACAATACAACAGGTGTATTAGTAACTGTGACTCTCCAGGTGTGCAGAGTGTACACATGACCTCAACAATACAACAGGTGTATTAGTAACTGTGACTCTCCAGGTGTGCAGAGCGTACACATGACCTCAACAATACAACAGGTGTATTAGTAACTGTGACTCTCCAGGTGTGTAGAGCGTACACATGACCTCAACAATACAACAGGTGTATTAGTGACTGTGACTCTCCAGGTGTGCAGAGCCAAGTTGTTTTCCACGGTTATGGTAGTCTTATCAACTTAACTAACAAAACTCTTTAAAACTAAATTTTCATGAAAATCACAAAACAAAATAAAGGACTTCAGATAGGACTTATTGCCATACAATATTTTTAAAGGATATAAGTTAGATTCTCCTGTGTTTAGATTCATTTGAACTAAGACCTGAAATCGTCTGTAATGACAAAAAACCGTCATGTAAGATGGTCCCACAATCAAATATAAACATTCTTAACATTAAACAGATTACAGAAACAGAATAATTATGTTTTACTTCTGTTCTTATTGAGATACTTTCTGAGTAGGACATAACCCACCTGTGTGTCCTGTCATGGCTCTGATTGGTGTCCCAGTCTCGCAGTCAGACGCGTAGATCTTACAGTCACCTGCACCGCCACTGATGAGCAGCGACGATCTGTTGGTTGTGTCCTGCATGAACACCACATCGCGAATGGTGCCGTCATGGAAAGATAACTCCAGTTCTGCACCTGAAACCCAGTACAGTGTTACACCTTATGCCGACTGAAGTAGGCAGGGGAGAGAACTCAGTATGTGGATGTTGTTTATGCCCAGTCAGCAATATCACTGCTGGGTCTCAGAGTAATTGAGTGAGTTGGTTTTACATCTGTTTGGAACAGTATCTCGGTCATATCATCTTTATGTCAGTGATATGCCTGAAATGATGCATGTCTTCTTTGTTGTTAAATGCTGCTCTGCAATATTGCTGCCATCAGAAATGTTACCATTTTGGAGAAACATACGTAGATATGGTGCTGACAAACTGGAATCACAATCACAGCAAATCTTTGGTTCAAACCCATGATTGAAGGTTTTGTCATGCCAAAAGGATTCATGAATCATACTGCCTGAGATGACAGTGCCACTTAATCAAACGTACAGCCACAGAAAATGAACAGAATTGTTCATCATAATAACAACTTAAACCAAGTAAAATCAAAGCTGTCTGTTAGCGATACAAAGCAGTCTGTAAGTGATACCAAATCTATCTGTGAGTGATACAAAGGCTGTCTGTGAGTGATACAAAGCAGTCTGTAAGTGAAACCAAATCTATCTGTGAGTGATACAAAGGCTGTCTGTGAGTGATACAAAGCTGTCTGTTAGTGATATCAAGGTTGTCTTTGAGTGATACCAAGGTTGTCTTTGAGTGATACCAAGGTTGTCTTTGAGTGATATCAAGGTTGTCTTTGAGTGATACCAAGGTTGTCTTTGAGTGATACCAAGGTTGTCTCTGAGTGATATCAAGGTTGTCTCTGAGGAAGGATACAAGGTTGTCTCTGAGTGATATCAAGGTTGTCTCTGAGTGATACCAAGGTTGTCTCTGAGTGATACCAAGGTTGTCTTTGAGTGATACCAAGGTTGTCTTTGAGTGATACCAAGGTTGTCTCTGAGTGATACCAAGGTTGTCTTTGAGTGATATCAAGGCTAACTGTAAGAAATCACAACCACATACTAATGATTTCAGTGCAGCCTGTACATAACAGACATCAGGATTGATATATGGTAACCACTTGAGTCTTCTGGCTTCAGTTACCATCCAGTCTCACTGTGTCTTCAGTCAAGAATGGGCATATGAAAGGACACAGACGCTTCACTACCTCCTGTGGCAGCAATCCTTACCATCTGGCTTAGCCGCATCTGTGTTGAAGCGCATCAGCTTGATGGTCTTGTCGTTGGAGCCGGTGGCGATGAGGTCCCCGAGGGGGTTCCAGGCCCGCGCAGTAGATGGAGCCTTTGTGATGCCTAATGCTCTTGTGGACCACGACTGCTTCCTGGGTCACGTGATCCTCTCTACAACAAGACACTGCTATTTAGTGTGATCACACAAAACACATTGTTTCATCATAAAAAAATACTCTCTTAACATTCACAAGAAAACTAACTGTGCATGTTGTCTTCTTAAAGAGTCCCTTCTAATGATCTCATCTTCCTAAGAATCCCAGCTATTGATCTAATCTTCCTAAGAATCCAAGCCATAGACAGCTAGAGACATAAACACACATTGTCAAATACTACAAGCATGGAGGGTAACACACACAAGGGTTATTATGCAGCAATCTCACAGTAGGACCACTCTAGAGACCTTTTCTGCCACAGTGACTCTCTACATCTGTAAAGCATAGCTACCTAAGTGCCAATGTGAAAGAAACCCCATATAATACCCTCGAAGAGCACGAACCTATGTCTCGAACAAGGTTCACTGAACAATTTCTACGCACACCTACCTAAGGGCTGAGGTGTCTGGGAAACGACAGATACGGAGCATCTTGGAGTTGGAGCCGACAACGTAGAAGTCTCCATTAGGATGGAAGGCCACGTCCTGATAGCCTGCTGATCCTCGAGGGTGGACACCGCCACGAAGCGCGGCCGATTCCCGCCCTGCAATACAAGACACACTATACAGACAGTGTTTGTTTCTATGTTAATGCCACATTCAGCACTATTCGATTATAGTAGTAGCATACAGAGTCAGGCCAAATGAACGAGTGACTGATCATATGAGCACCAGCTGTCACTCATGGAGTTACCTGTATTACAGGTTGCTAGGGACCTCCTCTGACCAGGAATACAGGTGTCGTATAGTACAAGTAGCCACATGGCCAATCCCATAAGATAACATTTTTGTTGGGATCCCAGGATTTTATTCATAAATGCCTTTCATGCACTTTTAAGATATATATGCTATATCTCTAAAAGCAGGAACAGGGTAAATGTTACTTTTCTGGACCTGTCAAGCATGTTCAGTGAACAATTTCTTACAATGAAAATTATTTCATTGAACTAAAATATTCACTGTACTGTGAGACATCACATAAATTAGAATAATTATCAGTCAGTGCAGTATACACAAGTTCAAGGCTGTTACCACCAGATCTTCCTTTGCTCAGTAGACTGAAATATGTTCAGCACAAACTGGGACAAGTACAGCTTACTGAGATTAATGCCAATAACAGAATTACAAGTTTGACCCTTCCATTCAACCATGAACTACCCTTACAGTTTTTCTCACCATGAGAAATGTGTTTGTTGTTGCATGTAAGAAAATAAACAAGAATGAAAACACAGCAGTCTTACAGGCCACAAAGGGGAGTTGCCCACGCACTCGGGCAGCCGCAGTCTCCGTTTGCCAGACATCATCCATACATCGCGCATTTTCCCCTCAGACATCTTTAACAGTGAGGAAGCACTTGCTACTTGTTTGGGATTCTATCTCATTTACTGTCAACAGTGGGGACAACAGCCATATCCTGCTCTCATGTCAGTTCAGACAGGTACGCAGATCAAACCCAGAATGTGTCCAAGTTATAGAGTACTATTTTAATACGACTCCATAAATCATGCCTAGTTGCTAGGCAACATCACCATTATCCATCTAAATATACCCAGTATCATGCCCACTTGTAAAGAAAATATTCCCCAAGCATATTATGTCCAGTTGTTAGGTAAACATCCTCAAACCACATCCAATCATGTCCAGTGGTTAGGTAAACATCCTCAAACCACATCCAATCATGTCCAGTTGTTAGGTAAACATCCTCAAACCACTTCCAATCATGTCAAGTTGTTAGGTAAACATCCAAAATCACATCCAATCATGTCCAGGTGTTAGGTAGACATCCCCAGTTGTTAGGAAAACATTGCTGTGCATATGGTTGTTTGAGAAACATCACCAAACATTTCTAATCATTTCCAGTTGTTTGACAAACACAGCTGAAATCTACAGATGTGGTTTGCAGTTTACCAGCCACTGGTTACACAGCACTAACAGTTTCAAAGTGAAGTCAGCTCAAACTAATCACATATATTCATCCAAGAAGAGTTGTACCAGCTCCAGTGTTATAAGCCCAGTTCATACCGCTATGAAAGCTAACAATGTCCACAAACTGTTTCATCCCTAGAGGCATGGTACACGTCCTACCATGACATCTAGGATCAAACTAAGCTGGATGGCGTGTCAGTAATCTCTCACTTCAATCCGTGAGGTGGTTAGTGTAGGAACCGCACCATATGAAAGAGTTGGAACTGCGCCATATGTGACGGCTGGCATCGAGCTGTACGTTATTGCTGGGACTGAGCTGTACGACACTGTTGGAATGGAGCTGTATGTAAGTGCCGGCACTGAGCTGTAGGTCAGGGCTGGGACGGAGCTGTACCTCACGGCTGGGATCGACGTGTAGGACACTGTCGGGACAGAGCTGTAGGCCAGGGCAGGGATAGAGCTGTAGGAAAGTGTTGGGACTGCCCCATAAGTCAGTGCAGGGACTGAGCTATATCCTATGGTTGCAAGGGAGCTGTACGGCATTGCTGAACGAGTCTGGCTGGCTATCAACTTGAAACCCACACAACTAAGCTTGTACCGTCACAACTTGACACCAACAGGTTTACCCAACTTAATGTCACAAGGACAGCCTTCTGGTAGTACCACTGTAGGAAAGTGAACGTTGAAGAACTTCCGTTGTTACCAAATAAGTCAAATTTGACGTCAATCTAAAGAACACAAAGACAATTTGCCTGATGTCTATACACACATCCACGAACCAGATCAAGTAAACAGTGCTGTCGTGGCTACCAATAACCTACAGTCTGAGATGAATAGCCACAACTACTGGGTCAGTTCCAAACTCTCATAAACACTTTTCATATAAACCTCTTATACACTTGCATGAATACCCTCCTGGATCATACATTCAGGTAACACTCCCCTCAATACAGGTACACGGGTCTGCCTGTAGACAAGGAACTTTGGCTAAGGACTGAATCTGTCTAATCAATAGGCTCCTTTGTGGGCCTTTTTGCCTTCGTGTTGTGTACAGCAATACCACACAGCTACCCTGAATAGAATCACTTCAATGACCTCTCTGTCAATGGCAGTTGTATTGTGTATGATATTTATATGATAAACACAACAGGGAGATATGTGCAATATCGGCCTAGGGTACAATAACTGCACTGTATGACATGTATGACATATAGCTTTCTATTGCTTTCAGTAAAGTAAACAACTAACAAAAAAACAGACTGAATCTGACACGTACCTCATTTCCTCCAATACATGCCAAACACAAACAGGCGCTGGAGTGAGTCAGGTGGGTTTTGCACCACTTTTAGATTCATGATCATAGAGTTTTCACCTGGATGGGTGAGTGAGTGAGTAGGGTTTTATGCAGCTTCTAGCAATGTTTACTGTCATAGTGGGCACTAAGGCTGTAACGATTCACTCGCATATTCGGTGAATCGAACCGTAGCCCTTCATGAATTCAATTCGTTATTCGTGATCACCAGAACCGAATAATAACGAATATTTACGATTTTTTAAGGGAGCATGTTTTACTTGAACCCTTGTATACTTTTGGAAAGTGAGATATGCAAGGATTCAATATGTACTAGCATTGCAGTAGCTCAAGTGATGTTAGTCTTCCAAGGCCACACATGGTACTGTCGACTATAACTATTACATACCAAATTTGAGTGTCATGAGATCACTGGTTAATGCTGTGACAAATCAAAACTGTCAACATGGGCGTTCCATATTATTGTACATCAATCACTGAACTACAATATTGTATTCGTGAATAATTATTCGTATTGTTACCCAATATTCATGATACGTATCATATTCGCCACATAGTGTATTTGTTGCAGCCCTAGTGGGCACACCAGAAAATGGCTTCACACTGGACGTTCATGATGGGAATCAAACCCCAGGTTTAGTTGTGCCAAGCAAACGCCATAACCACTTGGCTACCCCATCATGTTTGTCACAGCCTAATTCAAAGAGTAGAATATGGATAGAAAATCAAATTATGAAAAACAGTTTTCTAAATCAGGTCTGTCCTACATGCCAGATCTACACAAGCAGTACATAAATTACTCCCATTGTTCATGGTGCTGGGTCATTACCTCAGCATAATGTCAGATAAGTACAATTACAATGGGTGATGTCAGTGTGAGAGGAAATATGGTAACTGTATTGTGACACACAACCTCTGACACATAACTGAGGTGTGACTAGCATAGCACACAGCTCTGTTCAGAGGTCATTTAAAGGTTCTCATGGGATGCTGTCATTGTTAATTGGTCTGTTCCGTCACCATCACCTACTGGCTGTTGGAGGAGAGAGGATTACACAGAACTAAAGGAGTTCTTGTGACCGCTTTCATCTGCTTTTCAATGTGACACTCGATTACATGACAGTTGCATGTAAATAACATGTCTCCTCCAGACAACCATTGGCTGATCATTGATCCAAGCTGTCAGGAGAATGACACAATGGTGCACCTTAGATAACAAGAATAGGTTGTGACAGCGAAGTATAGCCCTTCAAACATTGTACAGATGTCCTGGAATGGGACACCATAACTTGTACTGAGGGTGGGAGAGTAGGGATGTTATTTCACAATCAGCCATAACCACTACTGGGTCACAGTGACACACAACCATGGTTACACTGACACATGCTCAACTATTACTACATAATCTCTGTGTGTTGATATGTTTCTTTTCTATGTTTCCACTCATGTGCAGTGAACCTGACAGGACAATATATGAAAGTACAACTACTTCAATATGCAGTGGCGGATCCAGAGGGGGGATTCAGGGGGTTCGAACCCCTTTAAACACACACACACCCCACTCCCCCTTGAAAATTTCTGGATCCGCCTATGATTTGTCCTGACAAAAATGCATCAATTTATTTCTGCAAATATCATCCCTTTCATCCTCACATTAGTTTCGCTATTTACAGTGTTAACATCACTGATTATCATGTTTACTCACAAAATAAACAACATCACATACATGATGTTTGACTGCAGATTGATTTTTTTACATAACTGCTACCGTATACAGGCATTAGGACTTTAAACAAAAATGAGTGCCATCTACATTTTGTGGGATATTAAATAGTCTCGACAGCTGATTCCATAGGCATCACAAAAATCAGAATACACAGACATATCTACCACATTTGCAATGTCCATAGCAGATTACCAGATTGCCACCATACCATTATCATAAGTATGACATTTCATAATCATTTAAAATATCACTTAGGTCAAGTACAGCGTTAAATCTGCATGTGTATAAAGCAACTTAAAGTGTTTTCCCTCCATCTTGACAGGAAGAATCTGGAACCAAATGCATGTGCAGAATGTCGTTAGCCATGCTTAGACATTCGAGCAGATCCCACTCATATGTAAACCAGCCACATCTTCGTCATATTCCTGGAAAGTCCCTCAGGTCTATCTGGCCATTATTGCTAAATTCTAGCAGAAGAAATATTGACATTGTCCTGAATCTCTGAAAGATTTTCGCCTCAGTTATCAGCAGCAGACAGCTGGACAAGCAACAGTATGTAGGGAAATCAGAAAATAATGGTGTTGGTGGCTGTGAACCCTGCATCAGGGGTTGAAAAATCCAAGGGTTGCAGATCAGTCCATCATAAACCGAAACCAAGCAATTTATTCACAAAAATGTTCAAATGCCCTGCTTATTTCCTTCACTGGTGCTACAAAAAAGTCAGGACTATGTCTTACCAATAACATCACACTTAAATGAGTGAGTGAGTGAGTTTGATTTTACGCAATTTTTAGCAATATTGCAGCAATATCACGACGGGGTCACACTTAAATGAAGCTTACACATCATTAAACCAAATGTTGATATAAAAAGCTGTTTAAATTGGGTAGAGGTAACAGCTGGTGACTTAAAATTTAAAGTCACATCGGCAATATTTCAGCCATATCGTGACTATGAGGGTAGAGGTAACGAAACTGACCAATCAGAAGTTGTGTCAGTACAACATGGTGAAACAGCCACATCAACATTCTGCCCTTATCAGCTGTTCTGCATCGTAAAACATCAGAACAAAAGAGTCTGAATGAAAATCCAATCCTTGCAAATGGAAAAGTATGATATCTTTCCAGGTCATTGTATTCCAAATATACTGTCTTGACAGAATTATGTAAACAATGAAATGAGTGGGATCAGACAACTTAGATTCCAGACGTGTACATGTTTTAACAAATGGTCTGGGACAAGACCCAGGTCTTTGACCTTATGCCCATGGTCAAAACACTCTATATTGCCATTCTAGTCTGTACAATACTCCTACCTACCGACTGCCGCCATATAGCTGGAATATTGCTGAGTGCAGCGTCAAACTAAACTCATTCACTCACTCACTGATTGGTCAGTCTCACTCTGTGGCATAATAAAGTACAATATACAGTTGTATTGCTCGGTCCTGTGCTGTGTATACCCGGTACACCCAACATGGAGCTGATTCAACCTGTAGACCATGTGGTACAGCAGTGACCCCAAGCATTTGAATCTGTAGCATATACACCTAAGTACACTTGGTAGGAGTATTGTGAGTTAGTGAGTGAGTTTTACGCCGCACTCAGCAATATTCCAGCTATATGGCGGCGATCTGTAAATATTCGAGTCTGGACCAGACAATCCAGTGATCAACAACATGAGCATCGATTTACGCAAATGGGAACCCATGACATGTGTCAACCAAGTAAGAGAACCTGACCACCCGATCCCATTAGTTGCATCTTATGACAAGCATGGGTTACTGAAGATCACGGGTACTGACCAATCAGAGAACAGAAACCAAACAATAGCTCTAAAATACTCTGCATGGATTTAATGGTCCTTTTATTTATACTGGCTAAAAGTGTCAGGTTTTCATTTTGACATGACACTTCCTTAAATATTTTTTCCTAACCTAATATGACACTGTATCGGGCAACTAAAGACACCATAATTAATAATATGTCACAATTAAGGACTGAGTGTATATTTTTCAGTTCTTTGAGGTATGAATCAATAATACATAGTGAAATGTAGTGGAAACCTTTCAGCATAATAAACTTGTTATGGTGTCTTCAGTTGCCATACACTATGTATAGTAGGATTAATATGTTAGCAAAAAGATATTGGACATGACTGATGCCTCCCTAAATAGTTTTGCTAACCTAAGACACCATAATTAATAATATGTCACAATTAAGAACTGACTGTATTTTTAGTTCTTTGAGGAATGAATAAAACAAAACCAGGGCTCCAGATAAGGGCCGTATCGGCGTATGTACGGATAAAAAATATGCGCGATACGGTAGGAAATAATTTGGAAAACGTGAGCAGATACGCACGACTACAATGTTCCTAGAATCATTTACAGGCGTATGTATCTGAAAAAGTATTGTTTTATTGTTTATTGACCTGTTTACACAAGACTAGCAACGTTGTGGTGCATATATGACACGAAACACAAGACTACTGATATGCCATTAAATTCCATTCAGTACTCTTAAGATTTTCCAGTTCTCCTATATTGAAAAAATAAGGAGTACGTACTCCTGATGTTGAAAAATTATCTGGAGCCCTGCAAAACTGATGTGTAAACCTTTGTACAACGTTTACAATCAAAACAGTCAATAATTAATTGTGACATATACTGCAGCATAGTGATATCAGGCAGCTGTTGTATTGCAACAGTGATACAAGTCTTGTAACACACATTCGTATTACATACACGTCGGAACATAACAATGGTTTCACCATATGCATGTAATTCTACTCAGTGAAAGAAATGTCTCTTAAACTAGTTTACAGGAACATATGTATTCATATGTTGTCTGTTTGTATTCAAAATGGGCATTGTTCACGAATAGCGTCTGACCCTCTGACAAATCCGGCAGATCTGCCAACGGTCCGATAGAAGTCTACAACCCGCCGGCCCCAGTGTCAGACTGTATATTTCACAATGACTTTCACTGAAGTTGTTATATGTGTCATGTGACACTTGTTTGCTGTTTATAAATCTTATTATGTTTGTTAAAAATTCCAATGCCAGTTATAAGAAATGTTAAATATGAAATGTGTGTTTTAATTTTATTCTATGGGTCCTGTGAATTTTGAATGGGTCAGACAGACATCTGAAACTTACAGGACCCAATGTCCTGTTACTTTGAAACACCATTCATGAACACTGAATGGGACAGCAAACTGACATTCACCAACTAACTGAGAAAGTGATACCAAACAAGTATATTGCCAGTAACCAGTGCTTTTATACAGCCACAGTTCTTACAGACTGCTTGCTCAACTCAAGCACATGGCCAGAATGATGTCGTACACAGATGACACTCTAATCATGTCATGCTGGGAGGGAAAACAAAGAGTGTTTGGAAAAGATAGAAGCCAACTCCTTACCCTGGGTGTGGTAGACTGAGGGGGTCCAGTCAGCTGCGACATCTGTAGATTGCCGCTCTTCTGGTCATCTGCAATACAAACATGGATGCCATGACACCTCAGTTCCTCAGAGGTTAATTCAACAACACTGTCACTACATTTAACACAAGAAATAATATACCACAAAGGCAGAGGTACCACATAGCAAGATTAAAAGTACGAAGAGTCATCAAATTATGAAAAGTTTACATGACTTCAAAGAAAAGCAACAAAAGAAAGGACAACAATATACATGTAAATGTTAAATTACAAATTATGGTTAAAAAATCTACACTCACAGCTTATTGGACAAGAAAACTACCTCAATGAGCATAACGTGACAAAGAGAGTACCAGTACAGAAAAGAGCATGGAAACAGTAGACCTTGATTCAAGCATATGTATTGTTACTAAAGAAAAAAAAAAACAAGTTATGCATAATGACTAATTTAGGGGACGATTTTCTAGTGAAGACTGAGCCCACAAACTTATAAGAATATCCCCACACAGTGACGATCCATAACACGATTTGTTCAGTTAGATAACATTATAGTTAAGTGGAACACGAGTGTTGATTCAGAGGAACAGGCACAAGTGACAGGGCAAGGTACATGAACTGAAACAGTTAAACAAAACAAAAAGTATTGGCAAGATCATCACACACCAATACAGTCAGGCAAATCAAAGATTCAAACTCATGACCAGCAAATCCTGGCGTCTAAGGAAGACAACTGTGTACAAAGCTGTGGCACCTTTGACCACTGTGCCATCTGTTCCCCAGGATGGACTGAAATGTGTAATGGAGAGACACAAACCGTCATAATGTGAGACGAGATGGGACATAGTCTGTGTGATCCATGCCCTCGTAACATCTCGTGGTTCCTGTTCCCAGGAGATTGCATGTGCTGGCAAAGTCCACAAGAACACAAGATGAACAAGCACAACCAGTCACCAGTCTGAGCTTTGTGAGGCATAAACAAGGAAAGCAGAGTCAAGGCAAAGGTAACTTTTGAGAGAACTTCCAAGTTATAAACCTAAAAGACTGACTGACTGAGTTTAGTTTTACGCCGCTTTTAGCAATATTCCAGCAATATCACGGCGGGGGGACACCAGAAATGGGCTTCACACATTGTACCCATGTGGGGAATCGAACCCGGGTCATCGGCGTGACGAGCGAACGCTTTAACCACTAGGCTACCCCACCGCCCCTATAAACCTAATAGAAAATTCAGCAGAGCAATGTTTCTTCCTAATGATGATTAGGATGAAACTGACCAAGAATAACTGGACATGCAGTTACCATTAGAACCAGCATGATAGCTGATCATTCAGTATGTAAATACCACATGCTAATGTTGAAACATGATGCATTGGTTAAAGAGTACCAGAGAGCAATTAGAACAGGAGCCCAACACACTGTCATGTGTCAAAGAAGAAAGCAGTGCTGCATGACACTGTCATGTGTCAAGGGAAGAAAACAGTGCTGCATGACATTGTCATGAGTCAAGAGAAGAGAGCAATGAGCATGACACTCTCATTACAACAATGTGCTGTATGCAAGGAATAAAACCATTTTCATTGTCTTTGCAAAAATGAAAGTAATTCAAAGAAAAATCTGTTATCAGTAACCATGACAATAGCAGCCACAGAATGTTAGTTCTCTCATATTAGTCATGCATGGAGCACTTATGCTCACAACATGTCTTGCAAAGGTCATGATGATAATCTGACAAAAACATATCAGTAATGTGGTATGAGGATTTGTGATCTGGTTAGTTCTGTCAGTAGTGTTGGCGAGTTAGCATCATGTCATTTCATTATTTGCCATGAAAGTTTTGTGGCATATGTGGCATGTCAAAATAATCACAAGTCATGTCAGTATGTGAAGCAGTATCTTGTCACATTAGCATTGTGTCATGTCGAATTTTTGTCATGCCATGTTAGGGTCATGCCATGTTAGTGTCATGCCATGTTAGTGTCATGCCATGTTAGTGTCAAGTGAATGTCATGTCATGTTAGTGTCATGCCATGTTAGTTTCATGTCATGTTAGTGTCAAGTGAATGTCATGTCATGTTAGTGTCATGCCATGTTAGTTTCATGTCATGGTTGTGTCATGTCATGTTAGTGTCATGTCATGTCATGTGAATGTCATGTCATGTTAGTGCCATGTGAATGTCATGTCATGTTAGTGTCATGTGAATGTCATGTCATGTCATGTCATGTTAGTGTTATGTCATGTCATGTCATGTTAGTGTCATGCCATGTTAGTTTCATGTCATGGTTGTGTCATGTCATGTGAATGTCATGTCATGTCATGTAAGTGTCATGTGAATGTCATGTCATGTCATGTTAGTGTTATGTCATGTTTGTGTCGTGCATGTTAGTGTCATGACATGTTAGTGTCATGTTATGCTTGTAACATTTGTTGATCTATAAAGAGTCAACCTGTATTATTGTCATGGTGACCATGCTAGTCATATTAATGTCATGAACTGTGTCATGAGAGTGTCATGTCACATGGCTTACAGTGTTAGAATCACAGCAATCAACTCAAGCCGCATGTCTCAGCAAACCAGCACACCTCTACATATATACATGATGGGGTGATTATACCTTTTACCACTGGGGCAGGCTTGGTGGTTTTAGACTGGGCACCTGTCTTACTGGCAGTGACCTTGGCCTTGTTCCGAGCTGGTGAATAGGTATTGGAGATCAAACACAGAACCAACAAACAGCTCAGAGAAATGCTGACATAGACAAAAATTATATAAACAGTGTTCAACAGATCATGCAGTCCTTTGAGGTGTGCTCCTAAAGTATAGAAATGTATGGCTATTATTTTCTTACACATGCAACTTAACAAGGAATCTATATGAAGTTTATGGAATGATATCTAATTTGAAAAATGAACTTCCAAACAATTTTGTTTATCATTGCTTAAAACTTGTTTATCATTGTCATTGGTGATAAAGGATAATGAAAACAGCTCTTCAGATATTTACAAAATATTCTGGATGTTGCATAAAATCTTTCAGAGAGATGGTAATCAATGTTTTTTTCTGTGTGCAGAGAGAAACTACACAGATCTATTACAACACGTGGCGCCACCTGTAACAGGAACTTCAGCGTTCACAGTCATAAATTTGGTTCTTGAAATATGTAATCTATATATAGCTAGTTGTATGAGGATAGCACCAAGTGTATGAAAGAACATTTTGCAGGCCCCCTGTCAGTGTGAAGGAATATTACACTAAAAATACAGTAAGAGTTGTGTACTGAAGGCAGGCAGTAGGAACCGAAGACAGACACCGAGAGCAACTGCTGTACGTAGAACGCAAAGTTACCCATGCAGGGCTCGATTTAAGAGATGTTAACCTACTTGCACCAGGTGCAACCTGAGATAAAAACCTAGTTGCACCAGCCAAATTCCAGTTGCACTGATATTATTGCAATATGTAAAGAAAGAAATAAGCTATTGAATTATTCAAAGGTTAGAAGAAAAGTGAGCTGACATAATTATGCCTATTATGTTAGATTTATTGTCGATTAATTTCTCAAAAAATAACTTGCAAATGGTACAAGACTAATAACTAAGTTGCACTTTGTAATATTGGGTTGCAGCAGTGCAAGTAACAAAGCACTAAATCAAGCCCCGCCATGCATACTGACAAATCAAGAGGATGGAACAACACATGCAAATGAGGGATAGACCTGTCACAAAGGAAATCAAAATGACCAATCAGGATAAATAGAGCAAGTACTGATGAAAATCAAACAGACCATTCATGGGCAAGCAGCTTTATAAGGGAATTCAGTCTGACCAAACATAAATAAAGCAGATATTAGGAAAATCAAAATTGACCAATCATGGTTAATCAGGCACTACAGAAAATCAGACCAATCAGAATAAAGAAAGCAGGTATTTATGAACATCAAAATAACCAATCAGGGACATGCAGGTAATATAGAAGATCAGACTAACCAATCGTGGTGAACAAAGCAGGTATTTAAGGACATAAACTGGCACATGATGGAAAAGCAGGAAATAAAGGAGTGAGTGAGTTGGGTTTTACGCCGCTTTTAGCAATATTCCAGCAATATCACGGCGGGGGACAACATAAATGGGCTTCACACATTGTGCCCATGTGGGGATTCGAACCCGGGTCGTCAGCGTGACGAGCCAACGCTTTAACCATTAGGCTACCCCACCACTCCTAGGAAATAAAGGAAGTCAAACTGATCAACTCAGGACAAGTAAAACGGATCAACTCAGGACAAGTAAAACTGATCAACTCAGGACAAGTAATATATAACAGACACAAAACTCTTTCCATAATGGTCAGAAATTGCCGCTACATGCAGAGTCCACTCCACAAATCTGACCCTATGCATGAGCCTATGAATCACTATCAAATAGTGATTATACTGGGCACTTGTGAAAAGAAGAGTGTTTCTTCCTCACCAGGGTACCCAGCATCAGTTCATCAAAAAGCTAACTGACTAATCAGAGAATAGAAGCTATTATTGGGAGTAAAACTCCAATCACAAATTGGGGAAAAACTGATCAAGCTAAATACTTCAGATGATACCAAGAAACATACTACATTGAGCACAAAGAAAGACAAGGTGAGATATACACTAGAAGGTAGATGGGTGAACTGTGTGGGAGGTGATGATCGGATGCCAACGGAGGCTGAACACGGAGGGAGATATTTGATAAGGGATCTGATTGGCAACCACTACAACAGCTGTTCGTATCTCCAGCCTGTGGGAGATACGAAATATATATCCTAGATCATCTGAGTCAAGTCATCCTACTCAAATAACTATATACAGCATCTAAAAACTACACCAGTCTCAAACCAAATTGAGCATCTGGGTCTCACAAGAGCATGATGATGTAGCTTGAAGATAAAAAAGTAACGTATCTTTTACCCCAAACTTTAGTGTGATTCATCTAAAGTATCTTACTAGCCCAGGAAAATTGCAAAACATACAAAGATATATCAACCGGCATGAAACAGTTTCTGAACACAGTACATCTGTCTGTTTCTTTCTGTTACCATAGTTATGCCATCTAGGAAAGACACATCTACAGGTGAAATTCTGCAAAACTCCAAAGAGATGTAAGGTTTTGTTGATGTCAGTTTTCTCCACAATTATTTTGTTCAGTCTGTTTGTCATATTAGTCTGTGAAAACCTTGAACAGGAAGAATCTCAATAATTACAAAAACGTCCTCAGGTTCCCTGACGAATCACATGATGGTCATGTGAACAACACAAAAATAGTTGACCCACATGGTCAGTTGAACAATAGCTAACATTGGGTCAAATACCACAAAACAAAACTGACTGACTGACTGAGTTTAGTTTTATGCCGCTTTTAGCAATATTCCAGCAATATCACAGCGGGGGACACCAGAAATGGGCTTCACACATTGGGCCCATGTGGGAATCGAACCCGGTTTTCGGCGTGACGAGCCAACGCTTTAACCACTAGGCTACCCCATCGCTCCACACAAAACCAAACAAGAATGTTGGTTATTTCAAAATGAAGTCTGGATTCAGAACATTGGCCATCTGAAGAAAGGCTGAAAGATCCAGAGGCCAAAGAACAGCAAAAGTTTAAACTTCTGCAGATATCGTATCTTGGACCTGACAGACATACAGTTATTGGGACGAGACATTAAATACCATGCTTTAGTAAACAGCAATGAACAACAGCGAACACACGCTTCTCTGGCGAAACTTGAAAGTTAGTTGGGTCAGTTGACCCCGTCTTCTCATGCGGACAGACATGGAGCAATCTATACCTGGTAAAGGCAATGTCTTGGACCTTGACCCATCTGGTACACTCAGACTTCGTGCGTCTCCTTTGGTCGGAGAAGTTGCAGGTTTTGGACTTTTAATATTTCTTTTTGTCATTGCAGGAGATCCATTAAACACCGGGGTCTTTGCCCCTACTCGGGAACTGTCATCACGTAACTTAGCAGCCGAGTCAGCAGCATGGACACTACTCCGACCGTACGATCGGGGCAGAGTTGAGTATTTCTCATGAGGAACACGAGAAGAATCAGGCGGTATTCGTTTTTTCTCGACAGCTGCCTCCTTCTGACTGAAGGAGATGGATTCGGAGAGGGAGAGGGGGAAGTGGGCGTGTTCCCAGCGCTGCGACACTTGTCAAATAATGGGAACGGTTCCAGGAACAGGCACGGTCTGGGAACATTGTCTAGTGGATCTGGAGAGGGGAGATCAGTGTTTATGAAAAATTTACCTGTTTGTTGAGAGGGGGACTGTGAAATACTGGAGTGCGGTGTGAGATTCAGGCCCTGGGGGTGTCCTTGGGGCACCTGCGAGGCAGCCTGGGGGACAACCTGTGGGGTGGCTTGAGGGGGATGGGGATGAGCATTTTCCTGAGATGTGATGGGTGATGTTTGAGACACTATGGGGGATGATGTTGAAGGCAAGACTTTAGGCGTGCTGATTTTCAATCCTGCATGAAGCAAAAACAAAATTAACACAACAGCCACAATTGACAACTGCAACAAAAACTGACATAATAAATAAACATTAACAGTAACACAAGAAATATACTTGTACAAAGCAATATCTTACAGGAATGACTGTATCTCAAATAGAGTCAAAATCTCAGATAGTTACATTTTTAAATGTATACAGTCCCACCAAAACTAATCGTTCACAAACTCCACAAAAGATGTTTATGAATATACCCGGTTCTTTCATTTTAGAGTGCGTGTGCGTGTGATGTGTATCATGTCAAGATATTTCATTCCAGCACTCATATAGTCTTAATTTGTCAAACTGAACTACTATTTCATAATACAGGCAGACAAATTCTATACATGCATGTATACACCAAGACAGGTATGTATACACCAGGACAGGTATGTACACACCAAGACAGGTATGTAAACACCAGGACAGGTATGTATACACCAAGACAGGTATGTAAACACCAGGACAGGTATATATACACCAAGACAGGTATGTAAAATCCAGGACGGGTATGTGTACACCAAGACAGGAATGTATACACCAGGACAGGTATGTATACACCAGGACGGGTATGTGTACACCAGGACAGGTATGTATACACCAGGACAGGTATGTATGCACCAGGACAGGTATGTAAACACCAGGACAAGTATGTATACACCAAGACAGGTATGTAAACACTAGGACAGGTATGTATACACCAGGACAGGTATGTGTACACCAGGAGAGATATGTATACACCAGGACAGGTATGTATACTCCAGGACATGTACTTACACACCAGGACAGGTATGTATACACCAGGACAGGTATGAATACACCATGACATGCATGTATACACCAGGACATATCCTCATACACCAGGACATGTATGTATACACCAGGACATGTATGTATACACCAGGACATGTATGTATACACCAGGACAGGTATGTATACACCAGGACATGTATGTATACACTGGGGCATGTATGCATACACCAGGAAAGGTAGGTATACACCAGGACAGGTATGTATACACCAGGACATGTACTTACACACCAGGACAGGTATGTATACACCAGGACATGTACCGGTATGTATACACCAGGACATATCCTCATACACCAGGACATGTATGTATACACCAGGACATGTATGTATACACCAGGACAGGTATGTATACACCAGGACAGGTATGTATACACCAGGACAGGTATGTATACACCAGGACAGGTATGTATACACCAGGACAGGTATGTATACACCAGGACATGTATGTGTACACCAGGACAGGTATGTATACACCAGGACAGGTATGTATACACCAGGACAGGTATGTATACACCAGGACAGGTATGTATACACCAGGACAGGTATGTATACACCAGGACAGGTATGTATACACCAGGACAGGTATGTATACACCAGGACAGGTATGTATACACCAGGACAGGTATGTATACACCAGGACATGTATGTATACACCAGGACAGGTATGTATACACACCAGGAAAGGTATGTATACAAAATACACCAGGACAGGTATGTATACACCATGACATGTATGTATACACAAGGACATATCCTCATACACCAGGACATGTATGTATACACCAGGACATGTATGTGTACACCAGGACATGTATGTATACACCAGGACATGTATGTGTACACCAGGACATGTATGTATACACCAGGACATGTATGTATACACCAGGACAGGTATGTGTACACCAGGACAGCTATGTATACACCAGCACATGTACTTAAACACCAGGACAGGTATGTATACACCAGGACAGGTATGCAGGGTTTTACATAGCTCTTCGAAACTAGGAGTCCTGGGGACTCAGGGCATATTTTCTTGAGAGTCCATTTCCAAAATTGGGAGTCAATCAATTTGCATGATATCAGTGATAATGGATGCTTCCCATTTGATAATGAGTACGTTATGATATGTATTACTTTCAATGTCATTAGAATAATGATTGTAAATCAAATGTTTGCATATTAATATGGAATGTCATTACAAACTCAGAAAGTTCTTTCCCAGAAAAAAATTATATTGTGACCAGAAGGACTCACAGGATTTTAGTTTGGGGGTACTTCACCAAATTTCTGCGTCCAATACGCAGGAATCTTGTGTCCCGTAAAACCCTGGGTATGTAAACACCAGGACATGTATGTATACACCAGGACAGGATGTATGCACCAGGACATGTATGTATACACCAGGACAGGTATGCATACAGTAGGAATGTCAGCAGATGGCAGCTACCCATATAATAATGATCTCCTGATGAAAAAACTTCAGTTACACTCAATATAAACAGGTAACATATTAACCTAGAGGTAAATTCTCTCTAAATCTTTAACTTTAAACATCAGGGTTTTAGGTTTTGATAACGTAATGGCAACAGCGCCATCAAAAATATGTTCATGTCTGTCTAACTCAAACTTTTTCTGTCCTCCCTACTGAAGACATATGTTATGTAAAGCCAATGAGAAATGCACTTCCCACAAGTAAAGTGGATAAACACATGGTTTAATTTCAAATCTACTCTTGTAATCCTGGGTTAGGACAACTTAACTTTATACTTGTTCCACACACTGTTCAGCTGATGTGGCAATCAGGTAATTACACGCCATATATACATATTTAGGCATCAGATAGTTGTCATATTTCCACATATGGCCATCGACTATCAATGAAACATTCCCATTACACATGCTACACATGTGTAACAGCAGTAGGAAGGCATCAGAGCACTGTACTCGAGGGCCTTGATGGGGCCTCACATAAAACAACAATATTGTAGTAAATACCAGCTTATTCCTTATGTAAGTATTGACTGTAGGCTGCACAATTACAATACTTAAATACTACATGAACCTACGACATGTCTATATCAGTGATTAAATGCCCTGAATGTACCTGCTATCTGACTAAAGGCCCTGAATGCTCCTGCTATCTGACTAAAGGCCCTGAATGTTGCTGTCATCTGACAAAAGGCCCTGAATGCTCCTGCTATCTGACTAAGGCCCTGAATGTTGCTGTCATCCAACTAAAGGCCCTGAATGTTGCTGCCATCCAACTAAAGGCCCTGAATGTTGCTGTAATCCAACTAAAGGCCCTGAATGTTGCTGCCATCCAACAAAAGGCCCTGAATGTTGCTGCCATCTGACTAAAGGTTCTGAATGTTGCTGCCTACCGAAGGCCAACCATCAGGACCCTCATCTGTGTCCATCAGTTCTAGCAAGACAATAAACAGTGTGACATGATGCTTGCACTGCACTATAGATTACCATTACTCCACCTGTGCCAGAGTCAATAACACAATATTCTCAGCATCAATATTTTGATTGGAAAGAAACATGTTTCTATTTTATTGTCAGGTGTCAAGTGTGGTTGGTGGCCATCATCAAATATATACAATCATAAATATGGTCACAATCAGCACGATGAAGGCAAGCACAATGTTACAGGGATGTACCTAGACACAATCACACCTGTGTCATAAAACATTCTTCATTGAAACAAAGCACCTCTCCCCTCATGATGTCATAGTTCTAGTTACAGCTTTAACAGTTTTATAGAGATTTGTATCACACTGACAAAAGGTCCAAAACAGAGTCTGATGAAACTGTCTCAAATGAAATGTTAAACGACAACATTGCATTGAAATAAATCTAAACATAAGAAACACAAGCAGTTAACAACTTTTCTCCCAGTTTGCCTGAAAAGGGCTTCTAGTTGCAAATCCTAGATAAATCCCTGTTGTAGTACCAAGCAAGATGGAGATACAGATGCCTAACTCCCGTTGGTACAGGTTGGAAATGATACAGGGGTATGATATTGTATCATGATAACAGGTTTCACATACAAATCATCAAATTTCAGTGACGCTCACAATGAAGGGTGAAAGCAAAGCTTAGTTTGAGCTTAAACACTTGGAGTGAAAAGATTAGATGACTGTAAGGTTACTGGTTAAACAAATTTGATGTGGAACATTTTCCCAGAGTTCAAGAGATTTGTGATGATTCTCAATGAATTACAAATATCAAAACATCACTTTGCATTCCTCTTCTCCTGCAGATATGGAGGGTGATGCCCAAATTTGAAAATGTTTAAATTGCTGTAATTCTTAAAAAAGATAGAAATACAATCATGCAAAATTTGCACTGCACTTTTCCTTTTGACAAACAATGTGGTCTCAAAATTTAAAAACAAACAAAATAATAGTTTTCAAGTTACTGGCTGAAAAATGTTTTGGATGGACGGACAGAATTTCTCAGTATAACTATTTACCCCAGACCTAAACCAGTCTAAAAAAAGATATATAAAGGCCATGTGATGACTGTATTGTGACCCTCCTACCAAGACATATATGCTACAGGGTTCGAAATACGCCATATATTAGCATGCCATGGCACAATAAATATTGAAATGGCACGGATAAAAAAGGTTCTTGGTGCCCTTAAGGCATGCCTAAAGTTTTAGAGACATAACTCACTTCTAGTCATTCCAAAATCCCCTAGTAATCCCCAAACCAAAACACTTACGCAATGACAAACAGGCAAAAACATTTATTGACTTTATCGCCCAGGAAATCACTGGAATTATGATGGATGATATAAAAAAATGTGGTTGTTTTTCCATTTAGAGTGATGGGAGTACTGATAGTTCGAGTAATGAGGAGGTAATTGTGTATGATTGATATATTGAACAAGTGAACCTGTCACAAAATTCTTCAAATTATCATCATCATTGCTACAGTCATTTTTAAACTGAAAAAGATGTGGGCACACTTGATTTCTGAAAGGCACACTTAAAATCTTTGCCTGGTGCCCTAAGGCACACTTAAAACAAAATGTATTTCTATCCCTGTGCTATACCCCATGTATCTCTGTATGACATTAACAATAACATACAAACATTTATGTGTGATGTAGGTGTACCTTGATATTACTGATGAGAAGCAAGGCTAAAGAGTGTGAATCATGCTCAACATTCTACATAGCAGTGTTCAAGCACAGTTAATATAATCATCTAATTCAATATCAAAGGACAGGTTATTAAAAAGACCCTATAGATTCAAGTATGTCACAGGGCCATCCCATCCTCGATAATCTCCAGGGTATACGTTACAATCTCTCTCCACTATACCCTGGATGCATCCACGGCTTGGCCCGATGATTTTATTACCTCACTTGGCTAGCTTTTTATCCAGTCAGGTGTCTACGCTGGGAAGTTGAGCGAACCAATCACAACTCACTTTCGCTTCTTAAATTATCTAACCGTTTAAACTTGGCAACACAATTGATGCAGTGGGTACTCTGAAAGATGTGTAAGGAGTTCTTTTATATATTTTTTGAAAGTTTCAGATCTGTCAATTTGTCTGTATTATTTCCCAAAAAATCTGAGTGGTACTGCGAACAAACCTTCGCGACTGCGACCGCTATCTTTGTTGACACTGGCAAGCTCGGATGTAACGGCGGCATAGCTGATTGGCTACTGTGAGAATGCGGAGCCAGCCAAGGGAGGTAATAAAATCATCGGGCCAAGCCGAGGATGCATCCAGGGTATAGTGCAGAGTAATCGTAACGTATACCCTGGAGATTATCGAGGATGAGGGCCATCCTGGGGCTGCCATGTTCATGCCATGGATTCCAAACATAAATGACCCAGTCGCCCGACCAAAGTACAGTACAAATACATGTCACAAACTAATAAGGAGTCACACTGATTCACTCTTGTAGTTATTAAAATCTTCAACTTGTATAAGATACCACTAACCACGCTATATGATACGAGATCTACAAAAAATGTAACTATAACAATTCATGAAATTAACATAAACAGAAACATGTAACAATAACCAGAACGTTGGTTACAAGCCATCAAGTACCTGTTGTCATATGCACCTACCTGGGTCACCGACTATCCTGGGTGTGACTCCCCAATCTGAGGGAAGGTGGGGGTGGGGGGTCATCATTGTAGCGGTTGTCCACAAGGAGGTGTTGCTGCTTGCTCTCAATCTCCTGCAGCTCCTTCTGGTAGATCATGTTGGCTGCTTCTCCTGTAACCATGGCAACCACAGAGTGAGACTTTGGGATCAAATGTTGCAGTGAACAGTTTACACAAAATGCTTCAATATGTGACTTTATGAAAAGTCTGATTACAATCAGTTGGAAGCTATTTGCAATTTTACCATTTCAATAATCCATCAAATACAGCGATGTAGAACTACTGGTGCCCCCGAACTGTCCCATCCCTCAAGGACCGCCTCCGTGGTATAGTGGTTAGAGCATCCGCCCGAGAAGCCCGGAAGGTCGCTGGGTTCGATCCCGACCCGAGCGTCATACCAAAAGCGTTAAAATATGGTACTTGTTGGTCCCTGCCTGGCGCTTCGGCATTAATGGGTACAACAAGGACTGGTCGGCTCGGAGTCAGTATAATGTGTCTGAGTGGGGTATTCATGCTTCACTGCGGCATAGTATCTCAGTGGGCTAGCACTACAAAACCAGCTTAAGTCTGGGCTAGTACAAGCAGCCACACATACACAAGCACGACATGCCATGCACCTCTCTTCACCCATCACTCAACCATGCCCTGCACCCTCCCCTCCCCTCCCTCCTACTCAACCTGCACCATCTCAAAACCCTCACCTGCCCATCCCTCCTCCCCTGCTTCTAGGCGGTGGGGTAGCCAGATGGTTAAAAGCTGCTCGTCCTGGTTCCTCCCATGGGCTCAATGTGTTAAGCCATTTCTGGCACCATGATATTGCTGGAATATTGCTACAAGCGTACTAAACTCAGTCAGTCAGTCTCCCCTGCTTCTACTCCATACTTTATATTTATCACAACCCCAAACTCAGTCTCCCCTTGCCCTGCACCCACCTGGAGTTCAAGCTGGTCCTGTAGAAGCTGTCTCTGCCTCTGGTACTCCTTGTACAGCTCATTGCTGGAGTCATGCACAGAGTTGCCTTGCACAGAGTTCCCTTGCACACTTGGGGACATCCTGGAATCCATTGTCACACTCTGTGACGGTGACATTGATCTAGGGGGGTTAACTACTGATCCTGGTTGGACCTGACCTTGAACCTGACCTCTGGGTGAAGCAGTTGGAGGTGTTGAACTTCTCACTGGTGGTTTCCCCGGAGGAATTCGCAGTGGTGATTTGATTTCATCAGATATAGAAGTGTGAGTGTCTACAATTTCACCAGTGGCAAACAGTTTGTCAACAGACATAAGCATTGGATTCTTCAAGGAATTGTTGAGGTTGGTTCCGGGGGCCATTGATCTAGAGAGGATGTTGAAGTCATTAGAAGTTGACATGCTGTCCTTCCGCCCCTGGAACAGCCCGCTTGTGAGTCCATCAAACTGTGGGTTTAGTGACCGCGTCATGATCTCTGCTGACCGCGGCCTGACTGATGGAATAGCTGAGTGAGGAAACATCTTAGGTTTGATGGACGTGACCAGGATCTGCTCTGACCAAGAAGCCTCCAGTGAAGGTCTTACAAATGGTCGAATATCTACATTCAGGGGCTTCTGTTCAAAGGGGCATGAGAAGGTATCGTATGGGATGCTCTGTAACCATGACAACAGACTAAGATCAGCATCATTGAATCCCGTGTCACTCAGAACAGATGAGAACTTGATCTCACTTTCATCATTAGTGGCCTGCTGCTGGCAGTATTCAACACAAGACTCGTAAAGGAGTCCCTTAAGCACCAGCTGGATGAGACGGTCATTCTGGGCGTGCTGTTCTTCAAGTCCCTCCTGTCCACGGGAGGAACTTCTCCACCAGCGCGATGTCATTAAAGCACTGAACTTCGGGCATTGCTTGGGTTCCAGTTCTGGAATTCAACATGGTCCGAGAGTTTAGGGAGAGACAGAAGAAAACAGAGGTTGCTGTATTCCTCCTTGCTGGGACAGAACTCTTCGAGGGAGTTCAAACATTTCACCACCTCCTCCACAGTGAACTCGTAATTCTGCATCACATTAGGTTCAGATTTAATGCACAACAACTCCAGATACTTATGTTTCATTATGGTGAACTGGAACCCCTTCATGTCAAAGTTGTCCACAGTGATGAGAGGCTGGATGAACTCGATGACGTCATCCCACTGTCCGTCGAGAATGAGTTGTCTGAGGAACAGCATATCGTCAGAGAAAAGGCCGTTAATGATTCCTGTCTCTCGCTCCATGGACAACATCGAGATGTTGAGCTGCCTGTTGTGGAGAAACTCACAGATGAGTTTGACCACGTCCACTTCATTCATGACGAGATTTGCAGATGGCATTGTCATCTACTCAGAAAGGGCTGTCAATCTTCTACTCCTGAAGCAGATCTATGTCACAACTCTATACACTCTGTCTTTGCGACATCCTAGATGCCAAAATTTCTGAAATCATACATGAAAACAACAAAATTAGAGTTATATATTAATTATAATAATGTGCAACAAAGTAGAATCAGGGATACAGGTAAAAGGGATAGTCAACACAGAGATATCACGAGTCCTTACTCAATTTCATTATTTTCAAACAAGCAGATTTACATTAATCTAGACCCCCAATAATAATGAAAATATTGGCCCTTTAACAGTAGAAGACATAACGAGTACGCAAGACAGTCCCCGGTCATGCCTGCAAGTGGCTTAGTGGTACCTGAGGGGAATTCCGCATGCCACACAAAAATGTGTTTAAAAGTGTTATTTATTAAAATAATGAAACCGAATTTGGACAGTTATTGATAGTTGTTCAAGTTATTGATGACATGGATGAAAACATAAAAGGAAATATTAACTTTTCAAATTTGGACTGATATGTGCCAAATTTGAGTAAATTTTGGAAATTCAGGATTCCAAACAGTTACCAAGGACATAAATGACCTTATCAGGCACATGTTAAAGGGGAAGTGTACACGATAAAATCACATTTATTCTTATGTGAAACAAAGTGAAATATTTTAATTATTTAATATCAATGTTTGAAATTATGCACTCATTTTTCTTACAATGTAAGTATAACCCTCAAAATAAGTGCTGAAATGTTATGCCATTATGCGGCCCTTGTGTGCAGAGCTAAACAGGTCGGAGTTACTGCCCTTTGGTTATGACGTAATTGGTGCCACTTGATTTTAGACTGGTCTCCTGTCTAGTCCCAAATCAAAAGATAATAATACTGAAATTAATCACGCGAGAAATGTTTGTGAAAATACGAAAGAAGCATAACAACTGAAAATGTAAGCAGCAGGACAGATTGATCGTGTGTATTTTCATTCATAACCTCACATCAATGATACCAAATATGTGTAACAATGTTGACGTACGTATGACATCACTATCGGGAAGCGACATTTGCAAAAAGGCGTGTTTACTGACACGAGTACGCCGGATTTTTCGACGGAAAATTTCATTGTTTCAAGCAACATATATACATAAATGTGACATGTAAGTTGTTCAAAACATTCTGACAATCTGCTGGTTGTTATTTTCATTTTGTTTTCATTGTGGCCAAGGGAAATAGTCAGAAATGAGTAGAACTTCCATTGTCGGTGTGCGTGAGTTTGCATCAGTCACGGCATCACGCTTTCAGAAACTATAATATGTTGTGATGAATCGTGGAAATCATTGGAATACACCTATTTTATTTAACACATTCACCGATGGCAAGATAGATGTAGTGCATAAACGTTTTAGTTTTTGTGAAAAACGATACAGTTGAAAGACAACTGACTCAGGTTGAATGTTGTATAATTTGGTTACAGGGTAACACTGTTTGTACAATGTATACGTTGTTTCAAACTGCAACGTGATCACAGTGTGGAACTGACCACATAGCCAGCTGAAGGCCAGGCAACAGCTGGATGACAACAGTAGCCTGTGCATCGAGACACTAGAACCACACCTATACCTGCACCACGTGAAATTGGTCTAACAACGTCATTCGTTTATCGGTTTGGCACAAGTGACGTCATTTCCAAGGGACATAAGTCATGGTGTATTTATTGTGGACATAGAACTCTCGGTTAATGTGGAAAATTTGAATCGATATAACGCAAAAAATAAATTAGTGACTTCTGATATCTGCACTGTTTTGGCTATAAACTACTTGACAAACACTTTTTATGATGAAAAAGTGCAAGACAAAAAGGTTAATTTTCGTGTAAACTTGCCCTTTAATCTAGCATAGACCAAGTAAGATTTCTGCATTGTACAGTCACAGCTGACTTTAGTTACAATCACAAGTAAGTCATAAACCACTAACTTATGAAAATAAATATGAAAAACTCAAAAAGTCTTAAACACATTAAAGTGACAACATATATGTTAGCCTTGTGCTTAAAGTGGTCGCCCGTCATGCTGAAGATCGGGGTTCGATTCCCCACATGGGTTCAATGTGTGAAGCCCGTTTCTGGTGTTCCCTGCCGTGATATTGCTGGAATATTGCTAAAAGCTGCGTAAAATTAAACTCACTCACAGTCACTCACTGAAGCATGTGGACTTTATCTCTGACCTACCATAGACACGAAGTATAAGGATTGTTAATAATACCTCCACTCAAACATACCATAGTCAAAGCACAAAGACTGTCATAACCAGGGCCCTTATTCTCGAAACGTTCGTAGCCCTAAGAATTCTTAACTTTGATCCTAGACAATGTGTTAAGAATGGGCTTAAGAAGTTCGTAGCGTTACGAACGTTTCGAGAATAGCTAGCCTGGACTCAGACCTTCCATAGTTGAAGCACATGGACTGTCATTACCTAACATATATTTGGGATTACATTTTCTCAGTAAAGTACAGATTCTAGTACTTTTGTTTGGTTGAGTCCCATCTGGGAAGCAAACCCACACTCTCAGAGTCAGGCTTCTAATTGTAAGCACACAAAGCCAGCACTTGAACCCACTTAATCGTAACATAATAACAAATACGTGACTGTCATCCTTCGATAAACAATCCTCCTATTTAATAAGTAACAAGTAATAATCTTAATTTTTGTTATTTTTGTACAGATTACCATAGTGAGTAAATTTACACATTACACATGTGCATTAATAATAATATCTATGTCACCTGTCAATGTGTATGATGTTTGTATAAAATGAATGTACCTACTGATGTGAATAAAAAAAAAATGTGAAAAAAAAAAAAAATCCTACCAAAAATAAAAGAATTAAAATAATAATAATAATAATATCTATGCTTCTGCTAATTGACACAAATGTAACTCCATCAGATTACAAATCCTGGAACCATGATTCAATGTGACAGTCTCTTCACAATAAACTAACTCCTGCCTCCTCTTGAGATCAGGAAATCTACAATTTATCAAACACAACTACTATAGATATACTGAAGAATAACTTACTCACGCCATGCCATTACAGATAAACTGTCCCTCATGGATTAATGTCGAAATCGTCTAACCAAGGCAAGTTTGAGTTATTATGTTGGAAAGTTTTTAAGCACAGACTTGTATAATGTCAACTGTGAAATCAAGGAAGGGCAGTTGGTAGAATGTCAGAGCATCTGTGTGGATAAAATCCATAACAACAGTGTTCACGAATAGCGTCAGACCCTCAGACAAATCCGGCAGATTCGCTGACAGTCAGATGGAAGTCTACAACTCGCCGGCCCCAGTGCCCGACTGTGTTTTTCACAATGACTTTAACTGAAGTTGTTATATGTGACATGTGACACTTGTTTGCTGTTTATAAATTTTACGCTTGTTAATAATTTCAATGCCAATTACAAGATATGTTAAATCTGAAAATTGTGAAATGTGTGCTCATTTTTTCTTCTGTGGGTCCTGTGAATTTTCAGTGGGTCAGACAGACATCTGAAACTTACAGGACCCAATGTCCTGTTACTTTGAAACACCATTCGTGAACACTGAACAACATCTATCAGTTAGTTTGTCTGGTCCAGTTATCTATAAGCCCTCCTCATATGATTCGATATTTTTAAGAGGTATGACTGGCTATCGATATACTTCATAGAGATCGATAATTGTGAACTAAATATCGATCAATCATCGATAAATATATAAAAAATCTGTATATTTCGCATCAATGGTGAGTGGTGACGTGTTTATATATGGCTTACTAACAAAACTGAATCCAAGTAAGCACAAGGTACAAAACTATCATAAGTTACTATCAACTACAACTTAGGAATGACTGGCAACATTTCTCTGTGGACTAACAATTTTCCCATCAGGTACATCACATAGTGTGCAACATCTGTGGACTGGTGTAAATGTGATTTATGTGTACTGATGTACATGCACAACAATTTCTAACACTGAATTATGTCTTCCAGGTTTTGGGTGTGAACCTAGCTAGTGATAACTGGGATATCTCTTTGTGAACTCTGCATATAAACACATAATTATGTGAACTCTGCATATAAACATATAATTATGTGAACTCTGCATATAAACATATAATTATGTGAACTCTGCATATAAACATATAATTATGTGAACTCTGCATATAAACATATAATTATGTGAAATTCAGAACAAGCAACTCAGTGAGCTACACTTTTCCATACACAATGTTCCATGACCTGTGTTCCTATGAAATAAGGCGACTGACGGGATTGGGTGGTCAGGCTCGCTGACTTCGTTGACACATGTCATTGTATCCCAGTTGCATAGATCAAGGCTCATGCTGTTGATCACTGGATTGTATGGTTCAGACTCGATTATTTACAGACCGCCGCCATATAGCTGGAATATTATATTGCTGAGTGCGGTGTTACACATCAAATCAACCAATGTCTAATCAGCTGCCAACATAGTTTGTGACTGTCATCATTCAGCGTGTAAATAAGACAATACACAACTAACTGCTAATCATAGTTGTCAAAGGAAATACATGCTGAAGAAGCATCTGTTTTTTGGTCTGGTACCATGGTAATATTACAGAACACTTTGGCAATATTAGTTGGTGATACCTCAAATATTTGATATTGTCCAATTCATTAATCCTAATGAGTTAATAAGTAATATTTGACTTTGTACCAAAAAAACAATGTACCCAGAGATTATGTATCTCAAACAGTAATTGAATTGTTTTGATAATGCAATAGTAAAGTGACAGTCAAGTCACTTTAGGATGATAAAATTGATACATATTATTGAAACAAATGCAAAATCATTTTCAGTACACAATCGCACATGTATTCTTTTCACAAAATCACTACAATCCATTTACAAGAGGAAGATGACAGTATTGAGAATGGAGTAATTGCTTTGTTGTTTCTGCTGGCATTTGTGATCTTAACAGTTAGACATTTGTTTCTACATATTCCCCTATTAGCTACACTTTGCCATTTTTACAGACGTACAGTAGACAGCACTGTTATTGGTCATATCTGACTTGTCTTCTGCTCACTGCAGACAAGCATGTTATACAAAGATAAAATTACGGACAAAATTACACGTCTTGGCATAAACCACCTCATCTCCCTAATATTTCGCAAGTCTAAAACTGTCTGTCTCTATGTCTACAATTGTGGAATCCCATTGTTTACTTGAAGAGCAGCAGTTGCAATGCATGCAGAACCACAAAGCAAGCAGACAAAAGTGTATTGCTTTCATCAAGTATGTTAAAGTATGCAACACTAATAAGTCATCTGTCTGCTTTGGTACTTTAGATCAATAGCCTTCTGTAATGTGATGAGAAAAGTGGCAATATGATATTATTTCTTGTCACTTTAGAAATGTTTCCTATAGTATGCACAGACAGGTAATCCAGACTTCAGTTTTCATACAGACAATTTATACTCACAGAACATGTATAAGGAATATCTGACTGATGAATCAGTGAAAGAGGAGAAATACCACAGAGCATGATACTAGTCTATGATGCATGTTTCTGCATGAAGGCGTTCGTATTTGTTTCATGTTTACTGGCTCTTGTTCTTGTTGAAAAGTACAACAAACCAAAACTGTCTTTCAAAACCTTTAAATAAACGAAAATAGTGTGTAAGTAATACTTACAAAATCTGTCGGTCACCATGAGCCCGTAACAAACAAAACATCGAGCATTTGTAATCCATTTGACAGATATTCAGCCATTAATTTAGGCCGGAAGCTGTCAGCGCCGCAAGGGAGGTAAGTCAAGAAAGCGTACATAAAATGCAGCTATGTAAGGCCATTTTTCTGCTAAATCTGCCTCTGAATCAAAATCTTGACAAGGACAATGTTTTCAGTTACCTTCGGGGAAACATGAAGGTAGGAAAATATTGTAATAAACAGGGAACCGATTCAACCGGAATTATGATGCGTTTTTAGAATTTGTGATCTAACAGTTACATGGACTGTTGCAAATGAACAAGGAAGGATAAAAATATCTCTCATCTAATTTACTAAATCATGCAGAGAATTGTGACAGAACAATATAACAAACACCATGTACTCTAATTACGACACATTTACTGTCAAACTGAAATACATTGATATTTTCATTGACAGGTAACTTTAAAATATATAGCGTCTTCTGGGGGTGTTTAAGCAGAACACCACCAATAGAATAAACTACAAAACACACTGAACATAATTATGCACAGAGGAAATCCCGTTCACTAGTCCCTTAGTAAGTCTCTCTGACAACATTGCCAGTGTTTGCGTCACGGGGTGCAATGTCTTGCCATGATGAGCACTGAGAATTGTTTTCTTGCGTTGCCTACGGGTTTTTCCACCAAGTGCCAATTTTCTGCTCAGTCTATCTTCTTTTCATCTGACGCAACCTTGCGCTCATGCTCCTCGTGACGGGTGTGCGAGGGGACGACTCGACGAACGATGACCTTGATGATTTATTTCTTGAATATCGACGGTACCTCTTCCTCCACAGTTTGTACACAGCACAGAACAGGATGCATGATGCTAAAGATGTCCACAGAGCGGGTTTCAAGAACTCGACCTTGGAGACGCTACCATCGACAGTGGTGCGAATGATGCATGGTAGAGATGCATACAGGGGGTTCCATATGTAGAAAATGAGGATTATTGGCGACGTAAGGTACACGAGAACGCTCAGAACATCCCTCAGGAACACTCGGGTTAGAATCCTGTAAATATTGGAACTCTTCAACAGCCATTCCATGACAAGAATGCTCAAGGATGAGATTAAACAGACAACGGCACTCTTTACCTCCAAATGGGAGGCTAAGATCTCCTTTTGGAAATACCCCACAACAAACGACCACAAAAGGAAAGTCTCTGCGCTCAGTAACGACGAAATACGTCCCACGGATGTTGCTATCACTCTGAATGGCGCCATCAAGAACTTGGCACCGAAGTGCGAGTACATAACGAGTGTTGGATTCATTGTCAGGACATGTTATCACGGATGTCTAAAAACGGTCCTTTGAACGTTGATATGACGCATGACGTCACAGATAGCGTGACGTCAGAATCTCTTTATCACATGACGTCATGGTTTCGAGCATGGTGTCATAATGTCATTGTCACATGATGCGTCACGTCATATCCATTCTTTCAATGTGAGGATAAAGGCCCAACGACCTCTGACATGACGCATGCCTTATATATACCCGCGTTGAAATGCGGCCGCGAATGTCTGTGTGGATCCGTACCGTATGCATGGTATCAGTTTGACTGACTGACTGAATTTGGTTTTACGCCGCTTTTAGCAATATTCCAGCAACATCACGGCGGGGGACACCAGAAATGGGCTTCACAAATTGTACCCATGTGGGGATTCGAACCCGGGTCTTCGGCGTGACGAGCCAACGCTTTAACCACTGGGCTACCCCACCGCCACGTATCAGTTTGAGGTACAGAACAATAGAAAGAAGAAGTCCACAGTAAAATTCTAGAATCTCTTCTGAAATAAACACATGTCACCTTGAATAAATGCCGGGTCACGGGCCTTCGTAAGAGGCGACTAACGGGATCGGGTGGTCAGGCTCGCTGACTTGGTTGACACATGTCATCGGTTCCCAATTTCGCAGATCGATGCTCATGCTGTTGATCACTGGATTGTCTGGTCCAGACTCGATTATTTACAGACCGCTGCCATATAGCTGGAATATTGCTGAGTGCGGCGTAAAACTAAACTCACTCACTCACTCACTCCAACATATATAAACTTAAAGCGTGTATTCATGTCATGGTCGCTTTTTCGTACATAAGGACGAAACTTCAATTAAATATGCTCTGTTATCAAAAGGTATCGATGTAACTAATTTAATTACTATTTTCGAAATAATTGTGAACGGTTATCAGTTTCTCTTAGTGCATGCGATTCACTACATTTGTAAGTGTATGAAACTAAACTCCACAATCATTTTGCTGGAACGCCTTTCAAAAGTGCTGTCGTCTCATAGATTTTATAGACTATGAAAACAAACGTATAGCAAATTCATAAAACACCATACTATTTCTGTAAAGAACCCACGTATGCTCGATCATGATTTTTCGATTGACTTTGACGCACAGTTGCACGACCAGCGGATGCGGGAAGGGGGATAACTCATGTTGTGGCAAAATACACCTCGAGTCACTTTCACATGTTGCCGACATAACGCCTCTCAGAATGGAAAGCGACTCGACAGGTCGCACGAGGACTGGAATATGTCATCTTTAAATTACTTCCTGGTTATTATGATATATCACGGCTATGATAATAGGCTGATCATATAGACTAAAGGTAAGCATGTACATTGCATGAGAATGGGGGCGATGTTGCCAGAATCTATGGAGAGCCGTGTTTACACACTGCAAAGCTTTCGACAACTTCTCAGCTGAGCGACGCTCGTCAGAATTTCAGTACTTATACGATTTATTGCTGTTTGATAAGGCTAACTAAACTGATAGTTATTTGCAGTTGTCATGGTAATGAGAGAGCTCAGGCATGATATATAGATAGTTGTTGGCTGTAGACCCGTACACACAGACAACATGGCGGGCTGTTAGGCCTGTCTGATTCAGTCTTATTGAGCGCTCGGGATGTCTTGTTTTCATACGCAATATCATCATTGATGTTATCAGTCTATAAATGAGGTTTTAATGATAATTGGAGCATATTGTGGTTTCATCAACCATTTGGGACGAACCCCGAATCTCTAGTGGAGGTCAGGTATACGATCACCGATCACCGGGTCGCGTCAAACTTAAACATGTCTATAATGGCACTTGTTGTTACCCAGCATGCATGTCGCTAATACTGTCTAGCATGTTGCTATGTGCAGTAACCTTTATCAGTAATGGTTTATCACAAGCATGAAACCATCTGTTTGTACCAGTATAGAGTGAGTGAGTGAGTTTAGTTTTACGCCGCTTTTAGTAATATTCCAGCAATATCACGGTGAAGGACACCAGAAATGGGCTTCACTCATTTTATCCATGTGGGTAATCGAACCCGGGTCTTCGGCGTGACGAGCGAACGCTTTGACCACTAGGCTTCCCCACCGCCCCACCATTATAGAGAGAATGGCACTTGTCACATGCAAGTGACTTTCGTGGCTACACAACCGTGAGGTCGTCTATACAAACCAATAATAGCGATTTGAAACTATGATCGTTTGTTAACCGACCTTTATCCTAAGTTGAATAAAATTCTGAGATTTAAATGTTCAATTGGCAGGGTAAAATTATGAGGATTCGCAATCTTATTTCCTTTTATTTGATTTACCTTTTTGTTTAAAGTGAAATTCATCGGTACGTTTTCACGGCAAACATACAAAAGTGGTTACAGCCTTTGCTCCAAGCGCCGAGCTCGATTCCCCACATGGGTTTGGTTTGGGTTAGAATTGGTCTTCAGCAACCCATGCTTGTCGTAAGACGCGACTAACAGGATCGGGTGGTCAGACTCGCTGACTTGGTTGACACATGTCATCGTATCCCAATTGCGTAGATCGATGCTCATGCTGTTGATCACAGGCCTGTCTGGTCCAGACTTGATTATTTACAGACTGCCGCCATATAGCTGGAATATTGCTGTGTGTGGCATTAAGCAACAAAGAAACATAATTTCCTACCATTTGTGAAAATCTTTCTGTTCGAATAGTTTGGTGCCTCGTGAACAAAACATCACGAAGTTATATTGTCCTTATCCTGAGCAAATTGCCATCGAGTTACAATGATATTTTGTTATGCCCCATTTTCTTTATGCGTGTGTTAACCTCTCTGTCGTCTTTTGACGTCATAGAGTAGAAATGGAGTAGGGTGATATATTTGGGGTATTTATCTGGTAAACTTGCCTCATTTGACTCGCTGACTTGGTTGACACATGTCATCTTATCCCAATTGCACAGATCGATGCTCCTTCTGTTGATCACTGGTTTGTCTGGTCCAGACTCGCTTATTTACAGACTGCCGCCATATAGCTGAGTTTGGCTGATCAGTGTTTTAGGCAAATTTTAAAGCAATAAAAGTTTCTCATTATGATAGATATTGACGGGTTCGTTCTTTTCCAGGCAGTATATCCTCAACAAGCATCACAAGTTCCTTGAAGTGTTAGATGTCCTTGCACTGCATACCATGTGAAAAACAGGAATAGAGGTTATCTTCCTCAATGGAGACGCTTATCCTAGAGTTGTCACGAGCGATACATATAAAGAATTACCCCCGCAGACTTAACCAAGCATTAACGTAGAGCTATGGAGACGTGTACAGAGCAGGGTAGTCCAGGTGCTTCAGAACCAGTGTCATGTTCCCCTTGGGCAGTGGTACTGAACCAAGACCAGTCTTCCTCCGACTCTGGCAATGACAAGGACTGTGCTACACACGATTCCCGAATACCGACAGATGTTGAGCATCAAGAAAACGAACACAGCAGAATACAACCAGAACGTGTTGAAAAATCTGACACGTCCGACAGAAGAACCACTGGTACCCATAAAGAAGGAGCTCTCAGAAGAGCTGGGGACCACCAGGACGCAGAACATATCGGACGATGAAGACTCTATGATTGACAATCTTAGTGATCGGGTGGAGAAACCCAGTGATCTTGAGGAGAAACCTCAAGACAGGTCTGTATCAGACAGAGTCCTGAGGCGCAGATATCAGAAGGTGCTGTGCAACCAATGTGGTATGTATATCGAAGAGAAGAGCTTCAAGAACCACCTTATAGAAGCCCATCCTAGGCAGAAAACTAACTATGTATGTACTGACTGTGGTAAAGGGTTCAACTTTGAAAGTGGTTTAATTCTTCACCGGGCTAAGCATCATGGTGGTAAACTACCTAAGAGGACAATGAAATCAGCATCCCCACGTTCTGATCCCAAAAGAATAAAAAGTCACATACAAATGTGAAATTATCCTGTGAAGTTTGTGAAAAGACGTTTAAGCATATAACATCTCTTTCTATACACTTGGAGAAACACGCATTGCCAGAGATATTTGAGTGTGGAATATGTGATAGACCACTCGTTACCAAGGAAGCCTATGAACAGCATAAGGAATTCCATGAGGGTCTTATGGCGAACCAGTGTTATATATGTGAAAAAATATGTGTCCGATCTGCAGTGTTCAAGGAGCACATAAAGAAGCACACATATGAAGCTCAGTATGAATGTGATAAATGCTCAAAGATATACTTTGAGGCGACACATCTTGCAGTCCACATGGTGACTCATGCCCAACAGGCTGGCATCCAGTGCAGCATCTGCAAGCTGAAGTTCTCCTGTAAGACGGACCATGACCGTCATGTGAAACAGCACGGAGAAGGAGATGAACCCAAGAGATGTGAAATCTGTGGCCAGAGCTTTCCCACGAGGAGCCTTCTGAAGGGTCATGTCAGCATGGTTCATCTAGGGAAGAAGGGTCATCCGTGTAACATTTGCGGTGAGGAGTTCTTCAAGTTGAAACACCTTCAGGCGCACCATCGGGATCACGCTGTCAAGAAGGTCATCGTGTGTAACATTTGTGGAGAGTCTTTTGGTCTGAGGTCTAGTTTGAGGACACATATGCGAGTTCATCAGAATGATGTCATCTATAAATGTGTCGTGTGTCCAAAGCAGGTTACAGATATGGAGGCTCTGAAGGCTCATGTTGATGCCCATGCAGACGAGGAATGTCTCGACTGCGCCGAGTGTGGGATGCAGCTGGAAGACTGTGATGAGGTGATGGTGCACATCCGGAAACACAGGGGTGGTCAGCTGACGATGACAGAGGAAGAGTACAAGTCCAAGAAGAGACACGGATGCTCTAGAGATCCAGAGAACAGAGAACAGAAGGAGAGAGTGCCTGTGAAATGTAGCACCTGTCAGAAGACCTTCCACTTTGTGTCCAGTCTACAGTCACATATGCGCATCCACCAGACAGATCAGCTCCTGAACTGCCATATCTGTCATGAGGCGTGGCCAGGAGTCAAGGTGTTAAGAGAACACATCAAGACCCACAAGAATGACCTGAAGAAAAGCTCTGAAGGTTCTTGTGACACAGCTGACCCTTCCACTGATCCCACTAAGTCCTCCGAGGTTGGGAAGAAGAAGAGGCATCGTTGTGACATCTGCCTTCAGAAGTTTGTGAGCTACTATGGTTGTAAGACACACAGACTTCTCCACACAGGCGAGAAACCTTTCCGCTGTGATGTGTGTGGTCAGAGCTATGTCCTAGCAGGGTCACTGAAGGTCCACATGCTGTCTCATACAAACGAGAGGCCCCATGTCTGTGAGATATGTGGAAAGAGCTTCAAACAGCCCTATATCCTCCGCGAGCATCAGATGTCCCACACGGGCAAGAAACCGTTTCTGTGTGATCTCTGTGGCAAAAGTTTTGTTAACAAAAAGAAACTAAAGCTGCATACTTTTGTACATACCCGTGAGACTCCCTTCAACTGTAAAGTGTGTGGCAGAGGCTTCAGGGCCTTTGTGACAAGACAGAAGCACAAGTGTGAAGGCCGCACACCTCCACAAGGACCTTCTGCAGATACTCCTGCAATCAGTTCCAGGGACGTGGGACTTGTGGCTGCCGCAAGACCTCACACAGAGCAAGTACAGCTGACACATGAGTATCCTTCCTCGGTGCCGACCTTTGGAGACTTCGACTACACTTCAGTTCCAGGGCCGGAATACAACGTCAGTACCCTTGGTTACAAACACTCTAAAGGGCAGCAGCTTTATGGACAGGATCCTTACCAACCAGCTCATAGGTCAATGGTTGGACAGATATTGCCCGTTTTGAATCGTGATTACATGCCGCCAGTGTCTCGGTTCATAGATCCGAGGAACGCCCCTCTTCCGGTGCCCGCCCCCGTTCCTCAGCAACCACAACCACCACTGCACTGGCAAGGTTCGCCTCCTGGTGCGTCGTGCGGAGAAGGACTTCCGGAAGAGAGGGAACATTGCCATGACAACCAGCAATTTCCGGTTGGGGCGACCAGGATAAACTTTGGATGGAAAATGTCTGACGGAGATGAGGGAACAAAGGAAACGCCATTTTGCTAGTGCTACATGTACCCAAACCGGTTTAGACGCTGACTTCATTTGAAAAGGCTGGGGCAGCCCAAATGTTTAGGTTTCGCCAAATGTATATATGCGTATTTTTCACTGGAAAAATATATTCTTTGTTGCTGTGGAAACTAATATTTCAACTGAGACTGATAATAAATAGGAAGTGAGATTGTTGAAGCTCCATTTGCAACATGTTCACAATGTAGTTACAGAAGGAGGAGGCAGCTGACGAGTTGCCTTCCCTGGCTGCGAGTAACAGGTTGCGTTTTAGACGAATGCTGTTTGGGCTCAAAGACTGACGAGCTCCATCTGTTCTTGTTAATGAATTCAAGTTCTTCTCAGAAATTTGAAAATACAAATACTTCAGTAAAGTTAAGCTTTCACTTTATCATTTTAATATCATATTGGCTGTCACGTGCTTGATTGCTTTACGTCTCCTTTAGGAATATACCAGCTCTATTACGGCGGTCTTCAAGTGATGGCTACCCGTGAAGATCCGGGTTAGAATATTGATCTTCAGTAACCCATGCTTGTCATAAGAGGTGACTAACGGGATCGGGTGGTCAGGCTCGCTGACTTGGTTGACACATGTCATCGGTTCCCAATTTCGCAGATCGATGCTCATGCTGTTGATCACTGGATTGTCTGGTCCAGACTCGATTATTTACAGACCGCCGCCATATAGCTGGAATGTTGCCGAGTGCGGCGTAAAACTAAACTCACTCACTCACTTCAGGTGATGGCACCTGGAACAGACGATCCAGTGATTGGTATCCTGAACATCGATACAGGATACTGTGATACAATACATGCAGTCATCTCCGCTCCATTTAGTAGCCTCCTACGACAATTAGATGGCTGTGGTCTCAATCGATACCAGGCCCCGATTTCTCGAAACAAACTTAAGTTTTTACTCAAATTCCAAACTGAGTTTGACAATTTGAATTTTTAACTCAACTATATTTTTTTAAATTAAAAAGCCCAAACAAGTTAACTAATCTATCCACCAAACTCAAATTGTCTACTATGTTTGAATTTAATATCGATTTCAGTTCATTCTCTGAAATGCATTTTCCTGCGTTTTCTCAAATTTGAGTAAAAACTCTAACTTAAGTCAGAACTCAGACTTAAGTTTGTTTCGAGAAATCGGGGCCTGATATTCCTATGGATTCAGGGTAAGGGGTCAAACAGAAAGTTGAAACAGGAATTCACGGAGAATGATATTCTGCAGCATTAGTCACATAGGGATTCCGGGTAAGAAATGGTCCCCAGCAACCCATGTTGGTCGTATGATAGACACAATAGACCGACTGCGACTGGAACGGTATTTCAGTGTGGCAATTACCTATTCATGATTATTTTTATTGTTTACATGTAGTTCGATGTTTGGGCATGATATGCGTCAGTCTACTTAATGTTGAGTTTTGAGCACACTCCGGCGCAGTGATGACTTACCATAACATCACTGCCACAGGCTAATTTGCATATCACGTGACCGGACTTTTCTCTTGTTTGTAATCAAACGCGCATATTCATAATAAGAAGAGACTGGCCTTACGCAAGCTTTTCGGCGCTCTCTTCATAACGTTTTACATTGTTACATATATATTCTTCCACAACTGCGACAGTAAGGTCTATGACAGTACATATTTAGATATCAAACTGGCTGCATCGTTTGCTCTCTGTTGGCGTCGATGACAGCACGTGGAGCCGTACAACCTATGTAAACAAAGGATCGCTACGCAAATCGAAATAGTGTTCCATGTTTTAGGATATTTTCTCAGGAACACTAAACCATTTTATCAAAGATGTTTAATTAGATGCGTAGACTCGTCAAAAATAAAAGAGTTAAGAAATATGTAGATTATATTGGATGGACGGTGCAAGATGTCACATCTTTGTGGCCTGTGGCAGAAGTACTATGCTGGCAGGCCGCATTGAACTCTGGGTAGGATAGTGAGTTTTGAGGTGCGATTACTTTAAGCAGTATAACACTTACGATGGTGCCGCACATGTGATGGTCATAACAGCAGTGGAGAAGTCGTGTGGTTATCCAATACCCAGTATTTTCACGCAACGATTTGCCGAGCAGTTGTTCAGCAGAGATCATGCGTTTAGGGATCATTTCTATAGCATGCATCGCCACGCCTTCAGATAAAACTGACAGTCTACCAAACTACGAGGACGATATCCAATGCCCAGTATTTTCACGCAGTGAGAAGTATGTGACTGTTTCGTAAATTAATTTCGTATTCACCTTGGAATACATGTGTGCACATGATGACATTAAACGCTGGGGTAAATATTTGTTCTTCGCTGATATAACGCGGACATATATGGAAACAGCACAGAGGGCAAAATATAGGTGCACGTGTACCGTTACAGTACAGGGCCCCGTTCCACAAAGCGATCGTACCGCTAAGATGATTTTAACTCCCATACTTTAACATAGACTTACGACTGTCGTAGCGCTACGATCGCTTTGAGGAACGGGGCCCAGGCTTCTAGCAGCCTGTCGTAGCCGGGCGACTAAATGGATCGGTCAGACTCGGGGGCTTGACTAATGGCTGTGACCTCATCGCATCAGTATTCATGATGTCAGTCACTTGGCTGTGTGGACAAAACTCATCTGTCGCACAACATTATTCAAAAGCAAGAGGAAACCCGTACATTGCGAAAACATATTTTATATGAGAACACTGTGCATTTATACGTTAAAAGCAGAACAAGTGTATAAAAACACAAGATCATTATTAAATGATTATAATGATATATGCCTATGATGTACGACGTTTATCAGCTATATGGTGTTATCATACTAGATTTAACAACATAGTTATGTCAACTGCAGGTATAATATCTGATAGCAAAAATATATCTTAAACACATTTCTTTTATAAATTGGTGTAAACACGTTTTGAATACTGTAAACAGAAATACATCAACATGAATATGAAAAAATCACCATATAAACCTCGATTTCTAAATAATTACCGAATCTTTATAGTGATCCATTTCCTAAATGTCATTTTTTGGCCAAAGATGTTACGAGGCAATTCAGCGTGGTTGTACATCTAGCATGTGACGTTAGCATCACGGCTGAAGGAATAACGTCGCGTGCGGAAGAACCGGCTAACTCTGCTGATGAATTTCCTGATGCTGGATCGTCGGCGTGGATACAGACGACGATACTGAATCGCTGCGGCAGGCGATGTTCTGAGATGAAGGCAGAAGCTGCCGCTGCTGCTACTACTGCTGCTGGTGGTGGTGCTGGAGCTCGTGTCCAAGCCACTGTCATCCTCGCCGGGGTACACGTATCTGAAATTAGCGTCCCCAGTAGCCCCGTCGTCCCTGGCGCAGGGCGTGGGATACCCGTACCCAACCCTGACACTTGTCTTGGCCAGGCAGCGATGGAGGGGCGTGTCAGAGAACGAGGATGAACTGGATGAGCTGGAGGACGTCCCATCAGCTGATATGAGCAGAGAGTGGATGTCGTCAGCTGATGACATGCTGCACATGGCACCGTTATGTAACTGGCCTTTCAGTCTCCTCAGATCATTCAGGGCTTTGTTGATTGTGGCGTTTGTGGCCTTTCTGTGGAACAGTGTGCGGAGTAGACGGGTTTCCTCCAGGGACGGGTGCAGCATGTACGTGACAGCGCGCCGGTCATCAGACACCCAAGGGGAGATAAACGCTGACTCGCTTCGGAAAGCAGAAGGGCGGAGCTTGGCCCTTACTGCAGGTGTTGGTGGGTCCATCTGCACCACAGGACGGGAAGGGCGTGGCTTGAATACGATTCACAGTATTTAAAATTCGATGTGTGGTTTGCATTACTCAATGGGTTTTCGAAACAACATGTTTAACAAAACAATGCAATGAACCTGATACTTGATACGTTTTACTTATATGGCTTTAGAAGAAAAGAACAATCGCCAGAGTTCAAATTTAACATATATCTACTATATCTGCATTAAGGCTACACCCAGACATATACCAGAAACCCAATACACCGAATCAGACAAACATTCTGCCATTTCAAGTCAAAAGGGGTCTAACTGAACGAAGCACGTGATCCCAGCTAATGCAGTACTGACCAGATATGGAGGTTTGAGCTCGTCGTCTGAAACCGCCTGCAGCGCACAGTATTTCCTCATGTCCTTCCACGCTGTACAACACAAATACACCAGTTGATGTCATTCTAAAACAGCATACTTGTAGTCTAGTGAGAGAGTGAGTGAGATGGATTTTGTGTGCAACTACTAGGACACCAACAATGGGCCTCCTACATAGTACTCATTGGGGGAGTCGAACATGGACCTTGGGCATGACAAGCGATCGCTTTAACCACGACACTACCCCCCAATCCCTGTACATTAAGAGGGTTTTCAAAATAGACATGTTTGCTAAAAGGGAAAGTATGACAAGTGATGTGGGTATGTTTTGTGATGCATGTGTCACACAGTAATACACTAACACCCTTTACCGCCTCCGTGGTGTAGTGGTTAGAGCGTTACGGAGAGCGGAAGGTCGCGGGTTCGATCCCCGACCGCGTCATACCAAAAGACGTTAAAATATGGAACTTGTTGGTCCCTGCCTGGCGCTCGGCATTAATGGGTACAACAAGGACTGGTCGGCTCGGAGTCAGTATAATGTGTCTGAGTGGGATATTCATGCTTCACTGCGGCATGGTATCTCAGTGGGCTAGCACTATAGAACCAGCTTCAGTCTGGGCTAGTACAAGCAGCCGCACATACACATACACACGCATGCACGTCGTCATATGAGCGAAATATTCTCAAGCACGACGTTAAACCCAATTTCACCTCACCTCACTAACACCCTTTGAGACATAGCTGCCTAGCACTCCATCCTTGGCCTCAGAGGCATCTAAATGGATCAAGTGGTCACGTTTGGTCACTGGATTGACGGCACATCGTTAGCATACGGGATATCTTCTTCTACATTGGTAAAGAATGTGCACGAGCGGCTTCCTTTGAAACTCTATGGAAGTTTTATCACCATATTTATCTGCCTCGCTAAAACAGCAGGGTTTGGGAGGCTTTCCCGACCGTTGTCTGGAAGTCTGTATTCTCACGTCACAAGGCGTCTTACGACAAGCAAGGGTTGCTGTACATAAGTTTTATTTCGGATCTTCAACGGTAGAATGGTCTCCGGGTAGCATAAGTGAGTGAGTGAGTTAAAATTTATAGTCACATCGGCAATATTTCAGCTATATCGTGAGCAAATGAAGTTTTAGATTCATAAAAATTAAACGTAAAGTTATAAATATTTGTCAACAAACGACAGTAAAACAACTAGATTATCACAGATATTAATTTAAAACTTTAAAACTAGTAATTTAATCTAAAATATTTTAACTATGCATGACAGGACAATATATAAACAGGCTATAGATTGCCAGCGACTGAAGGTAGATCACCATTCTAGGAACCACAGGGACTTACAGTACATTTGGTTCCTGCATGGATCCTAGCTGGATTTACACCATCCCTTCAGCTATTAGTAATTTTAGATAATCTAACCATAAATTAAAACAATATGCAAGTATATATACTACGATTAAAAATAGTAGTAGGTTTCAATAAATTTATCATAAATACAGCATCTAACCACCAGATACATGATAACTCCAAGGTTACTCCAGAGTCTACCAGTATTGCTGAGATAACCAAGTCGTAAGTCTTGGCAAGATTACAGAATACCGGATACCTATCCGCCATTTTTATTTTGATTGCGCATTTATTTTTGCGCACTTCGATTTTGTTTCCTTAGCAACGGCACGCGATGAATGAAGGCTGCGTTGAAGCAGCGTTCAATATTAAATATTAAATATTAAACAATATTAAAGCTAAAAAAAGGTAAGATAATGGGGGTAAAGGGGGTACCCCCCTTTATTTAAAAGCCTTACCTACCTTACCTTACCAATCAAAAATGACTTACCATCAGAGTGTTCCCACACTGTAGAGTTCCTTTTCCCAGCATGCATTTGAATAAAATTTCAACACACGATTACTTTTTACTCTGTTTACGTCAGTGAACGCTGTTAAAATCCCCAGTTTAGGTTTCCTAAACCGGAAGTAAGGTTAGGAATTCGATTTTAACCTTATTTTTTACCTTAAATTCTTATTTTTATTGGGATCGCTCGCAGGCTCGCGCTCTCTGTTTCTTCTATATATAGGAGCCTCACGCGCACAATAGAATGAATATAATTAGGTATCCAGTATTCTGTAATCTTGCCAAGACTTACGACAGTCATAGCGCTAAGAGAGCTTTGTGAAACGGGGCCCTGGTATTTACGGTTTCAAATGGGGGGTGGTGGATGAAAGAGCTGCACTTACAATAGCAATGATATTCAAGACTTATAACAAACATCTTCTAAAATGCTTCACTTGAAAAACGACAACTCTAGACTGAGGCATCCTGTATTGAAAGTACGTTCTCTAAATTGAAAACAAAGTACGTTTATCTCCTGTTTCTAGTATTATTTCCACACAGTCCTAATAATTTTCATTTATTCTTTTTCCATAGCAAATCCTCATCAATTTTCCCACAATATCTTCAGTATGATGTTTTCTTTAGATGAAGCAACACAGAAAATGGTTGGCATTTACTGTTGGCCGGTTCACAAACATGCAAGCACTGTTCGGAAACAGTGGTACCGAATACATACGAACTACAGTCCATACATACGTTTGTATTAGAATAATAGAATAATGAAAACGGGTGTACTCACCGACACGCGTTTCTTTCATCCCGAATGGGCGGTGATGTATAGTCGGCACACCTAGCTTCTTGGACGTTGTCGCCCAAAATATGAAACTATCAATGACGTCATAAACAGGCAAACGAGAACAATGAGATGACGTTTACAAGTGACGTCATAGTTCCGATTTCGGCGTCAAACCCCGCCCCGCCTGTGTGCTGTGCTCCAGGGGATCGAACCATTGGCATTCCACGCTCTATCCAGAACACCACGGAGGCGGTCGAAGACCGTCAGTGTAGAAATATTGAGTGTGAAAAGTTTCGATATTTGCGCTTCGATTCAGCAATTCTCAATGTGGGATGTGATGTCATGTTGCTTTAATATTAATGAGAACAAACCAAGCGCCATAACATGGCAAAGATGTTGTAATGTCAACTATTGCAAATTTACAAGATAACTACCCTAAGGATAGCAGTCAAAAGACGACAGAGGGGTTAACAAACGCATAAAGAAAATGGGACATAACTCCGCTATGTTTCACACAAGATAAATTTAACTCGGGTCACTCGGTGAGAATTTGTTGTGGATAAGGACAATACATTTCCGAGATGTTTTGTTCACGAGGAACCAAACTAATCGAACACAAAGATTATCACAAACAACAGGAAATTATATTTGTTTGTTGTTTAACACCACACTCAACAATCTTCCAGCTACTAAGTATTTGCCGTCGGTCTGTAAATCAACGAGTTCGAACCCGAGTTTGAATCAACCCAGTGATCAACAGCATGAGCATCGATCTACGGAATTGGTATGCAATCACATGTGTCAACCAAGTAAGCGAGTCAGACCACCCGATCCCGTTAGTCGCCTCTTACGACAAGCATGGGTTGCTGAAGATGAATTGTAACCCGGGTATAGAGTTTTAAATTATAAGACACATACAAGAGGAAGTAATAGTGAAACGGATGGCCGGTCAAACACGTGGACTAGGCCGTATGTCCCACATTCACCTGACTGTGTGTGTATTTTGACAAATTACGTAGTACCAAACTCACCTTGAAATGAAATAACAACATTTTCCAAATCAGTTAAAGGAAAATACGAACGAAACTCGTACTCGTATTTCCGCCTATTACGGAAACACCCGACAGTTAATGAGCAGAGGGGGTATTACGTGACTTGACGTCATAAGTGCCTGTTGCTGTTGTTTAATGTCTCTGTTTGTTATATTGACAGTGGTCTAGAGATTAACAGATATCTTACCCAATCTCAATTTATAGTTTAGAAAATCTCCAATGTATGAAGAACAGTGCGTTTTCATTATGAAATTACATAAAAAACAAACCTTGTAAACCCTACACTACTGTTTCGGGGGGCCATGAAGATCCATGTGTTACAATTAGTCTTCAGCAACCCCTGCTTGTCCTTAGAGGCTATGACTGGATAACCATGCCCTCTGACGTGGTTGACATGTCATATTCCAATTGTGAAGATCGATGCTTATTGTGTCAATAACAGGATTGTGTGGTCAAAACATGAATTTTTAGTGATCACCGATATAACTCCATCTGAGGACTTAACTTCCTTATGTTGCGTTATGGGTTTTCAGACGCTTAAAAACATCTTTTGTTATCTCGATTATCCCACCAACAATTTTAAACATGTCACTAACTAAAAGAAGATATCTTTATACGAAACGCAATTCATCATTCAAGAGTTCACAATGTCTGTGCGCTCTTCGTTGCAGGTCCTGTGAGTACTTCGTCGGTCAGACATATGACTTCCGAAAATCTTTGATCTGAAGAATAGTTATCAACTTCCAGGAAGACAGATGTTTCACTCCAAAACGAATATTTGTTGCTTTTTGCCTAGTCGGCAATATTCTAGTGTCGAGCGGGCGGTGGGGTAGCCTAGAGTTCGCTCCTCATGCTGAAGAGACCCAGGTTCGATTCAACACATGGGTACAATGTGTGAGGCCCATTTCTGGTGTCCCCCGCCCCGATATTGCTGGAATATTGCAGGAATATTGCTAAAAGCGGCGTAAAACTAAACTCACTCACTCTCTCTAATGGCCAGCAAATAATACCACATCCACTGGTTGACATAACAAGCAACAGTTCATGCTGTCAGATATGAACCAGTGTGGACAACAGTGTCATGGACCAGTTCTTCAAATGGGTATGCATAGAATAGTGTTGTTTCTTCAGACTATCTAAATAAAACACCAAAAATAGAATTCACATTTTTATTGATCGGTCAGAAAATATATATTTGGAATAACAACTTTTAGACCAGACCAATTTTATTTCTTGTTTTACGGATTTTTGTCCTCAGAAAACCTAAAGGCAGGAGGGAAAAAAATGAAAATAAAATCACCAGTCAAAATAATATTACTTCTAATTAGTATTTTACTTTTGGCAATTTATGAAGTGTATAATTATGGGGCAAAAAAACAATCTAAAAACTTTTTTTGTAATTTTACTTTTTTGGCCAATAAAAACATTAGGATTTTATATTTTGAGCGGGGAAAATTAATAAAAAAAATTCTTATTCTTTAAAAAAATATGACAGGCGGATCCCTAAAACAAGAAATAAAATTGGTCTGGCCATAACATACAATATGTTCCGACATTCATCAACTCAAGTGACAATAACAGAAATATAACTATTATAACAACACAACAAAAACAAGCTTTAACCACATCAAGACATGCTGACAGTCTGTGCTGTCTCAGTAATCATAATTGTTTGTGTCCCTTGACCAAGGTAAGGGATGTTTTGTTATATACAAGTATGCTACCTCAAGTGGTACGCCTGGAAAAGCCAAAGTGATACACTAAATAGGCTCAGTGAACTAAGCTGGACCTGAAGAATATAGCCTCCTTGCGAAGAACCCAAAAGGACCTGGTCAACATAATTCGCTTTGAAGAACACAAACAAGCCCTGATGGAAACAAAAACAGCCCTGTTCATCATGAATATTTCCTGATCACTATGAGTGAGTTTGCTTATGGCAAATGTTCAATATCTGTGGTGAGTGGTTGAAACTAAAAGATGATTAGACATATTCTAGAGAAATATAACTTTCAAATTCTCCTCTCCAGAAATAATGTAACACATTATGTGATGCAGCTACAAAGTCACACACACTTTTGAGTACTGTGAAGCTATACATTGTACTTGAGCAAACAATTCTGTTTATATCACACGTCTCGATATGTCAGTGAAACAACTGTCGATTCTAATCAAATATGATTATCAGGCTTTCAAACTGGATTTTCACACTTCTGTTTTGATGTTTTGGTTCCATAAACCAAACAACAAAATAATAAACACCAAAAATGGTTTGTCCAGGATGATGATGTTATCAGTGTGCTCCCATGGACCCGGCATCCCTCCAACAACTGTCGATCAACATTTGATTCAGCCCGCTGGTAGTCTTCATTTGTGAGTGAGTGAATGAATGAATTTAGTTTTATGCTGCACTCAGCAATATTCCAGCTACTAAGTATTTGCCTAAGTATGAGCATCGATCGGCGCAATTGGGAACCGATGACATGTGTGAACCAAGTCAGTGAGCCTGACCAGTAATTGTACTAATACTGCATAGGTTACAACTAGTCTCAAGTGAGAGGTGGTCGAGTTGACTGAAGTGAAGTGTGAACTAATTACATCAAACACATCATCCACTCAGGACCATGCTTCCAGAATCCCAGAACATAATAACGTGATCATGTCACACATGCCGTAAAATAGCATTGATGATATGTAACCCGACAACTCATCTTCTTTTACATAATGCTTGACCTACAAACACTGATTTACAGTTAATGCTTTAGTCTGTGAATGTTCAAATTGTATAGGTGAAAATTCCATCATGACAAATTAGGAATAGAATTTAGTGTTACAATGAAAATGATTGCATGCAATTGGGGGGAGTGTTACTGTACATAGGTCTAATGAATTATTGAACATTTTAAAATTAAAATTTAATTTGAAATACTTAGACACAAAAATTTAATCAACCACTGTTTCAAGACACAAAAGTTGGTCAACATGGAGGCACACACTTCCCTTACTGCCATCAGTACTTGAGCACAAATCAGATCCTGACAATATAATCAGCTGAGGAACGCACCATCTGTTTGCAGGCATTCTATGAGTACATAAGAATACAATCCATTTGTAGGCTTACTAGGAGTACTTGGATTTATCATCCAAAACTGTGTTCCACAGGAGATATTGCTTGTGTGAGATCATACGATATCTCCTGGGAGATATCATTTTGACAGTAGATTTAGCACAATGCCCTGACAATGCTATGACGTCATGAACTTGATGATGTCACAATGCTATGCCATCGCCGCACTGCAAGTCTAATGGCAGTACTGTGTTCAGAGATGTACAGTTTTCATTGAAGACTAATGAAGTGTGATTTTTGATGATAAATAGAATCTCACCCTAGTCACTTTTGATATCAAATATATCAACTCTCGTTGATGATCAGCAAGCCTTATTTGTTACTTTATCAACTCGTGGTGATATATTTGATATCAAAAGACACTCGGGTGAGATTCTCTATGTACCATCTGTTTGCAGACTTACTATGAGTACTTGGATGTACCATATGTTTGCAGACATACTATGAGTACTTGGATGTACCATCTGTTTGCAGATTTACTATGAGTACTTGGATGTACCATTTGTTTGCAGACATACTATGAGTACTTGGATGTACCATCTGTTTGCAGACATACTATGAGTGCTTAGATGTATCATCTGTTTGCAGACATACTATGAGTACTTGGATGTACCATCTGTTTGCAGACTTACTATGAGTACTTGGATGTACCATCTGTTTGCAGACTTACTATGAGTGCTTATGTACCATCTGTTTGCAGACATCTTGGATGTACCATCTGTTTGCAGACATACTATGAGTACTTGGATGTACCATCTGTTTGCATGTGTTTGCAGACATACTATGAGTACTTGGATGTACCATCTGTTTGCAGACATACTATGAGTACTTGGATGTACCATCTGTTTGCAGACATACTATGAGTACTTGGATGTACCATCTGTTTGCAGACATACTATGAGTACTTGGATGTACCATCTGTTTGCAGACATACTATGAGTACTTGGATGTACCATCTGTTTGCAGACATACTATGAGTACTTGGATGTACCATCTGTTTGCATGAGTACTTGGATGTACCATCTGTTTGCAGACATACTATGAGTACTTGGATGTACCATCTGTTTGCAGACATACTATGAGTGCTTGGATGTACCATCTGTTTGCAGACATACTATGAGTACTTAGATGTACCATCTGTTTGCAGACATACTATGAGTACTTGGATGTACCATCTGTTTGCAGACATACTATGAGTACTTGGGCATGCTGTCCCCCTCATGGTACCGGTTCTGCTGGGAGGGGTAGAAGTACTGCATGGGGGGAGGAGCAAATGTTTGCACAGCTCGTCGCTCCACGGACTGGTCCATGATGGCAGCCAGTCCTTCTTGCATCAGAACCATCTCACCACTCTCCCGCGTGAACACAGATGAGTAGGAGTGGCGTGAATCCAAGTGTGGCGGAATTGGGTCATTGATAATCTGGTGCTGTGAGTCCAGGCCCTCCACAGTGTATGGCTTCTTCCCTGCACAGGAGTCCATGTGAGCATAATGAATTGGGTCAGCTGCTGGTAGCATCAGTGGCTGGCCTTGAGGTGTCAGTGGAGGATGACCTGGAGCCACACCTGGAGGTGGCCCTTGAACTGCTTGAGCAGGATCCGATGATGGCCCTGAAGGAAGGCCTTGCTGAAGTCCCTGTGGAGGTCCATGAGGAAGCCCTGAAGGGATTCCAACTGGAATCGGTCCTGCATGGATAGTATCATCTGGTCTCATCTCATACCCTGATGATGTTGGAATCACAGACTTCCGTATACTTTCTATAGACTGAGCATATTCTTGTAAAACCTGATCATGGCTGTCTGCAATACTGCTTGATGGAAGACTGCATCCTAATGTCTTAGACTCTATAGTTCCTGATTCAAATTCAGGAAGATCTGTGACTTGATTTGGGTCAATACTGACAGCAATACGAGGTGATGCTCGTTTCTTGTTAATGTTCTTGTGTCGGGCCTCGTGTCTGCGGACCTCCTTCTTGTTGATGAACCCTTTACCACATACAGAACACTTGATGAGATTATCAGGATTATGCCTCTTCATGTGGTCTGAGAGAAACACCGACTTGGCGAAAGCCTTCCCCACAGACATCACAGCCGTAGGGTCGTTCACCGCTGTGGTAGCCCATATGACTCTTCAGGTCCTTGTTGTTAGGGAAGCCTCGGTTACACAACTCACAATATATCAAGATCGTCTTGCAGAACTTTCGCTGATGAAGCTTGAAGTAGGTTGGATCTGCAAAAGAATCTCCACACATGTGACATTGAAGGAGGTTCTTGCCTGTATGGGTTTTCTTGTGAATTTCAAGATAGTACACATTTCTATATTTCTTCCCACATATGTCACAGTCGTGTCCTGTGTAACCTTCATGCATTAACTTGTGAACCTTCAGGGCCTTGCCAGTTGTGAAGCGCTTACCGCACACTTCACAGATAAAGTTCTTTAGTCCAAGGTGGATCTTCTTGTGGTTGTGCATCTGGAGGTTCGAGGCGAACACCTTGTGGCAAGAATCACATTGGTAGGGCTTCAGGTCACTGTGGACCACCATGTGTTTGGGAACGGATGTCTTGTATGCAAAACCCTTGCCACAGATTTCACATAGATAAGGCTTCTCGCCGGTGTGGACTCTTCTGTGATTGGTCAGATCACCTGGGTTGATGAAACTCTTTTGACAGTACTCACATTTGTAGGGTTTATCAATGATATGAGTTTTCAGATGACTCTTCAATCTGTTTGCACTCACCAAAGCCTTACCACAGACCTTACAAACATAGGACTTAATACCGCTGTGGATGTTTTGATGATCTTTCAGAGACTTCCCTGACTGGAAAATCTTGTAACATATCTCACACTTGTATATGTCACCATCATGGGAAGCTTTGTGCTGTTTCAGAAGGGTCAGACTTGAGAAACATTGTCCACAGTTCTTGCAGGTGAAGGGTTTGCCTGTCTCACCTTTGTGTATCTCCTGATGCAGCTCGAAGCTCAACTCATCCTTGAAAGTGATACCACAGTACATGCAGCGATAGGGTTTGCCATTTCGGTGCAGGCGGAGATGGTTCTTCAGGAGGGAACTCTTGATGAAAGTTTTCGGGCATAAAGAACATTTGTACTGCTGGTCGAGTGACCTTGTCTTCTCGTTTCCCTTGTGGTCTGTGAACATGTGTGAACGAAGGTCTTCTTCATCTGTGAACCCCATCCGGCAGACTTTACAGATATGAACAGGAATGTTGCTGTGATAGTTGAGGGTGTGTCGCTTCAGTGCTTTGATTCTACTGAACAGTTTCCCCGCACTCCTTACACTGGAAGACCTTCTCCCCCGAATGTTCCCTCACATGGACTGTCAGGTCACTCCTCTCCAAGAAACTCTTATCACAATGCTCACATTTGAAACACTTCTGCCCTGCGTGACTTCGCATGTGCTTCTGGAGACTGCTCCTCGAGTCAAACACTTCGCTGCATACATCACACGTCAGGTTCTGCACATGCAACACAGAGTGAATCGACAATTGGATTTCGGAATCAAACTTCTCAAGGCACTGATCACATTTTATCTCCTTCTCGCTCTTGACTTGGTCCCCAATATATTCATCCCTGTTACTGTCAACGGATGGACAACCATCAGAGTCATCATCTGCACGTTCTTCACCTAAACAGGTAATAGGTCCCGTAACAGCATCTTTAGAAACAACCTTGACCTTGGAGATCTCTGACTCTGGTCCCAGATCTGCAGGTTCACCCTTCTCTGTGGAGTCCTTGAATGTTGCTGTCTGACCTCTGTCGGACCCTGACCCAGAATCACAAGCTACATACGAATCATCACATTGTGAACATTCATGTGCTCTTTCCTCAGCAAAGATGCTAAATCTGATTTCTGTCCTGTGTGATGTGACACTGTTTCCACACTTTCCATACACATCAGTGTTGTAGACACTGAGTGCTGCATCCTCACAAAGAAACAGTTTCTCATGCAGTTTGTCAAGCGAGAGACTTGCTGCCAGTGGGGAGAACTTAACATGGAGATCCACGGTATCAGCTGTACAATATGTTTTAGCAAAGTGACACCGCAGTGCAACTATTCTGCTCCCCTCGTCGGCTGGATCCATATTTAAATGGCTGATGGTATGTGACCTTCACATTTAGAATAAACTGTCATGTTTGCGTATAGTAGGACATGTTCTTCCTCTTTTGATTGTATCTGGAAAGAGAAACACAGTAGATTAGTGTAAGAACATGCCAAACTGAAAGCCATTTTGCCATACAAGAATAATTTGGCCTGTGAGTGATAGTGGTGGTCCGATTAATTGAAATAATCGAAGATTGGTCGCAGTGACTAAACGACCAAGCAATCGAACATGTTTTCTCATAATCGAATGCAACCAATCTTGGAACACTTGTTTGCATCAACAATATTTTTCACAAGGTTGCTTTTGTCTGTGTCATAATTACATTTCATAGGCACAACAAGCTCGTTCCAAGTCATGATTGAATTTATCTTCAAGAATCCATGAAATCTGTGTTCCTAACATACTAATAATCCTTTAAATATGCAAAATTTGCAAATGGATTTCGTTTAATTTGCAAAAAAAACCAAATTACTACATGTTTTATCTTTATTTTTTCCAAAGACAACAGGAACATTTGATAAATGACGCTAACCAATTATTTTCGATGATTGATCGGTTGTAAGGGACCAATCATCAATTATAAGATTTTAACCAATTCCCAACATGAGTGAGTGAGTGAGTGAGTGAGTGAGTGAGTGAGTGAGTGAGTGAGTGAGTGAATAGGTCTAAGACAAGTCTCAATCTACAACCCTGGAACTTGATCCCCTACTGCCTGACTTTACCTGGTTACACACTGTAGGTCTCAAGAGATGGGTACAAAATGAATGATTTGGAATTGTTTTAATAGAGACCTTGCAAAAACTGTTGGTAAACACATATAGAGAGATCTGATGATGCAAAAACCACTAAAGTATTATTGAACAATTAAAACTTTGAAGGAATGTGAGCAAAATAGACAGTAATGTGAACCCAAAAAGCTTGTTTTGCAACCATGTAATTTTCTTATTTTCATCAAACAATATATCATATCCACATCGTCATCCTATTCATGACTTACCTGACGCGAGTACACATAAAAACCATCACAGACCTATTCAGTGTCCATGACAAGATAAGAGCGATATGACAACTGGGAAACAGGAAACAAGAAAACCCAGCAGTAAATTACGGGATAATTGTTAGGGACAGAATGCGACGCCCAGTTCACGTGACTTTAGCCAAATTTGTAAATGACATTATGACAGAATATTTTTATGTCCAGAACGTACAAATGTCTTATCTCCTGCAAAATCACTACCCATGGAATGGAATTTGTGCGTTTAAACACCCATGATTAAACAATTTGAATCAGGATACTAAATTCCCTATTTATAGAACTTAGGAACGGAAGGTGTATTCTTTGCATACGTTCTTTAAAAGTGTTGACTAATTTATAAAAGGTGTGACACTTTCCGTATGGTAACACACGTAATCGATATCAATGAGGAAAATAAGTCACTTGGTTCCCGGCCCGGTCCGTTGGTTGAGCTTGGTTACCAGACCAAACGGAATACTGCATCACAGGCATAGGGTCATGTCAGGAATTATCGGGACACGTGTAGTGAATCAGGATATATGCTAACACATATGAGTCTGTGTGTTGATAAATATATATCTGCTTAATGACGGAAAGTGACATATCTGAAGGCATACCTTACTTCGTATCCATTGTTTTCAATAACCCCTCACAGTACGACAGAACTTGAGAAAACTCCAGTCAAGGGGAGATAACTCAGTGGAAGGGTTAACCGATGGAGACCACTAAATATTCGCAAGACGGAGCCCTTCCCATCAGCATTGAGTCAATGTTCAAAGTCTAAAATCTGTGCCATTAGAATCTTCTATGACAGAAGTGCTTTTGTGTTACACCTTATTTATTGCAGCAAAACGACAGGTCTGACATCATTTATCAGTCAATAAAAGATCAAATCCAAGAACGCTGTAGATTATCCCTGATCAAACGCAACAGACAACAGTCTTGAAAGTGCATCGCAGCTTTGTAACTTTATAATAATATTCAAGACTGAGTTGTTTTAATAAAAAATGATATGAAAATATTTGTTAAAAAGAAAGAATTTTCTGGAAACATATTGGAGCTGTGCAAGCGACACCCTCACGTACAATACAGGGCCTAGATTTTCGAAGCTCTCTTAGCGCTAAGATAGTCATAAGTCAATGTTAATGTATGGCACTTACGACTGTCGTAGCGCTAAGAGAGCTTCGAAAATCTAGGCCCTGGCTTGAGATTCCAGCTTTCATCACTCGTGTCACGCTTCCATGACAAAACAGTTAAATATCATGCCCTACTTGGTTCATATGAAAAATCACACCAGTAGGAATGAATGCATCGTTTCCAATGACTTTTCGGAGAAGACAATGAGTAATTATGCGTTGGCTTCAGGAAGCGGAACCCACATGAGGATCCAACCTGGACCCGGCCGGGGCCTGCAGTCCTTGGATCCCGGCGTCTCTTGGGGTTGGAAAGAGCTCTCAGCTCAGCTCAGACTGAAATGCACCATATGCACTGCAGCGTAATTCTTTCAGTCGTTTTCCCCTTCATGGCCAAGATGACAGTTCCACTACAAACCAAAGGAGAACAAACGCGTGTTCAACACCCCTTCGGATAGATCTCCACAGCTCACTGGACCTAACTGGTCAACTTTAGGGTGATTACCGTCAAAACGACCAAAATACCATTATCTCATAGCACACGCGCACACGCACACGCACACACACGTACAATATTATCCCCGTGTCACCTCACTTCACTTCTCACCTCAGCGATTAAAAACGACAGTAGGCAGAACTATTTTTATCCGGTGAGGATGGTAAACACATCATTTTGGAAGAGTGCCAAATAATATGCAGTTTCAAACTGTAAACAAACACCAATAACGTATACTTTATGGGAGGATTTTTGTAGAGTCGTGAGATTCGAATAGGGACCAAATGCAAGCTATGGTGGCGAACAGGTCTATACATGACGGAATGGAGAGATGCTCCAGAAAAGAACATGAACGTGAACTCGACGACAAAGCGTAATCACATTAATACGCAAAAGCTAAACTCACTCACTCAATGTTCTTTGCTGCAGTACATCATTCCTTATTACACAACGGAATCTATATCGAGACGCCACATCATAATATAATAAGAAGTTGTCATCCACAAAGTGTCTTACCTTTCCTGGCATTACAGCACATTGAATTTGTATAATACATCCACACATCCCAAAATCATTTAAATAGTGATGCTCGATTGAAAGCAAATCTATGTTGTGTTGTCAAAACTTTGTCTGACGTGAATACTCATAAGATATACCAGGGAGACTGTTGTAGATTATCCCAGGATATACTCATCGAATTGATTCATCCTTGTACAGGTGCAGTGTGCGAAATAGTTTCCAAGTTTTGCCTCATGTCATGTACAAAATCAGTGACCCCTTCCCATAATTTCTAAGTATAATTTTAAACATATGTTATTGTACAAAATTGCTGACCCCCCTAGTACGTGTGTACAAAATTGCATGATTTAAAAGTGTATTATAACTTAACTAGTCGGAGAGAGCGGTGTATTTATAAAATCACCCCATGAAAATTCACTAGCCAGTCGAGCCAGTGACTGGAGATTTACTGGCCCGACTAGATATTTATTAGCCACGGGCTAGCGGACCAGTGGCTTTTTCGGACACTGCACAGGAGGAATGAAGATCTCAAACCTCGAAAAGATATAAAAATCATCGAAAGTGTAGGCGATCGAATAAACATTTCCATAGCGGTATCAAATTCAGCTTTCAAGTATTATCTCCCTTGAATTAATAGCAGCCATTGCCAACAAACTCCAAGAAATGTATGTTTGTTTAATTTCTAACGAATTCTTTATTATGCGCCAAGGAAAGAGGAACACAATCATCAATGCGGGTAATTGAATACTTTCCTGTTTTTATTATTTTACTGTTTATTGCAGAGGCAATAGCGGACGAGAATAGTCTACACAGACAAAACCACACTGACGAGTCGATCATAGTTGCTGCAGTGAATCTAGGATCAGAAACAAAACACTGATGTTGAATGCCATTGTACTTAATAGGCCAGAATCCAGAATGCAGTTTACAGAGCTAATGATCTCCTACTGCCCACCGTGGGTCTCACCCCACTGATCTCACGTGCCCCTTCCGTTCGTCGAGCTCGTACCTCCTGGTTGGTCTCAGGACTAATGCTGAAGGGGTCGTTGTCGGCACAGGTACTACAGATATGTACCCTAAACAAAGTCAAAATACAGAAACGTACCCGGTACCCTTAAAGGCGGACGAGTCCATATTCCGCAATCAAAAACCGAAACCGTATATATGTAGTTGTTCCCGTTCAACTGATTCCGAGTGGTATTCAAGTGCATCGCGAAATATCCGTTACTGTGTATTCTCATTACTTACATAACACAATCAAATGTATCTAATACAACAGTATTACAGTTCCAGTCAAGAATACGACACAATGGGAATGGAATCGTCCTAGGGTACGTTTCTGTATTCTCATTATGGCCAAGGTACATATCTGTAGTACCCGTGCCGACGACCCCTTCAGCAGGACTAATATCAAATTTGATACCCATCGCCCATTTATGTAACATTTTCTCCCCCACCTCCTCCCCTTCCTCTTCTTCTTCCCCTCCTCATAATAAAAGGCTAGTCCCTACATATGTTTAAATTTAGAACTTTTAGTAGAACTATTTTTTCAAGCCCCTGATCATTGTCATGGGAGTTCTTGAGATTAGATCTGACAAAATTGACCCCCCCCTAAGGCAACTAACATTCAGCAAGGGGCTTCTTGACTTTCATGCTTATTTTCGGACACTGTCTTACCTTCAGCATGTTCAGCATCTTCATCCTTTTGCAGGTTTCACCACAAGCCTGGCAAAGGGAGGTAACTGAACATGGCTGGGGAAGACTATGTGTCTTTAGTCAGTGTACAGAAGAACCCTTGCATGTACATCAGGACTGTGTGTGATGGAGATGTCGGCATTGGCAAGGATTTGTTTTGCAACCACAGAATATATTCAATATTGTTCTATTGAAACATATTGAAAGAAGAACTGCTTATTTGTGATAGATTCTCAGTTTAGTAAGGTCTCAAGACTGGTTGTTTGTTGAATCGATATGCTCACCTTCTCCTGTGGATTCATGATAACTGTTATCATGATCCACAAACAGATTGATTCACGGATATAATGAAAACATTTCTGTGCAAGTTTTTGAGGTTACTTGTACAGTCCATGATGCTTGTTTGTCAGCGTTGGAATCTTCACTGTATTGCTAAAAATGAAAAGTGTCAGGGGAAAACATCATTTGTGATTGGCATCAATAAGACACAAGACAAAAACTGATGATCATGATGTTACAGATGTTACAATCTTCTGGTAGAGCTGATTTTGCACAGGGGAGATTATTTACTGATGCCACATTAACATTATTACAAGAGTAGATGCCAGGATCAAACAAATCATTTTCGATGTTGCAATGCTTTGGGAGAAAACTGCTGACAGACTAGTGGTCCAGTTGTTGTGTCAGCTCTCCTTTCATCATGCCCAAGAGTCGACGAAAACGAGGCCAGCCAAAGGATAGAACCAAGGTGAAGGACAAGCCTGTGACAAGTCAAGAAGAAACATGTTTGGCTCTTCTGCAGTGTTCGTTTGTCCAGGCCACTGTGTCGGATGCTGCATTAGAGGTCAGCTTGAAGGTCGAGCCCGGAGTGACTGACTCCAACAGACACATCTTCAGTGCATTCATTCATGGAGAAGTCAAGTGCAGTGATGTCTCTACAAAGATTCTGCCAGTCGAGGTGTATGAGAATTGTGATTGTGGAGAACAGATGCAGAAGCAAGACACTGTAATTAGTTTCACGCTGATTGCTTCTGATTTTAAGTCTGAATGTAACATCTGTCATGACCATGGAAACTTGACCAGTAGATCATGTGCCGACCTCGAGAGCTGTGACAAGTCTGAGATGGTCATTCCTATGGACACGCAGTTGAAGGGCAAAGGTGAAGGTCATGCACCTCCCAAAGACATCTTTCCTGAAGAAGCATTTACTCCTGGACATGAAGCAACTGAAAATGACCTTATAACTGTAAGAACTAGTTTATCTGAAAGGCCAAGGAGATCTAGGACTAAAATGATATATAAAGATTTTGAGAGTATGTCAGACAGTGAAAGCATGTTGGATTATGTAGCCAGTGGTGATGGTGATGTTGTTGATGATGTTGAAGACCGAGAAGGGGTTGGAGGAGCTGCTGGTGCCAGCATGGGACGTCATGGGGGTGGGAGGAGGAGGGTAAACACTGTAGGGGAGAGGAAAGGAAAGGCCAAGTCCTTGGGAGGAAAATCTTATAAATGTAAAACATGTGGCAAAGATAAGTCAAAACTGACTGGAAAGGGTGAGAAGTGTCATAGTGGATGTAAATATGCCAGATGTGATCTATGTGACAAACGCTTCAAATCTTTGGAAATGCTGAAAAAACATGAAAAAACTCATTCTTCAGAACTTACCTCTGTGTGTTCTGTCTGTGGTTCTTCCTTTCAGAGTGTGCAACATTTAACAAGACACATGAAAACTCATAAGGCTTCCAAGGAGTTCAAATGTGACACATGTGGAAAATCTTTTTCGGATGCATCCTCTCTGAGGGTTCACACTCGTGTCCATACTGGTGAGCGACCCTATCAGTGTGACACTTGTGGGAAGACGTACACAGATTCCTCAGCCCTGCGCAATCACAGGAAGTGCCACAGTAAGCAGAAGTTTAAGTGTGATTCATGTGACAAGACATTCTCATCCAAGATGTCCTTGAGAAGCCATCAGGGCATTCACACAGGGCACCGACCTTTCACCTGTACTGTATGTGGGAAAGGTTGTTTGACCAATTCTCACTTAAAGAGACATGCAAGGCTCCATACAGGGGTTCGGTCACATAAATGTGACTCCTGTCCGAAGGCGTTCTTTGATTTAAGAGATTTGAGTGTTCATCGCCGTGTCCACACAGGTGACAAACCCTTTAGCTGTACTATGTGTGACAAGACGTTCACAATGGGGAGCTCCCTGAAGAAGCATATACTTCTCCACAGTGAGTTGAAGCCGTTCAAGTGTGATGTTTGTGACAAAGAGTGTGTGACGGAACTGCAGTACCGCTGTCACATGAAGATACACAGTGATGACAAGAAGTTTATCTGTGAGTTGTGCGGCAAACGGTTTCTCACAGCAAGCAATCTCCGTTCCCATGACATCACCCACAAGGGTTACAAGCAGCACAAGTGCGACCAGTGTGGGAAGAGTTACCGCAGTGCATGGTACCTGCAGATCCACAGGAAGACCCACACAGGGGAGAACCTGATCCAGTGTCACTCGTGCGGTGACTGGTTCATCGATCCCTCCTACTTCAAGCTGCATCAGCGGAAGTACTGTAAGGGGAGGCTGGAGTACTGCAGTGTGTGTGGCCGGGGATTCCCCACCAACCGTGACCTCACAAGCCACATGGGCATTCATACAGGTGAAAGACCGTTTGGCTGTGAAACCTGTGGCAAGGGTTTTGCTAAGCCTGAAGCTTTATCAGAACATGTGAAACGGCACACTCTGGAGAACTGTGTCCGATGCAAAGTGTGCAGCAAACCCTTCATTAATACAAACGAATTGCGGAAACATGAAGTCCGACATGGAAAAGTCAAGCTTCGAGCAACACTTCCTGATAATCTGAAACCAGGCAACAGAGATATTGACATGCCACAGACAGAGCCAGATTGGGAGCCATGTGACAGTGACTTGGAGCCGAGCACAACAGCAGAGCAGCAGTTATCTGGTGATGCAAGACCCATGGCACAGAGCACTATAGCTGATGGGAGACCTTCCGCCTTTACTGAGACCACTGACTATAATACAGGGCATATATCACATGCACCATCTGTTCAAGATACAGGACATATATCACATGCACCCTCAGCTCATGATACAGGGCATATATCACATGCACCCTCAGCTCATGATACAGGGCATTTATCACATGCACCCTCAGCTCATGATACAGGGCATTTATCACATGCACCCTCAGCTCATGATACAGGGCATTTATCACATGCACCCGCAGCTCATGATACAGGGCATTTATCACATGCACCCTCAGCTCATGATACAGGGCATTTATCACATGCACCCACAGCTCATGATACAGGGCATTTATCACATGCACCCTCAGCTCATGATACAGGGCATTTATCACATGCACCATGCAGCTCATGATACAGGGCATTTATCACATGCACCCTCAGCTCATGATACAGGGCATTTATCACATGCACCCACAGCTCATGATACAGGGCATTTATCACATGCACCCACAGCTCATGATACAGGGCATATATCACATGCACCCTCAGCTCATGATACAGGGCATATATCACATGCACCCTCAGCTCATGATACAGGACATTTATTGCATGCACCCTCAGCTCATGATACGGGATATATATCACATGCACCCTCAGCTCATACAGGATACATGTCACATGTACCCTCAGATCACAATACTGGTCAGTTCTCTCATGTTCAAACAAACCTTCAGTCAACTGCAACCACCTTCAGAACAGATGGGGACTACAACGAACCTCCCTCCCACCTGAAGCCGGTGGATCCCAGCATGACGTCCTCTGTAGGCGGCCATGACGGTGGTCTGTACTCCAGCAGCCTGTCCAGTATACACCAGGCAGACATGATGCTGTCAAGGGGGGACCACTCCGCCATGATGGTGAATGACCAGGGTCAGATTGTGTATGACGGACAACATTATGCCATGTGTGAGATGCAGGACAATTCCTGAATACTTGTAGAGTGTTGGTGACACTTGTGGTATGTTTATCATGTTCACAGAACTCTGAGTGTGGGGTTTTTTCCCTATTTTTTTATGTTTATATACAAATGAATGGCATTATCTTTGTGATTCATACATAAAGGATTCACTTATTCATATACAGTCACACTAACTGTTTCGGTTGAATACCATTGTCAGTAGTAGCAGCGTTGTCTCAGTGAATCTCACATTCCAACTCCTTGTCCAATAGACCGATCCAGTCCCGGCCGATAAGCCCCGCCCACTTCGTTTTTGACGTTAGGGGGACAACCACTGGCAAATCACAATGGCGTCACCGCCGGCGAAACGTTACGTGATTGCGAACGTTGTTGGTGAATTCTGCTTGTGATACTTTGGTATCCGTCGTTTGTGAATGTTATTTAAAGAGGCAAGTTATACGTATGTGATTTTTAATATATTTTAGATGGCAGATTACAACTGGCGAGTGAAAATGAGTTACATGCCCGATGAAAAAGCATCTCGACTAGCTGCTGAGACTGTAGGAAGCGTAATTTCTTCGAATCAATTAATCTATCTGGCAATTATTCACCACCGTCCACAGATATTAGCAGGGGAAGGATAACTGAATTTTGTTGTTTGGGTTTATAATTTTAAAACTCGTGGAACACAACCACATGTTCATGTTGCAGATCGCTTCGTATCTATAAAAAAGATTATCAACACTGCGCTGCGTGGCGCTTTACTTATCCGTTGGCGTTGTTCAAATTTAGTTCAATAATCTGAAAACATGGGTTTCTATCTTTTAATGAATTAAGAGAATGGTAAATAAAAAGCAGAAAATATTTCCGTCTACTACTTCATGCACCTTATTTGTCTGTACAATTAATGTAAACAAATCAATCACAGCATAATCTATTTGATCTTATTTGGAAATCTGGAAACGGTAATTGGGCTTGTAAACAATATGTTTCCATGGACGATCTGGACATACCCAGAAGCAAATATTCAACAGCTGATCTGCAGCAACTCTCAGTAAAGTTTCTCTCTTCAAAATCTGTACACCATGATAAAATGACACTGAATATAAGGAAATCATTTTTTTAATCATCATTTCAATTTAATTTTTCTATATGTACTTTGTTGTGGAATCCTAATTTACATACAAACTTCCACAATACTGGACTTCATGAACTGCCAGCGTTTATGTACAGGTATGTCACAGCACCAGAACACAAAGAAGATCCAAGATACTGTCTGCACCTGTACACTAGCTGACCCATCTTCCAGAAATAGGAAACATGTGATGCAAAATTTTGGAACAGAGAATCCACAGTTATCCGAACAATTAACTAGCATTGAAATAGAATGTTACACAAAATACAAATGTAGATCTATTGTTTTTTCATCAGAGATGTTTAACTGCTAACTACTAGTGTAAATAAGGTGCAAAGAATATATCCTATGTTCAAAGCCTTCTGTCAATACAATTACATATTGACATTATTGCTTCTTAATTAAACAATGATAATCTTTGTTTTATTAGATCTGAGACCATATCCCTAGAGGACATAACACTGATTTTGATCTATTTCCTATATACTTACTGGTGTCATAACAATTATAATAAAGTTGATTCAAAATTTGGTAAAAGTCATAACAAAGTTTTAGGAAAACAGACATGAAAATGCCCTGAAGCGTTCACCTCCTACAAACCAGTGTGCAATTTAATATGAAGCTCATTTTGCAAATAACCATCAACAAACCTTGAACAATTTGTCCAAATCCACCATCTTAATAAACACTAGCTTTGGCTCAGTCTTCAAATATTAGTAACCTCCTAAAAAACTTATGATTTATCAGAAGAATTACATCAAATATGGGTTAAATATATGTTTCAATCTTTATTCCGTTACATGAAAAGTCACCTGAGATTTTTGTAAGTTATTCTGTTCCAGGACTGGATAATGCCTGACCAGGGTTTGACCAAAACGTAGCCTTTGCTTTTTCAAATTTTCTGGATGTTGAAATAACTTTAATGAGTTATGATACTAGCAATCACTTTCAGAATTATCTTATTAGTAAATGTATTATTTAAAAAAACATCTAAAAGCAGGAGCCAAGAAAGTTAATACCTAGTGATTGTCCTGCCATGATATGTATGGTGTTTGTTTGCCTAGTTCTGCCTTAAAATCTAAAAAATCTGATATGTCAATCAATTGAATAATTATTTATTATTGATTAGATTATTATTAATTTTATTACCCTTCCACGTTTACTAAAAACAGCAAGATTCTTAAAACATACCTTGCTATCATTTCCAGTGAATTAATCAAAATTACAGTTGTAATATTACTCCTAAAATGTACCATTATATGTGAATAATTTATGTGGTAACAAAACTTCAAATAATGTTCTCGTAATTAAGATATACACTTTATTTCACTCATTCCAATACTCCAGAAAGTCACTATTCTTCTCACATAGTTTTCAGTATTCGATCAACATGGAGGAAGGTAATTCAGTTCAAAGTCCCATGCAACTCTTTATAAAAATCTGAAATATTTAAAGCATGGTTTTATAGGCACTCATATGAACTAATTTTGATACTTGGATAGTGCATGATAGGCAACTGCTGACACTGACAATATTTCCGCTTTGAATAAAAAATATTACTCCTCAATATTTTGCTCTGTTAACAAGATACTGTAGGCCTTCAGATTGTGCTTATGAAACTTAAAACATCCTACAATGTGTGACAAATTGAAGACTATCTAAGAGCGAAGGGGACAATATCTGCCTCATTGTTCTTTCATGTAACAAGTTTTGCTATTTCAGTTGACCCTAACCGAAATGAAGATTTGTTTACATCGTGTCACGGCTTTCTCGCCTGTCTCATTTGAGCTTTATGGCATTACCAACTCAATGCCTAGTAGTGACTAAAAACGTTAAGCAAAACAATTTTGTAGTTACAAGAATTGTCTGTGTTTATAACACTTGCAAAGTCTTAAACTGCTATTTGTTGTCATCAATTGGTAATGATTTTGCACATGTGCAAAAGTGTGGAAATTCGTGCAAATTCTCATCAGCAGGCAGACGTAGGTTTCCTGAACGATGGTGCAGACATTTAACTGATCGTTAGGCCTATTGCGTTTCTTGATCCGCCTCCATTTTTGTTGTCTTGGCCATAATGGTTTTGTTAAGGTACACATCAAATCGCAGCAATATGTAATAAATATAGCGAGTGTAAATGGCATAATTCGAAGCACATCGCTTCGGATGCATCGTTTGACCCTGGAAATAAGTCTGACAAATCCACACAGCGCGCCCGGCCTGCTGATTGGCCAAAATTGACGCATGCGCCAGTTTTGATTGACAGACTGGATCGGTCTATTGTAACACTTGTGGAGTTACCACCGAATACTTGTGGAGTTGAGTGTCATTGTCATCACACAAGCCACAATTCCACAAGCCCTGTAATAGGACTTATGTTGAAAATGAGTTTTCAAATACTTACTCGCTTTCTGTGAAATATTAATTTATTTGTAATTTGGTTGCTGAAAGTGATCTAGAAAGCAAGTTATATCAGGGTAAGATTCCAGACCACTTTGAAGTGGTATGCGTAGGAATTTATGTTCAGACATGATGATTCTTGTTATCCAATCAGTTTTATGCCCTATACTGTTGTAATAAGAAGTGAGTGAGTGAGTTGAGTTTTACGCCGCACTCAGCAATATTCCAGCTATATGGTGGCAGTCTGTAAATAATCCACTCTGGACCAGACAATCCAGTGATCAACAGCACGAGCAACGATCTGCGCAATTGGGAACTGATGACATATTTCAACCAAGTCAGCAAGCCTGACCACCCAATCCTGTTAGTCACCTCTTACGACAAGCATGGGTTAGTGAAGGCCAATATTCTAACCCGAATCTTCACGGGTCTGTAATAAGAAGTATTAAATACTTTGGGAAAAGTCACCACTGTAGCTTCCTTGTTTTCATATTGTTGGATTCAGTTGTATTTCTAAACATCAACATCTGACTTTGCTTCACTGTTCCTGTTAGCAAATCTCATCCATTATATACCACTTAACTTTTGATGAGGATGTTTTTCTATGGTATACAGTTCTGATTAACATTCACGCTTGAAGACATGGGTTCGATTCCCCACATGGGTACAATGTGGTAAGCTTATTTCTGGTGTCCCCTGCCGAGATATTGTTGGAAAATTGTACAAGTGGTGTAAGACTTAACTCACTCACTCACTCTGATTCACATATGTCAAGTGTGTCAAGAATTACATGTCCGATTATCTCCATGAAACGTTAAGCTGTGTATGTTGGCAGTGTGAACAATGGTGTACACCCAGATCAATGTAGGTATTGTTTTGGCCTTCTTGAGTTTGTCTACGTGAATTGTGTGTTATTCATGTGGGTCAACATTACAGAGTTGATAAAACTCGTATCAAGCACAATAGGTGATAATGTAATGCTTCACTTATTATATGCAAGTAACATAATAAAGTCGTATTGCATAAGGTGTGGTTTGTGATGATGTCATTACCTACATGTTGACTATATTGGTTCAGTTTTCAACATAACCACTAAGCCATGTATAAATCTAATGTGTGAAAAAGTTACAAATGTGAATGTTATTTGTTGAATCGCACACAAAATGAACCAGTAGGTGAAGACTAGATCAGGTTCATACTACTTGATGTTCCCATGTGAGAAGACTGTTTTATGTTTTCTGAGTGCTTGATTGTTTTATCACATTTGGTTGGTTGGTTTTGTTGTTTAATGCCGCACTCAGCAATATTCCAGCAATATGGTGGTGGTCTGTAAATAATCGAGTCTGGAGCAGATAATCTAGATATAAACAGCATCAGCATCGATCCTCGCAATTGGGATACGATGACATGTGTCAACCAAGTCAGCGAGCCTGACCACCCGATCCCGTTAGTCGCCTCTTTTGACAAGGATGTGTTGCTGAAAACTAATTCTAACCCCGGTTAAAGTGATACATTAATCTTAAAAAAAACCTTTAGCACTGTTCTAATTGAAATTAATAGATGTAAGTCACATGGCCAGTGTCTACCTGATCTCAGTGAATATAACACTGACTTAAAGCTACATTTTGATCATTATCATGTAAATTTCTAGATCAAATAACAATATTGTCTCCTCCTTTGAAGGGATGTGATAATAAATTTCATGGTGTTTGAATACCATATGAGGTTCTTATAATGGGTATCTTGTGAGGTTTCACCTTTCACCCTCACACCCACACCCAATCCTCCCTTTGCCCCACAATTCAAAGGAGAAAAAAAACAGAAAACCACCTCAAAACATGCCTTTTGGAAATGATACACTATGAAACAAAAAAATAAATATTTAAAGATCAAACGATAGATATTTTGTTTGTTTATCATCATTTGAAGACTTGTTAATGATGGTAATAGGCTTGACTCAATACTCCTGTGCAGACATTAGTAAGGGCCACCCATTAAAAGTTTAAATATATTTAACAGTCATATGAGTATTGTTTGGAGCAACACTTTCAAGGCCGTTTCCTATTCTTTCAGTGCATACTGGTATGGATATCACCACTTGATGGGTACCAGCACTGAGAGGAAATTGGTCAGTGATCTTCAGGTGGTATTGAGAAAATCAAAGTGAGTGACTGTCATTTGTTATTGCTCATCAAGCTGGAATAAAGAATTCCCAGTCAATTCTGTGGAACCTCTGGAACTGAACAGGAACACTTAGGCCTTTGAGTTCATGGTGGCATGGTCAAAGAAAGAGAAGATGGCACAGGCATCCAGATCACACATGAAGAGAGGTGTTGGAGTCGTTAAGGACATTAACAAATCAAGTCTTCAGTGCTCTGTTTCCAACATTAGTTTTTTGCTCGGAGTTTTAGAAATGAGACTGATGTTTGAATCTGAAGGTTGTGAGAATCCGCTTTATGAAGAATTTGTAAATGGCACAGTGACCTGCCTGTCTGACTCAAGGTCTGAGGTGGTTGATGACTGTCCAGAATGTGGCCAGAAGGGTCGACAGACCGCCTTTCACATTGTGGTGACATCTGTTAACAGGTGCTCTTGTACAGTCTTGGGTGACAAGGCTGTAGATACTGGAGACACTCAGGCTGATGAACATAGACGATCATGTACAGTCTTGGGTGACAAAGCTGTAGATACTGGAGACACTCAGGCTGATAGACATAGACACTCTTGTACAGTCTTGGGTGACAAGGGTGTAGACACAGGAGACACTCAGGCTGATGAACATAGACGATCATGTACAGTCTTGGGTGACAAAGCTGTAGATACTGGAGACACTCAGGCTGATAGACATAGACACTCTTGTACAGTCTTGGGTGACAAGGCTGTAGACACAAGATACACTCAGGCTGATGAACATGGACACTCTTGTACAGTCTTGGGTGACAAGGCTGTAGATACTGGAGACACTCAGGCTGATAAACATGGACACTCTTGTACAGTCTTGGGTGACAAGGCTGTAGATACTGGAGACGCTCAGGCTGATGAACATGGACACTCTTGTACAGTCTTGGGTGACAAGGCTGTAGATACTGGAGACAGCTCAGGCTGATGAACATGGACACTCTTGTACAGTCTTGGGTGACAAGGCTGTAGACACTGGAGACACTCAGGCTGATAAACATGGTCGATCATGTGCAGTCTCTGTTGATAAGGTTGTAGACACTGGAGACACCAAAGCTGATGAACATAGACACTCTTGTGCAGTCTCTGGTGACAAGGTTGAACTCACTGGAGACATTCAGACTGGTAAACCCTCTTGTACAGTCTGTGGTGAGGTGGTGAATGATGACCCTAGAGATGCTGATCAACTGCAGGGCTATACTTGCATGAAGCAAGCACCTGTGAATAAGACTGCTGATGGAGACAGGAAGAAGTTTTCATCTACTGGATCAGGTAGCAAGTGTCAATGTTCAGATACAGGAAATCAAAATAGTGCTTCAGAGTCCGCTGAAACCCTGACCAATTTAATACAAGATAAACATACTAGTGTGAGTGGTTGTCTCAGGCGCGGTGGAAGAAAGAGACAGACAAGAAAGACTGATGACTCTGATATGACTGCATTATGCTCCTTGACGGACCAATCTTTAAGCAGATCAAAATACCCCAGAAGTTTGCCACCAACACATGGAAGGAAAGGGACAGAGAATCCTGAAAATATGAACTCTAATATTAAATCAGACAACTTCTCTTGTAGTGTGTGTGATATTGTATTTAAGACAAAACTGCAGTTGACAAGACATATGAAATCTGTGCATGATGGTATGAAATGTGAGAGCTGTGAGCAGCCTTCTTTTGATGATTCCCATGCTGTAGAACTTCATATGAGGAACAGTGATGGAGTGCAGGGAAGTGACGCTGCTGGGAAGACCAACATGGCTGCCACTCACAACATACAGCACAAGGCTGACACATTCAAGTGTGACCTGTGTGGCAGGTGCTTCCTCATGAGGACACAGCTGCAGGCTCATCTGACTGTCCACACAGGAAATCGACCTTTCACTTGTGGTTTGTGTGGCAAGCCATTCCTGTCAAAGCTCCACCTCCACAAGCACATGAAGCTCCACTTAGGTGGGAAACGGCACACATGTGACCTGTGTCCTAAAGCTTTCATATCAGCCAAAGATCTAGAGTACCACCGTACCAAGCATACAGGGGATAAGAAGTTCAAATGTGATGAATGTGGAAGCTCATTCACTGTCAAGGCATCTCTGAAGAAGCATGTCCTACTGCACTGTGATGTGAAACCATTCAAGTGTGAATGCTGCAAGAAAGACTTTGCTTCCTTTGGGCAACTTCAGAAACACTCAAGGATCCACAACACAGTGAACCCTCTTGTGTGTGAGGTCTGTGGCAAGACCTTCCCGACCAACAACTACCTCCAGTCCCACAGGAAGACTCACATCGGGTATGAGAAGCATCGGTGCGAAGTGTGTGGAAAGTCCTACCGAGAAGCTGCCTATCTGAAGATCCACATGAAATCTCACACCGGCGAGGGGCTCTTGAAGTGTGATCTCTGCTCTGAGAACTTTGCCGACCCATCTTACCTGAAGGTCCACAAGAAGAGGTTCTGCCGGAGGAAGACTGTGCAGTGTGAGGAGTGTGGCAGGGAGTTTGTCAACCAGAGGGATCTGAGGTTTCATCGTGGAGTTCATTCTGGAGAACGTCCACATGAGTGCCAGGTGTGTGGCAAAGGCTTCATGAAGGCTGATGCTTTGTCTGAACATGCCCGTCGACATGACGACAGCTTGAAAACACATAAATGTGATATTTGCTCCAAGGGTTATGTATGTGCAAGTGATTTGCGGAAACATATGAAAACACACAATAAGGTCAAGAGTAGAGTTCAGTTACCAGATAAATTCAAGTATGACCTTGAAAATAGTGATGCCAACATGCTTCAAGTGAAAGCACAAGAATTGAGTGAGGCAGGACCAGTAACCCCAAAAGTACCCAGACATCAGAATCTTTCAGTGGACATTCAAAATATTTCACTACCAACAGAAGAACAGGAAGAGAATCCTGAAACCCAGGTCATTGAGGACTGTGACCTTGAAAGGATCACTGGAAAGTTCAGCAGGAACACTTTTGTCAGTGTGAAGGCCAGTGACAAGGGTGGTGTTAAGGGGCAGTCAGGGGAAATAATCCACTTCAGGAGTCCAGCAATATTCTCCAAGGTGAAGCAAGTGCTGATAAACATTTCATGGCTCAAGGAGATGGCATGAATGTACAGGCCAGTGATAGTCTGGTCTACACAAAGGCCAGCAAAGCTCATGTCAATGTACCTGGAGACAATAATCTGATCTGTGTGCAAGACAGTGGAAGTCAGTGTACTGCCCAGGGACATGAGGATCAGGTCAATGCACAGGGACACATGGATCAGGTCAATGTACAAGCCAATGAATGTCAGGTCAATGTACAAGCCAATGAATGTCAGGTCAATGTACGAGGCAATGAAGGGCAGGTCATTGCCAAGGTACGCACAGGTCAGGACAGTGAACAGGAGCTCAACAATCAGGTCAGTGTACAAGCCAATGAAGTTCAGGTCAATGTGCAAGCCAAGGATGGTCAGGTCATTGCACAGGGATACAATGATCAGGTCGGTGTACAAGCCAATGAAACTCAGCTCAGTGCACAGGCCAGTGAAGGTCACATGAATGAAGGACACAAGAGTGAGAGTGACACCAGTGATACAGAACAGGTGAAAGGGGAGGCAGAAGACATGCTGCTGGACATGGCCAGCATCTCCTCTCCCATCCACATCGACTCCCTCGACCCCAACTCCAGTTTGGAGAATGCCCTGAACGCCCTGATGGGTGACACGGACCAGATGCTCACTAATGCATACTACAAGCTGAATCTTCAGGGGCGGTCTCCCACCTAGTTGAGGCATAAAGCAGTTGCATAGGTTTGTTTAATATGTCAACTTGAAGTGTGTATCCTTGTGTAAAGAGTGGAGTTTTAAAGAAAACAAACAATACTATAAGCTGAATCTCCCTTCATGCGATTGTAGGGGTGAGTGAGTGAATAAGTAAGGTTTTATCAATATTCCAGCCATATCACAGCAGGTGACACTGGAAAGGGGCACCCTTGTAGGAATTTGGGGTAGACTAGGATGGCACAAAGCGATCTTTGTGCTAAGGTGACAGTAACTCCCATATCTTAACATAGACTTATGATAGCCTTAGCGCAGAGGTTGTTTTGTACAACGGCACTCAGGTCAATAAGATCCCATGCTATCATGTTGAAGGCATCTGAATGGATTGTGTGATCAGACTCTGTTTTTCTTCTTCTATATATCTTTATTCCCCACTCAGTTATAGTTTGCCACACTAGTGTGAATTCATATAAATACGCATATATGCATATATATGCAAACATATGTACTTACACATATACATGCACACACATATATACAAGATACAATGTACATATTTTGCTGCTAACCATATAAGTGTATGTTGTAGTCCAAAATATATATGGTTCATTGTGTGCCTTTGTAACAAGAAAGCTGAGATCGGTTCTCCTAATATCAAGCACTTGGGGTAGATGCAGGTAGCAGCTGTATTGTATGTCCCCATGGTCTAGAGTATGGTGATCTACCTTCAGTTGCTGGTGATCTATGTCTGTATTTAGTTTGTATTGTCCTGAATAATGGTATAATTTTAATGTTACAAACTAGCTTTTCTTCTGTATTTGTGGTAATCTAGTTGTTTTAGTGTCTGTAGTTGACAGATTTTACAATACAACTTTATATATTATGGGTGTACAACTTGTTTTAGTCACAATATGGCTGAAGTATTGTCGATGTGATTATAAATCTTAACTCACCCCCTCACTCACTCACTAACTTTGGCTTTGAGCATCACTCAGTCTTTCACTAAACTGTCGTTTTCATTTCTTGCAGTACAGAAGACCAAGGAATGGGCCCCATGAAGTCCATCCAGGCTACAAGATCACTACAGCACAGGGGCAGCAACACCTTATAGTGTCAGGATGAAGGTCTCTCCATGAAGCTGTCATCTTGATCTGTGAAGATGTCTTTTCGAATCTATGACTGTGAGGCTTTGTGGCCCAGGCTGCCCTTGTGAAGCTGTGATTGGGGATCTGTTAGACTCAAGCTTTCCTTGTGAAGCTATACGACTCCATATTTCCTTCTGGCAGCTGTGATGACAGTCCTTAGAGAGCTGTGTGGGTGAAGATGAGTCAGTCAGGGAAGATGAAGGAACCAGCGAGGCGAGAGGGTGTGAAGCAGAGCCTGATTACAACCATCCTTCAGTGCTCCTTCACACACGCTGTTGTACAGGATCGGACTCTCGACCTAAATCTGAAGCTTGTAATGGGAGAGGATGATGGTGATGGGCAGATGTTCAGCAAGTTCGTCCAGGGGGTTGTGACATGTACTCAAGTTGTTGCAGAGTCCGTCTGCTCAAATGAAGCAGACGGCTGTGACAGGTGTGGGGAGAGGCTGGAGAAAAAGGAGACACTGATCCGTATCAATTTGACATCAGTGGATGAGAACTGTGCTTGTGGTACTGGAGTGGAGGTTACTGACTTTCCAGATAAAAGTGAATCTGATTGTGCAGTTCTGAAAAACACTGCTGAGCCAAAACAAGCCAGCGTTGACCCTGCTGAGTCTGTGACAGGGAGTGATGATGATGATGATGAGGAAGAGGAGGAGGAATGTAGTGATGATGAAATAGATGAAACGTTTGAACAGTTTGACACACACATGGATGAAGAAAGTGATAAGGCAGCTGATGATGATCAGCAGAAGAAAACAAAAACATCTGATTTATCAATGGACAGCGTCAAGAACAATGAGGTGTTCAACACCAATACAGGGAGACCCCCGTCGATCTTGTCGACCACGAGAGAAGTATGTCTTAGCTTTGAAAGCACTGAAAGAGCCAGAAAGTTGTTCTACAAAAGCTTTAGAGGATGTGGAAAGAGGGACATCACTCTCAGGAGAGACACTTGAGTCTAATGATCCACCCTGGGAACAGGCAGACATTGTGTCTGATACAGACAATCCACAAGTATTAAATAAGAAATCAAAAACTAAAAGAATTATTGTTAAAAAACCTGTGACCAGAAGTCGTGTCAAAAATGAAAGAAAAGCAAAGCATAAAGCTGTGTCCCCTGAGGATGAGCTGAAGGTTACGAGTCAGAAGGTTTGTGACACATGTGGCAGTGAGAAGAGATGTGCCTGTGCAAAGCAGTATAAGTGTCTGGTCTGTGAGAAAGTTTTTAAACATGCATCCAATCTGCGGCAGCATAAGGCCTCGCACTGACGCCAGGCCCTTTGTCTGTGATGTGTGTGGTCTGGGGTTTAAGACAAGAACAAATTGGAAGACCCACAAATATCGTCATGCGAAGGCATTCAAATGTGATATCTGTGACAGGGCATTCAGTCTGGCACCTGCCCTCAAGTACCACATCCGCACCCACACGGGAGAACGTCCATTTCAGTGTGATACTTGTGGCATGACCTTCACCTCAACAGGTGGACTCCGTGCACACAAGAAGAGACATCTGACTAAAGAAAAGTCATTTATGTGTAGCATGTGTGACAAAGCTTTTATGACCAAAACAAATTTGGAGACGCATATTCGAATCCACAAAGGAATACGCCCCTTTGCCTGTCCATACTGTCACCTTCACTTCGCTTCCCGTCCCCATCTCAACAAACACAAGCGACAACATACAAAGGAGAAAGAATTCAAGTGCAGTTTTTGTTCCAAGGCTTTTTTCACACAGAAACTTCTAGATGTACATCGTAGTAAGCACACAGGGGAGAAGAGATTCTCCTGTGAAGTGTGTGGCAACAAGTTCATCACGTCATCCACCCTGAAGGATCACCTGCTTCTGCACAGTTCAGTGAAGCCGTTTCAGTGTCACGTCTGTCAGAAGGAGTTTGCTGCCAAAAAGACGCTGAAGAAACACATGCAGATACACAACACGGAGAACCCTTTGGTGTGTGAATTCTGTGGCAAGAAGTGTCCAGCTCCAAAATACCTCAAGAGCCACATGAAGATGCACACAGGCTACGAGAGACACCAGTGTAGCATCTGTGGAAAGAGTTACCGAGATCCGCGGTACCTGAAGATCCACATGAAGAGCCACACAGGTGAAGGGCTGATTCAGTGCAGAACCTGCGGAGAACATTTTGCAGATCCTGCATACCTGAAGCTTCACCAGAAGAAGCACTGTAAGGCAAGGAAGGAGAACTGCTACATTTGTGGGCAAGGTTTTGCTAACAGCAATGACCTTGTTCTGCACATGGGGCTGCACACTGGGGAGCGACCGTTCGGATGTGAAACATGTGGGAAGGCTTACACCACATCTGAGGCCTTGGCAGAACATTCCAAGCGCCACGACATTAAAATGAAAACCCACCAGTGTACTATCTGTTACAAACGTTTCTACACATCACATGACCTGCAGAGGCACACAAGGCGCACTCAGTGTTCGAAGGGATCGCGTTTTGACGCGACAGGTAACAATGCTTCCAAGCATGTGACTGTCAGCACTACAGGAACAGGAACCATCTTGGCAGCTGAGATGGAAGCTGGTCGATCCTCCAACATGCCAGTCGAGGAACATCTCATACACTCAGCTGAAGAAAGAGTGACACACGTGTTAGGCCATTGTGAACACACTATCAGTCATCCACTGCCACGGTCAGGTGAAAAACACATACTGACTCAGCAGCTGCCACAAACAGCCAAAGAGCCAATCCTTCCAATAAACCGATCATCTGAGGAACATGTGGTAGTGGATCCTCTAGGCCACCTGTCCACACAGAGCCCAATGACTGAACCCTTGTGTCATTTGTCTGGTGGCATCCATCCTCCAGGTCCTGACCCCAGTAAGAGCCACACACTCACACAGTTAGGAGGCACAGCAGAAATGCCTCTGTCCAGCACGTCGGGAGGGGGACTCATCACCATCGACAGCTCAGTGATCGACTCAAGGGTTCAGTTGGCTGGTGGTGCTGGCATGGAGTCATCTGTCAGTCTCACAGCTCTCCCTCCAACTGCTGGGTCCTCTTACGTCATGTATGACATGCAGGGAAGGGAAGGATGCCCACCGTAAATGAACTGCTGCTGTCCTGGATATAGCTTTGTTTCTAAAGTACTGTCGGAAATGCTAGAAAAATGCTTTTTAGCCTTAATATCTTTATAAAGGTGATAAATGTACGATGTTGTCAATATATCAACTCGCCTATTGTCTACCTAATTTTTATTTCAATCGATTTAACATTCCCATGAATTTAAAGGGCAGTTTACAGGAGAGAATTTGGTACCAAAACAGCAACTTAAGATTTATTCAGAGTTTAACAACAGAAATCTGAAATAGTCTTTACATTTATGCTAATAATACAGGTGGTGTAAAAATATGAATTAACGTTTTTCCTAAACAAATAAATGTTGAATGTTTGTGTTACTTTACTTAATTATCGTTTTCTTTATTGAAGAAATATTAATATAAATGTTAAGTCTTGAATAATAAGTTTCCCCTCATGCATGCACATCTTTATCACAGCGTCCACTATGGCCAACGATTTGCAGTCGATTGTTGCAAAGGTTTATAGTTTTTTTCTGCTTAAAAAAGACAGAGGTAAACCTTTCATTAGTGTAGAGAGGGTTTATTACAGAACTTGTAGAGCTGTTGGCATGTCTTACCAACAAGTTTACAATATTGTAAACAAATCAGACAAGACAGGGACCGTCTCATATGCAAAACCGGGACGTAAAACCATCCTTGACAACTTTGACAAGGGAGTGCTTAGACGGGCGGTCTACAAACTTTATGAAAAGAAAAATATATATAATATATCTTTGGCAAACTAGATTAAACTGACCAAATTACATCCATATTTTTTCAATGAACTATACTGTTGACATGCAAAACATTTATTAAAACGTTGCACATTTCTACAATCAATCGATAAGATAACACAAGTGATAGGATTCTTTCCAATGTACAGTAATTTGTATGTTTATTTCAAAACAAACACACATACACAAATGATCCCTTACATAACCAATACGTATACTATACGTACACATATTCAACATTTTGCAGAAAACATCTATTGATATGACCCCTCGCCCGAGCGTGTGCTCAGTTGTCAATTTCACCTGTCGATACCGTGCATGCTGATGACGTAACACAGGCAGTTAATGTTTGTTTCAAATAACGTCCAACTACCCCTTATTTTTCTAAGTTTTTGGTATTTTCATCAGTAAAAACACAGTTTAGAGCATGTCTCAAAATTTATTCCCTCGGTCTACATTAGGTAGATGTTTCTTGAAGTGATATTTGTTATTTAAGTAACTGTAACACCTCTGAATTTTAAATATAAGTCAAAAAGCATTTTTCTAGCATTTCCGACAGTACTTTAGTATCTTTGTATAATGCCACTTTCAGTTTTGTTAGTGTAAGTTCATTGTTTAGCACCTCTATCTCTTGGAAACAAATGCCAAATTATTGTGCAGGTTTCTAAAAATCTGCATCCAAGCTTTAGATTGTAATTCACAAAGAAATAACATTATCCTTGGGGATCTTGTTGAATTTCTTCTCAGCTCCTCCAATCTGGGCACAAACAGCTCATTACTTTATATGCCAGGCCCTTCCACACTCACTACTCTGGTGTACTGGTACTTGTTGCATTGTCCCAGTGTTTCTTGTCACGTGAACATTTATGTTGAAATATACCGGTATGCTTCAGCAGCCGGTACTTGAAAGGTGCGACTTTCCATGTGAAGGTGAGGTGAGGTGAAATTGGGTTTTACGTCGTGCTTGAGAATATTTCGCTCATATGACAACGTGCATGCGTATGTGCGGCTGCTTGTACTAGCCCAGACTGAAGCTGGTTTTATAGTGCTAGCCCACTGAGATAGCATGCCGCAGTGAAGCATGAATACCCCACTCAGACACAGTATACTGACAGTATACAGTCCTTGTTGTACCAATTAATGCCGAGCGCCAGGCAGGGACCAACAAGTACCATATTTTAACGTCTTTTGGTATGACGCGGTCGGGGATTGAACCCACGACCTTCCGCTCTCCCGGGCGGACACTCTAACCACTACACCACGGAGGCGGTCTCCATGTGAAATCACTGGACTAGGTGTGATCAATCATTTATCTGGTCCAGATGTAATTATTTACAGAATGCTGCCATATAGCAGGAATATTTCTGAGTGCAGCACTAAACCAACTAATCACTAAACTAACTAGCATGCCTTGGTTTCACGGAGGGTTTGTCCGCTGTCTGCACCAGCTTTGTTATTTGATCAATATTGAACTGACATCAGTGTTGACAATATCACATGAAATGCAAGTAGTTGTCAAAATTGGCAGAATTTTAGAAGTCCCTGGATCTAAATGCTATACACCAACAAAAGCAGACTGATCACACGCTGTAGTGAGGTGATAAACACACCTGAACGTATCTTCAGTGTAACTTTGAACATATGAATACAGCTCGTATACACCCTGTGTTGTATAAGCCTTGTATTATCTGGTTTGTTATTTCACTAGATATTCATAAGTAAGAATTGTGTGTGTACATCTTTGTCAGCTAAAATGAATCATTTGTTAAGCTTACTAGTTGTCATAGTTGTTGAGAATCACTGATCAAATTTGTTATGGAGAGTTGAAAGTATGGTATTTGAGTGACAATAAAATATATTATGTATTCCTTTTGTTTTTGTGTTCATAGGTAAATGTGTTAATGTAAATAAGATTCTTGGTCAGAATATGTTCTAAGTATCCTGTCAGTGTCCAATTGAGTCTTTGTGTCCATTTGTTTGCTGTGTCTGTGCCCAATTGTCCCCTTGTTAGCCGTGTGTGCCACTGTGTCCAGTTGTGTGCCATTATGTTTCCATAGCGTCCTCCAGTCCAGTTTTGTCCCATTGTGTACGAGATCCGGGGTAGAATAGGTCTTCAGCAACCCATGCTTGCCACAAAAGGCGACTATGCTTGTCGTAAGAAGCTGACTAACGGGATCAGGTGGTCAGGCTTGCTGACTTGGTTGACACGTCATCGGTTCCCAATTACGCAGATTGATGTTCATGCTGTTTGATCACTGGATTGTCTGGTCCAGGTTCGATTATTTACAGACCGCCGCAATATAGCTGGAATATTGCTGAGTGTGGCGTAAAACTAAACTCACTCAATCACTCACCCATTGTGTACGATGTCCCAGTGCACCTTTGTGTCCCAGTGTGTCATTGTATTTGTGGTAAGGCTGACAGACACATAGTATCCCAAGTGTGTAGATCAGTCACTGCATTGTCTGATCTAGGTTAAATTATTTAGTGACCGCCATCATACAGCTGGAATATTGCTGAGTGTGGCGTTAAACAACAAACACACATTGTATCCAATAGTGTGCTGTGTGTCACTATATCCAGTAGCTACAGAGGTTCACAAGTTGTTTCACCCAGAGACACCTGGTGCATTTTCTGGAGTGAGTGAATAAGTATAGTTTTATTCTGCTTTTAGCAATATTCCAGCAGTATCACGGCAGGGGCACCCGAAATGGGCTTCACACATTGTACCTATGTGAGGAATCGAACCTGGGTCTTCATCTGGACAAGAGAGTACTAGGCTACCCCACTGCCCAACATTTTCTGGAAGTGAACTCATATGTTCCATGGATGACAGAAGACCCATGTCAATCACATGCAAAAGTGTAGTGTTTCAAATAAGTGGTAAAAGTGAAAGACCTTATGTACGTGTTGAAAACCTATCATTGCAAAAATATAGGGGGTGCTTAATTAAGTTATTTGTGTATATATCACATGAAACCTGAAACTGAGGTGAGGTGAAATGGGGTTTAACGTTGTGAATATTTCGCTCATATGATGACGTGTGTGTGTGTGTGTTTTGGGGTGGGTGGGGTGGGGCTGCTTGTACTAGCCCACACTTAAGCTGGTTTTATAGTGCTAGCTCACTGAGATACCATGCCGCAGTGAAGCATGAATACCCAACTTAGACACATTATACTGACTCCCAGCCGACCAGTACTACATGTACCCATTAATGCCAAGCGCCAGGCAGGGACCAACAAATACCATATTTAACGTCTTTGGTATGACGGAGATCGAACCCGCGACATTCCGCTCTCTGGGCAGTTGCTCTAACCACTACCGCAGGGGGTCGAAACATGAAAGTATTGCTAAACAATTTCACACACAACTTAGAACAAGATATAAATAGCTGTATTTTAGTGTATTTAATGTGTACACGAATGCAAAGAGTATCAATAGGAGGCTTGAAATCGGATCACCTCCATCGTAGATGATCCCCTGCAACAACCTAGACTGTCACAACGGTTTCACTCACAAGTAATCAATCATCAATACTGACAACAATATGTGCAAACATCACTGAGGCACATACGACACAAGGTAACAATGAGAGTAAACACAAGCCTATTACATATCCAGTGTACAACCTTCAATATGGACACCTGCACTTGAGGTGGGTGCAGGAATTGTCACAAGTTTAGTTGGGGTAAAAGTCTGGTTCAAGCTTCATAGTATGAAATGCCTTCGTCTAAACTGTGTTCAGTCAAACTTAGTAAATTATGCAGAGCTCCAGATAAGATTTAGCTCATGTGGGTACTGTACCCACTGTATTTTTTTGGAGTGGGTATTTTGAATGTTGAGTGGGTATTTCATTTTCCGTTACCCAATGCTTTCAAATGTGTGAGTATTTCAGTCACTTTACTCACCTAAGTATTATGTCATTGAGCATGTTTACTAAGCAGGTATGTTCTGCCTTATGTCATACCTAATCAAAACCAACATAAATATAATGGAAATTATTTCATAAAATATCACTCATTCTCTACTGACATTACAACACTTGTCCTATACTAACAGTACAACTTGATAGCAATCGATGTCTTTTTCATTACGCAAGCGTGATTTTTATAAATATATTCCGTACGCATTTGTTTTAAACTTTTTTGCGTATCTAACATTTTAAATGCGTAAATGGTACGCAACAATTATTTTTCAATGCGTAATTCTATGCATATTTTACCCGGAAACGCAGCTTATCTGGGCCTCTGTTATGAAAGTTACACAACATATGTGAATTCATTCAAGAATCCCTACCTATACATTTAGACAATCATCAGCTTGTCTGCATTCAGGAAAAGTGCACTCTCTCTGTTGGACTTTATGCTATATTTACAGCACAGAGCTTCTTTGGTCTTGAACAGATAAAACATGGTGGGAAAAAATCATCATTTTTCCAACATTGCTAAATACTGATATCAGTGAATAATAATGGGAGTGGAGCTGACTTTTTTGTTCCTTCAATATCACAATAAGGGGAGACCAACTGTAGACAAGCCTTGGGCATGAGGAACTTCGCCCATCTGTCTGTCCTGAAGTGAATTTATTATGACTATTGGAGAAAAACGAACCATTGTAAAACTTAAAGAAGTTCATAGAACATTTATAGTGTACATCCATGTACGTGACGACTCCATAACAGTCTCGTTTCACAATGTCCACCTTTATCACAACACTAGACTTGGGTAAACATAACAACAGACTGGTACCAGGGCAGGTATCAGTAACAAGGAGATAGAAAGATACATGATAATATCGGAAACAAACATTTAAAGGATCAGAAACTTCACAAAATACAATTCTGGACATAACATCAACAACCTACTGTAACAAAGCAGTACCTTCTACCCCCACTATTTATATACAGCCATATTCTACTAGATTCATTTCAGAAGAATGTCTGTACACTGTACCTCCTTTCACAAACATGATTGTCATAAAGACGGAGCAACAACACATTATTGGTAAACCCAAACTGACACTGAATTCATTAGAATGATGTTCAACAATGCACCATATTTCCCAGCAGCAATGACAGCAGCTATATGACTTGTAGATAATCAAGTCTGGATCAGACAATCTTGTGATTGATATTATGAGCAAAGATGTCAGGGATGATGGTACAATGACCACCTGATCCATTCTGCCACCTCTTATGACCAGCAGTTGACCAATTCTGAACAATTCATACCTCCACAAGCAGAAGTAACTATAGGGAGAGTTTCTGTGAACCCTGAGACTGAATGCTTAACGCTCTACCATCTTTATTTTTCATTATTATTTATTATTGGATATTTATATAGCGCACATATCCATGCACTAGCGCATGCTCAAGGCGCTGGTATTTTTCCCCTCAATCATTGGATGTCAATCTCACAGGCACATCTTATTATCAATCTCAACTCCCTGGGGAGTATACAACTGTTGCTGCCACAAGGCACGCCGAGTTATTTTGGCTTTCTCATCCTAACGAGGTCCCTTACAATAATGAGTAGTGAGAAGGGTAGTTCTTGTTAAACCTGAAACTGAGTGCTCAACACTGCACCCTATCAGTAGTGTGAGGGATAGTTCTTGTTAAACCTGACACTGTGTGCTCAACACTGCACCCTATCAGTAGTGTGAGGGATAGTTCTTGTTAAACCTGACACTGCATGCTCAACACTGCACCCTATCAGTAGTGTGAGGGATAGTTCTTGTTAAACCTGACACTGTGTGCTCAACACTGCACCCTATCAGTAGTGTTAGGGATAGTTCTTGTTAAACCTGACACTGTGTGCTCAACACTGCACCCTATCAGTAGTGTGAGGGATAGTTCTTGTTAAACCTGACACTGTGTGCTCAACACTGCACCCTATCAGTAGTGTGAGGGATAGTTCTTGTTAAACCTGACACTGCATGCTCAACACTGCACCCTATCAGTAGTGTGAGGGATAGTTCTTGTTAAACCTGACACTGTGTGCTCAACACTGCACCCTATCAGTAGTGTTAGGGATAGTTCTTGTTAAACCTGACACTGCATGCTCAACACTGCACCCTATCAGTAGTGTGAGGGATAGTTCTTGTTAAACCTGACACTGCATGCTCAACACTGCACCCTATCAGTAGTGTGAGGGATAGTTCTTGATGATAGCAGCTGCCTGAAGAAGATGTTGCACAGAAGCCTCATTCTCGTAGGCCATGTTGACGTCAGCTGTTGTGGCGATGGGATGCAGTTGCTGTAGCTGCTCGCCTTCTGGTGTAGAGACGATACTGGCTGCTGGTGGGGGTGGGCGGGGCATGCTGAAGGACGGGGGTGATGTGAAGTGGACAGTTGCAGGTGGGGGACTTGTGTACACATGGCTGATGGGTATAGAGTCATGGATTGTAATATGGCCACCACGAGAATCCAGGACCTGAGTACTGGCACCGGAGGTGTCAATGTCAGGTGTTACTGAGGTGATGGTGTAGGTAGATGCACTGCCATGGTCCACAATGGAGTTGTGATTGTACCTATTGCAGGTCTCCCCAGGACCAGGTACTGCTATGTCTGAGGGAGTAGACACAACCTGCAGGTGGGCTGTGTTAGGGGGGAACTGACAGACCGCCAACTGATCAGTAGTCTCCACCTCCACTGCTACCTGGTCCAGGTGCTGCACCTGATCAAGGACTTGCACAACCTGGGGTTCATGATCTATTCGCCCTGGTTTAAGTCTCTCTGGAAGACTGGCTTTCTTCTTTTTATTTACATGACATTTCTCATGTCTCTTCAACTCCTTATTATTGATGAAGCCTTTCTTACAATACTGACAAGTGTGGCAGTTCTCCAGTGTGTGTCTCTTGGTGTGCTCTGCTAGTAGTGGTGCCTTGGCAAAAGCTTTGCCACAGATCTTACAGCCAAAGGGCCTCTCCCCTGTGTGGAGTCCCATGTGACTCTGTAGGGCCTGGTTGTGAGGGAACTCCAACTCACATAGGCTACAGGATAGTGGCTTGCCCTTACAGAACTTCTTCTGATGCAGCTTGAAGTAGCAGGGATCAATGAACCAGTCCCCACAAGTGTGACACTGGATCAGGTTCTCCCCCGTGTGGGTCTTCCTGTGGATCTTGAGATACCATGCACTGCGGTAACTCTTCCCGCACTGGTCGCAGCTGTGCTTCTGGGGACCCTCATGAGTGTCTTTGTGAGATTTCATGCTTCCCTGTGTCCTGAAACGTTTCCCACACAGTTCACAGATAAACTTGCGTTCATCTGTGTGTATTTGTCGATGTTTTTTCATCTGCTCTTGCAGGTGGAATTCCTTGTGACACAAATCACATTTGTGTGGTTTCACACCTCCATGCAGCACCATGTGCTTGGGTACAGACTCCTTCAGCTTGAATCTCTGCCCACATATCTCACAGGAGTATGGCTTGTCTTTAGTGTGTGTCTTCTCGTGCTTCTTGAGATATCGTATGTGTGAAAACTTCCGGTTACAGATCTTGCATGTGTGACCATCTCCTGTCGAATGTGTGGTCATATGGCTTTTTAAAGTTTTCATATTTAACAACTGTTTTCCACATATATTGCACATGTGAGGCGATTTATGATTTAGTTTCACATCTGGTTTCCTTTTTCTTTTCCCAGGCTGCTTTGTTTCTTCTTCATCCAAGCCATGTTTCTTGATATGAAATGAAGCATCATTGTCACTGTCATCCCCATGGCCTTCCTTCATGTCACTTTCTTCTTCACTGACATCACCAACAAACTGAGCATCTTGTTTCCGTGTCCGCCTCCGCAACTTTCTACTGGCGTTGGCTTCTTTGTTCATATTGTCAGATTCTGAAACTCTGACAGCTGCCTCAGTCTCTGCAGGGACACTGGATTTTAATTGTCTGACACTCCTCTGTGGATCCACTTCTTCTATGATTGGAATGTCTTCATTGTTCTTGTCTTCGGTACTGGTGTTACTTGTACAGTGTTCAGATTCACCATCACAAGGCTGGGATTGATTTGCTGTCACATCCTTACACTTAGAACATTTGTAGACTTCTTCATCCACTCTAATTCTGAAAGCCAGCACCTTACATTTTACAATATTACTGGTTCCACATTCAACACATGCACATGAAGTTTCCGAAGAATGTATTTCAGTTGACACATTTTCAGACTTGGTGATGCCATCTTGAAGTTGCCTAAGGACCTCACTGTTACTACCAGACTGTACATTTAGTGAAACCTCCAGTTCATTGTTCAAGACCACCATCTTTATAAATGTGCACAAGAGCAAAGATGTCATCTCTTGGGGTGTGGTCTGTGGCGAAACATTCAGTTTCCGCTTTCTTGCAGTGTGAGTCTTTGTCATCATTGCATGTTTTCTCTTCTTCATTTTGCAAAGTATTCAACAACCAACTGCTTCCGGAAGACTGCACATGTATCAACTTGTCTTCTGTCTGTAAATAAAATATGATGTAATTAAAACAACAAGACAGGACATATGTGTGCTACTGTGTATCCTGAGAAGTGTCTTGATTACCCCAAAAGTACTCTGGCCAACACAGTCCAGAAATATAATAATTCTTCCAGTCTACTGACTCGGATATCATGATACTTTTCAAATCCAGCAGTTAATAAATACCCATATTATGCCCAGGGCTCGAATTAGTGCTTTGTTACTTGCACTGGTGCAATGCAATATTGCAAAGTGCAACCTAGTTATGAGTCTTAACTTGCACAAGGTGCAAGTCAATTTTTGAGAAATAAATCAACAATAAATCTAACATTATAAGCATAAATATGTCAGCTCATTTTTCTTCTAAACTTTGAATAGCTATGGCACTGAAATATTGCTATTCATATACACGTTTCGGCTATGACAGCTCATGTAAACAGGGATCAGCTGTGTCTCTGTGTTGCTGTGGTTTCATAGGTACTACATCATGGAAATATGTTTATGTGCACCGAAACCTCTGACGTGTTTAACACACTACGTTGCAACTGAAATTTGGCTGGTGCAACTAGGTTTTTATCTTAGGTTGCACCTGGTGCAAGTAGGTTAACCTCTCTTAAATCAAGCCCTGAATTGCCAATTATGCAGAAGCAGTGTCTCATTTTCCCACAACCCACGAGTAACAACGTAGACAGACGGGTCTTAGTCAAGAAGCTGGACACAAAGTAGTAACGAAATACTGTAACTATTGACATTATCTAATAGAGTTGGGTACCACGAAAAGTTCAGTACCACGGTATACCAAGGTTTTTGTTCAAGTACCATGGTATTTACCACGGTATACTGTGCTGCAGTAACTAATAACTAATGAATCTGATTGTCTTGTTTAATGATTTTGAATGAATTGGACCATAAAGTAATGTCATAACTATAATAAACAAGTATGAAAAATACAAAAGTGTTTAAGACTTCGTTTTATTCTGTGAATTTCAGCCATCACAACAGGAAACTTCCACAAGAAGAAATCTGAAAACTTCAAAACTGAGCTCACTGCCAAGTTCAACAACTCAAACATTATGAACAAAATAAACAATCTTGTTAATTCCAATAAGTCAACGACATTAAGCTAACATAACTTGACAATATCACAAACTGACTTCACAAAAATCACTTGACTAGAAATATTACAAGATTCACGGCTGAGCATTGAGATTCTTGAATTCAGCATTATTCAGGTATTAAATTACTAGGAGTGCAAGTTTTAGTTTGCAAAAGCACTCATCACTATAGTACTGTCGGAAATAGAAAAAAACTGTTTTTAGGCTGTTAGTCTGTATCCCTAAAATTGACACAATTGCAAATAGCATATGCTCGAAATAACCCACATCGGCCTAACTCAGGGGATAGTCCAGAAAAGCATGTTTACTCGTGACGAAACATCTGCTGAAAACAATAGATCAGACTATAGATGGCAATTAGGTATTCGGACCGTCGACTCACTTGACATGAACTGCACGTCCCACAGACACAAGGGTTCATCTCAGATATATTTTATGCTTTTTCATGTGTATTGAATATGTCATTGATTATCTAATCGTACAACATCCCCAAGCCTTAACACTGTCAGCAACACCGCCTCGGTGTTAATCATCAATGATATTGCTCAATGGTATCTATCTCCTTAATAGTTTCAGTATTAAAGTTTTTATTTTTTACGATGATCAAACTAAGTTTTTCATTGGATATTCATGTCATTTGTTATACTACATTGCTCCAAATAAAGCTCATTTCTGCACAAATCTCTCCTCAAAAAAATCCTTCTTTAACATTTCATAAAACCGCTTTGCATTTTAAAGAAACCAATTATAAAACTGAAAAACTTAGTTTAACAGATATTTCAATTGAGATCACAAATTTTGCTAACAAATAACAAGTTAACAACAAATCTGTGATGAGAAAATAGTGTTTTATTTGATAGAGGCATTTTAAAGAAAAATTATAATGGTTTTCTGCAACCTTCAGCAAACGAAAAAAGAGTTTTCTGCAACCTTCCACGGTACGTACTGGCTCATGGAAAACCGCCCATCTCTATTATCTAAATCATCATTTGATGAGAATCTCTGATTAATGTTAACATGTACCACTGCTTCAAACATACAAACACATGGGTGTATAGCTTACAGTCACATTTATGTCCTGTATACTGTTCTGAAACTAGATGTAGAAACAGTAGTGTCAGTAGTGTCTGTTTTCCTGTAAATGCAAAAACATAGACAAAGGGTCTCTCAACAATGATTAATGGGAGCAATACTCCAATACTCAGTCGTCATGCCTAGGCTGCTTTAATTAGCTTCTGTAATCACCAATGTTGCCAATTAGTGTTGAACATAAGTCAAACCAGACATTATAGCTAGTTCATTACAAGAAAACATTGAAATTCTCAAAGACAAAAGCACTATCTATATTTCAATACTTTAAAAGTGTGAGTGTTGTGCCATCTAAATTAGACAGTGGAGTTACTTGCAGTTTTTTTTTAATATGTACGTCAGTATTTTCATTCACGTATCCATGGTTATCATGATTGATACAACAACTCAACATATTACAAATACGGTGTAACCAAATGTGAACGTGTATTTCTTCTTGTGAAAACTAAAACGACACAATTGAGAACATGTCTGGCTCGGTATTATTACTGTTGACGCTTTTACGTCATAAGCAGGTCTAGAGCAGTGGCTGATTTGGTATTGTATCATACACAAAGCTTTGGACTGACTTTAGCGTCCCGTGGAACACGATTCAAGTTCCAGAATCATGTCACGGTAAATTCCTTGAAATGCTTAAACGACCACCACATTTTTATTCAGGCATTATTTATAAAACAGTACTATGATATTCAGATGGCAAATGTAAATAGTGATCTCTATTGAACAAATGAAGAATTTGACAAAGATGAATTGTAAAACTCACACAAGGTTTATTTGACAGCCATTTTACCAAGGGGAGTAACTCCTGATGCTTATCGTGTTCTACTCTATTTTATATGTGTTCGCTCTACTAATGTTCAAACCCAACGGAGGAACTTTGGTGGAAAAATGTTTTTATCCATTTTTTGGAGAGTGTACCGAGAATATGAATGTTTTTATGCTACCTTTCGTCATGTTAACTTCTTTAAATAGAAAAAAACGAAACTATTTTCATAAAGGTATGAAATGGTAGACGGACAAGTGGAAGCCAGGGATTGTTAACCCAGGCATGGTTGATGGGGTAACAATAGTGTTATTTAACAAGGGATAAAAACAAACAAATGGAAGCCAGGCCTAATAGTGATAATTACAAGGACAATGAGGCCAGCAGTGATGATTAAAAGCGCTAGGCAGATATGTTCCCTGGTCACGATTGATTGCTGGTTGGCTTCTTCTGATGACTATGGCCTCTTGCAATTTCCTTTGCCGCCAGTTGTTGCTGTTCTTAGATAAGACTTTGGTGGCTTCCCCATACAATGGCGTGGTCCTGGTTCTTGTTGATGTGTTCAGAAACAGCAGATTTTGTTGACGAGGTCGAGTTTGTTGACGGATGCTTGGTGTTCTTTGAGTCTGGTGTATGTGTGGCCACAATAGTAGGGAATGTGGTATACACATCCTCTGGGGTTGAGGGGTGAGCTGCTGGTGCCTCTGCCATTGGCTTGCAGGAGGGTTTTGATGGTCTTGTTGCTGGAAAAGGTGACATCAATGTTACCTTTGTTCTTTACTAGACGAGAGATCTCATGGCTGACAGGGCCTAGGTAGGGAATGGTGATCCTGATGGGTGATGGGGCAGCTTTGGGTTTAGGCTTGGAGGCTTTGAAGGTCTTGTTGATGGTTTTAGAGATTAGATGTGCGGGGTGAGTGAGTTGAAAGTGTCCTTCAGATGGTCCAGTTCTTTGCTGAGAGCATCAAGATGGCAAATCACTTTTGCACATCAGGTGAGCATGGCGATGATGGCGTTTTATCTTGGGAAGGTGGTAGGAGTTGTAATGGATGTACTGGTCTGTGTGCGTGGGCTTGCGGTAAACAGAGGCTCTAAGTCCATTTTCTGTAGTTTGGAGGAACATGTCTAGGAAGGGAAGGTGTTAGTTTGTTTCTGTTTCCATGGTAACTAGATTCTTTGGTGCTGTGCATTGAGGTGATAAAGTAGTTCTGTGGGATCGTCCTCGGGGGCTATGATGGTAAATGTGTCATCCACTTTCCGATACCAACAGTGGGGTTTGAATGGTGCACTGATTTTTTTAAGGATGTCATAAATATTTTGGTGATGAGTGGAGACAGAGGGCAACCCATGGGCAGTCCATGTATTTGCTTGTAGATGTTGTTGAAGGTGAAGTAAGAGGTGTCAAAGCAGCTGGAGGTGAGGCTGTGTTTATGAACAACTAACATCTAACATTACCAGGCTTTCATGACAAGGGTAGCATTTGCTGCATCATAATGGTTACCCGTCATAAACACATGCAAAGGCAAGGCCAGGGTTCACCTAAACAGTGTTTAAGCAAGTGTTTCTTTGCTACGTATTGCCTTTATTTCTAATTACCAACTTAGAATGGTATTGATTGATTATATGAACGTCAGAAATAGCTGGTTATTCTTAGTTTGATACATCACTGATATCAACATACCCTTGTTTTGTAAGCTGTGGATTTTGTCAGCGAGGTTGTAACCTGTGAAGCACACAACCTGGGTCATATTTTGTAAACATCTGGAAGAAAAGCTTCAATGCTACTGATGTAAATTTCAGACTCCCCTTGCACAGCTTCAATATTGCTGGTTGTAATTACAGGGACCTCTGATATAACTGCAATATTTCTGTTCTTGAAAGGCATTTAATAGTTGGACGAACAGGAATACATGACATGTTTTAAAGCAAATTCATCAGGGATTCGAACCCATACCCTCAGAGACTTTGGGTGATTAAAGATTAGGTGCCTGACTTTTGAAGGTGTGGGTTCAATTCTGTATGGGTGGTGGAATTTGGTTTAACGTCGTGCTTGAGAATATTTCGCTCATATGACGACGTGCATGCGTGTGTATGTGTATGTGCGGCTGCTTGTACTAGCCCACTGAGATACCATGCCGCAGTGAAGCATGAATACCCCACTCAGACACATTATACTGACTCCGAGCCGACCAGTCCTTGTTGTACCCATTAATGCCGAGCGCCAAGCAGGGACCAACAAGTACCATATTTTAACGTCTGTTGGTATGACGCGGTCGGGGATCGAACCCGCGACCTTCCGCACTCCGGGCGGATGCTCTAACCACTACACCACGGAGGCGGTCTAATTCTGTATGGGACTCAACCCAACGAAACTAATAGATTCGGTATTTTACTGAGAAAGTGTAATCCCAAATATAACATGTGTTACACCTGCTGCTGCTGCAGAGGCTGAGATGCATGACTGTCAACAATGAACTCATGGAACATCCTCTGTATTCATGTTTGGCACAACCTGATGTTGAACTCTCAGTGAGTGAATAAGTTGGGTTTTATGCTGCTTTTAGCAATCTACCCACAATATCACGCGACTGTCACTTGTTAACTTGAAGTAAGAACAGTCCTGCAAACATTGCACATGTTATGATGACTGACTGACTGAGTTTGGTTTTACACCGCTTTTAGCAATATTCCAGCAACATCACGGTGGGGAACACCAGAAATGGGCTTCACACATTGTACCCATGTGGGGATTCGAACCCGGGTCTTCGGCGTGACGAGCCAACGCTTTAACCACTAGGCTACCCCACCGCCCCTGTTATGATGACATCATTTCTGTTGCGGAAGACTGTTTTCACCTCTGGGAGGCAACCATCTACAACAGTGAGATCCAGGCAACTATGCATCATTTCCAGAAATGTGTTGTCATCTATTTATGTTGAAACATAATTAGACACCAACTCCATGATTGCAGCCATAGTCAGACTCTGGAGAGCTTGGCGCCAACAAGAGAAAATATACACTCATTCTTTAGCCAGGATTTATTCACAATTATACAATCTGTACACTTTTTACAAATAAATACACTACACTAAATACATCCGTGGTACATTATGAAAATAGTGTACTGAGTTTCTGCACATCCCTTATATTTACACTGACACACATCCATGTACTGGTCCCTGCTACACCATGGAGGGAGGCTCCATGTACAGCCTGTGGACTACAATCACAACACTCTGCTCACTTCCTGGGGCAGGGATTTCAGGAATCATTTGGGAAATAGAAGACAAAATTTGAATTCCAATGTTATAATATTTAAACAGAGAATTTCTTCCTGAACAGCATTTTTCACTTTGAAAAAAAAATATTCCTCTTGTATAAAAATAAACTCATGATTGAAAAAAAGAAAGAATCTGTTCCCAACATTAAAAAACTTATTTCTAAACCACCAACGTAACTGTGTGTTTCTGAACTGAAGGTATCTTCTACTGTAGCAGGTGACTGGATCAATACAATAACTCAATGGAACAGCAAGGTACAGTGATGGTACAAAAAGGGTACAGTGATGGTACAGTATGGGCATCATCATTGTAGCATGAGTGAGTGAGTGAGTATGGTTTTACACAGCTTTTAGCAATATTCCAGCAATATCACGGCGGGGGTCACCAGAAATGGGCTTCACACATTGTACCCATGTGGAGAATCGAACCCGGGTCATTGGCGTGACAAGCGAACGCTTTAACCACTAGGCTACCCCACCGCCCCTCATTGTAGCATGAGTGAGTATGGTCCTACACCACTGTTAGCAAGAGGGGGGTGTCTGAGGGGGTGCAAATATTGTGTATATACACGAAAGGTACATTGACTGTACAGATACACAGTAAGGCTACAGTAAGTGTTCATTTATACAGTAAGGGCACCATAATTGTACAGGTGTAATGTATGGATACAGTCATAATCTACAGTGGTACAGTAAAGATACAGTGATGGTACAGTAAAGATACAGTGATGGTACAGTAAAGATACAGTGATGGTACAGTAAAGATACAGTGATGGTACAGTAAAGATGCAATGACTGAGCATCTACACAGAGATGACACAGCAAACTTACAGTGATACAGTACAGGTACAGTGATGGTACATTTACACTACAGTGATGGTACATTTACACTACAGTGATGGTACGGTAAGTGTACAGTGATTATTGGTACAAAAATAGGCATCTGTGCAGAGGTGTACAATTTGAAAAGTGTCTGCAGAAAAATACCCATTCACGTTTGAATGAAATTAAAGTGAAACTCATGCTTGTTTCAATCCAGTTGTGTTAACTGTAAATGTCTGTGGTGGTTTTCAAATAAGTCTCAGAATTTTCGTTTAAACTTTATTAAATTGTTAACATGAGCTTCAGTTGGTCCACCTGCCCAGGTGTAGTGGAGCACACAAGGAATGCACTGATACAGCTGCCATCATATACCATGTTTCCTGATACAACAGTCCTGAGTGAGTGGGGAGTTCGGCTGATGCTGCTTGGAACGGTTTTCTAGTTTCCATATTATGTGTCAGTTCAGTCTTTAAGGAAGTGATATTTACCACATCAGTCAGTCTCACGTGAATGGGCATGGTTCTGGCAAACTGGGGAACATATTTAGGGCAAATATGGGACATGAATCCATGATCACAGGATCCTGTCACACCTAAGGGAGGCAACTTTAAACTTGTGTCTCAGCAGTGGAACAGACAAATCATCAGAAACCAGATCAACTGCAAATGATCATTTCAATACTTCCACAACATTTTCTGCTTATTTTTACTGGAACAATTTAAAAAAATAAATCTTGATATTCAATCACTAATATTCCACTGTTCTCTGCTTTGATTTGAATAAATGGCAAATCGGACATTTTACACAAGCTAATCAGATGCCTTCTTGCTCCATGAAAATGTCTACTTGTATGTCAGTTAACCAGAGTACTTGTTGATTCCTGGGCTGTCCCCAGTCTCCGACATGTGATACACCTAATCATGTTTCATTTGTTGTTGATTCTATGTCCATTTTGAAATGGCTGTATGAAGAATGTTTTTGCAATATGCTCACCTCGTAACTACCGAGGTTGGCAGGACGTAACTGTCTATCCCCATCAAGACCAACACCATCCAGATTGGGAAGGAATATATATTTCTGGATAGCAAGTTTAATTTCAACAGTAAAATGTTTATGCTGGCCAGTAATCCTCCAGAAAGTGTTTCAGAAAGCACAGGAGTGCTGGAGGGATTAACCTGTGAGGATCTTGTGATAGGTTTCAGCTCAGTTTGTGATGGGGAAATTGAAGGTTGAACTACTACAGGAGTTTAGTACAAATGACGCACAGCCCAATAGTCTAAACTACACCAATGCAACCTGTACAACTACACAACTACTCCTACTGTACAACTACACAACATTCACACCTCGGTAGGAAGTCTGCTGTACAGAAGCCCCCTTCACTGCAGGGAGATAAGTGATAACACTTGACGCCATTTCATGAAGGAAGTTGTAAACATCTGCTGAAGCTATGTAAACAATGAGAGATTTCTAGAAGTATTTCCAAGCCATTGTATTTGTGACTTAGCTTGAGAGAATACTTAATGTGACTCAGTGCACAACAGGTGTATTTGGTGATGGGATGTTATGCCTTCAGTGAGTGATGAGAGGTTATTCCCTCAGATCAACACCCAAAACACTGGATGCCTCTCAATATATAGAAGAATGAACATAAACACGTACTTTAAGTCTTCAACAATATAAGCAGCTGTTCTAACTACACCTACTGAGACAGGCACTGTAGAGTCAGCTGTACTTGTCATCCAACTTACGAATTCATGCCATCCTGGGCTTTAGACAGCATTTGTTTGTTTACTTGCATCAGGTGTCATCAACATAGTTTACAACATACTGTTGTGTGAGTCAACTTGTATGAAACCAGTCCATTCTGTGTGTCAACTCTGGTGTATGTGAGTCAACTTGTATGCATGTAGCCAGTCCATTCTGTGAGTCAGCTCTGATATATGTGAGTCAGCTTGTATGTGGGGAGCCAGTCCATTCTGTGAGTCAACTCTGATATATGTGAGTCAGCTTGTATGTGGGGAGCCAGTCCATTCTGTGAGTCAACTCTGATATATGTGAGTCAGCTTGTATGTGGGGAGCCAGTCCATTCTGTGAGTCAACTCTGGTGTATGTGTGTCGACTTGTGGGGTACCCAGATCCTTGTGTTAGTCAACTCTGGTGTATGTGAGCCAACCTGTATGTGGGGAGCTAGTCCATTATGTGAGTCAACTCTGGTGTATGTGAGTCAACTTGTATGTGGGGAGCCAGTCCATTCTATGAGTCAACTTGTGTGGAGGCAGACCCTTGTGTGAGTCAACTCTGGTGTATGTGAGTTAACTTGTATGTGTGGAGCCAGTCCATTCTATGAGTCAATGTGTGTGGAGCCAGACCCTTGTGTGAGTCAACTCTGGTGTATGTGAGTTAACTTGTATGTCTGAAACCAGTCCATTCTGTGAGTCAACTCTGGTATATATGAGTCAACTTGTATGCATGGAACCAGTCCATTCTGTGAGTCAGCTTGTGTAGAGCCAGTCCACTAGGTGAGTCAACTCTGGTGTCAGCTTGTATGCATGGAGCCAGTCCATTATGTGAGTCAGCTTGTGAGGAGCTAGTCCACTAGGTGAGTCAACTCTGGTGTCAACTTGTATGCATGGAACCAGTCCACTCTGTGAGTCAGCTTGTGTAGAGCCAGTCCACTAGGTGAGTCAACTCTGGTGTCAGCTTGTATGCATGGAGCCAGTCCATTATGTGAGTCAGCTTGTGAGGAGCTAGTCCATTCTGTGAGTCAACTCTGGTGTATGTGAGTCAACTTGTATGCATGGAGCCAGTGTATTCCGTGAGTCAACTTGTGTGGAGCCAGACCCTCGTGTACACAAGTCAACTTGTATGTGTGGAGCCAGTCCATTCTGTGAGTCTTGCGAGTATTTGGGCCATCTTATATCTGTGGAGCCACTGTGTGGGCAAACTCATGTGAACCAACATCTATGTTATCTAGAGGTTAGACTGAAAAATCTTTGCCTGCCCTCATGTAGTATGTTCACAGGTAAAAAACAAAATATGTTGAGTTGACTCGTGTATCGTGTCCATCACAATAACCACCAAACCTAGCCTTGGATGTATCACTTCTGGGTTCTCATATTAATTTTGTCACATCTAAATGAGTATCATTTACTTGTAGACTTATTAGTCATGGCGTCAGTTAGAGATCTGGTGAGGTCCTTTTATACAGACCTAGCACTATTCATACAAAACATATTTTGAAGCTTATCTTACCTCGAATTACATCAAATCACATATGATGTAAGGAAATTACCGATTTTTTGCAAATGCAAATCGATGGAAGGGAGATAACTCTAAATCTGTTTTTCTTGCCAGCAAAATCTAGCGATGGCTACAAAAAGATTTGTACCCGTGCTTCAAACAATTCGAAATTAGCATTAAGATGTTCGGTAAGATAAATACATTGTTCACTGGTCCATCGGGGCCCATGGGTTGATGTACCCTCGATGTTTGTTTATGTTCCCCTGGCCCTTCGGGCTCAGGGAACATTCACAAACATCGAGGGTACATCAACCCATACCCTCCTCGTGACCAGTGAACAACTTATAATGTATGCCCTTTGTCTGTTATAGGTTTGGCATCAGACGGAGGAAACACGTCACTTCCTCCCCAGACAGTACAGAGTGTCAATACTCCACACCTGACTATGTGAACACAAGCTGGTGGCTGTCTGATACATTGGGTGCAAGGAATAGCACTGTGATCCACGCATTTGTTACTTCGCAGAGTTCCATGTTCCAAAATCATTTCCAATTTGAAACAAGTGTCACTTTGATCATGTCATGGTCTTGGTTCTGGAGAGTGAAAACAACATTGGCAAGAAAACAGAAAACACAAAATCATGGAAACAGAAACACATTCCTTTTGAGACTGAATAAGGGAGATAACGGTGTACAGACGATTGTCTGCATTTACTGAAGGTTGTAATAGATTACCTCAAAGTGGAATTTGGTATGTGTTCTATTCCTAAAAGGAGATAACTGTGTAGACAATCAGTCTGCAGTCACTGAACCAGACAAAGGAGATAAATGTCACTGACATTTCGGTTGTACTCAACATTCTTACACCAATAAACAGAGACGTAGGTTATAGAATTGCAACACTGGAATAAATAGTGTATATCACAGTATATAATCACCCATACATTGCCAGTCACATGTAAAAAATGATTATATGACATGCATAACCTTCAAGGTCACATCAATCATACTTTGATATCATCCATACTCGGGCAGTCATACTTCATATCATACTGGTCATACTTTCATATCAGTCATACCATTTGGTTTCAAATCATGAATCATACTTCAATGTAATTTACATGTCAGTCATACTTCAATGTCATTATTGGTATATCATTCCAACTATCTCCCAACATAATTCTCTGCAATGTCACAACCACTTGTCCCATCAAAGTCACTATTGCGGAAGGATGATGCCTATTTCAACTTGACCGAGGCTGGCAAATGTCAGTATGATGGAGGGATGACCTTGGATGTTTGACCTTTGCCTAGAGATGGCCTTGACCCAAACCATGACATTTTGTATTCCAGAGTTTGTTTGATGAGTTCTTGTTCATCACGACTGAAGTGTAACAACATGGCGATTGCCTTCACCAGCTTCATTGCCTGAAACCGAGGAAAAATACATGGAGTGAGTGAGTGAAATAAAAAACAGGTGGAGTGACACAGGAAATGAGTGAGTGGGAGAAAAGAGGTAAATTGCGGAGTGAGTGAGAGTGATACAGCGGCAAGTGGTGAAGTGAAACAGACAAATGGTGGAATGTTTGAGTGAAACAGAAAGATGATCAAGAGTGAACTTATGAATTTTCCTTAAATGATAATATTTCTCAAAATTACTGGGAAAAAATAATTTTGCCTCTGGTTTTACACAAATTGTTCACTGACATACTGCATGGCCTCCTGAAACATTGTGATGGCATGGAGCTGTGAGTGAAAATGAAATAGAAAGTTATGGTCCCCTGTGAACATTCCAGATGAGGCTATCAAAACAGTATAAGCTAACGGATATTACTGTGATTTGAAATATTGACTATCAGACGAGAGTATTTCTGGCGGAGAGCACAAGGCTGCTGTGTCAAGTTTGTCTACCTACCTCAGACTCCCCGACTCAGCATGAACTTCAAGATGACATGTTTGAGATACTGAAAGTTGACATCTTTGTCAAGCTCCTGCCGGATGCCCACTGTTCCGCTCCGAAGCTTGGCATCATCCTCATTTAGAATCCCTGATGCTGCCATCTGCACATGACTATGACCCCTTGACCCTGACCCCAAACCTGCTAACAACAAGTCTGCTTGGAAGCGTTTGTTGGAATCAAACTTCCTGTTTGGCTGAGGTGAGTGAGAGTCCACCAGCTCGGAGGAGTCGTCGTTAGGGAGAGCCTGGACCTTGAGCTCCCGTTGCAGGGTGATTCTCAGGTCCTTCAGAGTCTGCTCTTGCTTCTTCAGGGCCTGCAGTGAGTGAGTGAATGAGTGAGTGAGTGAGTGAGTTGGGTTTAATACTGATGTGGCAAGTATTCAGTTATATCACGATGTATGGGAGATATGTAGAGTGCTGACAAACCAAGACACAACCACAATCAATCTGGGTTGTAACTGGGTTGTAAACACACAATCATACGATTTGGGCACACCACATGGAAACAGCAATCTGAAACATGATGTGTCAGTGAGTGAGTGAGGTTAGTTTTACACCGCACTCAGCAATATTCCAGCTGTAAATAATCGAGTCTGGACAAGACAATCCAGTGATCAACAGCATGAGCATCAATCTGCACAATTGGGAACTGATGACATGTGTCAACCAAGTCAGCAAGCCTGACCACCCGATCCCATTAGTCCCACAAGCATGGATTACTGTAGATCAATTCTAACCCGGACCTTCATGGGTCTGATGTGTCAGTATAACTTAGAAGGAAAGCACAAGGTGATGCAGGTCTAAGACAACAACACTTTGGTGAAACCTTCAAGCATGGGTGAGTGAGTTTGGTTTAGCTCTGCTTTGAACATCATTCAAGAACATCATAGCGTGTCCACATAATGTGTGAGTGAGTGAGTGAGTGAGTGAGTGAGTGAGTGAGTGAGTGAGTGAGGTTTTACGCCACTTTTAGCAATATTCTAGTAATATCACAGTGGGGGACACCAGAAATGGACTTCACACATTGTACCCATGTGGGGAATCGAACCCGGGTCTTCAACATGACCAGTGAATGCTTAAACCACTAGGCTACCCCACCACTCCAGCTTAAAACCCGAAACATTTAACATTTTGGTGAAAATTGAATATAAGAAATATAAACAGAAATATAATCAATGTGAACTAACATCTGAAGCCATGATCATACATCCTGGAGTGTTCAAGGGACACAACTGGCTGAATGTGGTGCCTTACATCATAGGACTACCCTTGTCCCCAACCAGAATGGGACTCTCACTCACACACATTTTAAATATTTATCATAGATAGTGTTTTCACATGGATAAGATATCGACTGACCCTGTTCTTGTCAGTGAGCTGATTCTGCAGCTCTGTAATTTCTGTCTGCAGCTCGCCAACTGTTGCCGTGGTGACCTGGTCTTCAGACTTCTTTATCTCATAATCTGTACACTGAACACAGAAAACAAACATACAACACAGGAACTAATAATTTCCTCCAAATGTCCTCAAACCACCATATACCATCATCCTGAAGCAAGAGAGTCACGCAGTCTACATCAAAGCCTAGTTTTCATCCTTGCTCTTTCAAGCCGACATTGTTTGGCGAAGAAATGCAACATATCAGCACAAAGTCAGAACAGAATCCATCTTTTTTACGACCTATCCATTACAAAGATGAATGTGGCTTAATTCTCATGTGTTTGGTACCAGGTAACATTTACAGGTAACGAGAAACGCTGTTCCTACTTTAACAAAGACATTGTTCATCAACATATTGTTGTCCTTCCCACAAAACAGCTGTTTGAAAGTACTGATTATATGCAACAGAGCATATCTGCTCTTTTACAGCCCAAATACTAATTCCACAGGAAAAGAGTAATTTTGATAATCTTCTCAGTAGTAATGCACTCAGTGTCTGGACAATCAGTTGTACACCCCACCCCTCTACCCCAGGCTACAGGGAACACACACCCGCTTGTCATAAAGGGTTATTTTCTCCTCCAGCTGACTAATAGTCTGCTGTAAGGAAGTGATCGTCTCCCCTTTCTCCCGGACTTCTGCCACCAGGAGGAGCTCCTTCTCTGCTGCCTGTTGTCTTCTGCTCTCCAGCTGCTGTGACAGTTCAGCATTACGCACCAACAGCTCATCCTTCTCTGGAAGTTGATAACAATTTGATGAAGTTTCCTTCCGTGTGGTGGAATACACCCTAGAGAGCAAATACCTTGTCTAAAACTATAGCAACCAGGTAGTCATAAAGGTGAGAGTTATTATTAGAGGTATCCCTGACAGATATCTATGAGACATATTGATGTCAGATGTCTATGAGAGATATTGATGTCAGATGTCCATGAGAGATATTCATCATCTATATTCATGACAGGAAACTTTGATGTATAACACTGGGAGGTATCTGTGCCACATATTGATGTCAGATGTCCATGAGATATATTGATGTCAGATGTCCATGAGACATATTGATGTCAGATGTCCATGAGACATATTGATGTCAGATGTCCATGAGACATATTGATGTCAGATGTCCATGAGAGATATCCATGCCAGATATTGATGACAGATATCCCTGAGAGATATCCATGCCAGATATTGATGACAGATATCCCTGAGAGATATCCATGCCAGATATTGATGACAGATATCCCTGAGAGATATCCATGCCATATATTGATGACAGATATCCCTGAGAGATATCCATGCCAGATATTGATGATGATATCGAGATATCCATGCCAGATATCCACAGATGCCTGAGATATCCATGACAGATATCCAGATATCCCTGAGATATCCATGCCATATATTGATGACAGATATCCTGAGATATCCATGCCAGATATTGATGACAGATATCCTGAGAGATATCCATGCCAGATATTGATGACAGATATCCTGAGAGATATCCATGCCAGATATTGATGACAGATATCCCTGAGAGATATCCATGCCAGATATTGATGACAGATATCCCTGAGAGATATCCATGCCATATATTGATGACAGATATCCCTGAGATATCCATGCCAGATATTGATGACAGATATCCCTGAGAGATATCCATGCCAGATATTGATGACAGATATCCCTGAGAGATATCCATGCCAGATATTGATGACAGATATCCCTGAGATATCCATGCCAGATAACCTTGACAGATATCCCTGAGAGATATCCATGCCAGATATTGATGACAGATATCCCTGAGATATCCATGCCATATATTGATGACAGATATCCCTGAGATATCCATGCCAGATATTGATGACAGATATCCCTGAGATATCCATGCCAGATATTGATGACAGATATCCCTGAGAGATATCCATGCCAGATATTGATGACAGATATCCCTGAGAGATATCCATGCCAGATATTGATGACAGATATCCCTGAGAGATATCCATGCCAGATATTGATGACAGATATCCCTGAGAGATATCCATGCCAGATATTGATGACAGATATCCCTGAGATATCCATGCCAGATATTGATGACAGATATCCTGAGAGATATCCATGCCAGATATTGATGACAGATATCCCGGAGATATCCATGCCAGATATTGATGACAGATATCCCTGAGAGATATCCATGCCATATATTGATGACAGATATCCCTGAGATATCCATGCCAGATATTGATGACAGATATCCCTGAGAGATATCCATGCCAGATATTGATGACAGATATCCCTGAGATATCCATGCCAGATATTGATGACAGATATCCCTGAGATATCCATGCCAGATATTGATGACAGATATCCCTGAGATATCCATGCCAGATATTGATGACAGATATCCTGAGAGATGATATCCATGCCAGATATTGATGACAGATATCCCTGAGAGATATCCATGCCAGATATTGATGACAGATATCCCTGAGAGATATCCATGCCAGATAACCTGACAGATATCCTGAGAGATATCCATGCCAGATATTGATGACAGATATCCTGAGAGATATCCATACCAGATATTGATGACAGATATCCTGAGATATCCATACCAGATATTGATGACAGATATCCTGAGAGATATCCATGCCAGATATTGATGACAGATATCCTGAGATATCCATACCAGATATTGATGACAGATATCCTGAGAGATATCCATACCAGATATTGATGACAGATATCCTGAGATATCCATACCGGATATTGATGACAGATATCCTGAGAGATATCCATGCCAGATATTGATGACACATATCCCTGAGAGATATCCATACCAGATATTGATGACATATCCTGAGATATCCATACCGGATATTGATGACAGATATCCTGAGATATCCATACCAGATATTGATGACAGATATCCTGAGATATCCATGCCAGATATTGATGACAGATATCCTGAGATATCCATGCCAGATATTGATGACAGATATCCCTGAGAGATATCCATACCAGATAACGATGACAGATATCCTGAGATATCCATGCCAGATATTGATGACAGATATCCTGAGAGAGATATCCATGCCAGATATTGATGACAGATATCCCTGAGATATCCATGCCAGATATTGATGACAGATATCCCTGAGAGATATCCATGCCAGATATTGATGACAGATATCCCTGAGATATCCATGCCAGATATTGATGACAGATATCCCTGAGATATCCATGCCATATATTGATGACAGATATCCCTGAGATATCCATGCCAGATATTGATGACAGATATCCCTGAGAGATATCCATGCCAGATATTGATGACAGATATCCCTGAGATATCCATGCCAGATATTGATGACAGATATCCATGAGATATTGATGCCAGATATCCTCTGATATATCCATGCCAGATATTGATGACAGATATCCCTGAGAGATATCCATGCCATATATTGATGACAGATATCCCTGAGATATCCATGCCAGATATTGATGACAGATATCCCTGAGAGATATCCATGCCAGATATTGATGACAGATATCCCTGAGAGATATCCATGCCAGATATTGATGACAGATATCCTGAGAGATATCCATGCCAGATATTGATGACAGATATCCCTGAGAGATATCCATGCCAGATATTGATGACAGATATCCTGAGAGATATCCATGCCAGATATTGATGACAGATATCCCTGAGAGATATCCATGCCAGATATTGATGACAGATATCCTGAGATATCCATGCCAGATATTGATGACAGATATCCTGAGATATCCATGCCATATATTGATGACAGATATCCCTGAGATATCCATGCCAGATATTGATGACAGATATCCTGAGATATCCATGCCAGATATTGATGACAGATATCCCTGAGAGATATCCATGCCAGATATTGATGACAGATATCCCTGAGATATCCATGCCAGATATTGATGATAGATATCCTTACTGAGATATCCATGCCATATATTGATGACGAGATATCCATAGATATTGATGACAGATATCCCTGAGAGATATCCATGCCAGATATTGATGACAGATATCCCTGAGAGATATCCATGCCAGATATTGATGACAGATATCCCTGAGAGATATCCATGCCAGATATTGATGACAGATATCCCTGAGAGATATCCATGCCAGATATTGATGACAGATATCCCTGAGAGATATCCATGCCAGATATTGATGACAGATATCCCTGAGAGATATCCATGCCATATATTGATGACAGATATCCCTGAGAGATATCCATGCCAGATATTGATGACAGATATCCCTGAGAGATATCCATGCCAGATATTGATGACAGATATCCCTGAGAGATATCCATGCCAGATATTGATGACAGATATCCCTGAGAGATATCCATGCCAGATATTGATGACAGATATCCCTGAGAGATATCCATGCCAGATATTGATGACAGATATCCCTGAGATATCCATGCCAGATATTGATGACAGATATCCCTGAGATATCCATACCAGATATTGATGATGAATTCCTGATATCCATGCCAGATTGATGACAGATATCCCTGAGAGATATCCATGCCATATCTTGATGACAGATATCCCTGAGATATCCATGCCATATATTGATGACACATATCCCTGAGAGATATCCATGCCAGATATTGATGACAGATATCCCTGAGATATCCATACCAGATAACCTTGACAGATATCCCTGAGATATCCATACCAGATATTGATGACAGATATCCCTGAGATATCCATACCAGATAACCTTGACAGATATCCTGGAGATATCCATGCCAGATATTGATGACAGATATCCCTGAGAGATATCCATGCCATATATTGATGACACATATCCCTGAGATATCCATACCAGATAACCTTGACAGATATCCCTGAGATATCCATGCCAGATATTGATGACAGATATCCCTGAGATATCCATACCAGATATTGATGATATCCTTGAGAGATATCCATACCAGATATTGATGACAGATATCCTGAGAGATATCCATGCCAGATATTGATGACACATATCCCTGAGATATCCATACCAGATATTGATGACACATATCCCTGAGAGATATCCATGCCAGATATTGATGACAGATATCCCTCAGATATCCATACCAGATATTGATGACACATATCCCTGAGATATCCATACCAGATATTGATGACACATATCCCTGAGATATCCATACCAGATATTGATGACAGATATCCCTGAGATATCCATACCAGATATTGATGACAGATATCCCTGAGATATCCATACCAGATATTGATGACAGATATCCCTGAGATATCCATGCCAGATATTGATGACAGATATCCCTGAGAGATATCCATGCCATATATTGATGACACATATCCTGAGAGATATCCATACCAGATAACCTTGACAGATATCCCTGAGATATCCATGCCAGATATCCCTGAGATATCCATACCAGATATTGATGACACATATCCCTGAGATATCCATACCAGATATTGATGACACATATCCCTGAGATATCCATACCAGATATTGATGACAGATATCCCTGAGATATCCATACCAGATATTGATGACAGATATCCCTGAGATATCCATACCAGATATTCATGACACATATCCCTGAGATATCCATACCAGATATTGATGACAGATATCCCTGAGAGATATCCATGCCAGATATTGATGACAGATATCCCTGAGATATCCATACCAGATATTGATGACATATCCTGAGATATCCATGCCAGATATTGATGACAGATATCCCTGAGATATCCATACCAGATATTGATGACACATATCCCTGAGATATCCATACCAGATATTGATGACACATATCCCTGAGATATCCATACCAGATATTGATGACACATATCCCTGAGATATCCATACCAGATATTGATGACACATATCCCTGAGATATCCATGCCAGATATTGATGACACATATCCCTGAGAGATATCCATACCAGATAACATTGACAGATATCCCTGAGATATCCATACCAGATATTGATGACAGATATCCCTGAGAGATATCCATACCAGATATTGATGACAGATATCCTGGAGATATCCATGCCAGATATTGATGACAGATATCCCTGAGAGATATCCATGCCAGATATTGATGACAGATATCCTGAGAGATATCCATGCCAGATATTGATGACAGATATCCCTGAGATATCCATGCCATATATTGATGACAGATATCCCTGAGATATCCATGCCAGATATTGATGACAGATATCCCTGAGATATCCATGCCATATATTGATGACAGATATCCCTGAGATATCCATGCCAGATATTGATGACAGATATCCCTGAGATATCCATACCAGATAACCTTGACAGATATCCCTGAGAGATATCCATGCCAGATATTGATGACAGATATCCCTGAGAGATATCCATGCCAGATATTGATGACAGATATCCCTGAGAGATATCCATGCCAGATATTGATGACAGATATCCCTGAGAGATATCCATGCCAGATATTGATGACAGATATCCCTGAGAGATATCCATGCCAGATAACCTTGACAGATATCCCTGAGAGATATCCATGCCAGATATTGATGACAGATATCCCTGAGAGATATCCATGCCAGATATTGATGACAGATATCCCTGAGAGATATCCATGCCAGATATATTGATGACAGATATCCCTGAGAGATATCCATGCCAGATATTGATGACAGATATCCCTGAGAGATATCCATGCCAGATAACCTTGACAGATATCCCTGAGAGATATCCATGCCAGATATTGATGACAGATATCCCTGAGATATCCATGCCAGATATTGATGACAGATATCCCTGAGAGATATCCATGCTATATATTGATGACAGATATCCCTGAGATATCCATGCCAGATATTGATGACAGATATCCCTGAGAGATATCCATGCCATATATTGATGACAGATATCCCTGAGATATCCATGCCAGATATTGATGACAGATATCCCTGAGAGATATCCATGCCATATATTGATGACAGATATCCCTGAGATATCCATGCCAGATATTGATGACAGATGATGAGATATCCCTGATAACCTTTGACAGATATCCTGAGAGATATCCATGCCATATATTGATGACAGATATCCCTGAGATATCCATGCCAGATATTGATGACAGATATCCCTGAGATATCCATGCCAGATATTGATGACAGATATCCCTGAGAGATATCCATGCCATATATTGATGACAGATATCCCTGAGATATCCATGCCAGATATTGATGACAGATATCCCTGAGATATCCATGCCATATATTGATGACAGATATCCCTGAGATATCCATGCCAGATATTGATGACAGATATCCCTGAGAGATATCCATGCCATATATTGATGACAGATATCCCTGAGATATCCATGCCAGATATTGATGACAGATATCCCTGAGAGATATCCATGCCATATATTGATGACACATATCCCTGAGATATCCATACCAGATATTGATGACAGATATCCCTGAGATATCCATACCAGATAACCTTGACAGATATCCCTGAGAGATATCCATGCCAGATATTGATGACAGATATCCCTGAGAGATATCCATGCCATATATTGATGACAGATATCCCTGAGATATCCATGCCATATAAACTTGACAGATATCCCTGAGATATCCATGCCATATATTGATGACACATATCCCTGAGAGATATCCATGCCATATAAACTTGACAGATATCCCCATGAGGGAGTCTGACTGTTCCATCCAGACAGTATTACAAATGAAATAAGCCCTTGAAATGTGGCCAACTTACTGCAAGCTGAACTCAATCCATGGAGCTTGTAAAGGAGTAACTAATTTCTTCTAGGGCAGTATATAGATTCATGATGGGATACCTGTTCTGCTTTGTGTCAAATCAGACAGCAGTGCCAGTGACAGTATCATCTACCTTTGTTAGACTCCTTCAGTTCTGCCTGCCCTGACTTGAGGTTCTTCTTCAGATTCTCCAAAGTTTCCGTCACGGACTGCACCTCCACCTCTAGGCCAGATATCTGCTCACAGGAAACATCACTCACAGTTTATCAGGATCAGTGTGGTGCATTCTCACTGACATGGCAAACATGAGTTGATAAGGAACACTCACAGTCAACACTAGATTTGGAGGTACCTTCTAATTCTGGGTCCTGTTCATCAAAGTGAACTTAGCATTAAGTTTGTTGTACGTGTTATGGGAGTTACAATCATTTAAAAGCGAACATTGAGTCTACTCCTACCTTCTCCACGAGTGAGGTCTCACTCTGTCGCTTTTCCTCCATGGACGTCTTCAGCCTTGAACTCTCCTCCATCTTGTCCGTGTACTCCGTCTGGAAGCAGGATGTCAATGCGTTAATCCTACCACTAACTGACATTTAACTAGTCATCAAAAATATTGAGACATCTGTAAAAGTTCAATTCATGTCATCTATTATTTGTTTATACACTTTTCATGTACATGGTGTAAGAGTTCAGCTGAATACATCAGACAATGCTTATGAGGTGAATGTTCATATCCTGCTTTGCCCCATGTCCTTGCTGTGCCCCCCATTCCCTCACCTGTATCCTGCTGTGCCCCCCATCCTCCTCACCTGTATCCTGTTGTGTTCCACTTCAAGAGTCTTCAGCTGTTTATCCAACTTGATGTGTTCCTCCAGAACCTCCTGTTCCCTCGCCTCCAGCTGAGCCTGACATACAGACAGACCATGTGTCACTCCATGTCGTGAATCACCATATTTGAGTCATCACGACATGTCGCTCATCACTTCACATCACTAACCACCATATTTCAGTCATCACAACATGTCGCTCACTTCACATCACTAACATATATCAGTCATCACGACATGTCGGTCATCACTTCATGTCACTAACTAACATATATCAGTCATCACGACATGTCGCTCATCACTTCACCTCACTAACCACCATATTTCAAAATGGCATTGTGTATTTCACACCATATTTCCGTCATCACGACATGTCGCTCATCACTGCATGTCACTAACCACCATGTTTCAGTCATCACGACATGTCGCTCATCACTGCATGTCACTAACCACCATATTTCAGTCATCACGACATGTCGCTCATCACTTCATGTCACTCACCACCATATTTCAGTCATCACGACACTTCGCTCATCACTTCATGTCACTAACCACCATATTTCAGTCATCGCGACATGTCGCTCATCACTTCATGTCACTAACCACCATATTTCAGTCATCACGACATGTCGCTCATCACTTCATGTCACTCACCACCATATTTCAGTCATCACGACATGTCGCCATCACTTCACATCACTAACAACCATTTTTCAGTCATCATGACATGTCGCCCATCACTTCATGTAACTCACCACCATATTTCAGTCATCACGACATGTCGCTCATCACTTCATGTCACTAACCACTATATTTCAGTCATCACGACATGTCGCTCATCACTTCATGTCACTAACCACCATATTTCAGTCATCACGACATGTCGCTCATCACTTCATGTCACTCACCACCATATTTCAGTCATCACGACATGTCGCTCATCACTTCATGTCACTCACCACCATATTTCAGTCATCACGACATGTCGCTCATCACTTCATGTCACTAACCACCATATTTCAGTCATCACGTATTACATATCGCTTCATCACTTCATGTCACTCACCACCATATTTCAGTCATCACGACATGTCGCCATCACTGCATGTCACTCACCACCATATCTCAAATATCACGACATGTCGCCATCACTTCATGTCACTCACCACCATATTTCAGTCATCACTTACATGTCAGCCCATCACTTCATGTCACTCACCACCATATTTCAGTCATCACGACATGTCGCTCATCACTTCATGTCACTAACCACCATATTTCAGTCATCATGACATGTCGCCCATCACTTCATGTCACTCACCACCATATTTCAGTCATCACGACATGTCGCTCATCACTTCATGTCACTCACCACCATATCTCAGTCATCACGACATGTCGCTTCATCACTTCATGTCACTCACCACCATATTTCAGTCATCAATGCACATGTCGCTTCATCACTTCATGTCACTCACCACCATATTTCAGTCATCACGACATGTCGCTCATCACTTCATGTCACTCACCACCATATTTCAGTCATCACGACATGTCGCCCATCACTTCATGTAACTCACCACCATATTTCAGTCATCACGACATGTCGCTCATCACTTCATGTCACTCACCACCATATTTCAGTCATCACAACATGTCGCTCATCACTTCATGTCACTCACCACCATATTTCAGTCATCACGACATGTCGCTCATCACTTCATGTCACTCACCACCATATCTCAGTCATCACGACATGTCGCTCATCACTTCATGTCACTCACCACCATATTTCAGTCATCACAACATGTCGCTTATCACTTCATGTCACTCACCACCATATTTCAGTCATCACAACATGTTGCTTATCACTTCATGTCACTAACCACCATATTTCAGTCATCACGACATGTTGCTCATCACTTCATGTCACTCACCACCATATTTCAGTCATCACTTCATGTCGCTCATCACTTCATGTCACTAACCACCATATTTCAGTCATCATGACATGTCGCTCATCACTTCACATCACTAACCACCATATTTCACTAATCACGTCACACATCACAACAACTATATACACTGCATTACTCATAACTACATGCTGAAAGGATATTGTGACCACGACTCCTTCAGTAAAGTATAAAAGAATATACTTGCATTTCCCATTCAACAACCTGACATATAACAATACCCAAAGACTGAATCTGGTCAGATTTGGAGGCTTGGCTCTTTTTAATGTAATTCCTTGCTGCCTATTAAGAACACTATGTCTTTGTACTGACTATTCTCTGGTCAGCTTCATTCTTCATGTGGTCACGGGCTGTCTCAATCTCCATCAGCTGTGTTTCCAGGGCTGTGATCTTGGCCCGCAGACCAGACTCGCTGTCCACAGCACTCAGCCGAGCCTTCTGAAGCTCCACCTCCAGCTCATGTTTCTGCAGATGGCAAGCAAACAGTGTTAGAGTGTGGACAGTGTTAGTAGACACAGTGTCAGAACAACCAGAAGATATAGATGGCTGTAGAAGTAGAGTGTCAGTAAACAGACACTGTCTATACACAGAAATCAGAGCACTAGGCTCACCTGCTTCTCATACTGTCTGTCCTTCTGGCTTGCCAGCTCCCAGCTCTCGAAGGCCCGCTTCTCTGCATCCTCAACACTGTGCTGCAGCTCCTGTATCTGTTGGCAGCAACAGGTGGAGGAAGTGACTTCAGGGAACACCTGCACATATCTCAGACATGGGGCACCACACTATGCCACCTGCATACATGTCACAGACATGTGGCACCACACCATGCCACCTGCATACATCTCACAGACATGGGGCACCACACCATGCCACCTGCATACATCTCACAGACACAGGCCACCACACCATGCCACCTGCATATGTCTCACAGACACAGGGCACCACGACATGCCACCTGCATACATCTCACAGAGGTAGGGCACCACACCATGCCACCTGCATACATCCCACAGACATAGGGCACCACACCATGCGACCTGCATATATGTCACAGGCATGGGGCACAACACCATGCCACTTGCATACATCTCAGAGACATAGGGCATCACTCCATGCCACTTGCATACATCTTACTGACATGAGGCACCACACCATGTCACCTGCATACATCTCACAGACATAGGGCAAAACACCATACCACCTGCATACTTCTCACAGACATGGGGTACCACACCATGCCACCTGCATACATCCCACAGACAAAGTTCACCACACCATGCCACCTGCATACATCCCACAGACACAGGGCACCACACCATGCCACCTGAATGTATCTCACAGACATGGGGCACCACACCATGCCACCTGCATACATCTCCCACAGACACAGTTCACCACACCATGCCACCTGCATACATCTCACAGACATGGGGCACCACACCATGTCACCTGCATACATCTCACAGACATGGGGCACCACGCCATGTCACCTGCATACATCTCACAGACATAGGGCAAAACACCATACCACCTGCATACTTCTCACTGACATGGGGCACCACACCATGTCACCTGCATACATCTCACAGACATAGGGCAAAACACCATACCACCTGCATACTTCTCACAGACATGGGGCACCACACCATGCCACCTGCATACATCCCACAGACACAGTTCACCACACCATGCCACCTGCATACATCCCACAGACACAGGGCACCACACCATGCCACCTGCATGTATCTCACAGACATGGGGCACCACACAATGCCACCTGCATACATCCCACAGACACAGTTCACAACACCATGCCACCTGCATATATGTCACAGGCATGGGGCACAACACCATGCCACCAGCATACATCCTACAGACATGGGGCATGACACCATGCCACCTGCATACATCCTACAGACATGGGGCACCACACCATGCCACTAGCATACGTCTCACAGACATGGGGCACCACACCATGCCACCAGCATACATCCTACAGACATGGGGCACCACACCATGCCACCTGCATACATCCTACAGACATGGGGCACCACACCATGCCACCAGCATACATCTGCCACCTGCATTCCCACTGACATGGGGCAGACATGGGGCACCACACCATGCCACCATGCATCAGCATTTATTTCACAGACATGGGGCAACGCGACACCATGCCCCTGCATACATCCCACAGACATGGGGCACCACCACCATGCCACCTGCATACATCTCACAGACATGGGGCACCACACCATGCCACCTGAAGCATCTCACATTTCACCATGACATGCATTTATTTTCACCACACCACCACACCATGCCACCTGCATACATCTCACAGACATGGGGCACCACACCATGCCATCAGCATTTATTTCACTGACATGGGGCACCACACCATGCCACCTGCATACATCTCACAGACATGGGGCACCACACCATGCCATCAGCATTTGATTTCACAGACATGGGGCACCATTTATTTCACAGACATGGGGCACCATATGCATCCATCAAAGACACAGGGCACCGTATTATGCCGCTATATCCATCTCACAAGTATGGGACACCACCCTATTCCACAGCATCTATCTCACAGAAATGGGGCACCACATGCATCGTAAATATGGGGTACCATACTTCAACACCTGCATGCATCTCACAGACATGGGGCACCACACTCCAACAACTGCATGCATCTCACAGACATGGGGCACCACACCATGCCATCTGCATATGTCTCACAGACACAGGGCACCACACCATGCCACCTGCATACATCCCACTGACATGGGGCACCACACCATGCCACCAGCATTTATTTCACAGACATGGGGCACCACACCATACCACCTGAAGACATCTCACAGACATGGGGCACCACACCATGCCATCAGCATTTATTTCACAGACATGGGGCACGACACCATGCCACCTGCATACATCCCACAGACATGGGGCACCACACCATGCCACCAGCATTTATTTCACTGACATGGGGCACCACACCATGCCACCTGCATACATCTCACAGACATGGGGCACCACACCATGCCATCAGCATTTATTTCACAGACATGGGGCACCATATGCATCCATCAAAGACACAGGGCACCGTATTATGCCGCTATATCCATCTCACAAGTATGGGACACCACCCTATTCCACAGCATCTATCTCACAGAAATGGGGCACCACATGCATCGTAAATATGGGGCACCATACTTCAACACCTGCATGCATCTCACAGACATGGGGCACCACACTACAAAACTTGCATGCATCTCACAGACATGGGGCACCACACTACAAAACTTGCATGCATCTCACAGACATGGGGCACCACACTACAAAACTTGCATGCATCTCACAGACATGGGGCACCACACTACAATACCTGCATGCATCTCACAGACATGGGGCACCACACTACAAAACTTGCATGCATCTCACAGAGAGTGCAATGCTTGAATGAAAGTATTATTGCCATTATTGCTATATAGTGTCATTGTAACAGAGGCAATGATTAGTGGAGAGGGAGTATTACGGTTATCATTCCAGTTATTCCTGCACTGTAACAATGTAACAGAGGCAATGCTTGAAGGGGAGTATTACTGTTATCATTCCAGTTATTCCTACACTGTAACAATGTAACAGAGGCAATGCTTGAAGGGGAGTATTACTGTTATCATTCCAGTTATTCCTACACTGTAACAATGTAACAGAGGCAATGCTTGAAGGGGAGTATTACTGTTATCATTCCAGTTATTCCTATACTGTAACAATGTAACAGAGGCAATGCTTGAAGGGGAGTATTACTGTTATCATTCCAGTTATTCCTACACTGTAACAATGTAACAGAGGCAATGCTTGAAGGGGAGTATTACTGTTATCATCCCCCTTATTCCTACACTGTAACAATGTAACAGAGGCAATGCTTGAAGGGGGAGTATTACTGTTATCATCCCAGTTATTCCTACACTGTATCGATGTAACAGAGGCAATGCTTGAAGGGGAGTATTACTGTTATCATTCCAGTTATTCCTACACTGTAACAATGTAACAAAGGCAATGCTTGAAGGGGGAGTATTACTGTTATCATCCCAGTTATTCCTACACTGTAACAATGTAACAGAGGCAATGTAACAGAGGCAATGCTTGAAGGGGGAGTATTACTGTTATCATCCCAGTTTTTCATTCTTTATATTAATAACATTGTACACATTGCAACTGAACATAACACTGATGCTTGAATAACAAGTTGGGAATAAGCCCAGTCTATGCTGTCACATCAGTCTTGGCCGTTGGTCTACCATGTCATTCTAAGGTCAACAACATATACAAACCTCCATGCTACAAAACAGACCAAACATTGTTGCCACATGTTAGGTTTTGGGACAAACCTGTTTATGAAAGTTTTCTTGCATGTTTTCACAGTCATGTCGTAGATTGGCCATCTCCTCATTATCCTCAACTATTTTAAGGTTGAGGTGAGAAATCTGAAATGAATGTCAGTCGTGCGCAGTTCCAGACAAAAGAGGCTGCGATTGACACTACTCCCCACAAACTTGATAAAGTTGGAAACTTGCACAAAAAGTGAGTGAAAAGAAACAAAATAGCTGCATTCTGTGAATGGTGTATTTCCAAACATGATTAAAAACTTGACATATATATATATGGAGAATGTTTTGTATTATGTTACCTTTCAAGTTTGTGGAAACAGTGTCAAAGATCAAACAGGGTAATTGAGAAAGAACACACCATACACAAAGTGACCATGCTCATAGAATTATACAAAACTAATGCTGTTCAATTACTGATTACTTCTGCTGATTATGAACTAATCCTGTTTTCACGTCTTTAAAGATGATATGGAGAACGTGATGAAGTGACAGGTTACTGACTGAATGATATATTTACATTAAACAGCAGATGTTTGAAGCAATCAGAGCGCATATGGTCAGCTTGTGCAGTGTGAGTGTTACAGAGCAGGACATAACACAGTTCACATCGTCCACTACAGGAAGTCAACTTATATACCCTCACATATGAGGTTTCAAACCTGCATCAAGCTATCATTTGTGCACTGTAGTTTAGTACTAAGTTTACTGTCAACATTTCAGCTCTGCCACAATGACTGAAATCAGTTTAGAAGCTTTGAAAAATATCCATGTAATCATACAATAGTTCAGCTTAATGTGGAAGAAAAGCTACAAATGAGTGAGTGGTGTCATAAATTTGTAATGAACATGACACCCCAGGTGTTGAACAAACTCATTATATCAGACCACCAGGTGTCAAACATGGCCATCTCACCATAAGGTGTTGTGTAGCTATTGAATAATCAGACCACCTGGTGTCAACATTGTAATAATACAAATACACCATCTCACCATAAGGTGTTGTGCAGCTATTGAGCAATCAGACCACCTGGTGTCAACATTGTAATAATACAAATACACCATCTCACCATAAGGTGTTGTGTAGATATTGAGCAATCAGACCACCTGGTGTCAACATTGTAATAATACAACTACACCATCTCACCATAAGGTGTTGTGTAGCTATTGAGCAATCAGACCACCCGGTGTCAACATTGTAATAATACAAATACACCATCTCACCATAAGGTGTTGTGCAGCTATTGAGCAATCAGACCACCCTTGTAATAATACAAATGTCATCTCACCATAAGGTGTTGTGTAGTAATTGACAATCAGACCACCTGTGTCAACATTGTATCTCACCAATACACCATCTCACCATTGGTGTTGCTATTGAGCAATCAGACCACCTGGTGTCAACATTGTAATAATACAAATACACCATCTCACCATAAGGTGTTGTGCAGCTATTGAGCAATCAGACCACCTGGTGTCAACATTGTAATAATACAAATACACCATCTCACCATAAGGTGTTGTGTAGCTATTGAGCAATCAGACCACCTGGTGTCAACATTGCAATAATACAACTACACCATCTCACCATAAGGTGTTGTGTAGATATTGAACAATCAGACCACCAGGGGCTCCTTTCACAAAACAACCTTTACTTAGCTGCCATACTTTAACATTGAACTAAGGTTACCTTAGTGACTTACAATCACCTTAGTGCTTTGTGAAAAGGAGGCCCTGGTGTCTACATTGCAATAATACAATTACACCATCTCACCATAAGGTGTTGTGTAGCTACTGAACTATCAGACCACCTGGTGTCTACACTGCAAGAATATAATTACACCATCAAACCATAAGGTGTTGTGTAGCTATTGAACAATCAGACCACCCGGTGTCAAACATTGTAATACAATCACACCATCTCACCATAAGGTGTTGTGCGCTATTGAGCAATCAGACCACCTGGTGTCAAACACCTGGAGTGGAACACGAACATGATACAGTCAACCAGCAATGATCATATTGATGGGTCATGCAAGACATTAACAGTGTCATAAAAACCATAAACCATCACAAACAGAACACATTGTTACTATTTCATGCTGAACACTACAGCCTTGGTACAAACCAGGACAGTGAACTGTGTTATGTAGGGATGCTAACATTAGAAAATCATCAAACTGCAGTTAGATTCACACAACATGATGCAAACAGAAACACTGCATGATATTTATATCACAAACACTTATTACAACTACTTATTAAAATAAGAAAACATAAATCACACTGATCATGCTTACTTGTACAAGACAAAAAAGTGGCAATGGTGATATTAAAAGTTAAAAAGCTCTAGTTCTCAAAACAAACTTATTATGAATGTGTTAAGCAAACAACAAACAATGTAAGCTGACTAACAAAGCTGGTTAAGTGCTATTCTACATCTGCCATCCTCCAGGTCCCAACACATCACCACTCCAAACATAAGATAAGATAAGATAATTCTGTATTGTCCCAAGGGAAATTTGTTTTGCGTCATACGTTCTCTAGTTTTTCTTTCATAAAGCAGCCCTACATAACATTGCAATTGGTAATCATGAAATAATCAGGATATAAATACATCAATTTAGTACACAAACATAGATATTGAATAAAATTTGGACAATTAAAAGACAAGTCATTCACTGAATTTGTTGTTAATGCATCTTATACTAGCTGGAACAAATGAGTGGCGAACCCTGTTTGTTCTAAAAGTCGGCATACGCAGCCTGCGTCCAGAAGGTAATAATGAATATTCCGAAAAGAGTATGTGAGTAGGATCACTTAAAGTTGTTCCTCTTATGGAACCATAGAGGTAGATTAACAACTGAATACACATGAAATAAAATAACATGACTAGGTGTAATTCAAAACCTTCAGTGAAGTTTATTAATATAATAAAAATGTTTAATATAAAAGTTCCCATGAAAACCAACTGTTGGTAAGTTTAGCTGACATCTGAATGCATAATAGCTATGCTTTCATTAAGACTACCTCTGATTACTTCTTAACCAATACCTATGGAATAGCTGAGACGGGAGCTGCATGGTGCAGAGTGGTGAGTGTTGGACGTGGAAGACTGGAAGCACAAGCTGAATGTGAGGCTACTAAATTACACACAGGAACACGTGCAAGTTGGACTGACATCCATCAGTAACCATGGCGATCATTGGCTAACTAATGCATGTGTAATTCTGAAAATATTTGTCACCAGGTGAGTTGTTAATTACCTCTCCAGGATGAAATACAGCAATGGACAATAATTAATTCACTGTGACGACAAGCACCTGTTCTGTATCAAGCCCATGTCAGTGAACAAGCATTCATTCTGTATCAAACACCAGTTTAGTATCCACAACCCTGACCCCCCGAGCAGGCACTGTGACCACCTGGTACTGCATTCCTTGCAACTCTCTTGGTATTAGTGTATTGATGCTGCCTCAAGTTACATCAGTGACATATGATGATGATGATGATGCCTCCCCCTGTGTAGAAGCTCAGGTAAGACTCACCTGTTCCTCCAGGTGTGTTATCTTGTCACTCCATGTTGACTTGATTTCAGTAAGTTGTTGACGACTCTCAGTCAGCTTGTGCTCCAAACTGTCACGCTGAAACAAAATATTTATTTTGCATATGGATTTTGGTGGTTGCTCTATTCAGATGACAGAAAAACTTATAGTTTAACACCTCACCGTTCAGTGAGTGAGTTAATTTTCTGTAGCATTAAACAGATTTTCAGTCTTATCAGAGACTGACGGCTTAGTATGGGAGGCAAGCAGAAAACAATGCTGGTCCTACAACTGGACATTTACCTAGGTATGAGTTTAGTCCCTACAAACCAAGAAAAATAATCACCATGTTCCAATATTAACTATCATGATGATCAGATTCTGGCATTTGTAAGGGACATTCCAATATGTTTACATCATTAGTGATTCAACAGTGTGTTATTTAGAACTACCTCTACTTCTATGGCCTTGACCCTCTCATCCCCTGACAGTGTGTGGTCATGTGACCGCTGTTCCAGCATCTTGATGCGTTCACTGAGCTGTTCAATGTTGTCATCCTTCTCTGAGATAAGCTTGCTGGTCTTTACATAAAACAAATCATAATGTTATTGAATGGGAAAATTTCAAACAATTTTCTACATAGTTCACTTTATGAAGACATCTTCAGTTACTTGTATCAGTAAGACTGCAATATATGCACTCAGTTCGCTTACAAAGTTTAAACAGTAATATAACAGGTATGGTTCAGACTGAAGCCTAAGTTATAGTTCACAATGTTAGCTCACCTGAATAATGAGTAATGCTATTAATACTTGTGCACTAAAGGGAGACAACTTCCATCAACCTAGCTTACCTTGTTCTTATGGACTTCAGAGCTCCTCTGCAAAGCCTTATGCTCATTCTCCAGCTCTGAATATTCTGCAGTCAGTTTGGACAGCTGGTTAACTTTCTGTAATAAACAGGTTCCAAATAACAATCTGCTATACAAAGTTGTAAAACCACTGAAGACACCAGTGAAAGGAGAAGCAGGTAGAAGTTTTACAAAATGTTTATCACCCTGAAACCCTTCATGCTTACATTCATGATTTTACCTCCCACATATCACAATGTAGAATTCATATTTGAGTTGGGTTTTGTTTGCCACTTGCACTCATATTTGTCACTTGCACTCATATTTGTCACTTGCACTCATATTTGTCACTTGCACTCATATTTGTTACTTGCACTCATATTTGTTACTTGCACTCATATTTGTCACTTGCAATCATATTTGTCACTTGCACTCATATTTGTCACTTGCACTCATATTTGTCACTTGCACTCATATTTGTCACTTGCACTCATATTTGTCACTTGCACTCATATTTGCCACTTGCACTCATATTTGTCCACTTGCACTCATATTTGTCACTTGCACTCATATTTGTTACTTGCACTCATATTTGTTACTTGCACTCATATTTGTCACTTGCACTCATATTTGTCACTTGCACTCATATTCACTTGCACTCACTTGTCACTTGCACTCATTTGCCACTTGCACTCATATTTGTCACTTGCACTCATATTTGTTACTTTGCACTCATATTTGTCACTTGCACTCATATTTGTCACTTGCACTCATATTTGTCACTTGCACTCATATTTGTTACTTGCACTCATATTTGTCACCTTACACTCACATTTGCACTCATATTTGTCACTTGCACTCATATTTGTTACTTGCACTCATGTTTGATACTTGCACTCATATTTGTCACTTGCACTCATATTTTTCACTTGCACTCATATTTGTTACTTGCACTCATATTTGTTACTTGCACTCATATTTGTCACTTGCACTCATATTTGTCACTTGCACTCATATTTGTTACTTGCACTCATGTTTGTTACTTGCACTCATATTTGTCACTTGCACTCATATTTGTCACTTGCACTCATATTTGTCACTTGCACTCATATTCAAGTTTCAAGTTTCCACCAACATGATGGTGGTCTGCATCATTGGGGGACATCATCATGTGGTCATCAAAGCCTGACCACCTGATCCATCATATGCCAAGGATAGGTAACTCAGGTCACTTTTACCCTAGAAATGTGGGCTTCCAAATTAGGTATGAATCAAATTAGAAAGAAAGAGCATGCCTTCCTCTCATCTCATTGTGTCACAAACTAACATTCATTCATCTACATCATCAACCCCACAGATGTTGTATACTGTGCTGTACCAAACAAAGTTCACACAGAACTCAAAATGACCTACCGCAGTGAGCTGCGAGTTGACTTCATCTAGACGCTTCTCGAACACAGCCTTCTCCTTTGTCATAACAGCCACAACATTCATGTGCTGCTCATTGACTTCTGTCAGACGAGTGCTGCAGCAGATTGACATGAATCAGTCAGACAATAAGCTATCTCATTCAAGTGAAATTCTTTAATGTATGCAGAAATTTCCTCATTTAATCAATGTGCCTAGTTCATTTTTGCTTGCAGAGTGATCAGAATATCTGATCATGAGCAAAACCAATGAAGTCAGATGGGGACAGTGATGGATAGTGGGATAGTGACGTTACTACCCAAACTAAGCTATGAGTCAAGGCAACTCACTTCTCTTTCTCCAGTTCGTCCATTTTTGTTTTGAGGTTTGTGAGTTGATTCTGAGCTTCTTTGAGAGATTTCTCTGCTTCATGATGTTTGTCGGTGGTTGATGTCAGCTCCGCTCGACACTGTGACAAGTCCTCCTGTGTGATCAGCAGCTGCAACATCAAAGACTCAATGGCATAACAAGCTATTTGTCTACACATCGTTGGAAAGAAACAAATAATCAGATCATAGAGTCTAAGACACCTACACGAGTTGGGACTGTTCCTAGATAAAGACACCTACCCTGTGTTTGATGTTGGTCATATCCTAGATAAATACTCTCAGACACCTACCCTGTGTTTGATGTTGGTCATATCCTAGATAAATACTCTCTGACACCTACCCTGTGTTTGATGTTGGTCATATCCTAGATAAATACTCTCAGACACCTACCCTGTGTTTGATGTTGGTCATATCCTAGATAAATACTCTCTGACACCTACCCTGTGTTTGATGTTGGTCATATCCTAGATAAATACTCTCACCTAGACATCCTAGATAAATACTGACCCTGTGTTTGATGTTGGTCATATCCTAGATAAATACTCTCACCTACCCTGTGTTTGATGTTGGTCATATCCTAGATAAATACTCTCTGACACCTACCCTGTGTTTGATGTTGGTCATATCCTAGATAAATACTCTCGGACACCTACCCTGTGTTTGATGTTGGTCATATCCTAGATAAATACTCTCTGACATATCTACTCTGACACCTGTGTTTGATGTTGGTCATATCCAAGATAAATACTCTTTGACACCTACCCTGTGTTTGATGTTGGTCATATCCTAGATAAATACTCTCTGACACCTACCCTGTGTTTGATGTTGGTCATATCCTAGATAAATACTCTCGGACACCTACCCTGTGTTTGATGTTGGTCATATCCTAGATAAATACTCTCTGACACCTACCCTGTGTTTGATGTTGGTCATATCCGGGTAAATACTCTTGGGCCTGGTCATATCCTAGATAAATACTCTCTGACACCTACCCTGTGTTTGATGTTGGTCATATCCTAGATAAATGTGTTTGACACCTACCCTGTGTTTGATGTTGGTCATATCCTAGATAAATACTCTCTGACACCTACCCTGTGTTTGATGTTTCATATCCTAGATGTTGGTCATGTTGGTCATATCCTAGATAAATACTCTCAGACACCTACCCTGTGTTTGATGTTGGTCATATCCAAGATAAATACTCTCTGACACCTACCCTGTGTTTGATGTTGGTCATATCCTGTGTTTGAGATAAATATCTCTAAGTACTCTCTGACACCTACTCTGTGTTTGATGTTGGTCATATCCTAGATAAATACTCTCTGACATATCCTAGATAAATACTCTCTGACACCTATCCTGTGTTTGATGTTGGTCATATCCTAGATAAATACTCTCTGACACCTACCCTGTGTTTGATGTTGGTCATATCCTAGATAAAGACTCTCTGACACCTACCCTGTGTTTGATGTTGGTCATATCCAAGATAAAGACTCTCAGACACCTATGTTAGTCCTGTGTTTGATGTTAGTCATATCCTAGATAAGTACTCTCTGACACCTACCATGTGTTTGATGTTGGTCATATCCTAGATAAGTACTCTCTGACACCTACCCTGTGTTTGATGTTGGTCATATCCAAGATAAAGACTCTCTGACACCTACCTGACATGTGTTGATGTTGGTCATATCCTAGATAATACTCTCATATCTGACACACCTACCATGTGTTTGATTTGGATGTTAGTCATATCCATATCCTAGATAAGTACTCTCTGACACCTACTCTGTGTTTGATGTTGGTCATATCCTAGATAAAGACTCTCTGACACCTACCATGTGTTTGATGTTAGTCATATCCTAGATAAGTACTCTCTGACACCTACTCTGTGTTTGATGTTGGTCATATCCAAGATAGAAACTCTCAGACACCTATCCTGTGTTTGATGTTAGTCATATCCTAGGTAAGTACTCTCTGACACCTATCCTGTGTTTGATGTTGGTCATATCCTAGATAAATACTCTCTGACACCTACCCTGTGTTTGATGTTGGTCATATCCAAGATAAATACTCTCTGACACCTACCCTGTGTTTGATGTTGGTCATATCCAAGATAAAAACTCTCTGACACCTACCATGTATGTGATGTTGGTCATATCCTAGATAAAGACTCTCGAACAACTACCCTGTGTTTGATGTTGGTCATATCCCAGATAAATACTCTCTGACACCTACCCTGTGTTTGATGTTGGTCATATATTAGATAAAGACTCTCAGACACCTACCCTGTGTTTGATGTTGGTCATATCCTAGATAAGTACTCTCTGACACCTACCATGTGTTTGACTTTGGCCAGTTCCTGGGTGGTGAGACCTTGCACCTCATCCTGTTCTTCCTCACGCTGGAACAGTCGGTGTTTGTAATCTTCCTCTTGCTTGAGGTTGGCTGCCAGCTCCGTGTTCCTCTATAATACACATCAACACACACTGTTAATACTGGCGGCATAAGACACTAGTTTGGAGACTCTTACAATGTGAAAATATCTTTCAATGAAACATTATGATGGGTTATGGGCTTATTACTGTATCAACTGTCTAAAGATGGATGGATGTATTATGAGTGTTAAATACTTGGATTAGACATACCTTATTTAAGGCATTAATTTTTTCTGTCATTTCCTGTAACAGAAACACTAGGTGTGTTCATTTTTAAAATTGCAATGATGCCAGACAGTACATATCAATTCTGAAAATATACAATCTTAAGAAAATTATCATTGTACATCAGTAGGCACACAAGAAGGAAAAAATCAAAGCATTGCCTTATTGCAATTAACATGAATATCATACTAGGAAAACTTTATTGTTTTGCTATTATTGCACTTATACACTAGACTCAATGTTGATGGGGGGGGGAGTCATCACAAGGGGAGACAACTCCACACTGACCTCGTCTTTCTCAGCCAGCTCCTTTTTGTGGGCCTCAACAAACTCAGCAAACTTGGCCTTGAGTTCCTCACTCTGCTCATCTAGTTTCTCATTGGTCACTGTCACAGGAGAAATACACATGAAGATTGACAACAGTAATGTATGATTCAGAAATAGAGGATATTATATGAGTGCCCATGTCATACTATGTTTACGACACGAGTGCCTAAATGTTGGTATTTCCCGAGGGAGAGCGAGGGATATACCGATATTTAGGCACGAGTGTTGTTAACATAGTATGATATGGGCACTCATATAATATTCTGTTTATTACCGAAGTCGTCACATTGAGGAAAATAAACCCAAATCTACTTTCAAACACAGGCTGGCTACCGCCCGTCATCGCATGTAGAACGCAACGTCACAGAAGAAAAGTGACGTCATAGCCTTGTTCATGACGTCATGTCACCATGATAGAGCGATATTTTGCCCTAGGGCATCATATGAAAAATATGAACCTCGATATGTACACCCTCGTAGGTAATAATTATTCATATCATCAGTTAATACTTCAAAGGAAACCAGAAGTGTTTAGAGAGTATGACTTCCATCTTTATTGCAGAATAATATAGTTCCTGAAAAGGAGAGGTGAACGTATGCTCAAATTGATCTATAGGTACTTCATTTTAGTTTGGTTACCAATAAAAAATTTTCCAAAGTTCTCATGGATGAGAAAGGTCTGTTAAGAACCTCAGCAAGTCAGTCAACGTGACAGCTCGTATTGATACACTTCAATCGAGTGCAAGAATCAAAATGGCTGACACGATGAATGTAACAGGGGGCATTCCGATGTTTTATGAAAACCTGACGGCGGTCACAGATCGAGTGGACATTTTGAATGTAGCATAGAAGCAGGGGAGGTAATCAGGAATTCAATGCAAAGATGAAAAGCACCAGTCAGTGGTCATGTCAGTGACCATGTCCCAGGGCATGGCATATCACATGTCCTAAACTGCCAAAAATCAGAATTTCAGATTCAGGGTAGAAAAGAAACTACCAGTACACAGTTTTTGATCATGTCAAAAAATATATAAATGAAAACTCATTTTGAACTTGTAAATCCCTAGCTTCACGTAGAGACCTGTCCTTACACAGACAAGTGATGTGCTGCCTAGATAACTGTGGTGTAGTCTTACCTTCCTGTTGTTTCTCCGCTTCTGTCTCCAGGCGGTCAATCGCCTTGTTCTTCTCCTTAATGAGGGCTGCATACTCTGTGGGCATAGAGTTACCATAGTTACAAATTTCTACACAGAATGATGACAATATTTATGGACATATATATCTACACAGAGAAAAAAGGACTGTTGTTCAAGCATGTGACACTGTATGGGAGTAAGAAAACGAATCAGAAATATTGAAGAGTCCCCATGCCAGCTGTTGGTGGGAGAGCACCACATACTCTTAACATGCCAGCACTTGCATATACTTTTTGTTGTACTTGGCCTTGGGATTATTCTTTTAAAACAAAAGGTTGATGAGGTAAAGTAAAAGAAATACTAAAATGCTAATCAGTAATATACCATTCAAGCTGTTAGCAAGAATCATAATAACAGGTTCTATTAAAAATCTATAGAAACAAAACCATAACTGGTACATGACTGAGCAGTAACAATTATCATACACAAGCCCTTTTATCAGGTTTATAACATTTAAGGTGCCCAGCCTCAAACATGTGCTTATGTCACTACACTTTTATGTTTTTGGTTGTTGTGAAATACATCAACAGGAATATAACTTGGCCGCAGACTTTAGCCAGTGCTAGCCTTCCACTCAGATATTATACGGACAAAGTTGAGGAGAATGTGTCGGTTGAAATGAGTCGTATATCAAGTTATCAGGTGCATCAAAGACAATACATCTGACAATGATTGACTGATTACTGATGAATGGTGCTCATGTGTAATACAGGTAACTTCAGCTACTGACCACTGATCTTAGACTCCATCTTCTTGCACTGCTCCGTCCGCTTCAGCAGCATCATCACCACCTCCTCCCGTGACGAGTCTGGTATCTGAAGAATACCTCTGGAACTTGTCACCATGACAACAACAATCAACTAAAAAACTTATCCCCTGCCATCACCATCATCATCATCAGTATTTGTAATCATCATCATCATCATCATCATCATCATCATCATGATCATCATCATCATCATCATCATCATCATCATCATCATCATCATGTGTTTGTAATTACAAATAAACGTTTAGGGTCATTCTCACTTCACAAACTCTACGTGCCTAAAATGGGAACACAGGGCTTGATTTAAGCATTTAGAACTTGGGGTGATGCAACCTCGTCATATCATATTACAGCAAACAACCTAAAACACCTGTAATTCTGAAGACGGTGATGACGTGGACTCTGTATTTCCTACCTGAGAATCCTCGCTGGACTGACTGGCAGGGGATGCAGCACCACTCATTCCGGAGTCTCCAGACATGAAGGGATCCTTGCTCAAACCTTGCGTCAATGTCACTGTGGCTAAGGGGAGATAAGTCAAATTATATTTCCACATGAGTGCAATCATGTCATAAGGCACAAAAAAAATATGTCCGTTTCCAGTAACCCGACCGATCCTACCCTAACCCCCCCGACCCTAAATCTATTCTAAACCAAGTCAAAATCATGACTGGAGTGAATTTCAACTCATCATTTCATCCAAATCAAGGATATTTTCACAAGGCTAAAATGGATTGCATTGAATTGGCATAATACAACAAAACCTGATAAATAACATAAATAATCATTTGATATAGAAATCTTGTTTCATCACAAGGCATTGTCACTCAAGATATGGTAGTTTGGTACTCTTGAAGGCCTTCTCAGGTGCCCACCTGGTGTTACTAAAAAAAATTAAAAAGTTAAAAAAAAGAAGATCAAACCGACCCACCTACCCTATTTTTAAAAAGCATGTAATAGGAAACGGACATTTTTTTCTTTGGCCTAAGTGACACCATGAAACTCAACAAAAGGGGACAAAAACAAGTTATGGGGGAGTGAAAACAACTTTATACTTGAGTTTTCTAAAACCTAAAAAGGAAACCAACCGTATCAATTTCAAATGGAACTTGCATTTAAATGAAAGACGTTTAGATCTGTTTGTTTGCTGTTTAATGTAAACCTCAGCACTATTCTAGCTATATCAGTTTATGGCGACATTGTGTAAAATTCAACTAGGACCGGACAGTCCAGTAATCAACAGAATGAGCATCAATATACGCAATTGGGATACGATGATGAGCAATGTCTCGGTATTAGACGCTTAATTATAGTTTTAACAGCAGTATGTTTCCATGGTTACTTTCTGGTAATAACTTACATGAACTTCGGCGTATTGGACTGGCATGTCCTGGAAAGGGTGGTGGCAGGAAGGTCTTATCTCCATCCACAACACTTCCACTTTCATCCTTGATCCTTTTCTTCAACTTGGCAAACATTCTGCTATCTAATTTGTCCTTCTGAAAGTTAGGAAAAGAAATATAATTTCATTAGGATCAGCAAATAGGATAAGCATAATTCAATTACTTTGTTATATTTACTGGTTAACAGCGATTTTTGTAACGTGTTACCTAAGGAGGTTGAAATGATATAAATCTGTTTAACACGGTAATCAGTGAAAGAAATAAGGCCTGTCCGACCGCCCGAGATGGGCTAGATTTCTGACGGACGGTCTAAATATACAGCTAGCCAGCCCGATGGTCTGGTAAAAAATATAGATGTTCCATACATCTGAGTAAATTCACCATATTTGGTCTGGTTAAATCCATTTTGGGCTGGTAACATTTTGAAGTTACCGGCCCTGATGTCTGGCTGGGTTTTTGGCTTATTTCATACACTGCGCTAATGTGTATATTCTGGAACTCATCAAACTTTCAAGATCAGTAATTATGAGGACAAAAGTACATGAAATATTGCTGAATTAGTTTTCAGCATGTGTAAGTGCAGGATCAATATTTGATCATAACATATGTTCATGAATTTACTTGCCAAAGGAGGTGTAGTTTCTTAAGGATTTTGCAAAGGCTTTGGACAATAATTCTGTCAAAGATACAGTGGTCAGGCAAATATAATGACCACTGCCTCTGCACTTAGATATTTAACCATTGTTACCAGACTGAGCCATTGTTTGGTCAGGACTGGAACTACTTCTTTACTCCCAAATATTGACGTATAATACAAAGTGCTAGACTGAAGCAGGGTTGTGGACCAACTGCTATTTAGCAAAGAGGTCTACCAGCAGTGTGCAAAATAGTCACTGGCCCGCTAGCCCGTGGCCAGTAAAAATCCACAGTCACTGGCCCGACTGGTTAGTGAATTTTCATGGGGTCATTTTGTAAATATATCACTATCTCCGACTTGTTAAGTTATCATACACTTTTAAATCATGCAAGATTATGGCCTGATAAAAATGTTCATCATATTAGCAGCTAAACAATGAAACCCATGTCTACATTCAAATTTCTGGCTAGTGAATTATTTTTGTGGGCTAGTAAGACTGTACAGTATTACCAGTATATCACAATATGCTTTTCAAACGATACGCATTGCAATAATTTTTTATGAGAACCAGTATATTGGGTAAAATACATATATGAAGTTTTTGTAATGATCTTTATGGTTCAAATTAAAATCTACCCATACTTTCATTCACAACAAATGTTTCCTTCGTTATTCAATGACAAAAAGAAAATAGAATCCCTGACTATGCAACCTAAGTTTGAGATTGCTGTTATCAGAACCATAGCATATATGTTTAGGGACTTATAATGAAAAAACATAGGATTGAAATGCACAATTAGTGTCACTCACAGTCAAACACTTAAAGGTCACATGCTACCAAAAAATCAAACATAATTAAAACACAATTATCACTTCTTCATGACATATAATATGCATTGCTGATTATGAAAAAACAAATAAACAAAATTATAAGCGTATAATCGCAAATCAAAAGTGCAATATTTTGTACTTGGGTTTACCTCCCTCGAAACGAAGCAGCCGGGATACCGAACCCAGTCAGAGCGGGTGGGTGTGCACTCAAGTGTAACGGCTGGTTCATTTGCAGATGCTGCCCTCACAGCTCATTGTGTGTGTATATATAGAGATGTTGGGTTTTGTAAAAACATGCTCATTTTTTGTGTATAACATTTTGCAATCAACAGACATCATAACATGTCATGTGTTCTAGTATCACACCTGCCTGTCTGTGTAATTACATAATGTGACAGAGACCGAACTCGGGCCATAAATCAATGCATTTTGTTTATGGTGTATAGCCTGATTGGTGTTAAGTTCAAATTGCATGTGGTCAGTGATTGCAGCTGTGTATTGAATATTGTCATTAGCAGACAGGCAGGCAGACACACAGGTGTCAATAAAACAAGACATTGAGTTTTGTCTGTGACAACGACATATCTATATCACAGTTGGAAATTCTGTCAACGGTGAATAATGACATTTCTTTTAAGTATCGAACTGAGAAAGTGACTTGGTAAGAAGAACGTGTGGTGAAATAGACAAATGAAATTATATAAACAGTTAATTTACTGTCATAATATATAAAAAAGCTCGCGCCTGTGAGATATCAACAAAACATTAGAAAAATAGCTCACACCAAAGCCTTCACCGAGTATTCACCGGACAACCGCTTCCAAGCTGTGCGAACCTACTTCACTGCGCATGTGCTATAAGCGCAGCCCAGCTGTTGAAACCCGTTTTCCCCAGAAAAGTCTGGGGAAAATTAGTGAAACGTTTGAACTCCGATTTCGCGCGTTTTTTTTCATCGTGTTATTTTTCAACTTTATAAGTTGAATTTGCATGTTTGAAGATTTGTTTCGGTAAGTCCATACCGAAAGGTATCAGAATCTGCAAAGTTGTGTTTTACGTTGCATGTGACCTTTAAGTTCCCAATATATTGCAATATGTATTGCAATAGGGGTACCCCGAATCGCAATATATTGCAATACGTATTGCAATAGGGGTACCCAAATCGCAATATATTGCAATACGATTTACTTGCCAATACACAGCCCTATGTGCTAGCAAAATTTGGAAACTATTTTGCACACTGTCTACCAGTGATGTGTTCATAGTACAATCAAACTCCTGGTCCAATGTGAATTCCTATTGCTCCCATATAGCAATGTGTGTGCATAGGTTAGTCAACTTGTACTGGTCCAGGCTAATGCTGGTTAAAGTAGAAGACAGTATCAGACAGTATTCTGAAAAATGGGTGGTGGCAAAATGAGGGGACCCTACAGATACTAGGGTACAACCCAGATCCTAGTGTTCATGTTGACTACATATCTGAACATTGGGCAAGCTTCAACGTGTGCAGAACACTGCAGTGAGGGTGATAACCAATAGCCAGAAATATGACCACATCACTCCTGTACTCTACAGTCTACACTGGTTGCCAGTCAGATACAGGATCCAGTACAAAATACTGTTGTTAGTGTTCAAGTGTGTGAATGGCCTTGCCCCCAGCTACCTTTCAAATTTTCTTCAAAAACACTACCCTCCCAGATCCTTATGATCTAGTTTCCAGTATTTCCTGGAGGTACCAACCACCCGAACAAAGACATTTGGCAACTGTTCATTCGCAAAAGCTGGTCCAGTAATGTGGAACTGTCTACCTACACACCTCAGATCGCAGGATAATCTATCAACATTCACGTCACAGCTGAAAACGAATTTGTTTAGTGCTGCCTACCGTACTTGAGCAATGCCTTTCGAGACTCATCTCCAGCTCTTTTGAGTGGCACATGCCATAAACTAGCGCTGTATAAATATATTTTAATAAATTTTATGTGTGTATGTGTGTGTGTGTCGCGTCGTCGTCGCGTAGCGCGTCTTGGCACAGGATAATATAAAAATTACATCACTTCATTCCCCGCAGCAAGAAAAAGTACTCAAAATGAATGCAGATTACATAGCAAAGCAATAGAGTGCTTATCAGCTCTGGGGACATTTTGTTCCTACAGTAAATCTGTATCTTTCAGTTTTAGCTACAAGAAAAGAAGTGACTACCACCCATAATGTTTACACTTGCCCACATGTGAGTTAATGATGTCGGTTGAGTGTTAAAGATGAAGTAAACGAGCATTAATTGGATTCTATGAACTAGAATCCACCTTGCTAGGACTGCCATTTGTCATGATGCTAGTCTCCCTGGTAAAGAAACAAGCATATCAAACTAACATTTGCAAATATTGATCACGTTGATACAGAAGTGTGATACAATCACAACATATAGCTCCGGAAAACGTAATATAAAAGGAATGTCAACCCAAACATCACCGAACATTACATTTACACTGAAGTTGTAAACATAAAAGAATACCTGTTTTTTAGATTGATGAAAGGGACATGTACATCAAATACAACAGCGTTGCCAGTTCCACTGAAGAATATCCCGTTTTGCCTAGTTTGCAAGACGCCTGTTGATCACCGACTTTGCGTTGTATCAAGTCATTAATATATACACACCACAAATGATTTGGCACCTAAATGTGAATCAGAAATCAAAGACGTAACCATAAATGTGAAAATTTTCTCAAAAATCTGGCCAGCCTGGCAGGAACCTCAACAAGTCGGCCATGACAGATAACCGGAAATGATTTCATCTTTGCTGTATAGTGAAACATTTCCGAAATACGGTAGTACAAATAAAGCGGTAAGGTGACATTTGTGAATGAAACCTGCATTATGAGTCATTATATGGTCTATTGTTACACTCAAAAAAGAAAACTGTATTGAATTACGTGTAAAACACTCAGGAAAGTACATTTGAAAACATATCCTTCATGTTTCGTTCCAAATTCGTTTCACCTTTCAAATTGTCAAGGGAGATCACCGGTTTTAGAGGAGATTCCAAACAAGTATTTGTTGCCACCTGATAAATACTGAAGGATTGTTTACGTAAGATTTTGTCATGATTTATGTCGCTTTCGTCTCCCCTGTTTTTCTCCATCACGTAAGATGCGATCATTGTATACTCTGTGCATTGGTCATAGTCCACTCGGATTATCAGCTGGTTCAGATATAAAATGATGACCCCAGGCTCAGAGTCAGTAACGCAGTGTGGATGTCCTCATATAGCCATGTTTCTTCTATCATTGCCGCGACTTCTTCATTTACAGGAAGTTGTAGATATATGCAATTAATATTGTGCTTTAACCCATGTATAAAACAAGTATTTGTGTAGATGGATCATAAATTATGTTTGTCACATAAGGAAGTTTGGGGTTACCTAACACAAACTAGCGATCTATGTCTGCAGTTAATGATTACTTTTCTGCAAAAGGCTATGAATTACTTCTCATGTGAAATTTACCTAAGCCTCAGTCAGAACAGATTGTTTTGAACGAGAGCCTGAAACTGATGACAGAAACTCTTTGATATTATATATGATATATGCTGAGCCGCTGATCCTTTGCTTTAAAAGACATTTAGTGCCTTAACCCATGTATGTATGCCTCACCTATTGAGGTATGTCTGAGTGCACTTCTGATTGCTATTACCATTAAGCAGTGCTTCTAGTTGGGAACTTTATGACATTATGTATGGAATGGTAACACTGATTTCCTATCAAACCTACAAGAATGTATGCAGCATTAAATGTGTAAGATAAGAAACATTGTATTATGTTGTATAATAAGATTCCATGTTTCTGTAGCAGGTTGAACTGTGACTCAGCACAATGGATGTTGATGCAGAAGATGAAGATCCATGTCAGTTCATGGATGGTGAAATGGCTGAGGAGTCCATGGCAACAGATGGTCCCACGTATCAAGACTGTGACATAGCAACTCCAAAAGATAGCATCCCTGTTGCCATGGCAACAGAAAACAGAGACATTTTGGAAGCCAGTGATGGTGAATGTGTTCATGGTAACGGCACCGCACATAATGATGTAAATGGAGCCATTGCAGTTTCCCCTACTGTGTCTCTGCCGGGAACATTTAGGAACTATCAAACATTCTCCAAATTAATCCTGTCTCCTGGGACTGGTTTCCAGGTGCCAAAAGATGGAACTCTTTGCAATGTTAACATTGCAGTTTTAAATTCGTATTTATTAACAGCAGAACAAATTGGGTATGAAATAGGGAATAACATTGTGATAATGGTGGGCGAAGGGGATACTGATGTTGCTCGGCAGCTCGACCTCTGTCTACAGACGATGAAAGAAGGGGAGGTGTGCGATATTCAAATACAAATAAACTCACTCAATGACCAAACTGGTATCTGTGATACATGTTCTTTCAGAATCCATTTGATGTCATTTCAAGAATCTGTGTTGTCATGGCAACTGCTTCCAGAAGAGAAGATCAGCCGTGCAGCTCATCACAAGGAGAAGGGAACCGCCTTATTTCAGCTTGGGAACATAGAATTTGCCTTCAGGAGATTTAGCAAAGCCTTGAAATATCTTGTGTGTTGCCATCCTCAAGACAGTATTCCAGAGCACATGCTAGAAACATATTGCAAATTGAAGTGTCAGTGTTACTCCAACCTAGCTGCATGTCAGATGAAGATGAATATGTTTAGTGAGGTTCTACAGAATTGTTCCAAGGCCATAGAAATTGATCCAAAGAATGTTAAGGCATTGTATCGCCGAGGACAAGCTTATCTTTTCTTTGACGACACAGATTCAGCCAGATCTGACCTGGAGATGGTGGCCTCCCTTGAACCTCACAACAAGGCTGTGCTGCAGCTGTTGGGTCAGCTGCAGGTTAAGCAGAGACAGATGGACAACAAGATGGCTTCAGGACTTAGCAAGATGTTCACCTGACATGGTTCGGTTTGATTTAATATCAAATGGTCAAGTTATATACTTTGAAAGATATGTGCCTGGCTTCAGAAACAAAGTACTCTTATTGCTCAGAAATGGAGGGTTTCATACTTCCTGGACAGTGAGAACAGAGGTGACCTTGACAATGTATGTTTTGGCTGTGACAATATGTTGAATGAAGTATCATACTTTGAGCCACATGTATTTAACAAGTGGAACATTGAAGTTCTCTCCACACGTCCCAACTAACAGAAAAAAACCGTGAAGATCTGGGTTGGAGTTTGTCATCAGCCGCCCATGCTTATCATACTATTGAAGTAATGGGATTGCCTGGTCAGGCTTACTTACCTATTTGATGCAGGTCATTGTATCACGGTTGCATAGATCAATGCTCATGATGTCAGTCATTTGTCCAGAACTGAATATTTACAAAGTTACAAGGACTTCCATGTCATTGCTGTGTAGGTCTATATGGCAAGATATTATTCATCATTTGTGTTTCTTGCATTTTGTAAATGTGGATGTTTTTGAGATTGTGGGAAATAACTGTACCATTAGTGTTACCATGGTTACACTGTACACAGGGCTTCAGATTGATTCATGTTTCTTTGAGTATCGTCCTAATCATACTAATTATAAATTATTTTTTTTGTTGTCAGTTCTGGTCAGATTTAATGATGAAGTTGATAACATAATGAAAAAGTAACTGTTTGGTAACTGCTCGAAGACATGCAATTAATTTCCAATCTATACCAAAGATTCTTTATAAAACACAAAGTCAGAATTCATGGAAATAAAGCATACAATGTTGGAAAGTGTTACAACATAAAATTCTGTACCATTGAGAAAATGTCACATACTTGTAAACAGTGATGATCCAGTTCACCTTGGAATAGAAATGACCTGAAACTGGGAAACATAGGTTTCCCATGACTCAACTCCACTGATATATGTAGCCATAATATTCATGAAGAGTCTCACTCAAATGACATATCAAATATATGAAGTCAAGATGTAATCTGTTATAAGTGTTGATATACTTGATATCAAAAGACATAAGATAGGGATTTTATTTATCATCCAAATCAATCTCCCTTGTTTTAGTTTTTAGACAGTAATTATGAACATCTTTAGTGTTGAAAGTACAGCTAACCAGCTTCAGTGGAAGAGAGATAAGTGATGTCACCTGTAACATGTTATATACTGAACAACATTAGAAACACACCACACTAAAATGCACCGGCGATGCTCAGATATCATGGGTACATTTCAGTCTGATGGGGATATTTTGTATTATATGGGTGGTGCATTTTTAATGTTGTTCAGTATATTTGGGGTTACACTTTGTTAGTAAAGTACAGATTCTAGTACTTTTGTTGGGTTTGAGTCCCATCCGGGATTCGGACCCTCACCCTCAGAGTCAGGCACCTAATCACCAGCACACACAGTCAGCCGCCTAACCCACTCAGCCACCGCGACTTCCAAGATTTTCTTCTTGTTAAGGAAAGTGCAAAATACACAACTGATCAAACCCTATCATAGAACTGAAATTATAAAAATGGCACTTTACTTACAATGATAGAAATTATAAAAATGGCACTTTACTTACAATGATATTTGATATATGTCTTGAAAATCTTGTAAGCATAAAGGACATGTTGTAAAACTGATTATTTTGCAGTGTTGTTAACTGAGACTGTAGTTGTTATGCCCACAGGAATAAATATTGTTATGGAGTGTTTTTATTTAAGGTTATACTGGTCTGGAAGCATTTTGTGATTGCTGTAAGAAATCTTGTTTGTTGTGTTTAGACTGTGTGGTGCAGCATATGAAATTATGCTTGTTGTCTACCATTGGTCTTGTTACACGTTAGTGAAACCTCTAACATGTTCTCCGTTAATCTTCGTCAGTGAAACCATCAGCATCTTAGGATCATCTCTGTTAATCCTCACACGTGAAACCTGTCAGATCTCTGTTGTTGCTCATCAATAAACCTGTAACATCTTCTTCGTTAATCCTTGTCAGTGAAACCTCTAACATCTTCTCCATTAATGCACGTCAATGAAACCTGTAACATCTCCATTTAATCCATCAGTTAAACTTCTTACACCAGGCCTGTTTAATCATTGGAGCCTTTAACTTACAGGTCTGTTTTATTTACTCCAGTGAAACCTTGTTTCCCACATACAAAACTGGGAATGCTGCTCTCCCCAATTTACGATGTGCTGAATGACTGGCAGCCATATCTGTTCATGTCTAATGATTAAGGGAACATTATGTAATAGTTTTTGATGAGAAAACTCAACATCTACACACAAAGTCGACTAAAAGTAGTTCCTGATTGTTCTACTAAAAGTAGTTCCTGCTTGTTGTCCTACTAACAGTAGTTCCTGCTTGTTGTCCATGAAGTTTATCAAACTTGTTTACTGCATCATAAACAGTATGGGTTACAGGAGATATGGCATAATGTGATAAGCAGCAATGTAAATACATGTGTAGTAACATGTTAACTCAAGGTTTCATGTTGTTCAGCAGTGTCAACATTTTGTTGTGAAATTTGATTAGCAGTACTACCTGCAGGGGACCGAAGGGCAATTGTGATTCTGAGACAGCGATACTGTGTCACAAGACGAGTCTCAAGGCTCCTGTTTGTTGCCACATGTCTACTAGATGAATTGTGTTATCTACTTTACTTTGTGGAATGGCCTGGCTTATTGCCTGTCACCCTATCCCATGATGTGAATTGCTGCTCACTAATATTGCCTTAATGATTCAACAATTCTCTGTGATGTAACTGGAATGTGCTCTGTGAACACAACCAGTGACAATCATGTTGCAACTTCAGATTCGGTAGACATCCTCTGAAAACATTTTAACAAGTAATTTTTCAACTATTTTTTAAAAAGAAAAACATTTGATTATTTGCCTTCCCTAATAAACTATTGCCAACATTCATCTTGTTTGTCCTCATTATTCTAGGACAGAGTTCGGCTTGTCTAATCGTCCAGGCTGAAGATGGGTAGTTTGAATGTGTTCTTCTTTTCCAGTCTGTTACAGCCAGTTCATCATTGTTGGATGTACAAGGTCCTATGTTCATATGAAACTGACTCAAGTACAGATTACTTAGTGGAGTGGTGATCTGGGTTTGAATCCTGTTAGTCATGACTTCGACCCTTCCTTGGTCTGCATCTTCCTCATTGAAAACACAGCATCGACAACGTTCGGTCCTCCTCCCTCCATGTTCAGCAAACAAGTACAATACCATCTCTATACAGTTGAGTTTACATAATTAATGAAATAACTGTATGCTGCTGTCACAGACATGATGCACTTGTGTGTTTAAAAGGGGGTCGTGTTGTGTACCATAGTTTTAACCAATATGTTGACCTAAAAAACCTGCATTGTTTTAGGCTTCGATATAGTTAACCTGTTTGCACTAATGCACTCAGCAATATTCCAGCTATATAAATGCACACAGTAAATAATAGACCAGACAATCCAGGAACTGATAGTGTCCCTGACTTCACCAACGGCACATACCGCTATTCCTTGTTTAACCGATTTCATATGCAGGTTTTCTTCTGGTGGGCTGGTCTGCAGCTGAAGGCCTCCATGACCATATACTTCATGCTTGACTGACAATAAACAGGACTTACTATTAATACATATCTTTTTATTCAGATATATGGAAAAGATGAATATAAAATCATATTCAGTGATATACTGGACAGCACATGATGAAGATGGGGGCTGTAGTTATAGCTGTGACAAGTCTGTCTGAATACACTCTTTGTACTTCACAGAATGGATTAGTTGTCTCTAGATTTACAGTATTCTACATTTTCCATTGTCCTCAAAGTTTCATATACATGTACCCAGTAATGTAGGAACGTAGTGAAAAGCTGTAAAGTATGGACAATGAACAATGCAGGAAGATATTTAGCTGACGAAACTAAACTCGAGCGGATCTTACTTAAGGATGGTCACGAGTCATGTGGTGTATATTGTGCAACCTTCATAGTACATGACTGACTGAGTTTGGTTTTACGCCGCTTTTAGCAATATTCCAGCAACATCACGGCGGGGGACACCAGAACTGGGCTTCACACATTGTACCCATGTGGGGATTCGAACCCGGGTCTTCGGCATGAAGAGCCAACGCTTTAACGATTAGGCTACCCCAGTGCCCCTCATAGTACATGAATTATGTGATCAATACAGTAACATCTTCAAAGTACACAAGCCAGGCAATGACTACAACATGCCACTTGTAGTACTTGGCTGAGTTTTTTTAACAATTATGTCATGAAATCGGTTTATGAAAGAATTCTCGTGGAGAAAAGAAAGGAAAAAGTCTATAGTTCAGTCATGAAGTTTCAAATTCAACGTAGCACTTTGAAAATATGACACAAATTTTATCAATTTCAGTTGCTGTACTTCAATATCATTTGTAAAGTAAACATAAACTTATCTCGACAGAACATTAACACTGTACAAAATAGAAATTTGATATGTTGAAAGCTGTGCTCAGCTGTTTTTCCAGGTGAATGAAAGAAGAAATGACTTGCTTTGGTTGTTTCATTGACTGACAACTTGGCTATGTATACTCCTTCCCACTTGAACGTTGTCTGCATACATTGTTTTTCACACTGAAATTTGATCACTTTGGAAAAATATAACAATAACATATCAAATTTCATTTCACTTTACATATTTATTTGGTCTTAAAAACCCATGTTATATAACAAATTGAACATGATAATCATAAGCATTAATAGTGAAATATATTTGTGTGTATGATCTCACCTTACACAGGTGAGAAACAATGTAAACAATGCTAACATTTTCTAACTATCTTTATATTTGTTCATTAGCTTGGAATACATGGTTGAAAGCAAACTGTAGACTCACAGTTTATTGAAGGTAAACATAATGTGAAAGCTAAAGGAAATGTCTGCTTCTCCGACCTATTAAATGCAAAAAATCAAATGTCAAAAACAGATTTGGAAAATTATTTACCTTTACCAGCAAACTTGCTACAAGTATTTATGGGCAAAATGATGGTGCTTATTAAAATATTACCTTTATGCTATCACATTTTTGAAAGCAATATAGCTCAAACTTTGAAAGAAAAAGAATTCTGTAAGGCAGTTTCACTACTTGAGTATTTTTTGACCGCATTTACTTTATTTTGGAAACAGACGAAAACCTTGATATGTGCTTTGTTCCTAAATGAAAAATTGTTACAATAACCTATTTTTGAAACTGTGTCCTGCCTTCTCCTTGTCAAACAGTCAGTATGTAACATAATGAGAAAATTTTGGAAACGTGCAGAATAGCAGCATTTTGTAATGTTTTATTCCCAAGAAATAACTTTACACTCTTTGTAAGCTCGCTTACATTATTCAAGTTATAAACATTTTTCATAAGTTAAGATAACAAAACAGACCACTCTTAAAAATATTATGTTGTTAATATTTCAGAATATCTCAAAGGTTATACAGGCAGAATCCTTTAGGTGTGTAGTGTGTACTGTACATGCAGATGTATACACAATATCTTAACAAATAGTCAGACAAGTGATCAGACACAGACAGATGACACCTCCTTCAGACTTTCTTCGGTCAGTCATTACTCGGACTATACTTCCCAAACCTCCAACGGCAAATGTCTGCAACAGATAGAACACAGGGTAAAGGAGAGTGATATTAGCATGTTCCAGCACGAGGGACACCAGATTGGGTTTCACACATTGTACATGTGTGAGGAATCGAACAAGGGTCTTTAGCGTGACAAGTGAACGCCTTAACTACTGGGCCAACACACCACTCCACCTCCCCCGGGTCAATGAGAAGGGGCATTACATACCACTACTGGCAATATTCAAGCTGTTTCGTGTTCAGTCACGGAGCAAGCGGGTTCTAAACTGCTCTCGTCAATATTCTGGGAGACACACATGGCCCAGATATCTACAGCATTGGCTGTTATATTTCTTATGGGTGACTTGGTATTCAAAAACATGATCATGGGTTGAATGTGGTGTCTTAGTTGACTGGGCTGTCTCCCAAGTAGTTGATATCTCTTGGGTATGAAATCTATCAGATATACATGGCTGCTGGTTGTTGGTTTCTTGTTGTTTAACGTCACATTCAGCAATAATCCAGCTATAAGACAGTGGTCTGTAAATAATTGAGTCTGGACCAGACAATCCAGTGATCAACAACACGAGCATTGATCCATGCAATTGGGATATGATGACATGTCTCAACCAAGTCTGCAAACCTGACCATCCGATCCCATTAGTTACCTCTTATGACAAGCATGGGTTGCTGAAGACCAATTCTAACCCAGATCTTCACGGGTGGTATCAAATATGGCGTTTAGCCCAAATAGTATTATGAGCAGTTAATTTCAGTATATGAATTAGTATTTGCTGGTCTTACTGGGCATAATATCTTTTCAAGAGAGAGGGTTCAGACTAGTGAGGTGAGGTGACCTTGGGTTTAACGTCATGCTTGAGAATATTTCGCTCATATGACGACATGCATGCGTGTGTATGTGTATGTGCGGCTGCTTGTACTAGCCCAGACTGAAGCTGGTTTTATAGTGCTAGCCCACTGAGATACCATGCCGCAGTGAAGCATGAATACCCCACTCAGACACATTATACTGACTCCGAGCCGACCAGTCCTTGTTGTACCCATTAATGCCGAGAGCCAGGCAGGGACCAACAAGTACCATATTTTAACGTCTTTTGGTATGACGCTGGTCGGGGATCGAACCCGCGACCTTCCGCATTCAGACTAGTGGCTAAACTCTACAGCACATTTTCTTCATTTCACAAACCTTTTCATGCCAGGTAAGGAGTACTGCACTGCTGCCTTCAGAAGGATTCTCGAATCCACGGTAGATATATTTCATCAATACATCTATTGACCTTGTATCTAGTGACTTCACAGCTTTTTCTACCTCACTGGACTTGAAGGATGTCAGCACCCGGACCACAATCTGACTGGCTCGCTCCTAAAAATACACATGTAATCTGAACATCAGCAAGGGTGGGAGTCAGTGGGTTGGGTCTCACGGGACAGTCAATCAATGTCATATGATGACACTTGAAATAAACCATGTCATGGAGTCTGACCATCTAATCTAATTTAGTAGCACAAGGCCAGCAATAGCGTGACTGGGATCTACTTTAACCTGTGTCTCCACAGTACAATCGCAAATCAAAAGTGCAATATTTTGTACTTTGGTTTACTTCCCTAGAAACGAAGCAGCCGGGATACCGAACCCAGTCAGAGCGGGTGGGTGTGCACTCAAGTGTAATGGCTGGTTCATTTGCAGATGCCCTCACGGCTCATTGTGTGTGTATATATAGAGATGTTGGGTTTTGTAAATACATGCTCATTTTTTGTGTATAACATTTTGCAATCAACAGACATCATAACATGTCATGTGTACAAGTATCACACCTGCATGTCTGTGTAATTTCATAATGTGACAGAGATCGAACTCGGGCCATAAATCAATGCGTTTTGTTTATGGTGTATAGCCTGATAGGTGTTAAGATGAAATTGCATGTGGTCAGTGATCGAAGTTGTGTATTGAATATTGTCATTAGCAGACAGGCAGGCAGACACATAGGTGTCAATAAAACAGACATTGAGTTTTGTCTGTAACAACGGCTATATCATATCTATATCACAGTTAGAAATTCTGTCAACGCTAAATAATGACATTGCTTTTAAGTATCGAACTGAGAAATTGACTCGGTTCAGAAGAACGTGTGGTGAAATAGAAAAATGAAATTATATAAACAGTTAAATCGGTAATCTACTGTCATAACATATAAAAGCTAAATACCTGTGAAATATCAACAAATTATTAGAAAAATAGCTCACACCAAAGCCTTCACCCGGTATTCACCAGAGCGCCAGAAGGTTTTCCGTCTTAAAATGTCGAAAGCCCCACTGGTTGACACATAGCTGAGTAGATCTAGATCCTAACAAGGTTCTTTTATGTAATGAGTAGATTATTTACTATTTGTTTTGATTAGACTACTCTTGCTCACGACCTTATAATCCAGACAACCTTCCAAGTTGCGCAAACCTGTGTCACTGCACATGTGCTATAAGTCCCACTTTTCCCCAGCGTTGGGGAAATTAAGTAAATCGTTTGAACTCCGATTTCGCACGGTTTTTTCCATCGCGTTATTTTTCCACTTAATAAGTTGAATTTGCATTTTTGATGATTTGTTTAGGTAAGTCCATACCTAAAGGTATCAGAATCTGCAAAGTTGTGTTTTACGTTGCATGTGACCTTTAATGGGGGGAACAAACTTGAAGCAGGTCCCTTGGCAGAGGAATAGTGCTGTCAAATCAAATCTGGGCTTAAGACAGAACCCAGGAACCAATGGACACAACTTTGCACAACAAACTACAGGACCTCAGTCCAATGAAGCATGTACGCCATTGTCATCAGGCAATGTTAAAGCATCCACCGTTAAGTTCAAAATGAGTTACAGCTAACAACAACGTAGGAGTGTTCTCACCTTTACATTTTGGTTCTTTGTTGTGACTGGAGCACTACTCAACACTAATTTTAGGGCATCTGCATTTTTTCCTGTATCTAAAGTTAAGTAAAATATGCAAAATATTGACACTGACAAAAGTCTAATACGGCAAAATTGGACAAATATTCACTGTTTTCAATTATTGTGATCAGAATACATACAGTCAGCTGGAAATACAATAGCCCTGCTTAGAGACCATTATATTCAGCCATGTCAAAAAGTAATGTCATCTGAATTTATGCACTCTTTGAAAGATGGATCGGTTTGATCATGAAGAAAAAATGTGTGTAAAATAAAGATAAGAGGAAACTCCACATAGATTAAAAGTACTCCCTTTTTGATGTTACCACAGCACACGGAAACAACCAGAGAGATATCATATCAGAGTTAAAATCCAATGTTAATGAGACTGCAATGATGTAAGTAATATGTTGACAATGCAAGTAAAATGGCAACAGTGCTGAAAAACATGGGAGTTTTAAGTGTTTTGAACCTCATGAATAACAATCAAGTCAATTGTAAGACCCTTCCCTGGTGACCCTGGTATATATGCGAATAGAAATTGGAAGACTCATTTATTCACAAGCTGCTACAGTTTCCTATTCATGCAAGTTATGATTCAAGAAATGAAACCCACCAGACTGCCTTGAGGCATCATCAGACATCATTGAGGAAGTAACATAAAGCTGTTTCATGAGCAAAATGATACAATTACTTATTTGGTTATGAGGCCTTTGTTCGAATAAAATTGAAATGGTAGGTCACAATTATTTCCTGAATAAGAAACAGAATGCTGTGAGTCAGAGATGAACTTGGACTGCCAGTTCGAGTAAAGGATATTGAGTAAGGAGTGTAGTCACTTCCCCCTCGTTCGGTCCTTGTTCGGCAACATCATTATCTTCGTCTTTGAAGCGATCGTCGTCATACTGATCGACATCTACCTTCCTAAACTTGCTAGCACCAGTATTTTTTGACATAGCTGCTAATAATTCCAGGAAACTGAAGTCTTCGGCACCGACCCAATCACACCCCGGAAGTAGAATGATCCTGCCTCGTTTTGACAGATAACGACAAGTACTTACCACGGTTCCGCTTTAAAGAACAGACTTTTCGCGGAAACTTGGGGATATTTTCTTGTTGATAGTATCGATGATAAGATAAATATCGATTTAAATTACTTGTATGGGGAATATTGTATCACCTTTTCTATAACGACATTGTACCGGAAGTCGATGTTTTCAGAACCTCGTTCCGGCCTTTACTATTCTGACATCTTCCAACATGGTACATACAACATGGTTCTTTTATTATCTATGCAATCCTATGTCCCTTCCTACTCATATGTTACCATACGACGTATCTTGTCAATAAATAATGAATAAAGTATATGTCTGACCGGTCATTTTATGTTTAGGGTATGTAGCGATGTAATTTTGCACTTGTGAATCGCGGTGCCCGTACGTAAACAACCCACATTTGAAAGGATTTTCTTTACTTTGCGTTTCTATTGCGGTATAATATCCGAACCGTAACTGACACGTATATTTTGTGCACATACAAATCTGTCATAATTGACAGCTGTCTAACAAAAAGCTTCAGTTTGGGTCAGATAATAGCCTATTACTGTCTATGATTTCCACCCTGTATCTACATTTTGTAACTTGTAGACGAACCGTGTCAATGATCATGGACTAATTGACATATTACTTGCGAAAGTATATATTTTCACATTCAGGGACAGAAGGCCTGGTTATGCTTTGCATTAGAGTTGTTTGTTAACTTTTAAAGGCTATCATTTTGATCCACTTTTGTTATAGGACGGTGCTTAGATTCTGAGCACCAAGAAATATGATGTCAACCTCGCTGACAAGATTGATTATTTGAGAAACTGTCTCCGTAAATTTTGCAAAATGTCTACAACAATCATCCCACAAATTCTTTGTAGTTTACAGGCATCCTTTCGATGAGTATCTTGATGTTAAAGTGGACTGCTCAGGTGGCAGAAAGCTGTGGTTTTTCATGGATCAGTGGTATTAATTATGTCTTCATGTCTTTGCCAAGTTAATAAGAAAATCTCTATGCAAGATCAGGCAAATATCCTTTGGCCATGATATACCAGCCCTCGTTTGATAAGATTATGTGTAGGAGATCCAGTGACAACAGTTCTTAAATCACGTCTGCTCATTTTGGGTCTCCATCAGTCAATTCAATTTCAGCAAACACAAAGGGAAGCTTTGCAAAGATTATTGGATAGTTGGCCATCAGGGCCTGCTGCCGCCTGCAGGCTTTAAAATCTACAGGCCCTGAATGAAATCTGCAGGCCCATTTTGTTAAAGTCAACCCAATAAAAACCAAATACAGGGATAGAAATCCTTTTTTTTTCTAAGTGTGCCTTAGGGCACCAGACAAATATTTTAGGTGTGCCTTTCTGAAATCGAGTATGCCCACATGTTTTTAGAGTAAATGACAATGATGATGATCATTTGAAATTTATTGTTAAATAAAGAAATGAGTTTATGAGCATTCAGATATGTATGGTATTATTCAATTTGGAAAAATACAATTGTTTGGGGGATTAAATGACTAAATGTGATTTATGTCTCTTAAAAAATTAGGCGTGTCAAAAGGGCACCGAGAGCATTTTTTATCCGTGCCATTTCTGTATTTACCGTGCCATGGCACACTAATATATGGGGTATTTCGAACCCTGAAATAGACTACACTGTACACAGTTTCACACTATTTCTATAAAATCAAGTAGCCATGCCTATGACGCAGATAGACGTTTTTATTTAAGTGTTGACATTCCTTTGCACAAAGCGTACGTTAATAAAGAAATAAAATGAAGGGAAAGATTCAAGTTGAAAAAAAAGACAGATAATGTACTGAAGGGCACAAGGGCCTGCAGATATATGAAACTGCCGGGCCAATACCATAACAACCGGCGCTGGGCCTCTGAGCTGGCGATTATTTCTAATGCTGTATCCAACTGTCATTTATGTTACTAAAATATGTTGTGAGTGTAATGAAAACTATTATTAGGCATCAAGCCTAATCAAGAATAACCCACCCTTTGTCTACTGGCTTCAATCATTCCTATCACAACAAGTGTCATGTCAACACACCGTACATCAACCTCTTCTATTGTATAAACCAATACCCGCCATGTATATATTTCTCCTTGTGCAAATGTTGTGTATCATTTGCTTGATAACGGTGTTAGGATCTACACCAAAACGTTGTAACTACTACTGCAACAAAGAAGTTGTCTATCCATAAAAAGTGTTCCACTTCCAAACTATTATTGTTACATGATAAAATCTTGCAATGCCTGTGACTTTCTGATTTGAAAAAGTTTGTTGAAACCCTGAAGACACCTACCATGCTTACTACTTACCTTCCACTGTTTTACTACAACTAAACTAAGACTAGAAATTGTCAGAAAATATTTGATTATCGTTTTATGTTGCAGGCCAAGGTAAAGGCTAAGGAACTTCGCGGCAAGAAGAAGGAAGATCTTACCAAGCAGCTCCAGGATCTGCAAGAGGTAAAAACCATAAATCTCTGTCAGACCACACCCTTGTGAACCATGCTAGTAAATCTTAAGTTCACAGTGGCTGATATAATGAACACTCCCTAATTAACTGGTGAAAGTGTAATCACTTTTTACAGCTCTGGATGAGCTTTGAATATATTGAAATATGAAGAATAAGTTCAATAGGCAGTTAATTTTGAGTTGCTTACAACAGGGATAGAAATACTTTTTCTTTGAAGTGTGCCTTAGAGCACCAGACAAATATTTTAGATGTGCCTTTCAGAAATCAAGTGTGTCCACATGTTTTTAGAATAAATGACTGTGGTAATGATAACAATCATTTGAAATTCATTGTTAGTAAATAACAAATGTAACCTGCTTCTGTTATCACTGATTTGCTTCTGTTTAAGATGGCTTTCTTAAGCTTCATTTGTTCTGCTTTCCCAGCCCCTTTAATAGCTAAGACTTTTTGTGACAGGTTCACTTGTTCAATATATCCTATCTAACATACACAATTTCCTTGTCAATAACCAAACTATCAGTACACCCATCACTCTAAGTGGAAAAACAACCAGATTTCTTTACATCATCCATCTTAATTCCAGTGATTTCCTGGGTGATAAAGTCAATAAATGTTTTTGCTTGTTTGTTATTTGCTAAAGTGTTTTGTTGTGGGGATTAAATGACTAAAGTTGAGTTATGTCTCTAAAATGGGCACAGAGAATTTTTTATCCGTGCCATGCCATATTCAATATTTAACCATGTTACAAATACACCTTTGTAATATATCAGGGTAATTCAGAACCTGGGTCCCGTTACAAATACACCTTTGTAAAAACTATCAGGATTTGGTGGTCAGTGTTACAGTTCTGTTCTGTCACAGACTGCCATCATACAGCTGAGATATTGTTAGGCGTGGCATGAAAGAGCAAAAGACGCCCAACAGGGTTGAGTTAATTTGATCTGGTAATGAAACTAGGAACCCTGTTCCAGTTGATACCTATGTCAAGAAATATTTTGAGTACTATTGAGGCATTGATCCTTGGGTTAAAGCTACTGTATTAGAGACCACAAATAAAGACTTTGAATTGTTATTGTGTGTGGACATTTCATATAGACCTGGTGTCCCATGATTTATCTGACCAATGACCTTGTCTTGACAATTTCAGGAACTTGCTGGTCTTCGTGTTGCCAAGGTTACAGGAGGAGCTGCCTCAAAGTTGGCTAAGATGTAAGCAAACTCCCATAGAGAATAGGTCTCCAGTAAATCTACTGGGTTTACAATAAAGACACCTTTTACCAAATTGAAGAGGGTAGGTAACACTACTCATAGGCTCAATTGAGTGGGCAGCTATTGATGTTGACCTTCTATGAAGATATGGTACCCTGTCCCAGTTTAAAAGCCGTGCACACACACACACACACACACACACACACACACACACACACAGAAAAGAAAGGATCAGGCGACTTGGTTGATGCATTAAAACTAATTAACCCGATGGCATGGATTGTTCAGTATCCATCATTGGATTGTCTCATCTAGACTCACAGGCAACAAATCATGCAATTAACAACGGTCAAGCCGAACACACCGTTTGATGTAGAATATTGCTCTGTCAAAATTGACATTGAAGTAAGGAGCCCTTGAGGGTCAGTGGAAGTCCTCAATAGAACACTGGTTCTATTTACCAATGGTTTGCCTTTTTCTTGTCTTTGTATGCACCAGCCAGGGATACAGATGGATTATCGCTGAAACATGTAGGTGTTGAGGTAAAACTAAGTGGTAGTGAAAACAATGATTGGGCTTCTCAGAGGAAAGAATTGTATGACATGAAACAGTGGTAAAACGTCTGTGTTGCATAGATGCAAAAGATAGTACATGTATGAAAAAAATCATCAATGTCTGCACAGGCAATGGTCTACAGATTGCCTGTCAAAATCTTTTAAGCTCATGTATAGCTAATGTTTTAAGTTAATTATTGCTTTGAATATTGATGAAATGAATTCTAATGGAATTGTTGCAGATGCTCTGTGAGGAAATCTATCGCTCGAGTCCTGACAGTCATTAATCAGACACAGAAGGAGAACCTAAGGAAATTCTACAAGACAAAGCGCTTCAAGCCCAAGGATCTCCGTCCCAAGAAGACGAGAGCAATGAGGCGTGCACTCTCCAAGTTTGAACGCTCTATCAAGACAAAGAAGGAACAGAAGAAAGAGCGCCTGTACCCTACACGAAAGTACGCAGTCAAAGCTTAAATGTCTATTTGTGGGGAATAAAAAAAGTAAAAAAAAAATGTTTTCTGTCATTTATCAACCTTTCCATAAGGTGTCTAGGGAAGAGATGAAGTTGTGTAAACATGCATTCTGGAGATGATAAACCATGGAAACAATATCTTTGTTAAGATGGAGTGTATGTGTATCTTACACAGAAGTCAACAGTATATCCACTCCAAAATGACTTCTTAATAATCCAGTCCAGAACAGATGAACAAGTGGACGATAAAAGCTTTGTCTTCCATGGTGGGCGGTGGGGTAGCCTAATGGTTAAAGCGTTGGCTCGTCACGCCGAAGACGTGCTTGATTCTCCACAAGGGTACAACTAGACTAAAGCTTAGTCTCGGAATATATATAATTTTGATAGTAACAAACAAGCCCATTTATATTGAAAGGGAGACCAGAGATTCAGAGATTAAGAACATCTGCATTGGGACTACACATGCTGGGGTGATTACCAATTAGAAGTCACATCATACAACCATCAGATAACGCTATAAGTGAAAGGCATATTTATTGGCCCTCCTGTTAAGCCCTGTCCTATCTCCATGCTGTCATCACCTCAAGTGCCCCTACTGCCTAACATTTTACTGTTGGGAAACTTGCAGCCCACAATGTCACTTGGACACTAGATGACCAAGGTGCAAGATCTGTGTGGAACACCAACAAAATTATTTATGAATTTGATCCTATCTCCAAATTCAAAAGTTTCCATTTTGTATAATATGCGAAGAGGATATAGATAACCACCTTTTTTTAAACAAACTGTTCAATGGAAGCGAAAAGGCCAGCGTCTGTCTTACGCTTGAAGATGTTCTGGGTATTTCTAGATACTAGATCATCCTCACTAGATTTCACCTTGCATGCCTCAATCACATCACGAAGGTAAACAGATTTAATTCCGAGATGCTGTGCCTTTTGAATTTGCTTCTTCACGAGAAGGCGACTAACGGGGTCGGGTGGTCAGGTTTGCTGACTTGGTTGACACATGTCATCGTATCCCAATTGCGTAGATGCTCATGCTGTTGACTACTGGATTGTCTGGTCCAGACTCGACTTATTTACAGACCGCTGCCATATATGGAATATTACTGAATGCGTTGTAAACCCAAACTCACTCACTCACTCTTCATGAGATATGTTTTACTGTTGAGCAATTACCGGTAGACAAAAAGAGATACTCAAAACACACCAGAGTTTCACACAATTATCTTATATCAGGAATAAGAAAAATAACCCTTGTTTTAATTACAATTAAATCCGTAACCGCATTTACAATTGGGCTGCTATGTGTGTACCCAAGTCAGACAATGAAACAATACTTTTTACAACATAACATTCAGGAGGAACCTTTCCCCAAGATTTTGCTTGATTTGTCTCTTCAAGACTAGAAACTGTGCACAAGGCCTCCACTATAGCTTCATGTCACCCAATGTGCTTGTTAATTAAGAGTTGACAGATGAAAATGTGAGGAAAGATTCCAGACCACTGGTGAGGATGTTGGTCCAGCCAGCCATGGTAGTTAGATATGTTTACTTTGTAATCCGACCCCCAAAGTGAGTTAGTTTTCTTGCAGATGTTAACAGACCCTGAACTTGAGGAAATCTAGACTTGCTTTATTTAAGGCTTTAGCACTGCAGAGAGGGCTTGGCAGTAGGGAAATTAATGTGGTTCAGGGACTGTGAGACAGACTAGGGTACAACGTGTGAAGCACATTTCTGGTGTCCTCCAGCTACGATATGGCTGGAATATTGTTTAAAGTAGCGTAAAACCATACTCACTCACTTACTTAGATTGATGCAATGAAGTTATGTCACTGGATTATCCTGAGAGAAAAAAACAACCAATAGTTGGAATAATGCTGAGTGTGGTATTAACAACAAAAAGCCAACAAAAACTAATGGTACACTGTAGAAAGAATTAAAGCAGTGTTTTGGAAAGCTGTGAGTGAATTAACACTACTCTGGTGTGCCCAGGGGACACAACTCTGTATAGCAGCTTGGCACCTGTGACCTGTAAGTCATGACAAGGTTTTTAGTAGCTCCTGGTTTTCACAGATTTGGTCCATCTTGTAGAAGCAGCTATATTTTAACAGCATACAAAATACTGAAGCAACTACACATATTGTTTCATCAGTTTTATTGAGCACATACACATTGAGAAAATCAACTTCAGTTTAATATTCATAGATGAAAAACAGTTTTGGCTGAGGCAGTCAATAAGTGGTGATATCTAGAAATTGTAAATATGTTTTTACATCATATATACCAACACAATAGATCTATAAATCTAAACACTTTCATCTTAAATATCTTCACCAAATGAACCACATCAACACTGTCACGCCTGACTCAGGGCTGACAGAAGGGCCTGCCAGCAGACTTCTCGTAGAGATTTAGACAGAAACAAAGACTCTATAGCCACTAAAGTAACTTTCACATAGGTGTCTATATTTTCCAGTACAGTGTTAGAAACCTTTCAAAATTTCCTACTACACCACAGGACCAGTGCGTGGACAATAATTAGTGGTCCTGTCTGTACTTCACTGATACAAAATAACATTTCGTATCAATATTATTTTATTTATTTGAATGTTCAACATCTTTTAAATTTTGAAACATTTACTTGCCACCAGGACCATTGCAAACTTATCATTTAGTGGTCCTGATGAATTTTTACTAGTCAGGGACCACAGGACCAGCGTAAATGCCGCACACTGCAGTATCTTATGACTTCAGCTTTCTGATTCAGCATTACTCTGTATAGAATCTTCACTATTGATAGGAGTGTGTCATTCTGATGATAATGTAATGTATGAAATATACTACATTCATTTATACTTTCCACCTAGATTTCTGTAATTCATCCAAATTATATATATGGAGTCATCTATAATATCAGTAGTTTTTCCCAAGCGACCTTTCTCATAATAGTAATGCCTTCTCAGAACTACTGAAAATAGGTTTTCAGTCTTAATCTTGTTAACTTATTACGTCTTTATTCTACAACAAAGAGTGACAATTTTATATTCTGGGAGAGTGGAAGAGTGTAACGGCATGGAATTTGAAATTCTTATGCTGAGGTTGAAGGTGAGGGTGAATGAGAAGTCGACAACCTGGAATTCAGTTAGAAAATATAATTACTGGTCAATCTGGACATGCTGAAACGTGAGAACATGACACCACGGCTCAGCTTCTCACTTCAGAAAAAGTAGTGGAAAAACAAGCCCTAATATGGCTTACATTGTAGTTTTACTATGGAAGTACTGAACTGATCAATGGTATTAGAACAGCAACTATGTCAATGATACTATATAGAGCAGGTAGGGGACTGACATTGTGGTCTCACTACAGACGTACTGAACCGATCAATGGTATTAGAACAGCAACTATGTCAATGATACTATATAGAGCAGGAAGGGGGCTGACATTGTACACACTGGCAATCGAAGCGGGGTGTTACAGCCACCAGGTTACCAAGGGATTTACAGGACACGAATTTCTGCGTCCTATATGCATAAAAAACGACAATGGACACAACAAAATTGATTAACGCGTCCACAGGGACTCAGAAAAAGTCTGAATTCTTTTTGTAAAAATTGCAATCAAGTGACAGTATGTTATCACTGAGTTTGCTACTAGCTGGGATATGGTTGTTACACAGTGTTACACAGGAAACATTAGACATGACCACATTAATTCATTTTTTGATTGAAAATATCTTGGAAATGATTTTCCAAAATAATACTGTACATAGTAGTATATCTAACATAACAAAACACTCACATTTGTAAGCACTGATTAACTGTCAACTTTGTAATTACAAAATGGAAGCAACGACCATGCCAATGATATTGCACAATACGACAGAGCTTAAATATGCATATATATGTTTCTGTGTACAGATATCAAATAAGTGTTTTATGACATAGTGAAACCACGATAATGCAACATGGAACATGTTAATCTCTTTATTCACTTCCAGTAAACTTCTTGAAATGAAACTTTATTTATTTCAGAATACATGATTATTTAGATATTTATCATTGTGTTTATGGTATAAACATTGAATACATGAATACAGGTCACAATCACATGAACAAGAGACATTCACTTTACACAAAATAAGATTACACAAGATTCACTAAAGTGAAACCGAGTTTGGTGGGCTGTGTTTTACTGGGTACCTGCCTACACCAGGCAGGGACTGGCCCCGAAAATAGATTCTTGAAATCACTACCTAAATGGTGAATAACATGGGGAAAGGTCCTACATTATTTATACATTGTACTACATGCGAGTACAGTGAATACATTGTACTATACCTGAGTACTGTCAATACAAATACATTGTACTATTCCTGGGTACAGCCAACATGTCTATATTGTACTATACCGTAATACCTGGGTATGGTTAAAATCCATTGCACCATAATAGGGTACAGATGATATACATGTGAATCTTGTACTGCAATCTCCCTGTAAAGAAGTTTTACCATACACATCTGGTAGATACATAGACTGACATGGAGTGCCAAGCCAGTAGACTGTTAGTCTCATAAACAGGGCTTGATATTGTCTGGGGTTACTTTGAAAAAGTTAGTACAATTTTCATTTTGCTGGAAAAATATTTCAGTTGCTACCCAGTGTGTCATGAATGCCCAAAGTGATAGATGTCATGGATGCTTACGGCTTTGTTGTCCTTTAGATTATGGGGCACACATCTTTACCGTGAACTACTGTGCCATTCCAATGATCATCTGATCTGAAAGTTGGCATTCAACAAAATAGGACAGACAAACTACAGCTGTAAACATCATCAGATAAGTTGCATAGCATCAAATCTCTGTAAAAATAATAGGTTTATGACAGATTTGACTATGAACAGTTTTATCACTTCAATGCAAACATATATACATCATACAATCCTTTCGGAAATCCTTTCTGCTTTTGTTGTTTCAGAATTACCAGTCCTGAATTCTGTATAAGCTGTACTAAAACATCTAACGGCCTTGTGAAACTGCTGTCCAGTTCATCAAAGTCAGAATTTCTTGTTGAGGTCACATTTTCTTTCACAACCATAATTCCATTTTCTGATAACCCTTGTTTGCAACTTCTGAAGAAGCTGACGAGATGATCGTCCCGGAGATGACCCAGAACCCACTGGCACCAGATGACATCATAGTGGCCGATATCTGGGGTGAAATCTTGCAGCCCACTGCAGATGAACTTCCCCACTCGTTTTGACTCCTCCCCTATAAACTTTGGAGCTGCGTCAACAAACTTCTGGCTCAGTTCAACCAAGTCAACAGATGTAAACATTGGAAGCAGCAGCCTCTTTGTGATACGCCCGATACCAGCACCACAGTCAAGAGCACGGTTGCTGTTCGTCTTCCCACCAGAGATCTGTAAAGATTGTTAGAGACAATTTAGACCATACTGAATTAGTCAAATCACTATTGAATTTTGATGCTTTGAAGAGTACTTTAGTAGCAGAGATTACTTGTAATTTTGGTCATATCAGCTGTAAAGTCAGTGTCAGTCCTTGAGTCCCCTAGCTGAAATGTTTTACTTAATATCTGGAACTTTAGTATAAATAACATACATGCACCAATTCATCACGTTATGACAGCGTGATATCTTGTGCTCTTTATGTGGTGAGCTGTCTGATTTTCTGATTACTACTTTGAATACACAATGCCACTTAGAGTGAGTAAGTGAGTGAGTTAATATTTAACGTCACATCGGCGCCACTTAGAGAGTGGTCAATTGTAACATATATTATATTTGGGATTACACTTTCTTAGTAAAGTATGCCCACTACAATAGTGGAAGCAGTGGTGGCTGAGCGAGAAGTTAGACTTTATGAGCGGGCAATTAGGAGCCTGAGGCTGACCTGAAGGTGTGGGTTGAATCCCGGATGGGACTCAACCCAACAAAAGGACTAGAATCTGTACTTAACTAAGAAAGTGTAATCCCAAAAGTAACATATGTTACATAATTACTATCAATCAATGCGCACACCTTTGCCATGGTACAATTAGTTAATTAGGCCTCAGAAATCTATTGGCTGGTTAACACACAGTGGGAGCAGCCATGTTAATGCAAACAGATGAATGTCTTAAACGTAGCAAAATTGAAACTATAGGCAAACACTACCATCTTAAATTTTGTAACATCGAATTTATGTTTATCTCTAGGTAAAATTCTCCCTTCATATACTTTCATTATTCATCATTTTCCTGCTGTTGTAGGTCCCTTCAATTCAGACACAATGGTGTTTGACTTTTTCACAACATCATTAACAATTGCAATTACAGAATTAGATCCCTACCGAATAGTTCAGAGATGCAAACCCTAACTTAGCCCAATTAGTATTCTGGCCAAAACCTGATTACTAAATTAGTATTTGTTGGCCAAAATTAGTCTTAACTTTTCCAAAGAATTTTCATATTAAATAAAAAAATTAAATATAGTCTAAGACCTTGTTATTAACGTTGTACTCAACTAAATCAGTAGTAAGTATCCACATATAGCTTGATACTGAATAAAATGTGATCGAAATTATTGTGTATGGTACGTATGCTATTTGATAATTGAATTTAATGTATCTTTTTTTTCAAAATTCGTATATTTTTACTGCTATCGTAGTCACGTATTTTGTGTTGTTTTTTGTAACGAATACGATAAAATCGTATGGGTTGGCATCTATGATAGTGTCATAAAAGGGAACACTGCACTTTACCATTGTCTACTGAGCGCACATTTTCAGCTAAATTAACGCTGTGGGGGCTCAAACACGCTTGACATAATTATAGTGTGTTTGGCTCAAAAGCGGACCGATGAATTGCAATATAACTCGAAAACTAAAAAACATATAATACTCAATGAAACGCTGATCATAATCAAAACATCAGACTAACTCTGTGATTTGTTTGCAGAATTTATGTCCTAAAATTAAAAATGTTGTTTTAACAAACTATCATTAAAATATTGACACTGTTCACTATTTGTTACGAGGGAGGAGTGCAGAGAAAGGGACAGCCAGGTGTTTGAAAAAGGATGGAGACTGCACAGCACAGGTTAATGAATCAATAACTTTGTCGGCACTTGTGCACGTGCTTCTCTAACACATGGCTGTCCATTTCTCTGTACTCCTCCCTCGTAACAAATAGTGAACTGTGTCAATATTTTAATGATAGTTTGTTAAACAAGTTTTTAGAGTTGGTCTGACGTTTTGATTATGACCAGTGTTTCATTGAGTATTTTATGTTTATCATGTTTATTAGTTTTCGAGTTAGATTGCAATTCATCGGTCCGCTTTTGAGCCAAACGGACTATAGCGTTTGCTCTACCTTGGGACATGGTTAATGAGTGCTTGTTTTACAGGTCAATAGCACAGCAGTGAGTGAGTGAGTTTTGTTTTACGCCGCAATCAGCAATATTCCATCTATACGGCGGTGGTCTGTAAATAATCGAGTCTGGACCAGACAATCCAGTGCTCAACAACATGAGCATCGATCTGCGCAATTGGGAACCAATGACATGTGTCAACCAAGTCAGCGAGCCTGACCACCTGATCCCGTTAGTCGCCTCTTACGACAAGCATGGGTCACTGAAGATCAATATTCTAACCCGGACCTTCATGAGTAAGCACAGCAGTGAGGTCTAGGCACAAGAAAAGCACCTCACTATGCCATGCCCTTCCCATTTATTTTTTTTCTGCACCATTGTTTCTAGCAGTACTCATGCGAAATGTGGTTCAATTGGATAAAATCAAATAACACTGCCCTTAGGTAGGGTCTAAGCCTAATCCTTACAGACCGGAAAGGGTTGTTTGCACCTCTAAAGACGAGTCAGCTCCCAAAGGATTGGTAAGAGTACCAGACACTGTGGAGCACAGTGGTGTAGTGGTTAGCATGCTGGCCTCTCACGCCAAAGGCCCAGGTTCGAATCCCGGTGGAGACACCAAAATTTGTGACCTGGGTCTCATACTGTGTTGTGTCCTTGGGCAAGGCACTTCGTCCACATTGCACTCAGTCCACCCAGCTGTTTAAAATGGGTCCCTGAAAAGCGGATGTACGGACCTATACGGTCGCGCTTAGTAGCAGCTTTGAAAGTACAATTACGTCAGGGTAATAATGTAATGCCAGAGAACAGCATCGCATTGGTTTTTAGGCACAAAAATTAGCATTATTATTAGTAGTAGTAGGGCTGCGCAATATAACCGGTTTACCGGTATTTACCGCATCTTATCAGAAAACACATTTGGGCATTCATCTTTGATCCTTGAGTTCTAACTAAGTATGACTGCAAACTTTGGGAAGGTAAGCCCCAACTCTATGCTCGAGCAAAGATACTTTACACTAGTGGCAAACATATTCCACAGCGGTTCACATGTTATCCAACAACACATGTTGACTAGCAGATACTGTCTCTCATCAACTGAACCTCCATTATATTCGTGTACCCGGTAGATTTAAGATGTTGTACACGTTGATAGTACGGAAAATACACGTTTATCGTTCTATATACGATTCATACACAACATGTAACGTATCACGTAACACAAATTTGATGTCAACCTTTATTGATTTGGACGTGATAACGACTTCTGCCAGATTGACATGTCACTCCTACACTAAATCCTTATTTCAAATAGCAACAGTCATTACCTTCAGATATGGTCGGAGAAAAGCCTTCGACCCATCAATGTCGGTTGGGGATATTTTAGCATAACCACCGAGCATCGCATCAATTGTTGGTTGTAAACCATCCCAGTATTCCTTTGCATCGCTGTAAAATTTGGCGTCTGTTTTTGTTGACTTTCCGCACACGTGCGTTGTTGTGTCTGCCATTTTGGATTCGCAATACCCTCTAAATCTCTAGTATGAACTACTTTTGAAGCAATAGCACGATTTACATCTACATCGTGTGATTGAATATAAGTCAGAGCATAGAAATGGTGTAATCAAATATTTGTCAGGAGTTTTATCCTGTCAGTGAACAGCTGAAGCATCAAATATTGTATCAGGGGTTAGAGAGTAACACATATTTTGACATGGCCACCAAACATGTCAAGTGACGATATTCATGTTACAGTTTTAATGTTTTGATACCGTCTGGTGTTTACAATAGCGAGTACTGAACTTACGTGTGAATTGTTACGATGCAAGCTGAAGACGCACGGTATCTGAAAAGGTGAGGTGTCTTGGTCTTATTATCTTTGTAAATAATTATTCAACGAATCCATATCCCATGTTTTGACTCATTTCGAGACAGTAGATTACCTAATGACCTGTTTCTAACGTATCACATAACGGTATGCACACCGAGGGCATCTGTATAAACGATTAAGATACCCAATAATGTGTTTCCAATGATAAAAGGTCATTCGGATGAAGCAAGATTTGATTATAGTCTGTAAAAGGACCCACGGTTCTTTTCATTCTTGTCTGAATCACCACATTTATGATTATGATAAAGTGTAGAAATAGTGTAACATAACATTTTGAGATTGATGATTTTCTAATCGTGATTGTTTTTATCTGTTGTACCTGATTGTCATGTTTATCATTACATCATGTTAATATCTATTTTGCTGTCAGTGGCTACAATGAAGCATAACAGATATTTAAATGTTTTTTTCCGGGGTTTTATGTCCACTGCCGTAAAGCACTGTATTCAAACCAGCATGGATAACAGTGCAGCTTAATTTGCTCTGCTCACCTTATTTTGCTACAGTTACAAATCATTGGACATAGGCTTATCGGCTTATCGGCTTATCAATTGATCAATTGAATTTTCATGTTTGTTTTTGTGAAATAACAACAGATGTGTTAATGCAAACTTTACATATTGTTTTGCACATACAACTGCAACTCTGAGGTGCAGGACAACAGTTTTACACATCAAAGTGACCGATTTGCTAGTACTCCATAGAGCCTTATTGTTTGAATCTCATTATTGTGCATGTAGTGTGTCAAGACACTAATGGAAGTATTGTCTATTGCTATGATTGCAGGAAGGTGAAAGGTGGCAGTATCGATGTCCACCCGACAGAGAAGGCACTGGTGGTCAACTATGAGTTGGAGGCCACGATCCTAGGGGAGATGGGAGATCCCATGCTGGGGGAAAGGAAAGAGTGTCAGAAAATGTCAGTTTCCAGACCTTTCATTGATTTTCTTTCAGCAAACATTGAAACTCATTGACTCACGTGTGGCTGGGCCTGTAAACATGGTGATGAATGGTTTGGGTTTTTTGCAGTTAATTTATCTGCCTGCAGTGTTTCAATGATGTCCCAAAAGTACATGAATGTAATAAGGCAGAAATAGAATTTAGTGTTCTTTTTCTTTTGGAGAAAACTATCTATGACACCAGGTTTAGCCCAGTAAATTTTACCATACATATAGTCTTTAGAGTAATGTATTGTGTTTGTGTTGGTGTGACTGTGTTTCAGTAATAATAATAAGTATAATAATAATGAATAATGGCATTTATATTGTGCTGTCTCCATGCCAACTGCCATCAAGGTAGGCTCAAAGCGCATTAACACATTATTACCCCGGGTAATATGTGTCAGTGTAGTGTGTGACTGTATTGGAGTAGTTAATGTACCTATGTGACTGTGGCTGTGTAATGTGTGACTCTACTGGAGTAGTAAATGTATGTGTGACTGTGTCAGTGTCATGAGTGACTATCACTGTAGTGTGTCTGTTGCAGTATCCGTGTGAAAGGCCTCAACTCCAACAGTGACCTGACGACATTGTCGAAAGAGATCATTGACAAGTGCAAGCTGATCCACCCGAGCAAGCTGCCTGAGGTTGAGCAATTGCTGTACTATCTGCAGAACAGGAAGGAATCTAGTCCTACAAAAGGTAATACTATTAGAAATCCTAAACAAACCCTGAAACCCAAGATTTATTTCTTACTAGTGCAAGGATTGTGGTTGGCACCTGTGACAGTGTGAGGGTGAGTGATTCTTTTTCAGAAGAGATCTTCCTTGGGGTACATGTATGCCTTTTCTGTAACTGAAAATGTTCTGTGACAGTTGTAACAATGTTTTAATAAAAATATTGCACAAAATAAAAAAGTCTTGTTTCTTTTATGCGCTCTATTCAAGTAATTTCAATGTCTTCTACGTATAAGTTTTTTTTTTCCATGTGTTTAACGGGCCTGTCTGCCGTTAGCGCCATGCTTAAAGAGTGCATGCTTGCTTTTAGGTGTTCAAGGCATGCGATGTGAAAACACCTTGACCCCTCAGGACAGACACGTCAAGTGTCTTTGTTGCTTGGAGCGGGCTGGGACAACCCTTATATTTGCAAGTTGTGCCTTGACTTTACCCCTAAGACGTGCAAGAGGCGCGCAGTGGACTTTTGTTCAACAAGGAACTTAGGGAGGCAGGGGGTGATCCTTCAAGGGAACTTCCTGCCGTCCTTGGCTTGATCCTTGGGCATCTGTCGATCTGACGCCCTTGGCTTTGGGTCTGGTAGCCTCGGCCCGGCCGAAAGGGATGATTTTCACCCAGTACCTCTTGAAGTGTTGGCTAGGGGACCTCTTAGTATTTCCTGGCTTGCCGGATACTTCGGTTCCTCGGGCTCCCTTGAGCTCAGAGCCCACTGGTCGGGTCCTGAGTTTCGGGACTGAGTTACTTGACCAATATGCGGTTTCCGGAGAGGGGAGCCTCTCAGAGTCCTGTTTTTCCCTGGCTACCACGGCATGGCATTCAGCCGGGTCTGTTGTCGGATCCTATGTATGGGAGGACGTCGACTTGGGGAGGTTGGGGATGTGGAGGGCTCTGAGGGTGCTTTCCGCTTTGCTTTGGCCTTGTGTGAGGTACGGCAGTGTATAGCTGTCGTCCTACCCCAGGCTGCAGTGCCATTAGAACGACAGGACTCGACAGTCATCTCCGTGTTCTCCCATTGCTGGTCCAGGCCGTTGTTGACCCTTGCTTTCTGGTAGCCGGTTGCGCTTCGATTTACCAGCTTGGGGACGATTCTCTGCTTCTGGTTCCGGTGGTGGATGAATGTGTGTTTACCGCGGTCACCCTGGGTGGGGGGCTTGGCCTCCTCATCGGCTTGCTCCGCCAGCAAAGGCAGGGTGGACTGATTCCACCTTTTTCCCTGGCAGGGGCCCCTCTACTTGCCGCGTATCTCTCCTTGCTTCAGAGATCCGTCCTGGAAATGGGGGGGAACCCCAGTGACGTTTCACCCAGTGTGGTTCTCCTCTGGCAGTTGACCGATGTACAGGCCCCCTGACGCGTGACTTCTTGAGGTGAGGTCAGGTGATGTGTGCAGTCATGGGCATGCACAAAGCTGTGGCTGTCGCCATCTAGGTACTTGGTGGCTACACAGCAAACCTTGCTGGCCCTTCCGTTTAGGGTGGGCGCGATGTTGTTTCTAGGGGCACAGCAAGTCATTCGGAAGGCAGCATAAGCAGCTACTTCATTCAAGGATTCAAAGGCATTGTTGGAGCGTTGGGCAAGAGCATGAAGAGGAGCCATCATTCCAACGGTAAAGGCAAAGGGCAGCATGGTGCTGGTTCCCAGCAGCCTTTTGCAGCAGCCTGGGGATCTGCCCTGATCCTCTGCTAGGGCTCCCGAGTGCCCCAGTGGGTTCGTCACTACCTCATGTGTGTCACGTCTCTCTCTGTTCCTTACAGAATGGGAGTGGGTGACGTCCAATCCTTGGATGCTTTCCACCATACAATTGACCTAAAGGATGCGTATCTTCATGTACCGATACACCCCTCGTTCAAGAGTTTCCTCTGGTTCTCTTATGACAGAGTTTGTTATCAGTTTCGGATGCTCCCCTTCCGCATATCCACTGCTCCATGGGTGTTCACCAAACTCATGTTGGTGCTGGCGCAAATAGCAAGGTCGCAAGGAAGGCATTGTCATCCTTACCTGGACGACTGGTTCCTACGAGCACTGACTCAACCAGCGAGTCTAGATTCTATGCACATGGTGCTAGATATTCTAGTATGGCTGGGGTGGATTGTGAATCTCAAGAAATCCGAACTGGTACTCTTCCAGGTTCTGGTTTTCTTAGGGGCGAGATTCACTACTCACGAGGGTATGGTATCCCTCTCGCCAGACTGTGTCACTATGTATCGGAGATAGTGTCTTCGTTCCTCTCACGTCCACAGGCCCCAGCATGGACATAGCTCGGTTTGCTGAGTCATATGGCGGTGACCGTCGCTGTGGAGTGGCAGGCGTGGTTGAGGATGAGCCCTATACAGCAAGCTTCGGTGAGTCTGTGGGCTTACTCAGAGGATCTCGAGAAGTCTCTCATATTTCCTGAGTGGTTGTCTCCTCACCTTCAGTGATGGACCGATGCCGGGAATCTCTCCAGGGGGATCCCCCTGGTACTCCCGGCACTGGCTCTCTCAGTTCAAACAGATGCATCCCTCACCGGGTGGGGGGGGGGTGATGTTCTGGGCAGTCTGTCGGCTTCCAGACGCTAGTCCGAGTCTGAAGCCTATTTCACATCAATGTGTTAGAACTGAGGGCAGTGAGGCTGGTATTCGAGAGCTTCAAAGAGCACGTTTAGGGCCTGGTGGCTTCTGACGCCTTCCTGCTGGATTGGACGGACAGGGTACTGTGAGCATTCCCTCCTCTTCCGCTGATTCCCAGGGTCCTCTCCCAGCTGTCCACCCAGCCAGTTCGTCTACTTGTACTACTGGCACCTCTTTGGCCATCGCAGAGTGGTGATTCTCAGGTTTCTGGCTCAGCCTCCTGTTCTATTGCCTTTACAGCCGGACCTTCTCACTCAGAACGGCGCACACCCGAATCCATGCAGATTTAATGTGTGGCTTGGGCTCTGTGAGGCCTAACCTCCAGGCACCTCCTGCAGGTGCAGACACAATTCTGGCTTCGAGGGGGATTCGACAAACATTCAATATGAGGATAGGCAGACACGATATGGGTGCTGGTGTGCAGATAGGGGGATTGCAGATCCCTTTTCTGCGGATTTAGTCCGGGTTTTGTAGTTCCTATCCCGTTTGGAAGAGGGTTTGGCAACCTCAACCATTTGTGGATACTCCACTGCTATTTCCACGTTTCACACCCCTGTCGATGGTGCTCTTCTTGGGCAGCACCCTCTCATTCAGCGCTTCTTAGCTGGTGTGGATCTGGTTCGACCTGCTCTCAAGCAAACCAGCCCACCTTGGTATTTGTCAAACATTCTCGATTGGCTGTCTGGTCCTGCTTTCTCATGTCTGTCGGCTATTTCCATTCAGTTGTTGACATGGAAAACAGCTTTTCTTGTGGCAGTGACCTCCAGTAGAAGGCTCGGGGATATTCATGCGATGTCCGCCAACCCGGCACTGATGGTTTTTCATGCTGATTGTGTCAGTATTCGCCTCCTGTATTGTTACCGCTCATGAGTGCTCACCCTTTGGATGTCCGCCGGACACGGTTTATATCAAACGAACACAGGATATCTATACAGGTACCTAGTTGTCTTGCTTCCATGATAGCGGGAAGGCTGAGATCTGTTCTGCCGATATTTGGAGCAGGCCGAGCACCTTCATTCGACAATGAATCTTGTCATTGGCGTTGGTTCTGTGGTCAATGGGTATTATTGACATTCCACTGAAGGCTGACATCACTACAATCTCATAACCTTACCAGTCGGATCTGACTGTATGTGCGACCCTTACGTTCTCTTTATTTACAAGAGGGAGGGTGGCGGGGCGATATATGAATGCCATTTTGCGCTCTCTGTGCTTAACACGATTGAGATCGGAAATGTGTCCGAAACCTCCTCCACGGGTCACCTCCTGGCATGCCTCCCTTCGAGCCGCACATCAAGTGACCAGGTAAGTGTCATGGTGATATAGTGTTTGTTCAGCTATGTTTGTTTTTCGCTATTATGGGTTTGTTGTACACTAACAGAATTTCCATCCTCCCAAGACTTGGTCTTAGGAAGTCTGTGTTTATGCATATGTGTACCCCAAGGAAGATGTCTTCTGAAAAGAATTAGCCAAACCTGTAGAGGTTTCAATTCTTTGAAGAGAATCTTCCTTGGGGTAGGACCTCCCACCTCCCCTCTATTCTGTTCACTGATGTATATCGTCAGCAGAAGGAAAGATGATTTGGGGATGGGGTTGTGCCTGGCTGGCCGGGCCTGCGTGGTAAGGGAGGTAATCCCACGTGGTGGGGGGCCATATAACTTTCATGCACTTTGTATGTGACCAAAAAAAATAGATATTCCATTCTTTAACGGCGGGGGATATTGACATATCAGTGGCAAACACTTGTTTTCATTTGTTTTTACCATGGTGACATTCATTATTTGTTTCAGCGTCTGGGAAAACTAAACTATCTGACAAACCAGAAGAACCCTCGTTGAATGATGGGTGTGAGATTGATGAAGTTGCCAACATCAACGATGTAGATGAATATCTGGAGCTACTCTATGAAGATGTCCCTGACAAGATTCGAGGGTCGGCACTCATACTGCAGCTGTCTCGAAACCCAGACAACTTGGAGGAACTTTTTAAAAATGGTGAGTTATGTTGAATGATGAATATGACTAGGTTTTACTCTGGTGTGCTCAAACTTCAGGAAAGGCGTGTATCACAGGAGTTTTATGTAGCTCATTAACCAGTACCCTGAAAGGAGGCTGCTTAGGGACCGTAAATAATTTATGGCTAGGGGGGCTGATGATGATTTTTATGGAGAAGCATGTAAAATTTATGTACCAAATAAGTGATCCCCCCTGCATCTCATGTACAAAATCAATAACCCCCCCTCCCCTTCCCATAATTTCTGAGGATGATTTTTAAACATATTTTTATGTACAAAATTGCTGAACCCCCGTCCCAGCTCCCCAGAACAAAATGGATGACACCCCCCACCCTGTCACTCACTTAAGACAGATGTTAGAGTGTGTGAGTGAGTGAGTATGGTTTTACACCACTTTTAGCAATATTCCAGCAATATCATGGCAGGGGACACCAGAAATGGGCTTCACACAATGTACCGATGAGGAGAATCAAACCCAGGTGTTCGTCATGACGATCAAACGCTTTATCCACTAGGCTACCCCACGCCCACAGATGTTAGAGACATAGCTAGGTGAAGTGCAGTGCCACGGCTCAGCTGTTGTCATTTGTCAGTATTTAATGTAAGGTGAAACTGTAGGAGTCCCTGTGATGGTGATATCAGCCTTATTGTCAAAGTCACTTACCGTCTGCATTAGACTGCTTTGGGTATAAAGGGTCAGGAAGTGTCATTGGTTAATTTCACTGGAAAATATTTAAGGTACTGATGTTATTGAAAAGTGTATTGTCGCTAAAAAAAACCTACATTACTGTGTTTAATAGAAACTGTTAGAAGAATAGAAGATGTTTTTCCAGTTGTTCATGTTGTCATCTTGTGTTTCCAGAGACTGTGATCGGTGCTCTGGCACGAGTCCTGCGAGAGGACTGGAAGAAGAGCACGGAGGTGGCCACCAACATCATCTATACATTCTTTTGCTTCTCAAGCTTCTCCCAGTTCCACGGCGTCATCCTCCACTTCAAGATCGGGGCCCTCTCCATGGCCATTGTGGAACATGAGCTCAAGAAGTATGGTATCTGGACTGAGGAACTTCAGAAGAAGAGGGCAGCTGATATCCTTTACAAACCAGACTTAAGAGAATGTTTCTGTGTAGGAAAATTAGGCTGGAAGTAGCATTCCAAATGTCACATTGATTGTAAATCTGTAATTTCTCTACCCCCCAATTCAGGTCTGTTTACAACCAGAACAGGTTGTATGTATTTCTTTTCAAGATACAGAAATCAATTAGTAGACACAACCATTGGTTGTCAGCCTTTCTACAGAGAGGTATTGTATAGAAGCACCGATCTGATTTTAACAAGGTTGCATTTTTGTATTATTTTGATGCTGCATTAAACAATAATCAATTACAGACTGACTTTGACTGCTATCAGTTGCACTGATCATTGACAAGGTAGTGATCACCAGTTTGTAAGGCAATGCACCTCTCCAGTTCAGCTGTCAACCTGAGAAATGGTTAAACATCCTTAGCTTCTTGTCAAAGTCTGTTCGATTTCAAGACATCCCTTTCTGACATAGCATAGGATAAGACAAAACATTTCAAACTGCCATTTATCATGTAGTGTAGCGAGGGATTAAAGTTCAAGACACATTCCTTGCGCCCCCAATTATCATGTAGTGTAGAGCTGACATGTCTCCATGGTGACCACTGACTTATATTATTCCTTGACTGTTTTACCTGACCCTAAATCCTACAAGCTGAAGGAAGACTATGAGAAGAGCTTCCGCAAGTTTGAAAGTCTGGTGAAGAGACAGGAGCAGCTACTGCGAGGTGAGAGGCGGATAAGCTCTCTATAATCAATCCCCTCTCTAATATGGCACCTTCCTTATCTGACACTTTCTTAACTGATCTGACACCCTCTAATATGTTCTTTCTCTAATCTGTTCTTTCTCTAAACCGTCCGTCTCTGATCTTGTCAGTCTCCCTTCATTTGTTTATTTACATTCGGAACTGGTTGTTCATACTTGTTTTCGAAATATAAGAACAGATTTGTTAATTAGAAAGTTCACTTGGCACAATCTGTACGGTTGACAGAATGTATAGATCAGTTGTAAAAAGTGTTGCTTTGGTATGATGAAGTGACGTTTGGTGTTTGATTGTGTAGTCGCGCATTTACCTGTTGTTGAACCTGGCGGAGGATCTGAAGGTGGAGTTTCAAGGTCACCATGACACTTTGACCACTTTTCAAGCTCTTGTTAACTTGATATCTCATGAACTGTTGTACCCAATGTCTTCACATTTGGTGACAGCCTACATTAGGGGATTACGCAGACACCAGTTGATTTGGGCGGCCTTGACCTTTTTTTCAAGGTCACCATGACACTTTGATCACTTTTGAAACTTATTTAAACGTGACATCTCATAAAACATTGCACCCAATGTCTTCAATTATGTCGACAGCCTACATTGGGTGAATATGCAGGCACCAGTCATTTCATGCATTTTGTATGTGACCAAAAAAAATAGATATTCCATTCTTTAGCGGCGGGGGATATTGACATATCAGTGGCAAACACTTGTTTTCATTTGTTTTTACCATGGTGACATTCATTATTTGTTTCAGCGTCTGGGAAAACTAAACTATCTGACAAACCAGAAGAACCCTCGTTGAATGATGGGTGTGAGATTGATGAAGTTGCCAACATCAACGATGTAGATGAATATCTGGAGCTACTCTATGAAGATGTCCCTGACAAGATTCGAGGGTCGGCACTCATACTGCAGCTGTCTCGAAACCCAGACAACTTGGAGGAACTTTTTCAAAATGGTGAGTTATGTTGAATGATGAGGTTTTACCCTGGTGTGCTCAAACTTCAGGAAAGGCGTGTATCACAGGAGTTTTATGTAGCTCATTAACCAGTACCCTGAAAGGAAGCTGCTTAGGGACCGTTCATAATTTATGGCTAGGGGGGGTGATGATGATTTTTATGGAGAAGCATGTAAAATTTATGTACCAAATAAGTGATCCCCCCTGCATGTCATGTACAAAATCAATAAACCCCCCTCCCCTTCACATAATTTCTGAGGATGATTTTTAAACATATTTTTATGTACAAAATTGCTGAACCCCCGTCCCAGCTCCCCAGAACAAAATGGGTGACACCCCTCACCCTGTCACTAACTTAAGACAGATGTTAGAGTGTGTGAGTGAGTGAGTATGGTTTAGCACCACTTTTAGCAATATTCCAGCAATATCATGGCAGGGGACACCAGAAATGGGCTTCACACAATGTACCGATGAGGAGAATTAAACCCAGGTGTTTGTCATGACAAGCAAACGCTTTATCCACTAGGCTACCCCACCGCCCACAGATGTTAGAGACATAGCTAGGTGAAGTGCAGTGCCACGGCTCAGCTGTTGTCATTTGTCAGTATTTAATGTAAGGTGAAACTGTAGGAGTCCCTGTGATGGTGGTATCAGCCTTATTGTCAAAGTCACTTACCGTCTGCATTAGACTGCTTTGGGTATAAAGGGTCAGGAAGTGTCATTGGTTAATTTCACTGGAAAATATTTAAGGTACTGATGTTATTGAAAAGTGTATTGTCGCTAAAAAAAACTACATTACTGTGTTTAATAGAAACTGTTAGAAGAATAGAAGATGTTTTTCCAGTTGTTCATGTTGTCATCTTGTGTTTCCAGAGACTGTGATCGGTGCTCTGGCACGAGTCCTGCGAGAGGACTGGAAGAAGAGCACGGAGGTGGCCACCAACATCATCTATACATTCTTTTGCTTCTCGAGCTTCTCCCAGTTCCACGGCGTCATACTCCACTTCAAGATCGGGGCCCTCTCCATGGCCATTGTGGAACATGAGCTCAAGAAGTATGGTATCTGGACTGAGGAACTTCAGAAGAAGAGGGCAGCTGATATCCTTTACAAACCAGACTTAAGAGAATGTTTATGTGTAGGAGAATTAGGCTGGAAGTAGCATTCTAAATGTCACATTGATTGTAAATCTGTAATTTCTCTACCCCCCAATTCAGCTCTGTTTACAACCAGAACAGGTTGTTTGTATTTCTTTTCAAGATACAGAAATCAATTAGCAGACACAACCATTGGTTGTCAGCCTTTCTACAGTGAGGTATTGTATAGAAGCACCGATCTGATTTTAACAAGGTTGCATTTTTCTATTATTCTGAAATGTTTTGATGCTGCATTAAACAATAGTCAATTACAGACTGACTTTGACTGCTATCAGTTGCACTGATCATTGACAAGGTGGTGATCACCAGTTTGTGGGGCAATACACCTCTCCAGTTCAACTGTCAACCTGAGAAATAGTTAAACATCCTTAGCTTCTTGTCAAGGTCTGTTCGATTTCAAGACATCACTTTCTGATATAGCATTTCAAACTGCCATTTATCATGTAGTGTAGCGAGGGATTATAGTTCAAGACACATTCCTTGCGCCCCCAATTATCATGTAGTGTAGAGCTGAAATGTCTCCATGGTGACCACTGACTTCAATTATTCCTTGACTGTTTTACCTGACCCTAAATCCTACAAGCTGAAGGAAGACTATGAGAAGAGCTTCCGCAAGTTTGAAAGTCTGGTGAAGAGACAGGAGCAGCTACTGCGAGGTGAGAGGCGGATAAGCTCTCTATAATCAATCCCCTCTCTAATATGGCACCTTCCTTATCTGACACTTTCTTAACTGATCTGACACCCTCTAATCTGTTCTTTCTCTAAACCAGCCCTTTCTCTAAACCTCGGATCCGTCTCTGATCTTGTCAGTCTCCTTCATTTGTTTATTTACATTTGGAACTGGTTGTTCATACTTGTTTTCGAAATATAGGAACAGATTGGTTAATTAGAAAGTTCACTTGGCACAATCTGTACGGTTGACAGAATGTATAGATCAGTTGTAAAAAGTGTTGCTTTGGTATGATGAAGTGACGTTTGGTGTTTGATTGTGTAGTTGCGTACTACCTGTTGTTGAACCTGGCGGAGGATCTGAAGGTGGAGATGAAGATGAAGAACAAGGGAATCGTCCGCATGCTGGTCAAGACTCTGGAGAGGTCCAACTTTGAACTCCTCATTCTCGTCGTCTCTTTCCTCAAGAAGATGAGCATCTTCATTGAGAACAAGAAGGAGATGGTAGGTTGTTCTTTGTCATCAATGAGAACATATTCTAAAGACATATTTAACTTAAACTTTGCACATGTGGCTAAAGTCATTGAATCCTGATCTCTAGCTGAATCCCTTGAAAACAAGAAGAGCATAGAAAACAGCTCAAGTTTAATCCTGAACCAAACCCTTGAAAATATTGATAGAATTTTGTAACCAACCCGGTGTTCAAAACTAAGCATGAAAGCTAAGGTGTTATTGTCCTACCTTTCATGTTAATTGTTGAAATATTTCTCATGGACCAAGGAACCTCATTTCTAGTGACCTTGAAAATGTGTAAAGCATTGACAGTACAAATTGTTAAATATTAACAATGTAGTTGTGAAGTATTGATACTGTAGTTGTGAAGTATTGACAATGTAGTTGTGAAGTATTGACACTAGTTGTGAAGTATTGACACTGATGTTGTGAAGTATTGACACTGTAGTTGTGAAGTATTGACACTGTAGTTGTGAAGTATTGACACTGTAGTTGTGAAGTATTGACACTGATGTGAAGTATTGACAATGTAGTTGTGAAGTATTGACACTGTAGTTGTGAAGTATTGACACTAGTTGTGAAGTATTGACACTGTAGTTGTGAAGTATTGACACTGTAGTGAAGTATTGACACTGTAGTTGTGAAGTATTGACACTGTAGTTGTGAAGTATTGACACTGTAGTTGTGAAGTATTGACACTGTAGTTGTGAAGTATTGACACTGTAGTTGTGAAGTATTGACACTGTCGTGAAGTATTGACACTGTAGTTGTGAAGTATTGACAATGTAGTTGTGAAGTATTGACACTGATATTGTGAAGTACCGACACTGACACTGTGAAGTATTGACACTGTAGTTGTGAAGTATTGACACTGTAGTTGTGAAGTATTGACACTGTAGTTGTGAAGTATTGACAATGTAGTTGTGAAGTATACTGACACTGTAGTTGTGAAGTATTGACACTGTAGTTGTACAGTTTTGACACTGTAGTTGTGAAGTATTGACACTGTAGTTGTGAAGTATTGACACTAGTTGTGAAGTATTGACACTGTAGTATTGACAATATAAACTGTGTAAGCATTGACAAGTTGTGAAGTAGGACAATGTTTGTGAAGTATTGTGACACTGTAGTATTGACAATATAAACTGTGTAGCATTGACAATGAAAGGTTTTTGAAATGTTCAGTGTAAAATGTCTAAGTATGGACCGTGTCAGCTGTGAGGTATTGATGGTTGTTCCTGTAGAGATATTCCCACTACCCACCACGTGATGTGTCCATGCATGCAACCCTCTGAGTTGTGCTTGTGTTTTTCCAGGCGGAGCAAAACATCATCGAGAAGCTGACGAAGCTGGTGCCATGTGACCACGAGGACCTGCTCAACATCACCCTCCGTCTCCTCCTAAACCTCTCATTCGACACCGACTGTCGTAGCAAGATGATCAAGTTCGGTCTGCTCCCCAAACTTGTGGGTCTGCTCAGTGAGTGCAATAAACTGTTGTGCAACTTTACATGCGGAACCTGAGGGAATGCACAACAGAATATAACCCATGATTGTCATGAGAGAAAATTAATAATGATAAGGGACCATTCATAATTTGTGGCTTGGGGGTGTGATGATGATTTTTATGGAGAAGCATGTACAATGTGAATGACCCCCAGCTTAAATTTATGTACAAAGTAAGTGACCCACCCTGCATGTAATGTACAAATCCAATGACACCCCCCTAGTTCATGTGTACTATATTGATGCCCCGCACACTACCTCCTCAAAACAAAATGGGTGGGACCCCCCTGCCCCACCAAAGATTTTTTTTCCTTATCCTGACTCATGCTATATGCTTATCTCACTTTTTCCTCCGAACAGCAGTGGAAACATTGATCCCTATTACTCCCTGAAGCAAACGTAAAATCACTCACCCACTCAGGTTACCTCCCTTATACTTTCCCGCCACTGTGTCCCACATGACCGGCCATAGATGAGTCAGGAAAAGTATTAAATATCAATCTTATCATAAAAAATACATAATGAAAAAGGGGCGGTGGGGTAGCCTAGTGGTCACGCCGATGACCTGGGTTCGATTCCCCACATAGGTACACTGTGTGTAGCCCATTTCTGGTGTCCCCCGCCGTGATATTGCTGGAATATTACTAAAAGCGGCGTAAAACTAAACTCACTCACTCACATAATGAAAACATAAAAATTAAAAAGAATCATCATCATCCCCCTAAGGTCCCTAAATTGCAAGGCCAGGTGTTATTGGTGACAATCACATTCTATAGTTTCTCAGTTTTTCAGTCTTGCTCTCCCTTTTCAGACAATGAAAACCACAAGATGATTGTGCTCTGCATACTCTACCACATCAGTATGGAAGAGAAAGCCAAGTCCATGTTCACCTACACTGACTGTATTCCAATGGTATGTACATCTGTTATTCTTGTCTTGAAGAGGCAACTAACGGGATCGGGTGGTCAGACTCACTCATGTCATCATATCCCTGACCTGGATCTCATTGCCCTCTATTTGTGTGCAGGTGATGAAGCTGCTGTTGGAGAGCCCCGAGAACCCCGACCCAGAACTCATTGCCCTCTGTTTGTGTGCAGGTGATGAAACTACTCCATGATATACCCACCAAGAACTCATTGCCCTCTGTTTGTGTGCAGGTGATGAAGCTGCTGTTGGAGAGCCCCGAGAACCCCGACCCAGAACTCATTGCTCTGTGTGTAAACCTGGCAGCTAATAAGAGGACAGCCGCACTCATCTGTGAAGGTAACGGGCTGCGGATGTTGATGAAACGAGCGGCCAAGTTTAAGGATCCACTTGTGATGAAGATGATCAGAAACATATCTCAGCATGATGGGGCAACAAAGAACCTATTTGTGGTGAGGAGGAAAGAAAGCAATCATTAGCTATAGTCTGTTTGCAGTGAAAACGTACCGATGAATTTCACTTTAAACAAAAAAGTAAATCAAATTAAGTGAAATAAAGATTGCGAATCCTCATAATTTTACCTTGCCAAATGAACTTTTAAATCTCAGAATTTTATTCAACTTAGGATAAAAGTTGTTTAACAAACAATCATAGATTCAAATCGCTATTACTGGTTTGTATTACAAGGGGGTAAGCGCAGTAGATGGAACAGTGAAACAAATGCACGTGCTGTACCTGAAGAGCGTTAACTTAGACCAGCCCTACTGGTTCTCGGCATTCCCCCTTGTAATATAAACCAATAATAGCGATTTGAAACTATGCTAAAAGCGACATAAAACTAAACTCACTCACCCTTGCTACAGGTATTTAGAATGTTTCTGTTTGCACTGACAAAGTTTAACGCTTGTATTTTCAGGAATACATCGGAGACTTGTGCGAGGCTGTTTTAGCACATGGTGGTGATGACGACTATCAGTTAGAATGTCTGGGAATTCTGGGTAATCTGACAATCATCGACCTGGACTATGAGTTGATACTGAAGGAGTACCAGCTGGTGCCGTGGATCAAGACTAAACTGCAGCCAGGTACAGAAGGCAGTTTGGTGTAAAGGCAGTTTGGTGTACAGTGTTGCTGGGGACACCTAGGATTGGGTTGCTGTGCTTGGGGTACTGGCAAATGACTAGAGACTCTGTAATCCTCACCGCCTCAATCATAACACCCATATTTGTGAACACGATTCCCAGGCCCTGAGGCCCTGCACACACAAACACACAGAGACAAACACTCGGCTTTGGATATCTAAACATTGGGGGTAAAACATTAAAATGTGTGATATTTGTTTGTGAAGTATCATTAGTGTAGAAAGAACAGGAACGTAACCTGACATTTCTTGTGTTACTAGGCGCTGCAGAGGATGACGTTGTCCTGGAGGTGATCATTCTAGTGGGGACGGTGTGTCAGGATGACGCATGTGCCCGTATGCTGGCCCAGGCCAATATCATACAGCTGTTGATCGAACTACTGAATGGTGAGTTGACAAATACAGAATATAATACAGCTTCTTAATGCTAAGACCCGTGAAGATCCGGGGTAGAATAGGTCTTCAGCAACCCATGCTTGCCACAAAAGGCGACTATGTCATAAGAGGCGACTAACGAGATCGGGTGGTAAGGCTCGCTGACTTGATTGACACGTCATCAGTTCCCAATTGCACAGATTGATGCTCATGCTGTTGATCACTGGATTGTCTGGTCCAGACTCGATTATTTACAGACCGCTGCCATATAGCTGGAATATTGCTGAGTGTGGCGTAAAACTAGATTCACTCACTCACTCTTAATGCTGAGTTGACAAATACAGAATATAATACAGCTTCTTAATGCTGAGTTGACAAATACAGGACATTTACCTTTGTATTTCAGCCAAGCAGGAGGATGATGAAGTGGTGTGTCAGATTGTGTACGTCTTCTACCAGATGATCTTCCATGCAATCACGCGAGAGATCATCATCCGAGACACACGTATCCTTTCTTGCCCACAGATGCACAGGACATAACTCCACTCCCTTATTTATTGTTAATTAATTATTTGATATTTTACAAGAGATTTGGTAATTTAGTAACTAAAACAGTCTCTAATGGCACATAAACCAGTCATCACAGTAAATTGTGGTATAGAGTCTTAGGGATGGCCAACTGAGCTTTATGAATTATGTAACAAGGTCCGTGGAGTAGATAGGAGATGAGGTGAAATTGAGTTTTACGTCATGCTTGAGAATATTTCGCTCATATGACGACGTGCATGCGTGTGTATGTGTATGTGCGGCTGCTTGTACTAGCCCAGACTTAAGCTGGTTTTATAGTGCTAGCCCATTGTGATACCATGCCGCAGTGAAGCATGAATACCCCACTCAGACACAGTATTCTGACTCCGAGCCAACCAGTCCTTGCTGTACCCATTAATGCCGAGCGCCAGACAGGGACCAACAAGTACCATATTTTAACGTCTTTTGGTTTGACGTAGTCGGGGGATCGAACCCGCGACCTTCCGCTCTCCGAGCGGACAGCTCTAACCACTACACCACGGAGGCGGTGGAATAGATAGGATATACACATTATAAGGATTATATGTCTTTGGTAGCTTCTATTTTGAAACTGTTGCCCTGAAAGCAACAGTGTCAACATGACATCAACAATAACACACTTCTACACCATTACTATTTATGCTGTCTGAAATGTGTCAATTTCCTTGTAACACATCTAAAATGCTGTAGACTTTGTGAGGTAATTATTACAAATGTTCTTTATACAAAGTTTTGACACCTCTAACAAGTAGGTCGGGTACAGGTGTGAGAGATACAGGGGTGGATGTTTGCCTTAACACACAACAGAAGCCCCAGCCTATCTAATTGACCTGATGCATGACAAGAACTCTGAAATCCGCAAAGTGTGTGATAACACCCTCGACATGATCTCAGTAAGTCGGAGTCTCCATAGTTATTATGTTATAAGGGATATGTGATAATTTAGCAGTGTGCTTTCGATTTAACATAGAGTAATGGATTTGTGATGATCTTGTCATTTGGATTTGTGGGAGAGCGAGTGATTCAAGTGATACTGGCTCAGGAGGACTTCACTGTTTCAGTTTTGTGGAGGAAGACGTGGGAAGGAGGTATTGCCTTCAGAGTGAGTGAGTGAGTTTAGTTTTACGTCGCACTCAGCAATATTCCAGCTATATGGCGGCGGTCTGTAAATAATCGAGTCTGTACCAGACAATCCAGTAATCAACAGCATGAGCATCGATCTGCACAGTGGGGAACTGATGACATGTGTCAACCAAATCACCGCGCCTGACCACCCAATCCCGTTAGTCGCCTCTTACGACAAGCATGGGTTACTGAAGATCAATATTCTAACCCGGATTTTCATGGGTATATTGCCTTTAGAAGGTTTGTTTATAGGAGGGTTAAAGTGGAGCTGATGGGTTGTGAAATGGCGGTGGGATTTTAGGAGGGTTTGGTGGATATGTTAAATGTTGTTGAATGGATATATGATTTATATACTGAGAACTCTTAAGGCAGGAACCCCACTCAAGAACTGTGGTCATTCATACAGCTTCTGATTTTTTTTTTCAGGAGTACGATGAGGAATGGGCCAAAAATTCAGATGGAGAAGTTCGATGGCACAACTCACAGTGGCTGGAGATGGTGGAGACTCGGCAGCTTGAAGACTTCAATGAGCAGTATCTGTACCAGGAGGATGGCTACGATCCGTATATACAGGACACCGACATCCTAGACAGACCAGAGCTGTTCTACGGTAATGGAGGTGAGTTACGACTAGCCTAGAATGGCAGCGATCCGTATATACAGGACACGAGATCCTGGACAGACCAGAGCTGTTCTACCGTAATGGAGGTGATTTACCATTGGCCTAGAATGGCTACGATCCGTATATACAGGACACCCGATATCCTGGGCAAACCAGAGCTGTTCTCACGGTAATGGAGGTGAGTTACGACTGGCCTAGAATGGCTACGATCCGTATATACAGGACACCGGCATCCTGGACAGACCAGAGCTGTTCTACGGTAATGGAGGTGAGTTAAGACTGGCCTAGAATGGCTACGATCCGTATATACAGGACACCGACATCCTGGACAGACCAGAGCTGTTCTCTGGTAATGGAGATGAGTTTTACAGGAAACTCCTAAAAGCCAAACAATGTTGATGCTGGTATATATGTATTTGACAAGCTAATGCCCAAATAAATTAATCATGTTTCAGCTTCCTGTAGTAAAGTCATTGTTGCTTCTTTAAAATTGCTGAAACAGTCATAGTACTCAAGTAATGGGAATTGAATTGCTGACCTTCCATAAACCTGTGGATACCATGCACGACATGGCTGTTGCAACAATACAATTACAGTTCTATCCACTTATCTGTGATAGATGGTATATGAATAGCTAAATGTGTTCCCACATGTATGTTGAGCTTACGTATAATATTGCTTTCTCCAACCAAAATCATAACTATTACTGTTAAGCCTTGTGGGCTAAATGGTTTGCAGTTTCAGAATCTCACTGTAATACACCTAAACTGTCCCTATAAAAATGGTATATATTAATTTCCAGCCCAACCATCAAGTGCGGAGTCCCTTCACCTTCATCCAGTATGAATTCATCCATGTCATTTCACACGGAATCCGAGTCCTATATTGATCAATAAAATATAAGCACTGATCCAAACTGGCCTGTCAAAATATACCTCCCATGGAAAAATGTGAGTGATGCTGTAGTAAATGATTTGGAGGGGGGAAAAGACTTAATCCAAGTGCGAAACAGGATCTTGTCAGGTTGTTTGTTGATGCAGTCAGAAAAAGAAAACCCATCATGCAACTAGACCCCCAAATGTCCATCATTGCCCAAAGGATGAGTGCGAAGAGATATCCTGATAGTCTAATGGATAACCTGGATGGTTCCATTATTGGTTCTGGATATGACAGCATTCTCAACAAGCTTGTATCCAGAAATGAAAATCTTAACAGATCGGTTAATGCAAGTAGCATGTGTCTTTCTCGCAAGAAGAGACCACTTGCTTGTGATTCAGGCTCTAGTGACAGTTCAGATAATCAAGATATTGGTGGCACTCCTGCAGCAGCAACAGCTGAACGAAGAGACTCATATGGCTGCATCAACTGGATGCCACTGTTCACAGGGGATGCAGAATCTATGGAAACTCAAAAACAGAGTTTGAAAGCCATGTTTGACGCCTCTGAAACTGATAATGAAAAGGTAATGCATCTAATGAAAGCTAGCTATGCCCTGCAGCGCAAGGAGATTAACAGTGGGACCTCCATGGAGGAACTGAAGAGAGACTGGCCATATCTTTTTTTTTGACGTCAAGGGCATTTTAGATCATGCTCAGGAACTTTTTGGAAATCGACATAAGGGAATGCCTTGGGAACCGCCTACAAGGACAAAGCAGTAAGAATCAATCGATTCTTTAAAAACAAATCAAGTTCCAAGTATCAGATGATCTATGATGAAGCCAGAAGGCAGAGTGAGAAGGATAACATCAAGGCTTGGTTGGCCGCAGTGATTCTCTGTGTTCTGAACCATTTTGGGGAAAATGAGAAAGATGTCTTCTTTGTCGTTGATGTAAGATATATTTTAATAGTAAAATGCAGGTGGTGAATTATTATCATTGCTCTTAAGACCAATTTTAAACTTAGATGGACCTCTATTCAATTCTATTGTTTTTCTACAGTTTTCAGTATCAGTATGAAATCAAAAAACGTCTCCTCAAGACATTATGCTCATGGAGTGTTTTCCTGTTTATTCATTTTATTTTTTACAAACTGTTGGAACAGGAAACAACAAGTGTTGGAGAAGTAGAGGCGACCACAGGAATGGAATCACTACTGCTGCTAGTTTTGGTAAATATTTTATTCAGTTATTTCAAAATGTAATATTGAGCTTTGTTGGTGGCAGTATTTCTAGATGTACCCACAAGGACAGTTTCCTATGCATACTTTCGTAGTCTGTTAAAATACTAACATTAAAAGTTGCACTGTGGATAATTTAAAAGGATACTATCCATGCCCCGGATGCATTTAATTTAGATCCACAGAGAAAAATTTCAGAACGATGTCTAAGTAGCCAGTCAGATAATGCTCTTATAAAGTGATCTCTTATACTTTTTGTTCCAGGTGATTCAGTCCTTGCTGGCAAGTCGTACATGTTAATGTGTGACAGAATGGTCATTTCATCCATGGGAAGAATCCCAAGCTTTCATGGATGCCTTCTCTGCATTCTTTGCATCATTCTACGTGTTCAATCTGGAGTATCCCCCGGCGGTTTCAGCAACCATGGAGTTTATTCAGAGGTATTTACATTCAGTAGAATAGTCAGAGGTGGGATGACAAAATACAAGCAGATTGCTTGTTTTGCTTCTTATGACAGAATTGAAAGATACATCTTTTCTTCTTTAAAATCCATGAAATTATATGAATTAGAGCCCAGTAAAGGGAATAATCGTGTGCCATTTTAGTCATATGTGGTACATTTTAAAGCATATAAAGCAGTCCGTGAAGAATGAGTATACAATGCACTCAACACAGGCACGGTGTGTTTAACATAAATAAATACCTTTACTTGAATCACATCCTCAAGTGATTGTTTAATTATGTTTTTAATATGATTCAGATGTTTCATTGGCATCAACCCTGATAGAGGATCTAAAGGGAACAAAGGAAAAAAGAAGAAGGTTAAGATTAACCCCAAGGTACTCAGATTAATCAACGCTCTTGCGGATTTTGAGTGGCTGGAATCAGACTCATAGTGTGATAGCATGGTGGACTGGAGTCTATAACAGGACAATGAACACTTCTGTGTCATGTTTGCACTTGGTGCTCTTCCATTTAGTTTATATGATGATTGTAAGCTGTCCCTGGCATTCGGTTGTCTGTTGACGGTAAGATGTATTTACTTTAGAAGTGGTTCATATGATGTCAGTGTACATCAAAGATATGAGCGGTCTTGCAATGTTGGATATGTTTAAACACAATACTTAGGCTTATTTCATGACATAGCATTTATATAACATATCACCTTGAATAGATTCAGTTTTTCTTGACACTTAGCTGTCCTCTTTGTCGATGTTAAGAAGATGATTGTAAGCTGTCCCTGGCATTCTGTTGTCTGTTGACGGTAAGACAGATAATTGATATATTTTCTTTAGAAGTGGTTCATATGATGTCAGTGTACATCAAGGATATGAGCGGTCTTGCAATGTTGGATATGTATAAACACAATCCTTATTTCATGACGTAGCATTTATGAAACAGATCAAATTGAATAGATTCAGTTTTAGTTGACATTTAGCTTTTAGAAATGCTTAAATGTTCAAAATTAATTGCATTAAACGGGAGGACTAACAGTGAGTACGGTACGATTATTTATATTTTCACGGAAGAATTTCACTTCTGAATGTTGTGATTTTATTGTTTTAAAGTTCATCTATTCTGTTAAAATTCACTGTGAATTGGTATCTTTTTGAGATTAGAAATATCTGAGCAGTTTGAAGGATCGTTTAATGAAAGGAACAATTTGAAGAAAGATGGCCGTCTTTTATTACACCATTAAAGTAATGCTAGAGTCTGGGCCGTGTGATTTTGTGTAATTTTGTAAAATGTTTCAGAAGATTAATTGGCATATATATTTCAAGTTTTCTCCTTCACGGAATATGTTCGTGTTATTGAGTTCTTTTATGTTGGACATTTTCAAACCTTAAGGTTTTCTAATACTCCTTTGACGAATACCCTCCATTAGAGGGAAATTGTATTACCGTAATTTGAGCACAGGACATTGACCTGTTTCTCATTTTGCTTTGTGTTCAGGGTGAGTCTAGCATATGGAAATGGTAGTCTGTTTGCGTTTAGTGTTTTCTGTTTCATGTAATGTTTTCAGACAGATCACTGTTTATATCAGTCCACGTGGATTAGTTATATTGTTAGAGACCTATATTGTCATCAGGACATAGAGAAATGTTTCTTTTTTTGTTTGCTGTTAATGCACATCATTTTGTCGCCTCTTTCCCCCAGCTTAAACAAAGTACGAGGGGGTATAGCTGTATACAGCATATACTATGCCAACTTAGGTTAACATCGTTATACTAACTCTGATGATGTAAGAAAAGACCAGCTTCACACTGAAAACAATAAAATCTGAATCATCTGGTTCAAAGATTCATCTAACACAGTTGTATTCTTTTTATTTGAATAGCATATGTTCGCAGCATTAAAAGCAAGACAATTATAGATATAGTTCCCATGTTGTAGCTAACATTCCAATGCTGTTGCCTTTCAGCTGTTATGTGCAGGTAACCTCAGTAAATGGTTATTACTTTATTTGGCTATACATGCACAGGAATTCTACCGGCTGCCACAATTTCACCGTATATTTTACGGTATGAATACATTCGGTACACCGTAAAGCTACTGGTTTTGTACCGGCAGCACGGCTGCCAAACTATTACCGTATATTTTACGGTATGAATTATTACGGTATCCCGTAAAGCTACTGGTTTTGTACCGGCAGCATGGCTGCCAGAGTTTTACCGTATAGACTGGCCTAGAATGGCTACGATCCGTATATACAGGACACCGACATCCTGGACAGACCAGAGCTGTTCTACGGTAATGGAGATGAGTTATGTCTACAAACAGTGTGTATTCTGTGTGTGATCAGTTGTATGAGTGCTGTATCAGTGAAATGATATGTTTCAAGTTATCAACATATTGATTTCAGATGGTTATGATCATGCCATGATGATGGAAGGGCACCTGACACCAGAATACATCGATGATGGCGGCATGTACAACGGCAAAGTCGACTACTACAGGGGATACGGGTAGGTTATTGTCCAGGGATACTGTGTTACAGGGATACGGGTAGGTTATTGTCCAGGGATACTGTGTTACAGGGATACGGGTAGGTTATTGTCCAGGGATACTGTGTTACAGGGATAGTGTATTACAGAGATACAGGAAGGGTATTGTCCAGGGATACTGTGTTACAGGGATACAGGTAGGTTATTGTCCAGGGATACTGTGTTACAGGGATACTGTATTACAGAGATACAGGAAGGGTATTGTCCAGGGATACTGTGTTACAGGGATACTGTATTACAGAGATACAGGAAGGGTATTGTCCAGGGATACTGTGTTGAGGGGAAACAGGTAGGTTATTGTCCAGGGATACTGTGTCACAGAGGATACATGGGGGTATTGTCCAGGAAAACTGTGTTACAGAGATACAGGTAGGGTATTGTCCAGGGATACTGTGTTACAGAGATACAGGTAGTGTATTGTCCAGGGAGACTGTTACAGAGATACAGGTAGGGTATTGTCCAGGGATACAGGTAGGGTATTGTCCAGGGATACTGTGTTACAGGGATACAGGTAGGGTATTGTCCAGGCATACTGTTACAGAGATACAGGTAGGGTATTGTCCAGGGATATTGTGTTACAGGGATACAGGTAGGTTATTGTCCAGGGATACTGTGTTACAGAGATACAGGTAGGTTATTGTCCAGGGATACTGTGTTATGGGGATACAGGTAGGGTATTGTCCAGGGATACTGTGTCACAGAGGATACATGGGGGTATTGTCCAGGGATACTGTGTCACAGAGATACAGGTAGGGTATTGTCCAGGGATACTGTGTCACAGAGGATACATGGGGGTGACAGTGAACACAGTTAACTGTTAGTGTGGTACATTATGTTATTTCTCCTTCCAGGGCTGATGGAGAGTATGAACCATATGCACGTCCGGAGTCAAACATTGGGTTTGTGGATGATGGTCAAAATGGGGATGAGTACGGCCGTGGAATTGAGACCTACGGGGGCTGCATGGTGGACCAATATGGCAACTACATCAACGGCGACATGGACCAGTACGGCTACACGAATGGAATGAGATAACCACATTGAAATCTACATTGTACACTGATGTAAATAGGGTATTTTTGTTCTTGATTTCTATGAGGGAAGAGTAATGATGCTTATGCAAATGTCAAGATAGAATTATTACTTACAACGTTTAAACAATATTTGTTCAAAATACTTAAGGTTATCTAAAAGACTGTGTGATCTAAGCTGTTGTAGTCTCATGGCACACTGAAAATTGATTTGATCTCAAAGTTACATTGGTTCTCAATTTAACACCTGGCCTTAATTTATCACTGTGTAGATTTTATGCACTGAAATTAAATTTGCCAAAAGTTCGTGTGAAAGAGTGTCTGAAAGAAATATACCCCTTAGTATTTATTAAGGGGCTGTGGTATGTACATTGGTATGGCCTTATGGTATAAAGCAGAAAGCCCCAGTTTGTGATTTCATCTATCAGTGTTACAAGCCAGTGTGGAGTAAAATATATTTTGGTCTTATTATATCCACAAGTTCAGGCTTTTGAACTATTACTCTGATGAACCAATGAGTATACCATCATTTTTCATTGTCAGCTCCCTAAGGAGTAAGTTACTCAATCTTCCCTCATAGTGATCTACTGTTATCTTGTTTCTGTGGCGAAGATTTCAGTCAGCATGTACAGTATGTAAATATTCCATGTGGCAGAGCTCCAGTGTGTACTGGAGTTACTGCCTGTCGTATACCGTATTCAACCCAATGTTCACCCCAGTGTCGAACAACTTGATCTGATCTGTCAATATCTCTCTCATGGTTGGTCTCTCCAAGGTTGCAAACATCTGAGACATGCATCACTTTGGGCTTTGCCCTTTTCAAATCATCTTCAACTCACTCACTCATACACCCGAAATAGCTGAACTACTGCTGGCTGTTAAAACAATCCACCCCGTCCTAGGTGGAGTGCTCAGTTCGATAGGTCTCATTCATGATTTTGGATGAATATGGTATATGTTTTCTAAAACCTCTCTGTCTGTACTCCGTCAGTTTATGGGTGAACATCGAGGCATCACTGCTTTGTGTGATTGAACCTATGCGAGACAAGTTTGTAATGATGTCCTTCTACCACGACATTGGGTGCATGTTCTGTGATATCTCATTTTCTCCTCAGTTACAGTCACTCTGTTCTAGGGTTGTCATGGTTACAGTCTACTGTCACTGTGTTCTAGGGTTGTCATGGTTAAAGTCTACTGTAACTGTGTTCTAGGGTTGTCATGGTTACAGTCTCCTGTAACTGTGTTCTAGGGTTGTCATGGTTAAAGTCTACTGTAGCTGTGTTCTAGGGTTGTCATGGTTACAGTCTACTGTTACTGCAAAAATCTTTGGTTGTCATGGTTACAGTCTATTGTAACTGTTTATCATAGTTGTCTCGGTTACAGTAAAGTGTGATTGTCTGCTCGGGTTGTGAAGGTTGTGGATTAGTGTCTCTGTCTCCAAGAGTTGTCATGGTTACCAGTTAGTGTTACTGTCTCTACTGGAATTGTTATGGTTACAGACAAATGTCACTGTCAAGTTGTAATGTTTGTCAGGCACTAACAGTCTCCTTTTGGAGGGGGACACATCTATAACAGTTAATGCATATTGAAGAATTAATGTCACATATTTGTTGTTAAAGACATTGGAGACATGATTGTGAAAGTGGTGAGAAGGTACCTGACATCCCTAGACAAACAGTGGAGTATTATTGAACTGGGGGAGAATCTTTATGGTCATTGATATATCCGTCCAGTTATTTACATGTCTCTAGTTTATACTTTTTGCTTCAGCAGTTTAGCTGATAGAGTTTATTTATTCTGTGTTTATTGTGAAGCCTGAAGCTGTGCATGTGCGACTTGTTGTTTGCTTGACTTGAACGCATGCTTGATTCCAAAGCGGGTAAACAGTTTTTTAAAAGGGGGGATGGGGTGCGCTTAGAATGAGTGGAAATTGTTCATTGAAAGAAAATGTGTTTGTTACCTTCAAAATTGTCAATTAATTGTTATATTTATTGAAATGTCACTTGCTGATTTCATATTCATGTGTTATATGTCAGCCACATTATTGAACATTATACAGGGTTTGTGTGCTCCCCTGATCTGACTCTGCATGATACTGTACGTGCTTTGAAGGAAACACTTTGTGTGCATGTAACTGTTCGTGCTTTGAAGGAAACACTTTGTGTGCATGTAACTGTTCGTGCTTTGAAGGAAACACTTTGTGTGCATGTAACTGTTCGTGCTTTGAAGGAAACACTTTGTATGCATGATACTGTACGTGCTTTGAAGGAAACACTTCGTGTGCATGTTACTGTTCGTGCTTTGAAGGAAACACTTTGTATGCATGATACTGTACGTGCTTTGAAGGAAACACTTTGTGTGCATGTTACTATATGTGCTTTGAAGGAAACACTTTGTGTGCATGTAACTGTTCGTGCTTTGAAGGAAACACTTTGTATGCATGATACTGTACATGCTTTGAAGGAAACACTTCGTGTGCATGTTACTGTTCGTGCTTTGAAGGAAACACTTTGTATGCATGATACTGTACGTGCTTTGACGGAAACACTTTGTGTGCATGTTACTGTATGTGCTTTGAAGGAAACACTTCGTGTGCATGATACTGTACATGCTTTGAAGGAAACACTTCGTGTGCATGTTACTGTACATGCTTTGAAGGAAACACTTTGTGTGCATGATACTGTACGTGCTTTGAAGGAAACACTTTGTGTGCATGTTACTGTATGTGCTTTGACGGAAACACTTTGTGTGCATGTTACTGTACGTGCTATGAAGGAAACACTTTGTGTGCATGTTACTGTACATGCTTTGAAGGAAACACTTCGTGTGCATGTTACTGTACGTGCTTTGAAGGAAACACTTCGTGTGCATGTTAGTGTACATGCCTTGAAGGAAACTTTTTGTGTGCATGTTACTGTATGTGTTTTGAAGGATACGCTACATGTGCATAGAAGGAAATGCTTCATGTGCATGTTACTGTACATGCTTTGAAGGAAACGCTTCCTGTGTGTTTACAAATATGTTGTAGATTGAGTGATGAGGGCTTGTCCTGTTTGTGACACATGAAACAACATGCAATGGTTTACAAATTGTGTGTACACATAATCTGTCATTGTATAGTCTTGTTTATGTCAATGTAATTGACAATTTGTAAATTAATGTTTGGATATTTATGAAATGGCTGGACAGTGTAAAACCGAGATGTGTATGAATGTCACGGTGTGTATTGGCGAGTGTTTGTGTTGGTGTGTGAGAAGTGAATCTGTGTGTGCATGATGGGGCAGATATTTGCAAACATCATTATTGATGTCACTCATCCCATTATAATAAATCAAAACATAATTCTGCCATTGTTTTCTTTTTATTTGGTTCAGCAATATACCCTGGACCTCTTTCTGCAAAGTTAATGTAATACTTACAAGGCGAAATGAAGAGGTTTGTGTCCTCGTGTACATTGCGTAACTAAAAGTGCTACTGGATAAGATCTGTGGGAAGCAAACAGTCAACTATAAGCATGCCAAAATTGGTTGTTGTGACATGTTCAGTTACAATGATACTTACTTGAATGTAACATGGGCGTCAACAAATGACGTGATGTCATAAGCATTGTGACGTCATGGGCACAGTTAACAGTGACTGTTCATTAGTTTTACCTGATGATGGGGCCGGAATAGGCGCTAAAACGTTGAATCAAAGAATAAAAGAAGATGAAATCCAGAAAATTCTTTATGTTTATGTTCATTAAAAGCATCTTCTAAAATGCCAATCAAGCAACATCAGGGTCGTCAACTTCACAAAAATGGAGCCATCAGAGAAACAGACTGTCATGAAGGAAATTGTAAGAAAAGGAAAGACTCCAAAAGAAATAGAATAGAATACAATAATACTTTAATGCCTTTTCTGGAATTTGTGTTACATCAGCAGAGCTACTGACACATCAGAGAGATACAAAACATATTTACATAAATTCATTGATTTAGGTATCTTCACATTTGTTTAAGAGAGATATGGTACTTGGAATAAAGGATGTACGGGCCCTCTTAGTTTTCACAATTGGAACTTTGTCACGGCGGCCTGAAGGGAGGAGGTTGTATTCCCGAATTTAAGTAGTGAGTAGGGTCAGTAGTAGTACGATGATGGTACTGCCACAGTTGCGGCTTAGAGGCTTATTTGTGGGAACTAAGTCCCTCAGCCCCCATTAAAAAATAACAAGAGGCATCCTCCGAAGAAGAAAAGTTCTGTCTGGGATTCGAACGCTAAAACTCTAAGTCTGAAGTCCGGCACATTCCCTTCAGACCAGCAGTTTCACTCTGTCAGTGGCAGTGCATTCAAGCTATATATAGCTCATACGCTTTGCGAGCTTATGTAATCCGATTCTAAATTAGCCGATTGTGGCTTTTAAACATGTTTTCAGCGTCCATCGACGCATGCATCGTATTCAGCGTGGTCTAGACTACCTAAGAGCATCGTGATTGTATTTTCTTAGACCTTGATTTGTGGTGAAAAGCCACCAAACGTGCACGAGGCGAGCGATCTCATAGTAAGACTGGTTCTAGACATTTTCTGTGCTACTGTAGCTAGTATAGACGGAGCCCAGCTCAAGAGGATGATGTAATAAATAATGTAGCCTTTACTAAAATTTTCAGAGTTCATCGACCAATGTATCGTAATCAGCGTTGTTCAAACTACCTACGGGCATCGTGTTGGTATTTTATGAGACCTTGATTCGAGGTGAAAAAGCCACCAAATGCGTTCGAAGTGACCGATCTCACTGAAGGGGAAGTGGAATGACGTCATAAAACGGGTTCTAGACATCCTTTGTGCTCCTCTAGACGGATGATGCAATCTCAGGATAGACCCGTTAAACCAAGCACTTGACTTTCAGGTTCTCTGTGGCTCAGTCATACGACTGCTGGGGTACGAGCAAGATACAGCGATGCGCAACTCTGTCACTGCGGTTCGAAGCCTGCCGTTAAAAAAAAAACACACAGAGCTCTCAGGGAGAGGGCAGTCGACCACAACCCCACGGGAGAAATACCAGCGCACCACAAACATCAGACCAGGGACCAGGCTGGTCTCTGGTCAAAACACACAATTTCTCCCTCCGTGGGTTGTGGCCGCAGAGGTCTTTTATTTTTCCTTATCCTGACTCATGCTCTTTTGCTTGTCCCCCTTCCTCTTGCGAACATAGTGGAACACTTGTATCTCCTTAATTGAAGCTCCCTTCAATGTAAAATCACTAATTGGTACTCACCCACGAGTTACCTCCCCTGCCATAAGCGCGGGAACAGGTGTCGCCACCCTCTGGCCTCATGCTTCACTCTCTCCTTCTTCGCCCAGTGAGCAGGATGTGAGAGCGCCTGTGTCTCCTTACACACTATATCCTTTGGTTTTTCTTAGTTAGTTACCTATTATAGTTTACTATAAAGGTATAGCTAGTATCCTTCAGTTATTGGCATTGATAATTAATCGTATTTCTACTGTTTATTCAATGGAGTTCGTGATTGTTCAGCTAGTTTTACATTGATGAAAAACTGTACTATTTGTAGATTACGCTTTTTCGCCTGCGGATCCGCATGTGGTATGCCCTAGTTGTACCACGCCTTGTGCGTTTGATTCACGTTGCAGTTACTGCATAAATTTAACCAATTCTGCCTTTGATAAATACCATCTTTGCGTCTTGAGACGTGTTGCAGATAGATCACGCAAACTAGGTGTAGACATGGCCGACACGCCGGATTGCCCATCCAGTCAACTGCTGTCGGCGATCCTCCCGCCTGGTGTTCTGCTTGAGACCCCATCGGAAGAGGGCGTGGGATGCAGTCCGTCACCTCTAAGAAGCGACCGCCTCTCCAGACATCCAGTCATCGCGAGACAAAGTCCAAGAGGGCCTCAACGTCTTCTCAACGCAGACTTCGTACCCCCAGGGCAGCGTCATCCTCCAAAGGGAAATCTACGAAGTCATCGAGAACTTTCTCAGCCGAGATCGTTCCAGCAGCAGAATTGGGCCTCTACGATGACCAGCCTATCATCATACCCGACATACGCCACAAGAAGCGACCAGTGACAGCGACAGTGACGTCAGCAGAGATCACCATGCAGCCTGATGCCTCTACACTGATGTCAGACGAGATCGCTGAGGGCCCCACCGCTAGCACAGCAGAGAGGGCACCATCTACTACGTCACAGATCATCCCAAACGATCTTATGAAACAGATCATGATTATGATGGAAGGCCACTATAGACTGGAGAAGCAGCCATCCCAGGGTCCGAGCCTTCGCGAAGGCTCCAACGTAGACAGCACCCCAGAGGCACCATCTGTCAACGTAGCAGCCACGACAATGCAGCCTTCGCGAAGGAAGTCACAGACCACCTCGACGAAGGACCCAGATGTACAGCCTTCGCGAAAAATCATCACCTTCTTCGGCGTCATACTCAGATACGGAATCTGATCATCAGACCACACGCAAGCCTTCGCGAAGGTCATATCATCGTTCCCCAGGACCGGACGCAAACGAAGCTTCGCGAAGGCGTTCGCGAAGGACACCTGAACCCAGATCGTCTTCATCTAAAAGGTCATCAAGGGACTACACAAGAGCTTCGCGAAGCTACCATCAGTCCCCTCATAGGTCGCCAAGAAGGTCAACCTATCGATATAGATCACCAAGACGATCGCCTCGCCCGATCACCACGTCGATCACCTCACAGGTCTGCACATAAGCCTACAACTAGATCTCCACAAGCGTCAAACGATATAGAGATAGAGCCACACAGCCCTACATCAGAAGAGCAACAACCTCTTAATTATGATGATGGAATGGAAGATGATGGAGGAATTATTTTCTCAGATGCAGAGATAAGATATTGGATGGTCAATAATCTAGATCTCTCATCACCTTCCAAGAGTGGCAATACGGCGCAGACTTATCTGATGAAAGAAGACGATGCAGATGCTATTACACTACCCCCAATCGACCCGATTGCGACGGTACCTCAGAACCTAGATACAGCATTTAACAAAGCCACGAAGGTTCAGACGCCACATCTGCCAAATTTCAGCGCCAAGAAGTTCTCCACGCATAATATGGACCCCTTCTTCAAAGCGCAAGACATCGATGAGAACTATAAGCTGATCTCCGATGCCAAGAACAAGTACTACAAGATTGATGATCGGAAATTGGTTCAGATAGAAACCATGACGAGGCGTATGTTCTTTGGTCTAAATAGATCTAGAACAATAAATGAGACACTTATCTCCAGATTTCGGGAACACGACCTCTGAAGATGACAGAATGATTTACTCGGCCCTACTGATGCAAAAGAAGGACCAGCAGTTTTTAACAGATCATCTGACGTCTGTCTCAGCAGCACTGACCTTAGCTCGTCGTCAAGGCCTCCTAGCTTCCTGCAACTGGGGTGAGAACTTTACAGCTCCACTATATACAGCCCCGTGGTCTTCCCCATCCATATTTGACGGAGGAATAGACGGAGTCTCCAAAGAAGTCACCAAGGATTCTAGAGAAGCCCTGATGATTAAATCGATGGACACGCTAGCCAGTGTCATTCGACAGACTTCACAAAGATACTCAGGGAGATCTAAATTCACGGGCCTACAAAAGCTAGAGACAGGAAGATTGCCAGTTCCAGGGGAAGAGATTCTTTTAAATTAAGCCCATATGGCAATTATAGAGGAGAGTCAGGAAGAGGCAGGACACCCAGAGGTTCCCGCAACTATAAACGCTGAAAGACAGGTTCGGAACGACTGGAGTCTTCCACCCCCAGCCGTTCCAGTACAACCGTCACAAGTGGGTGGACGTCTTCAACTACACTGGGAAAACTGGGGAATACTTCAAGACACCTATGTCTCCAACATTCTTCAACGCTGGATTTCGTGATCCCACTACAGGCCAAGCCTCCACTAACAGTCAACCCTCACAAGTTCGAGGTACAGGCACAACAACTACTAAAGTTAAGAGAGGCGGTTACATTACTCCTAACCAAGCAGGCCATAGAAGTAATAGAGCAAGGAAACATCGAACCAGGTTTCTACTCCCCAGTTTTCCTAGTACCCAAGAAGAACTCCAAGGAGAAATACAGACTCATTTACAACATGAGCTTCTTCAACAAGACTTACTTAAGCAGACCACCCAGGTTCACTATGATACATCTACCGCGAGCTACGGCAGATGATTAAGCCCCATGGACTACATGGGCAGTATAGATCTACAAGATGCTTATCTGCACATCCCGATACATCCCGAATCCAGGAAATACCTTCGGTTTACGCTAGGCGGGTTACATTACCAGTGGAAAGTACTCCCATTCGGAATAGCATCAGCCCCAT